CCCGTACTACCCTCGAAAACGATCGCTGCCGCGATGATGCTCAACACCACATCTTCATATTGACATCGCGTCGCCCTCCCATACGGGTCCAATCGCCGCTCAAAATCCCCGTCCCCGTCGCCGCCCCCCTGCCGACGCTATCCGTGACACTATACCTGGGGGACAAAACAAAACGAACACCCGCCGAATCGTTCTATCGCCTTCCGCTCGCGAATCCAACCTTTGATCCCTCAGTATAACTCCTTGGCATTTTATGCCAATGACTGCGGGTAATGGTATATCGACGAATGTGCCGTCAATGTCCCTCCGGGCCAAAAACAATAAATGCATTTCCCACGCACTACCTCCAAATACTCTCAAATCTCTTCTATCATACAGCGACTCTCTTACTTCTACGTCTACCACCCTCGACTAATGTACTATTATTGACTCTGTTACCGATGAAACTCCTGACTATCTTCCCATATGGCCTCCACCCCTCGTTTTCTCACCCTCGCCTCTTGATATACTTCCCCCTCGCTCCCGCCCTCGCTCTCGCTCTCACACTCGCTACTATTGTCGTCATCGCCGTTATCAGTCTCCTTCCTCTCTTCCTCATCACTCTCGCTAATCTTCCCACTAGTGTCCTCACCTTCGGCCTCACTACTCTCTACGAACTCTCCCTCCTGACGATAACCTTGATATGCCTCCTCGTCACTCCCACACCCCTCGCGCTGAACGTTCCTATCTATAAATCCGTCCATCACCTCTCGCTAACACCGTGCTTCTATGAAATCCCACACCTGCCGTCGTGCCACCTCGTCCACCTACCGGTCGCGGGGTTACCATGATGGCTGGCAATGTCGACCCGCCCCGGCCGGCAACACGATGATCGCTTCACTCCTCTGCCCGTCCCGTCTGACTCAACTACTTTCTTACCCGTAATCCAACAATGACCGCGGTTCGTCCATATGAATGATCACGCGAATGTCGCGGATGTCCACCCCTATGCCAAATGTACTGGTGCTGACGATCAACGACGTCGCGCCGGACTGAAACGCTCCCATCTTGATGTCCTTGTCGGCGGCGTGGTGGTGGTATGCGTCATATACTAACAACGCCGCCAACGCCTTGGTCTACGGCACGGTTTGACAATATACCACGACCTTACTATGGGGGTGACGTTGTACCTGCTGGCGTACGAAATGCGCCATGGTCTCCATCGGGGCTAGTGCCTCCTCTTGATCTGGTGGGAATCGCTAACTTCTCTTCTACGTGTTGCCTACGCTCTTCGCACGTCTTAACCGATAAATACGGTATGCAATATTCTTTCGTATCGTAACGTCTCGAAATGTACTCACGGCCACATCGATAATACCCATCCGACGTCGAAATTCATCCTCTATGTGAACGGGTATAGTAGCCGTTAACATCAAAATCTACATATCCCATTGATTTAACGCGCCTAATTCTTACATGCGACGGCAAAAATGCTTCTACTTATTCAACACTATATGACACTCGTCCACCATGATGCGATCTAATCGTTTCCCGCTCTTCATGCGCTATATGAACTTCTGGAATACGGTACTGAACACACTTTCGGGCGTCACTAACACAATGTCGGCCCCGTTGGCAATCCGTGAACTCAACCACTCAACATACTCCAACCCCAACTCCTGATATCGCCGTTTCATATCTCTTCGTAACGCGATCAACGGCACCACCACCACGGTCGTGCCTCCACGGCCAACGCCATACCATACGGGCAACATGAAAATTAATGTTTTACCACCACCGGTCCCTATAAACATTATCACGCGCGGATTACCTCGCATCACGGCTTGAATAGTATCTCACTATACGCCACGAAATTGACGGCCCTGACCTATCATCTTCTCCAACGCCATCTGAATGTTGACTTGCCGTAAATACTACTATTGTCGAAACCGTCCCGCCTCGGCTTCTTTCTTAAACGGTTCACGTCCACCGCGACATTATTGTCAACTATCCTCCTAACTGGACGCGAACCCCAAAAATCAATACTATGATACACTAACTCGTCGAAACTTCTCGCGCTTGTTGGCTACTTCACCGTCCCGCTTACTGATGCCTCGCGCGTAAATCAACTACGCGATATGGCTAATATGTCCGGCGGATTGATTAATGATGTCGTCTTCATCTTCGTTGATCTCGCCCTATTCGTCCTTAGGGTCATACTCAAACCCGGACTTAGTCTGTAAATATCGCCGACTAATGCTAATGCCCAAATGACGATATATTTGGATATTCAACGCGTAGCCCAAGTGGACTATACTGACTCGCTTCAAACTCTCCCGTAATTGACTAGGGGTGAATGTGTGTCCGCTAGGACTCTAGCGCGGCCAAATAAAACTCGTTTGACTCTCATAGTGATATATCTCGGCTTTAATGCGTTAGCGTAATAGTAATACTAACCATATCTATAATACATCCAGTTCCCCTACCTCGCGTGGCATATACTGATGAATGATCTTCACGTCACTACTCATACTGTACCCTTTATGGTACCAGGTGGCGGTAAACACCAATCCACCCTCAATACCGATATTACGATATCCACCGTAGCTGGTATTGCTATGACAAATGCTCAACAACTCGGGTACCTATCGGGGTCCTCCTCCAACGAACTACTTCAATAATAACAACCCTTCTCGGACGGTATCTTCCTCACCTAACCATCTCTATACCTCTTCGACATTCTACCGCATATCGTCTCTATCCTACAAAAATTAATATTAACTACTCTTCATTAATCGATCGAATAACCACTATTCACTATTCACGGGCCACGGGTTCCGACGATCCTGCATAAAATTCCAACCGGGTTGTGCGTTGGCGGGATCGTCACGTAATTCATCCCATAGAATAATGGGTAATTTATGCTCTTAGTGGGGACTAATGTCTAATACGCGGCGTAATAACCGCTTATAGGTGTCATATACGATTTGGTGCACCATCCCGCGAAACTAGCTTATGGTGAACTGGATATCTTTATATATGATTTGATCACTATGCTAATCGATAAAACCAGGTGCCGTACCACTAAACTGAATCTTCATACCGTATGTACGTAAATCTAACATCTATTCTATGGGACCGTGGCTAATACGTAACATGAATTGGTCCACTATGTGCTGAACTACGTCGATATATCCCACTTGCTTGGGTTCTGGACTAAATGGATAGTCGTGCTCGTCGTGACTATAACTATTATCTTCACCATCATTCGTGCTGGGGGTTGAATCGTCGCTGTCGCTATCGCTATAGGCGCTGTCAGGGTCTAGGGTGGTTTCTTGGAACGCATGCTAAATCATCATCAACCGGGCAATTTTAATCACACTGGATAAAATGGGCGGATATATATTATATCCTTTCTATCTATACGCATCGACACCTAATACGGCTAATGCGCACACTAATACGTATTCGTATTCATATTGGTGGGCTTTCTGGCATAATAACGAAATGTAAAACGCTAAATATGCTCGCTGGGTACCCTCTAACGGGATAAATCCTTAGGGACACTATAGTTCTATATCATCCTCGCCATCACTACTCCTCTCATCCAGCGATTCGACCTCAATGTCACTCATATGCTCACTAGCTACTGCGGCAACGTGCTCACCCTCCTCATACTGTAACTTACTCCTCTCGACCTCCTACTAGGCCTCCTGCATCAATTGCTGAAACGCGTACTGCTAATGATGCTTCAATGTATATTTGGGACTCTTCTATGAATATGACCGCTATGTGCGAACGAAAAACATGATAATCTACTACCAATGTCGACCTTTGTCCTAAATCTCTTCCGGATTTTGGTATCCTTTCAATAGCACGAATCGACTTTAATCTTCTTCAGTCCGCATCACCTCCTTACGTATAAATACTCCGGCATGCGCCCTGACGGTGACTTAATATTGTCGCATCATCTTGTCCATCGCTTACTATATCACTTAACTGATAGGTTCTGGATCCATCTCTAGCGTGGCGATACTCTATAATAACTCATCACGGTCCAATTTGCGTAAATACTGGGCCTACCCGGTTCGTTCTAACCATGGGCTGGGCTCGTTATACGCTCCTTCGTTAATGGTACGCCGTTCACGGTCCTGGATCTTTTCCATCCTTTACTACAACATCTGTCGTACTCGTTCGACCTTACTAGGTGATAGTAATAATAGCTTCGGGGCGGCTTCTTCGGCCCGCTCCGGGGCGTAGACCTTAAAATACTAGGACCCTCGACCACGGGGGAATACCCGCTAGTAATATACCGATTTCTACGGCCGGGCGTAGGGATAGCCTCCTCGACCGGCACACGGCGCACCGGTATGGCCTCGCTGACCGGGATGACATCGTGCCCAATAAACCTTCATAGTCGCCTCGCCGCGATATACATATCGACATTACTTAGTCGGACTACCGCATAATAACCCGTCCGTATGGACATCCAACTGGGGAACGGGGTCTTGAATCCTCTGGTGGATCGTATACACGACGTCACGATTCTATAGTAAATCGGGCTACTGGAAAACTTGATTCTGGATATACCGGGCATCTAACGGGCTTAATCGATACTGTCGTCGCTGTAAATGACTGGCAATCTACTCTGGCCATACGGCATATCGACATTGACAGTAAATGGGGAGTTGGATGCGGTACGAGTACTGAAATACTTCGTCGACCTAGATGGGTTCGTCCTTAACTAATGCCGTCATCGTCATCGAATAACTAATGATATTGATGAACGCGAATTTAATGGTGACTAGCAAACTATCACACTTTAACTCAAAGTCCTCGTATCCATTATCTATATTGCATTCATCCCATCCATTCTGCTAGATTCACCCGTAGCTCCTAACTCTACTAATTTCGCTTACCTTACCCAGTTCGGACTCGACCCTAGCTGTTCTTCAACCCTAACCCTAAGAGCCCCTTTTCTCAACCTTCCCGTGGAAATTTTGATGTTCCTCCCATACAAAATGGTCGATTTTCCATCCACGATTCCACCCGTCCACGAAGTGCAATCGTGGTGCAAATCGCGTAAGTTATAAACTACGGGCCTCTATTATAACATACTCCAAATGTAGAACCGTAATCGCCCGAGAACTAATCATTAGTCTGAAGAGAAGTCAATCATTATCCTGAAATTAACCCGCTAAGACTAGGGTTAGGGTCTCCATACATTTTGTATGGGGAGCAATCATTAGTCTGGGTAGGATAATGAACCACATTTTGGATAGGCTACGGAAATCTTTAAGTCCCGGAGCCATACTCTATTAAACGATCCCGTTCTAGATAGCTTCTAGGTAGTTGACTTATAGGAAGTACTAGAGAAGCTATTAACGCCCTCTACTATTAAGTTATACGTAAGTCTCCGCGTACAGGGCAAGACTATTAAGTTTAGCTAGGCGAGAGGTAGTAGGATAACCCTAGGTGAGGGTAGAGGAGGTCTATTTATAAATCATAGGTAAGATCACCTAATCGATCTAGTAGGTTATATCGCTCTAGCTAAGATAATTATTAGGCCCGGATAGCGTATATAAATAGGAGGGGAAGAAGACTAGGAGCTAAGCATCTTTAAAATGACTAATGTAGCCAAACTTATAATAAACTACTTTATAAAGTCGTACTTTACGCACACTATACTAAGTTAGGACTAGAAGGGAAATATAGAGGTCAGCTTATAGATTAGTGATGATATAAGGGCTAAGAGTGAACTTAATACTATATTTCGTAAAGGCGAGGCTAGTAGGAAACTCTATTATACTATCAAAATTAAAGATTACTACTAGATTAAGATAAGGTCCTAGAGACTTAGACGTAGGAAGGTAGACATGGATTTTTTCATCTGGTGTCTCTAAACATATTCCTAGAAATTACGCCTTCTAACCTTAGACTTCTTAGTAATCGAATATTATATTAGATAAAGAGAATGTCGTATAACTAAGTATATTAGGTATAGTAGTAAGAAATTCATTAACCGTATTTAGTAGTATATAGTAGGCGGACCTATGGGGATATTACTAAGCTATTTTAAGATACTTATTATCACTACATCCATAGAAATGTAGGAGCTCCTTGGCCATCCATTACGCAATATTAACCTCTTCTTCACTATTATCGTCCGTATCTTAACTATTCCTATCTTCACTATTTACTTCTTAGTTATCTCTATCTTAGTTCTCTTCGTCCTAGTTATTCTCGTCTATGGCCCGGCTAATACTATAGATATCGATATATTCAAAGGCTACTAGATCTTACGTCTCCACTTCTAGTATTATAATATCTTCTCATGGATTTAGTAGCTCATCCTAAGGAATTCCCTTAGAAGGCTCATTAACTATCGTCTGTATCTAGTGATTTAAGGGCGACGGCGCTCTCAAGGAAGATAGCCGGAAGAGTTAGCGTAAGGGAATTATAGTAGACCTAAGGGACTAAGCGACTTAAAGTAATAAGTAAAATAGAGAGAGAGAGTTGACGTAGGGTGACGGAGATCGAGAGGGTTCCGGAGCTATATTATTAAATAAGCGGGAAAGGTAGAGGTTTTCAAGGGGTAGGAGTAGGTTATTATCGTAATAATCAAGAGTATCGTCCGGTTCGAAGGGAGAATCCTAGGTTAATTAGTTAATAAGTTAAGGCTATTAATAAAGCTAATATAGTAAGAGAACGGCCTAAAGAGAAAGAAAGTAAATTAGTTATCCTCTAAGATAGAGGATAATCTAAGGAAATATAAAAATAGCTCATTATCTCCTAGTTAGCGTTAGTCAGTATAGAGAGGTCTTCTACTTAGATGCCCTGAAGAGAGTTAGTCAACTATAATAGTCCTTCAACTTTAGCTTATGTTAGAATACTATAAGGGTTATGAATAATCTAAAGTTTATTTTCCCTTAGGAGTAGAGGCACTTCGGGTTCTTCACGTTTTTTCTCGCGCTAACGCTGAGTCTTTACTACACGGCTAGCTTAAAGCGCTTTATTGTCCTAATACTTCTGAGGCCGGCCACCTTTATTCTTCGCCATACTACTCGCTATACTATAGGAAATATAAGACTAAATACGTTACGAGGATAGAAGAAAGGTAGTGACTAAAACCTCGAAGAGGCCTAGTGTTAAGTAGGTTAGGACTTTTCCTAATTAAGGTTTTAGTCATAATACTTAGTAGGAACATTAACTAACTACGAAATGCGGCCTACTTTACTACTCACTAACGATACTATATTATAGGAAAATTACTATTTAACTATTGAGAGCTTATTATGGGCCTCTAAATTATCTACATTCAAACTTTTATCTGATAAACTAGGGTGGTGGTGGAGTAATTCTTAACCATAACTGAGGCCTGACCCGAAGGCTCATTATAGAGAAATACTATAAATATAATGTTAAAAAGATAGTTAATACGTTAAGTCTTCTCACTAGGTATTTATCTAGGAGGTATATATCTACCTATCTATATATAGCTAAAAAAGGAGTCGCTATATATCTAGAAGGACTAGAAAGAATCGTAGCCTAATATAAGGATCTAATAAAGAGCCTAATATAACTAATTAAGCGATAGGAGGAAGAACTTAAGACTTAAAGTTACTAGATCTTACTTAGATATCCTAACTATAAGACTATTAACGTCTTAAATAGAGCTCTTTAGAGTATACTCTAGAGTTCTAGTCGTAATAGATAGGTTAGTAGTTCCTTTATTAATACTAGGATCGCTATCTCTCGAAAAGAATCTTATATAAAGTACTCTATTATCTCGAGTTTAGCGTTTCTTTTTTAGATTAATTAATACTAATAAGTAAATAATCTAGTAGATTTTAAGGCTTATAGAGACATTAATAATCTCTCTAGGCGACTTATTATTATTAATAATAACTTAGTAAGCGCTAGAAACTACTAGCTTATCTTCATAGCGGATAGGATAATATAGTTATACTTTATTATTAACTCTTAATTTAGTTAGTTAAGTAATAATAAGTTAACGTTAGATATTTTCGTTTAGTAATTAAAGGAGCGTATTTTTAGTATCTTATTATAAAATATTAAGTTAATATCTAACTATTAATAAGATAAAAGTAACTATAGACTTTAGGTAGTTAAGAACGCTCTTACGGTTATTAACGCTAATACTTATAAGAAGGTGCGTTTATAGACTACGTTATTTACTATTTAGGTTAATATTAAAGATTACTTCCTAATCTCTTTAAAGATCTACTAGATAGTTAAGCGCTACCTAAAGTAAAGTAGGTAGGCGTTAGCTCTCGTAAATATAAGCTTAAAGGAATTAAATTCGAGATAGTTAGATAATTTTATAGAGACTTTAAAGGGTATAAAGAAGAATTAATAATTCTAGGAGAGCTAGTAAAGATAGTTAGGAGACTTAAGTAAGGTTATTAAGAAAGTGAGTGATAATAGGAGAGATATAATAGGAAAGGTTTAGAGAGAACTTAAGATATAAGATAAGTAAGTAAGGTGATTAGTTAACTTTTAGCTATATATTATATAGGTAAACGTTACTACTCTCTAATTAGTTAGTTTAAGGGTACTACTTTAGCTTAGTAGTCTTTTCTTTTGTTATTTACCTAGGTAGATAGAGAGATAATAATATAATTAATCAACTACTTGATAAGATATAAACGCGCCTATTACCTACCGCCGTATAAGTTGGCGCCTATGGCTAGAAGCCTCGCCCTAGTTCAATACTAGTAACTTACTAACTAGTTATCTATTCTAAAATCAGGAACTTACTATAGTTATAGATTAAAAGTCTTATAGGACTTATAGGTCCCTCTAGTACTTCCTTAAGACGTTAGAATATATATATTACTTAATAAGATTAAACTCCCCCTCTAATCCTTCTAGTTACTCCTTCACTAGTTACTCTAGTTCCTATATAGTCTTAGTAAGGATCTCTTCTAATATAGTCTAACTTAGTAGATATAATATAAGAAAGTTTAATATAACTTATAAAACTAGAAGAAGAATACTCTATTATTAGGAGTATAGAATAAGTAGACTAAATAAAAGCTAACTTAATTAATATCTTAGGTATAGCGAAGTGACTATAGTTATAGATAATAATCTCTAGACCTAAGTTACTAACTTTAACGATCTCCCTTAACCTAAGTATAAAGAAGCTAAAGATTTTGGGACTTTTCTATAGGATTAAGGTAGAATAGTAGCTTATAAGTTAAAAAATATATATTATTAGTCCTTTTAGTACCGTCCCTCTATTAAAATCTCTTAGAAGCGATATACTTAAGAACTTACTAAATCTAATTCTAAACTCTAGAAGTTCTATTATATTTATATAAGAGTTAATTTAAAAATATATTAAGTAAATAAATTATAACTAGAATAAGTTATTAGTTAATTACGAAGATATTTAGAAATACTATAAATATAGCGTTAAAAAGATAGTTAATATATTAAGTCTTCTCATTAGGTATATACTTAGGAAGTATATATCTACTTATCTATATATAGCTAAAAAAGGAGTCGCTATATATCTAGAAGGACTAGAAAGAATTATAGCTTAATACGAAGATCTAATAAAGAGTCTAATATAACTAATTAAGTGATAGGAGGAAGAACTTAAGACTTAAAGTTACTAGATCTTATCTAGATATCCTAACTATAAGACTACTAACGTCTTAAATAGAGCTCTTTAGAGTACGCTCTAAAGTTCTAGCTATAATAGATAGATTAGTAGTTCCTTTATTAATACTAGGATTACTATCTCTTAAAAAGAATCTTATATAAAGTACTTTATTATCTTAAGTTTAGCGTTTCTCTTTTAGATTAATTAATACTAATAAGTAAATAATCTAGTAGATTTTAAGGCTTAGGGAGACGTTAATAATCTCTCTAGGCGACTTATTATTATTAATAATAACTTAGTAGGCGCTAAAAACTACTAGCTTATCTTTATAGTAGATAGGATAATATAGTCGTACTCTATTATTAACTCTTAATTTAGTTAATTAAGCGATAATAAGTTAGCGTTAGATATTTTCGTTTAGTAATTAAAGGAGCGTATTTTCAGTATCCCGCCGTAAAATATTAAGTTAATATCTAACTACTAATAAGATAAAAGTAGCTATAAGCTTTAGGTAGTTAAGAACGCTCTTATAGTTATTAACGCTAATATCTACGAGAAGGTGCGTTTATAGACTACATTATTTATTATTTAGGTTAATATCGAAGATCGCTTCCTAATCTCTTTAAAGATCTACTAGATAGTTAAGCACTACCTAAAGTAAAGTAGGTAGGCGTTAACTCTTATAAATATAAGCTTAAAGGAATTAGATTTAAGATAGCTAGATAATTTTACGGAGACTTTAAAGGGTATAAAGAAGAATTAATAATTCTAGGAGGGCTAATAAAGCTAGTTAGAAGACTTAAGTAAGGTTATTAAGAAAGTGAGTGATAATAAGAGGGATATAATAGGAAAGGTTTAGAGAGGACTTAAGATATAAAGTAAGCGAGTAAGGTGATTAGTTAACTTTTAGCTATATATTATATAGGTAAACGTTACTACTCTCTAATTAGCTAGTTTAAGGGTACTACTTTAGCTTAGTAGTCTTTTCTTTTATTATTCGCCTAGGTAGATAGATAGATAATAACACAATTAATCAACTGCTTAATAAGATGTGAACGCGCCTATTACCTACCGCCGTACGAGTTGGCGCCTATGGCTAGAAGCCACACCCCAGTTCAATATATCTAAACTTAAGGTATAACTTTCCTCCTTCTACTCTAACTTTATAAGTTTAGCGTTAATTTCTTTAAAAATTTATATATAGATAGAAGTTAATATTCCTAATTAAATAGGCTAAAAAGATTAACTTCGAAAATTTCTAGTTCGTGAGATATAAGCGATTTTATAATAGAGAGTATTTCTCCTCTAGGGTTAACCCTATAATTAATAGATTACGCTAATACTTAGAAATCTAACTATATACACTCGTAAAATATATCTTAACCCTAATAATACTCGAAAAAACGATCGAATTTTACGGTAGGTACTAAGAGATATTCGACTTTAAATTTCCTTAGTACCTATCGTATAAAAAATCTTGGTATCCTTCGATGGGTACCATTGAGCACATTAGTAGGCAATAAAGTTGTATAGAGCGAGAGCAACTGACTGCTTTCCTGTGTTCTTCGGCTCTTTCTCCGGTGATCAGTCGGGTTTTCTTCCTCGCCCTTGTTTCGGGCTGAATAGTTCCGTTTACCTGTGGTCATTCAGTTAGGTTGAATTCCAAATGATGAAAGGTGTTTCCTACGACTCGAACGATCAAGCTTGGCCTGCTGGCGGCCAGCTTTGTCGTGATATTTTTGCGCTCCGCCTGTGTCCTGTTTTGCAATACTGGCTGCCATATCTATTGGGATGAGTGGAATGGAGGACAAGTCCACCATGTATAGCACACACAGAAAACTGAAACTGAACAAGCCTGGTCGCAGGCTGCTCTTGAAAGCTGCGGAGAACCAACGATCTGCTTTCAGCTGCCGACACGTTGAAACTCACGAGCACCTAAAAGCTTGGCGGCCACGAAGCAGCCAATCATGACTGGGAACAGGCCTAGCCGCTGGCTGCTACGTCATGGGGATTTTTTGGCGTCTCTTCTTGGTCCATGAAACTGCTTCAAAACATGTGATTGCAAATGACTCAATTCGCCATAAGCCTTGTTGCAACCATTCCATCCACACGGTGTGAGAGTGCTGCACAGCCGTATTGCAGGGCAGACAGAATGTCGGTTGATCCCAAGGGCTCACCTATCATCACGATGAAGATCCTGTTGTCGCGATCCTGGAGCAATTTGGAAGCCAAAGGTACCGGCTAGGATTGGTTTTGAGACGAAATGTGCTCGTTTCTCTCCATACCACGGTCGATAGGTACTGGTTAGGATCTCGTTGGCAGCATCGATCCAGAGCTTATTTGTTGCCAAATCGACACATCCGTCGGAAACACCCAAAAGGCCAGTTGCACGACGAGTGGTTGTGGGAAAGAAGCCTGATTCATCGGGGATGTCTGTCTCAAACACTGGTTTCAGCTCTTTGCGGATGCGAGTGACGATGTCCTTATCGGCGAGGCCAGTAATCACAACACCGCCATCTCGACGGATGAGTTCGACGACTTTGGCACAGGTGGTGGATGGATCATCAACTGCCAAACGTTTAAGCTGCGGGTGGTTGGAAGTGGTACGAAGCTTCTGTGCCGGACAGGACGCCTGTTGAGTGATGGTAGTGATGGCTGCCATTGCAGCTCCAAATCTTAGACAGGTTCCAACCTGGTTTTCTCCCCGTCCGATTCTAACCTGTTGTGTTACAGACTGCGTCGTGAGCAGAGTTATTTATCTACACAATATGTTTCATTATACCTACAACGACGGAGCCGTCAGGTGCAGCCGCTCTTCTCCTACCTTCACTACGTATGGGATTGCTTAGGGACTTCCCCCATTTTGACCCAGCCGTTCTCAGCAATTTCGATACTATTCAGACTTTCTGCGATCTAGTTAAAATCCATCGAATGCGCACGGGAGCTCAGACGCCATGTCCGCCAATTTGGCTGGCTGAAGGTTCACACCAACACGACTGGCTATCGCATTTCTCACTCGAACCCTACACATTGGGCAAGGACTGCGGAGAAAGCCTACCCAGAGGCTCGTTATCTTTAGTTCCTTATTCACTTCGACACGCTGCCATGGGGGTCTAGGCACGGGCTAGAACGCCGCGACCCAATAGCAGAAGTGGAGTGTTTTTCGCCCTCCCAAAACCCCCTTCGAAGCGGTAAAGCCTGTAAGCAGGGTTGCTCTATTCTGCGGCGACCCAAACATCCAGCATACTGATCCTTCGAATTATCTGTTTTGTGATTTGTTAGCTTGCGCCAATGTCCTCGTCAAAACCTAGGCGTCGGGACGGAAGAGACTCTACCATAATCAGCTTCACTCCTGATCTCTGGGCGGCAGCTTATCATGCTTTCTTAACATGTTTGCGCAGTCTGGTTGGCCACTTAGAACAAAAATAATCGGAGGGTGGCTGCGGTGAGCACTGGCCGCTCGAATGGCGGATCAAGCCATGGTTTGCCCAGTACGCAGTATATATGCTACCATGATATTCCCGTAAAGTTTGAAGCATTAGCCACTTCGACAACGATCAATCTTTATCTGTTGATCATTCGAGCCTGAGTGTGACCAGAAATCATAACGCCAGCTTCGTGACCTTCCTATCTCGCCACCATAAAATGGACCGCGAAGACGTCTCCCCCCCTAAAACGCAGCGTATAGAGGACAATAGGGGAAAGAATATCTTCCTGGCTCCTCAACACACTATAGATCTAAATCAATCGCTGGTGCGCTCTTTCCTTTCTGTGATCATTCGCTCCCCTGTTGACGGATACATGCCATAGAACTGTTCTGCCTCACGAAAAGCTCTGCACATGACCCCTCTTTCGCTATATACTCTACTGGTCTTTGCCATGTGAGTCGTCCATCATCTACGATAGTGCTCATGCGAGAGTTGTGCTTGAAATGTTCTTCGGGATTTTCAGTGAAATTTACCAAGATGATTCTCCAGTCTCAAGGGACATTGCATCGCATTTATAAGCGTTGGTTTCATGGCATGCCGGTACCGGTTAAGGCACCATTCCCCCAACTAATCTTACAGGGGTCGGCACTGACTCTGGCCAATTCTAACGCTTGCTCCACTGCTCATAAGGTTTTCTATATAATGCTCCTGACATACTAGATCACTTCAGGATATTACTTCTTCATCCATACAGTGATATTTCTATGTTTAGATGCCTCAGAAACAGTCCTATCCGATATGATGGCTACATTTAATGACCAACAGCACCCCATTCTGCGCCATCCACCGCTGTCTCAACTCGTCTCCTTCTACGACATCACTACGTTGATCTGGCTTCAGCCATGCTCTTTGCTTTCTCCTATCTCCATATTATGAGCGACAAGGGCAGTGGCCATCACATGCCTTCGACATCACCCAACTGCTACCGGCTCCATCCTGATCCGATACCTCTCGGCACATTGACTTGCCTTCATCAGTCGGTCACGTTGTCGGGGCTGACCGCATGTAGGTCGTACTGTTGCTATGGACGAAAAACATCCAGAGAGCCGCGCTAAAGAGACAACGATCCAGGCTTGGCATTGAACAGATCCAGATTTTGCAGCTGCTGGACGTCCTGTTTCAGGAAGAAGTCATATTAGTGAAGAAATGATGAGATGAGGATATGTAACTCAACTATGTCGACGTGGTCACCTGGGGATAAAGTCTCGAGCCAGAGAACCATCTTGTCTACCCACCAGAAAAGTCGGAAAGAGGATCAATATCTATCTAGTCCTCAGGCTTCAATCCAAACTGCATTAGATTCCGGACTATCTGTCTCCACAGAATTTCCTGCCATCGGATGACCAGGGAGAGATGACTGTTTCCAAGCCACCGAGACCTCTACCGCCGCCTTGAAACTTGGAGCTTTGCTTATGTTAAGACAGAAACACAATGCCTCAGGAATTTTGGACCATTCGCTCGAGACGCCTCAGGAGGCCATCAGGCTCTGCAACTCCTTGACTAGCGATGGCATTGGCACGATCCTGCTTGTCGGCAACTGCGTAGATGCGCAGTTCGTCAGCATTCCCAGATGGCCGGAAGTGAGCGACATCTCCATTGCTAAAGATCATGCGGACTCCATCAGTGTAGTTCAGGCGGGCGATTGTGCCGAAGCCGGCCTCGGAGCTAAACACAGACTGGAGGCGTTGACGCATCTGGTCGAGGTGCTCAGCTTGTGGTTTTGTGGCTTGCATAATGGCTCTATTGGAATCGTAGATGAGCAGCCGATTTTGATTGTCGGGGTCAAAGGAGATCTCCTGCATTCCGGGAAGAGGAGGGGAAAATTTCTCTATAATCCTCATGCTCGTCGATCGAGGAAACTTCCGAATCAATGATGCCTTGCTGAACCGCTGAGGCAGCGTCGAGAAAAGTTCTGAGAGTGTGATCTGGCGTTGATGCGCGGCGAATAAAGCACACAGGAGTGGCAGCACTGCGTCTCTTGTCGGGAGCGCAGCGAGCGTTTTGCCATTGCGGTTAACATCAGAGCCAGTCAAGAACCCGCCGTTGGCTTCCCATCCGCAGACTCGAGAACGACCGTTTTGAGTGGAGTGTTGCATGCCGGCGATCACATAAGGGCTTCCAATTTTGGTTTTCGCCTCAGTGACATTGGCTAGTAGACCACGGTCAATAGCATCATTGGTACTGATCGGAACAACAATGGAGTCGGCACCCAGAAACTCGGCGACAATCATACCGAGCAAGTCGCCCCCAAAGAAACGAAGCTTGTCTCCTGCCGGAGCCATAATGAGTGGGCGATCGCTGTCTCCATCCGTGGAAACAACGGCGTCAAAGGATCCACCAGCATTGTCGTACAGACTTTTGACTGTGTCAAACTGGGGCTTGTCAATAGCTTCTGTGTCAATTGGAACAAACGTATCGCTTCTTCCAGCGGCAGTGACCTTGGCTCCAAGCAATTGAAGGATTTCAACGAGAATATCGCGACCGACGGCGGAGTGTTGGTACACGAGGAGCTTCATCCCGGAGAGCGTCTCGCCCTTGAAGAAATCGAGGTAGCGTTGGATATAAGTAGTTTTGCCTTCGGGTATGGCCAATGGAAGGTCACCTGACACTTGACGAAACGCGCCCTGGTGATCGAAGATAGACTCTGTGTACGGTTGGTCAAGAAGTTCCTCACGAGTGATCTTGACCGCTTCATTGATTGGCAGCTCGTTCTTCTTCAAGAGCTCACCCTTGGAGGTGTTGAGTTTGTACCCATTGCGGTCAAAAGGGATATGGCTGCCAGTGACCATGATGCTTCCCTTACCATGCTTTAAAGCATAGTATGTAAGAGCAGGGGTTGGGATCGCGCCAAGATTGATAGGTAGCATATCACTGTCCCTTAAAGCTTGTTCCACAGCCTGACAAAGTGCGCCCCGCTGGTTCTCAACGTAAGCCGTCGAGCTCGGGCGAAGGTCATGAGCATAGTAGAAGTCGTCACCAGCTTGAATTCCGCCATCGCTGAGAGGCAGAGATTTCAGATAACGGATTTCGGCGACGACATTGGTATATATCTCGAGCTGGGTCAAATGTATTACTTCGCCCCGGCGACCACTTGTGCCGAATTTCAAGGGCTGAGGTTGGTAGCTGAGTCGCGTGCGGAGGGTATCAGTACTAGACATATTCGTGGAAGTTCAAGTGCTGCTGTCACTCCGGTAGATGATACAACCGTTATAGTCGATACCACAGCTACTTGATTGTGACAGTAAAATTGGAAGCCAGTGACAGACGTCAAGGATTGGATGAGGCCTCGGCGGGATAGGTGTGAAGAATAGTATGATCCGTCCGCTGATAGAACTCCTTGTTAACAATGATAGATGGAAAGTTGATATCCGAATTATTGAGAGAATAATTAAGCGGGGACTTTGCCGATGGTATTGAGTGTTCAGAACAAGTTGCAGTATCAGAAGATCCTTCCACCTTGTGGAGTAGAGATTGAGAGGCCAGGCTGTTCATCGTCCTCATTGGGAAATCAACCCGCTCAGGGGTGCCGCACAAGTTATTCCGACTACGGGTGGAGTATTGGCCAAGCCACTCATAAATAATCTATAGCTGCCTTTGTGGCTTTGCCTGAGATGCCCGCACCTATTGTGACCATTGCGTTTTCACTGCATTCGTTGATTGAGTTTCTAGTGCACTGCGAACTTAGACCGAGCACGAAGCTTCTTACCGAAGATGTAGATGGCCGTAGTTCCAAAAATCCCGGCACAACTCAAGCCACCAAGAAGGGATACGCCCCGATGAACACCCAGGTTAATGAAGAGTGGTCTCGCAAAGACGACTGCCCCGCCAGCAATACCCGACCTCCATATCGAGTTTCCTGCGAAGAGAGACGCCGCGTACTGAGGATACGAGAAGGGGATGTAGATAAAGAGCGACTGCATCGTGAAGTAGTGACCGATCGTAAAGATACCCACGCCAAGAAGCGGTACAGACCAGTGGATATTCGAGTCGGAAGTCCAAGTGAACGTAAATAGTCCGACCGGTAGTAGGAATGAACCCACAATTGCAGGGACGAGGCGGTGTTCTTGCTCTCGCAGGCCGTTTTTGATGTTGTCGGGCACCATATAGAAGTAGAGATACGATGAATAAGCCATAATAGCGACGGTGACACCAATTAAGCATGAAACGAATGCTAAACCGGTTTGACCAAGATCGAAGCCGTAGAACGGCGGGAAGACCAGCGGAAAGACTTCGAAGAAGGTGTAGAAAACGCCGTAGAAGTAGCCGGTGTACAAATTGACGAAGAATATTGAAGGATCCTTAAACATAATCTCCATCGGTCGGATCAGTGCATCGGTGAGTATTTTTGAGGCCTTCATGTGGCGTTGATCGATCTCGCTCTGAGACTGTAGCCTTGTATCGCCTGTTAAATTGCGCAATCGGCGTGCTCGTCGTAGCAGGATGTTCTGCGATGATGTCTCCGGCATAAGAACCAGGAGAATCACTAGGACTGGTGATGCCATCCAAACAACCTCCCACATTGGCCATCTCCAACCTTTGGCCATGGCAGCGAAGCCGCCGATAATCGGGCCAATGGCTGGCCCGCCCCAGGCTGAGAATACCCACCACAGCAAGCCGTAGGGGATGTAGATCAAGGTAAACATGTCGCCTATTGTCGCGCCTCCATTGGCTAAGGCAGGACTTCCGAAGAAACCCAGCCAGAATCGCAAAACTAGAAGTCCGCCGAAGCTATTTACCACAGGAGGTCCGAAAGACAGTGCCCAGAAAACAAGGAACGTCAGCCAGTAAACCGGGTTCCTTCCGATGATCGGGATTTCGGTCAATGGAGAGAATAACAGATCTCCGATGCCGTATGCTAGTACATAGAGCCCGAGCCCGAGTGAGGTTGCAACTGGACTGACTCCGAAATGTAGAACCAGCCCAGGCTCCGAAGCAGCGAAGATGGGACCGGCGCAATAGACTGTGAATGTGTAAAGAGCGAGAATGAAGACGACGGAGCATTTCTTGAAAGTCGACCAGTTCTGTGGATTTGCTGGGTCGTCGGTGGTGTACCAATCCACGAGAATTAGGTTGTCAGCCGTTGTCTGGGGAACAATTGGGATTGAATTGGTCCGCTCAATAGCAATTGTCATCTCAGCTCGCAATCGTTCGTTACTGTAGGGTGCGGTGTGGGTGGTGCTTGCGGTTATAGTCCTTCCCAACATCTCCATATCGCGGTCTTCATGTTCGTGTGGTCGTGGTCGAGAAGTGAGATCGTTGGCTAGTACAGCTGTATGCTCATTTTCAGACTCTGAACCCTCCTTATCTTTGAATCCGGGCTCCTTGTCAGCCTTGAGCAGCGCGATGTACTGTGGCGGCAGCTCGAAGCCAGGTTCCTCTTCGGGGTAGCTGAACAACTTCCCTCGAGAGAGGAAACGGAACATCTGCCCCAGAGGGGCCTCTCTGATCATTTCGCGCATATCTTTTCTCAGTTCACAACAAAACCTGGCAACGGGGCCAATTTTCTGCTTCAGGTGGTGCGATGGTGCGATGGTGTTGGATGCTGCCACACGAGAGCAGTCAAGTGACTTCCTTATCAGTAGAAGTAGAGAAGATAGAATGCTTTGGTCTCGAGAAAGGATCTGGTTGTTGTTGAGACGAAGAGTTATCCGTAAAGCTTCATTGAAGACCTGTTCACTTATTAAATAAGTCTACAAGCTGATTCATTCCGGGTTAAGTTACCAATTCGGGTCCTTTCGAACTCAACGCACCTCATGACTAAGCCTTGCACGTAATATGTCATCTATAAGTCAGTAGGAAGCCAGGAAGATGAGTCCTGCACAGCACTGTTGAAGGGGGAATACCGATGTAGCGGGACACAATAGCAGATGAAGAACGACAAAGCGCAAAGGTGTGTAGTAAAACGATACGACCCATCGTTGATAATCAGCCTGGTTGGGTATCCACCAAGGTGTCAACTAGAATATCCGAGGATTGTGTCGAAGTCGAGGGCCACATTACGATATCCTCTTGCGGTCGAAAAATCTGAATGACAGGGTTTTCGAGATCGAGCGATATTGAAACTGGAGGAACATGCGGGTGCGGACCAGGGTGTAGGGCTAAGCCGCGGACCAGGGTAAGCAGTAGGGTGCGGACCAGGATGTCTTTGTGCTTATCATCCACGCTAAATAGCTTGACAAGTAGGCAATAAGCCAATGGTGAAGCTAGGCGAGCGGGATTGTGGTTAGAGGACAGCGGTAAGAGGTGGAGAGATATCTCGGCTCAGTCTGGTGTTCGGCACATATCCACCGATCCAAAGCCAGTTTTCTTGAGTCTACATGTTTGACCCAATTCACTCCTTCTCACCACCTCTTCAACCTTCGTTACCCTTCGCTTGCCTCTCTAGGCTTTCATTGCCGTTGGCAGCATACGTAGCGACTCATTTCTAATAGACTTTCGTCATGACAGATAACCATTCTATTCCAGACTTTGCGAACCTTCTGTTGTGAGACCCATATTACACGTACATCCGGGTCACTTGAATGAGCCTCGCGCAACCATCCCATTCCTGTTTCGAACCCTCCAACCCTACTGTTCACTGAGAACTTCACAACCAGTCGGTACCTCTGCAGGCTGTGGCACCAATAATCAGAAACGGGTTTGCGGACAAGGCATTATTGTCCGCCCATCCTCCGCCTGGCGCGATGAATGCCTGTGCTTCTTGCAAGTATGGGAAGCGGAAATGTAACAAAGCTCGACCATCATGCTCCAATTGTCTTCGGTGCGTTCTCAGGTCTAAACGAGCTGGAGGTTCCCTGCAGAGGTTTTTTTTTGGACTAATTCCGAGCCAGCCTGAGGAGAACCTGCATTTACACGGAAGATTTCGTCCAGTCGCATTTTACTACTCCCCTGACTAGTAGTCATCCTCAGTCTTTGCTGCGCAGTCCTCCCTCTTCTGCACCATTGTCCCAAATCAGCCTTGCCAACCAAGAAAACCCACGGCAGTCCATGTTAGCTCTGGCGATGCAAATAATTGGCTCGCTCGAAGTAAGGTATCCTCCTCATCAAATCTGGCCCCATTTAATTCTTCCTTGACGGCGGAACCCCCGGCTGTACTGTTTTCCTATATGTCTCTGTGACTGGCGAGTCGCTAGGCTGTATCAACGCTGGCTCTGACATGCATCCAGACCATGCAAGCAATCTCGGCCAATTTCTTCACTGGCACTCACCAGCGAATCTCTGCACTATCCAAAATCAGATTCTACCGAAATTTCCCATCCCTGAGCACCTTACCAGCTGCAGACTTCGCAACACTATGCCTAAGTATTCTTCTTGTTCAGCAGCTGCCCTCAGGGAAGGCAACGCAAGTGCAATCGTCGCTCTACTCTAGCGTCAAGAATTTCATCACCATCCTAGAAGCTTCGGGTGAAATTTCTCTTGATCTTGCGCATAGCAGAGTCTTGGTTGCCTTCTACGAGATGGGCCACGGTCTTCACACTGCAGCGTATGTGTCGGTGGCAGCGACTGCGCGATTAGCCCGTTCTCTTGGTCTTCACAGAAAGCCGTGGCGCTCCCTGAACCCCGAATCTGACAATCTATTATCGGAAGAGCAGAAGCGGACATGGTGGGCTATAAGTAACATGGACAGATTTATCAATCTATGCTCCGGAGATGCCTTGTTCGTAACTGGTGACTCGGAGCAATCGGATCCTCTACCGATCGAAGACTTATTGTGGGCAGAGGGCTCAGATCTGGCTGATCTCAGCAGGTCCGTCACTACACCTCCAACCCTCGACACACCATTCAACACCAGGGTAGGCCAGATGGCCCGGGAGTGCCAAATATCTCATCTCGCGGGACGGGTGATTCGCCACGTTTTTGAGCCAATTTCAGATCGTGACTTCAATATGGAAGAAGGGCTCCAGCTCGAACGCACCTTGACAGCCTATCTACCTCTTCTTGCCAATGAAGAGCTCGAGATAGGCAAGTATTGCGGAGCATTTGGGGTATGCAATAGGTTTGTGCATTGCGTAGCATTCCGAAAGCAAATCAGTAACGCATCTGACCCTCTCAGCGCTCTTTTCATCCTCTACGAATCCATGCTAAGCCGCTATGACGGTGACTCTTCCGACAGAAACCGAGTCCTGCAAGCAATCAAAGAAACGTCATGGCGCGCTCTCAAATTTGCTGAAGCAACTCACGCAGATCGATTCGAGAACTATCCTATCGAAACACAGTCACCGTATCTCATTTATTCTCTATACCAAGCGGCAGTCGTACAATATCGGCTGTGGGTACAGGAATGTGATCCCGTCTACCAACGAAACCTTGAATCCCTCAAAGACATACTGAACGCTTTCACCAAAAGATGGATGATAACATGTGAGTCAATCAGCGCCCAAGAGATTAGCTCAAGTTGTGGTGATCTTGTTACCTGACCGCTACAGACCAATATCTCGAAATTCTCGATGGACTTGATGAAAGCTGGCCGCCCATCGCGCTACCTTTCCAAGGGCTTTTCATCAGTTCAGGAAGACCAAGAGTTTCATCTTGAGGTGGCATCCGCCTTGCGCATGCATTCAACTGGGTCAATATTATCCTATTGCGCACCAAACGCGCCGCATCTAGGGCATTATATATATACATCCGAGCCACTGATGTGATGATCTACCTTGGGCAGAGTCAGTCTTCTTCCGTTTCTCACACACGGCCACGTAAACTAGTGACTCTAAATACTCACCTGTTTGGTACCTTCATTAACCCGGTTCGGGTCTCCCCTGGATATATTCGTGCGACTAATGAATCAAGCCATGCGCAAAATAACCGGTCTGGTCATTCCATTTTGGTATACACACATACACTATGCGGACCAGGGTTCCTTCCTTTTGCTCTCAATAAACCATTGACTTGTCAACAGCTGCTGACATCCCCTGCAGCACTTCAACATTTGTCGTCAGCACGGTTTGTCATTCGGCTGTGAAAACAACCTTCCTCCAAATATAGTTTGTGATCTAATGGCGGTGCCAACCTCCCTACCAGAACATTGCTCCGTCGAATGAATAGATTGGAATTTGTGGTGGTGGGTTATGCGTACACGCCATTACTTCTCGGCTCCTAATCATGTTTCAAAACGGATTGAGTTGCGGCAGCAAAAAATGCATTTGTCACCACGGTGATGGGCGGTTGTGCACCCGTCCATCTTCGTTCATGGCGTGACGATGTGATCCGTGTGGACGCCCAGAAGCTGGCAGAGAAATCCAGAAGGATAAAAGACTAAGCAACCGACACCGATTACACTGGTATCGACATCAGCGCTTCGATCGCCTGTGTTGATTGATCCATAATCGATTAACAGCATCTTCAACAGCCGACAATGCGTCCTCCTTACCCCGCCCCTGTCACCGAGTGGCATAACGATACCTACGACGCCATATCTCCAACGCGACCAGAACTATCTCAGGCTGGCAAAGTTGTTGTTGTCACAGGCGCTGGCTCGGGCATCGGGCGAGAAGTCGTTGCAGCTTTTGCTCAGGCCGGGGCCAGTACCATCCATATCCTCGGCCGCACCACATCGACGCTTGAAGAGACGAAACAGATTGTTAAAAAGCAGAATCCCAAAACTACCGTTGTAGTCCATGTTGCAGACATCGTGGATCAGGTAGCTATGACGGTCGCTGCCGACAATATCGGCTCTTGGGATGTCATCGTTGCAAATGCTGGATACATTCCCAGCCCGGAGACTATCCAGAACGGCAATGCGGACGAGTGGTGGAAAACGTTTGAGGTACACGTTCCATTGCTTTTCCAAGTCACAAGGCTGTATTACTAACACGACCATCTCCTAGATCAACGTGAGGGGCAATTACATCCTAGCTCGCACTTTGCTACCGCACAAAAAGAGCGGTGGCACAATCGTGGCCTACTCAAGTGGCTTTGGATTCCTCCCCCCAGGACTCCCATTCCTTGCGAAGAACTCAGCATACTCGACATCGAAGATGGGAACAGCTCGCTTTTACGAGTTCTTGGCCGTGGAACATCCAGATCTGAATGTCTTTATCGTGCAGCCTGGGGTCATTAAAACTGCTCTGTACGAGAAAGGCGAATTGCATCTTGACAATACCATAGACACTAGTAAGTCCCTTAAGTTCTTCAAAGTAGCCATTCTCCGTTTCGGCAAGCTAACGTTGTCACGGTTCAACTTCCCGCCCATTTCACTCTGTGGCTGACGACCCTGGAAGCAAAGCCACTCTCTGGCCGCATTCTATTTGCGAACTGGGACGTTGAGCAGTTGAAATCTATGGTAATACCCCGACTTCAGACCAATCCAGTATATCTGACAACCACTCTGGGAGGGTTTCCATTTATTGGTTGAATACTTCCTGGATATCATTCTATAGCTATCTCAACATAGTCATCTCCAATGTCAAGAATATAGAGACATGCTCGACTTGACTTGCTGTATAGAAGGTTTTACGTAGAGTTCGAGCCAGTGACCAAATTTGATTTCCAACCTAGAGCGCATCACTTTGTCAGGATATGGTAACCCTGTCTCTGTATGATGATTGATCAACTTTCTGGACGAAATTTGATCCTTTGTCAAGAATATGACCGGTAAGACTTCCAAGGTGGGAGATAGACCCTCGCTGCTCGTGTGATATGCCCTCGTACCACTTTCCCCGGTTACGGCGCCAACAATCACCTCGGGAATAGTTTATTGAATGGCTATATGGATGGGTGGTGGATTGGTCAGCATCGAGGCTTCGAAGTATGGGAACTTCAGAGGCAGTCGAGTGCTGCAAGCTCGCCTTCACTTCGCTTGTGACTCTGATTAATGAATCAAGCGGACTAGCCAGAAATCGCGGGGCACTAGTTGCTACCCTTGTCCGCCTCGCGTCCGCACTGTCCAATGGCAATGCTCCGGGGTACCTGAGGTTTCTCCTCGGCGAGGATGTTACATCATATCTCTTACAAATCTGGCATACAAGTAAAGAACTAATCGACTCCCCCTATTCCTCGCTGAGTGCATATCGCCTTTTCGGGTGTATGACAACAGACAATATTCTACCCAATGCACGACCCTGAAATTCTGGCAGTGGCGGTGGCGCGTTTCAGTAGTATATATGGCAAACCTTGGCAGGTGTGCTCTTTGAAGATTCGAGCGCTCAGAGGTATCATAGAACATCTTATATTCAGAAATCAACGATATTGTTATGGCCGGACAGGAAGCTGAGAGAGCTCAACACCCACATATAGCACCAACGCAGACTGGAGCAGGGCAATGCTCTGGTGTCCCCCCAACCGCTACTACTCAAGCTCCTACTCCAGCATCGACGTTTCTCAAAGAAGCACAAGTAGCGACACCACCGCCTCCAAATGGGGGTCTTAAGGCATGGACCCAAGTGCTGGGTGCACACTTTCTCTTTTTCAATTCATGGTGAGTCAATCGAATCCCAGTGCACATAGGGATTGAGGTCGTGCCCATCGAGTTCGTCAACTTACATTTGATTTCTAGGGGCATTGTAAACGCCTTCGGCGTTTATCAAACCTACTACCAAACCGCCATCCTAGCCGACTACAATGCGTCCGATATCTCCTGGATTGGCACATTTCAGGCATTCCTGCTGGTATCTTTCAGTTTGGTGGCAGGACCGATCTTCGATCGAGGCTATTTCCGCATCCTGCTCATCGTTGGCATGTTCCTTACCGTCTTTGGCATTATGATGAACAGCATCTCGAATAGATATTGGCAGGTATTTCTCTCACAGGGTTTGTGCGTCGGTCTGGGCACAGGGTGTCTGTTCCTGCCCAGCGTGGCAATCGTGGCCACATACTTCACAACAAAACGGGCACTGGCCATTGGTTTCGTCGCATCAGGAGGAAGCATCGGCAGCCTGATTTATCCGATCGTCTTCCACTGCCTGGAACCTCGTATCGGCTTCCCATGGGCGACAAGAGTGCTCGGATTCATTGCCTTGGGAACTCTTACCGTTAGCATTCTTGTGCTAAGGACACGGCTACCTGCACCAACTAAGATGCGGGCGATACTCGACCCCCAAGCCTTCAAGAATGTTCCTTTTATTCTCTTCAGCAACGGTCTCTTCCTCGCGTTCGCAGGCCTATACGTCCCGATATTCTACATCATCTTCTTCGCCGAGGTCCGCGTCCACGTGAACACAGATCTCTCCTTCTATATGCTTCCCATCCTCAATGCTGCATCAGTCTTCGGTCGAATTATCCCTGGCTTATTGGCTGACAAGTATGGCTCACTTGAACTCCTCGTGGTCTGCACTATCGCGTCAGCCATTATCGGATATGTCGGGATAGTCATCAAGTCTCTCGGCAGCTTGATTGTCTACTCAATCATATATGGCTTCCTCTCTGGCGCGGTTGTCTCGCTGCCCTCAGCTGTGGTTGCTACGCTGGCACCAAGTATGCAGCTGATAGGAACATGGATGGGAATGTCTTTCTTTTTCGCGGCCCTGGGGATTCTTATTGGAAATCCAATAGCAGGGAGCATCATCGATGTGGAGAAGAATCATTTCGGAGGCGGGTTCGTATTCTCGGGGACTCTAGTCACGGCAGCGGCCGTGTTATTTGTGCTAACGAAGGGATGGAAGCACGCTCAGAAGTGGAGAGAGATGAAGTACTCAGAGGAGGCTGCCATACTCAAATCTGACAGCTAACGAGCTGTGGATCAAAATGTCTTTGGGTTGCGGTTGCTGTCGTTGCTCGATGTGTCTCTGGATTTCGCTCGCTTCTGGCCATCACTCCTGCTGAGCTTTCAAAGTTTGATAGCAACACGGACGTGATATTGGACGTAGCATCAGAATCAATCCATAGGTACTGCGATATATTGTCTTTTGTTCATCAGACCAAGATACCTAACAGGCTACGAGGATCCGGAAACCATGTCCTCTATAAATGTTCACTCAAATTCCACTACCTCCTTTTCAGCATCCGTCCGCATCTTCTGCCCCAGATTGAAATACTGGGAACAAATAGGAACTGAATGTTCCCAGGCGTAACATCTTGCACAGGGTTTGTGTGTCATTTTCTTACTTCTTGCGGCCCTCGGAAACCATATCCTGTCCCTATTTAAAATATGACATTATATGACCCACGCCAACCATTACTCACCTACAGTTGTGCCCGCTCCTGCCTCGCTGTCGAGAGAGGCGCAGATTTCGTGCTTCCTCTTGGCTGTGATTAGCTCTTCGTTGCTCTCTATCAGTTTTGCTCTCTATCAGTTGCCACCCATGGCTCGGGATTAACTCATTCTCTCATGCACAATGAGTAGGCGAGCTTCAGGTCCGTACAGGCTATATTACATTATATATTTTGGCTATAACCATACAGACCAGTACCATGAGGCCAAATATAGTGCAAATAACTATCGAAATCGTCGCTGCAAAGACTTTCCGGAGTTAGGTTACTGTTGTTGTACTACTTCTCGTCGACCGTATCTCCAGCTTCTTCGGCTTTCGCCTTGGCGTTGTCTCCTCCTTGGTACTCTCATTCTGCTTCACGCCTGTCTGGGATTGCTGGTCGGACTGTGTGGAATGCTTAGACCTAATTTCCAACTTCGGAGGCTTCCTTCGTGGTTTCTCCTCAATCTTTTCCTTGCTCTCTTCTCTCCCTGAATCCGATGCTGCTGTGCTTGCTGCCGCCTGGTTGACTTCCGACATATTTTTTTGGTTTACCTCCTGTTCCAAGGCCTCGACCACCTTTTCAGGATCAGCGTCCTCAAACTTTTCCTCTTTCTCACCTAGCTTTATCCATGGCCCATGTATAGCACCAACGCCGCTTCCAATCAACATACCCAATCCGGTGGTTGGAACTGCTGCGATAGCACCTAGTACCGTGCCCACGCCGGCGCCAATACCCAGTCCAGTAGCGGCACCGATTCCTCCTCCAAACCCGAAGCCTTGCCATGTACCACTTTGCATTCGTCTTGCCATCTTGCTATGTCCATGAGCTTCCACTTCCTTGTCAAACGCCTCCTTCAGTAGTTTCTCGCGTTGTTTGGAATCAGTAAGCGCCATTGCCCTAGATTTCAGGTCGTTGGCTGTGGACTGAGCTTTTTGAGCCTTCTGAAGACTCTCGATGGTTTTGACCATTTCATCTCTGCTCGTCACTTTGACATCGCCATTATTCGGTGTAGCATCGTCGCTGCCACTCTCATTCTTGCCGCCGACAAGCATAGATTTCATTACATCCATCGTCGATGTGGAGGGGCACCAGCGCAGAACGGTTGTGGATTTACTGCTCGATTTGGTCCTAATGTTCAAGACATGTCGTACAGAGCTCCCGTCGACTGGCAGGGTCTGTTTATAATTGAAATGATCGTGAAGAACACAGGGGATGAAAGTTGGCACCTTGCTGGGCGTTGTACGAGATGTGGTTGTCGACGTCATTGTTACTCTCAACCCTTGGCTGTGCCTGGTAACGGCTACCGAATCAACGCTCAGAACCCTGGGCATTACGTCAGAGGCAGCTTTAATGGCATTTTGATTGTCACCCGGCAAAGATGGAGCTTTCATTGAAACTCCTCGACCTTCTATCAAACATACCGCCATATTCGTGGCAGAATCAATTTTATTTTCAAGTAGATTTTAATGCTGGCGAGAGGTCATCCATGCCAACATATTCGTTGTCGTAGAGGCAGGAGTAAACTTGGACACCCTTTTAAAATCGCGCTGGGCAAAACAGCAGCAACAGCCGCCGAATCTAATGGAAAAATATAGTAAAATACCGAGCCAACAGGATGACGAACATCAAGAGCTTGGAGACGAGGGGATCTTTGCTCATATTCGCTCATATGTCATGATTGGCAACGGCGCTACATAGGCACTGCTCACAGCCTGAAGATCACAAAATATCACAATCATCACCACGAACCACTAGTCGAGCATGACTCCTTCTCAACGTTTGCGTCGAAAATAGTATTACTTTCGGGACGACCGCCCACTACTGGGCATTATCCATCAAGATGCCAGCCAAAGAAGGGGATCTGGAAAGCGGTCTCGATGAGATTCTCCCAAACAACATCCCAAGCGAGAGCCGTGAGTCCAACTTGGTTAAACACACCAGCTTATCATGCATGCATGATATGGAGTCCTGTCCGCAATCGTTCCATGCGGGGCCTGATGGGCTCGGATAACCTGGCCACGTTGGTGAAAATGATGGCACTGGAGTTGACATGATTCACGAGTCAGCACTCAGCCATGACTTGGAGAAGGCGTGGAGTAGTAGTAGTGCTGATCCGATCCGATGCGGAATACCTGTGGTGGTCAGCTTGGAGCAGCGAGTCAACTGAAGCTTGCCCTCTCAGAGGAGACTCACGTTGGACTTCCTTTGACCTCTTTGCCGATAAGTGAATTTGCCTTCTCTGCGTCGTGGTCGCACATTGTGATAGCTCCCACCTCAAATAAGCGACTATTCATTGTGCACAGTAACCGATCCGTTCGGAGACTTCTTCTCCTCGTCGGCTTTGAAATACCATGAAATTTGCTGGTCATTCTGCACTGTGTTTGGAACGGGGAGATCTGACTCGACCATCCTTTTCCGCAACGTAGCCAAGAATTGCGACTCAGTCCCTCCAATGTCAACAAGCACTCTCTCTAGAAGATGGAGTGCCTGCCTTGAGTCCATCAGCAGGTCTCGCGTCCCAGTGGATCGAGGTGCGCAGAGGAGGACGTCCAACAAAGAGTCTGCGATGCGGAATACTTTTAGTTCCTGCAAGACGTTAAATTCTGAGGAAAAATGACTTTCGAGACCACTAACCATGCCATATCCATGAGGCTGAATTGATTTCCAAGACGCGCTCTCAAGCACGGAGAGCATATCGCGCGCAATCGTCGTTGGGAGTAGTGCTGAGAAGGCCTGATCCTGGGCATGACATGATACCACAAAGTGGGCTATTGTGTACTGCCACAACATTATACGGATCCAATTCCGGGTGGCTAATATGTCCACCCTCTGTGACTCGTCCAGATCTTCGGTAAGTGGATGACGGCTGAGATCATGCTGCAGGACCGATATTTTGTCCTTCGGACTGCGTGGAATTGCAGGAGTCATTGACGAGGGGATGGATTCGAGGATATCGCCATCAAGAAAGGTGAATAATCGTATCAGAGCAATAAACGCTGGCAGGGGAGCGCCGTCATATCCTTTAATGGGATCGACACTAGGAAACTCGTTGATCGGCTTCAATGTAGTTGGCAGGCCATTCTGGACGCAATATGTTCTACATCTTTGTCAGTCGTGAAGCTTATGAAGCGCATTGCACTCACCTTTCGGAAATAAACAAGATCCAGTACACGCGCAATCTCAATTGGCGTTCTCGGAAGTCTAAGCCAGCATAACTGTTAAGCTGATGTAACTTGAGGCCATGGGCATATGTTAGGGTTTCTCGAAGATAGAATCCGGCCGTGCGGAGTTTGTCAGCATTTGCAAAATAGATATGGAGGAAGAACGAAGTCAGAAGAGACGACATCGAGTACTGTTCTTGATACTCAAAAAGCCGTCTGAGCCTCTGAGCTTCCGCCACCAACTCAGAGGAAGAGTAAGTGAGAGATCCAATATGCTCGGGCAGCCGTAGTTGAGCAATGACAGCTGCGCACAGAGCTGCAGCAAGTGAGTACGACTCGTAGTCGCTTCGATTGTTCCTTAAGGCGGTGACAAGTTCGTCATATGAGACGACCGGCCACACTGAGTATAAGCGAACACGGTAAACCTCCAGAAAGCGGTGATAAATATGCATAGGAATGCCAGAGGGGCGTGTTGGTGAAATACGATGTTCGACTGCGGACTCCAGTGCAGATTCTTCAGGCGGAGTGGGAAGGGATTGCTGATCGCCACTTGCTTTCAACATCCTTTGGAATTCCTCGATTTTCATGTTGGTGCCTGGTCTGGGACCTTTTGGACCTCTTTTCCTGCGTACCCGCAGGAACGTGCATGATACAGATCGATGCTTGCACTCAAAACATGGTGACCCTCCCGAGCATCGCACGCGTCTCAGAGCGCACCCGTCGCAAGGCTGCGACGTCCGCATCTCTGGAGTGGACTCAGAGGACCTGGGAGTTGAACTGAACGTATCTTGAACACGCGGGACGCCGACCTCCAGACTGGGTTGTCATCAGTAGGACAGCGTTTCGTCGCTGAAGCAGGGTTGACAATTCGATCGATCCACCGATTCGGCGTCGAAGAAGTACTTCCGCTTGAGATCGAGATACCAGTCATTCAATGTTAAGAACATGAAGTTACTCGTTGTTGTGTAGGTGCTTTGTCTAGCAATATTAACTGGAAGGTCAGCTGATTAGTCACTTGAGCGGAGAAAAGGGAATTCCCGGATAGAGTTTCCTTATACCATTTGGTTTGGACGCAAACCGCAACGCAAACGGCAAGGAAAGGCGAAGTCTTGTTCGTGAGCTGAGATCTCGTAAACCCGCCTTGGCAATCAGCGCAGGCGTTCTCAAATGTCACTGTCGGTGCCATTGCACCACATCTTGTCAAAGGCCTCAGGTCTTTTACGCAAAAGCAAGCGACCCTCTACCAGGTCGCAGAGGATAAAAAAGCCTCCATTCCTCCTTTTCTGGACAGCTTTTCCCATGACATGGCCTCCATCGTCTTACGACGAGACTCGGACAATTCATCCCTATAAAACCACTTTGGAATATCGTCCGCGTCCCAGACGGACCACTACGCTCAAGCAGTTCCAGCGACCTCCTCGCTTGTCACAACAAGATCATGTCGCTCTCTTTGGCATTGACTTTCGAAGAACAGCTGACACACCTGTCGACCTCTGCTGGTTGTGCGTTCGACGAGGCCAGCCGGAATACTCCAGGCACTCGGATCCAGCTCGCTTCAACCTTACCATCGCTTCCAGCACTCATTGACGTTTGTTCAAGAGCATCAGGGGTACTCTTGAGTAGCGGTCCTAAGGAACAACTGGCACTGGCTTGCTTTCATAGCAGAAACTGTCTTATCAGTTACCGCGCCACACATCAGGGGGTAAATACGCCGGGCTCTTTGATCCGTACAATCCGGTGCATATCAGAACTCGAGATCAAGGTACCGAAATCGATGAAGGAGAGCAAACAGAGTCTGTGGTGGTGGGACGTGAGCCCTAGAAGCTAAAACTTCCGTTTTGAAATAACGTTCTTGAAAGACAATGGCGAAGGATCGAGTCAGCGAGCGAACAATTTCAAAGGGAATGAAGACCGCAAACTGCGGTAGTGTAACGAGATGTCCTTGGCTGCGTTTCTCCTCGTCGCTGCGTCTCCCCCACCATGAGATAAATGTTAAAGAGTACCTACGTGCGCAGTGTGAGCACTCAGCCTTTCTGTTCCCACTACCCTCGTCTTGACATAGGAGGACAGAGAGACACCAGAGGGTCCTTTGTGCAATAACCAAGTTTTTGAAATTTATGATTGAGCACAGCAACGAGGGCAGGGTCAGACGTGATTCAGAAACATTCCGGGCCGATGTGCTCCCCAGTCATTGAAATGGATGAGTCTCGAGAAACGAAAAATCATCTGTCGAGGGTTTTTGGCTGCACGATCTTTTTGACGCTTCAGTTTTCCTCCAAGATACCCTTGTTTCGCCGAGGACAGGCGGTCCTGAAAGAGAAGCGTGGTTCGTGAGGATTCAATGAAGTAGATTTCACCAAGTCTCGCAAGAAGCACGCAGACAGCGCACAAGCGTAGCTCTGCCAAAAGTAGTGCCATGCATGACGAAAACTTGTCTGCATCGCGCAGAGAGTTCATCATATTTGAATATTTTGCGTCACGCACATTCCTTCGTCGTTGACCATAATTTCCAGTGTACAGAGTGAGAATGACGGACGTTCAGAAATGCCATATTTGCAGACATAAAGACACCATGGGGGTAGTCCGTCAATATCGTTCTCGGTCAAGGGCGTGTATCTGGCGATTCGTAAATATTTGCCCGCGAGCGCTCACACACACCCTTACTGACCCCAGCTTGTCGGAAAACCACTCCGTACGGATTGAGAGATCGAGGCTAAAAACAACGGAAAACCTCAGCTTGGGAGTGCCCGCCCACTAACCACGATGCTTCGATTTCTCTCGCTGCGTTACTCCCGAGCTATGCGGGGACGAGACAGAACCGCGTCGAGGGCGGGTTCGAGAAGGAGAACGAGCGATGGAGATGGGAGATTGGCGGTGGGGAAGGCGACAAAGTCCTTTGATCGCGGTTCGGCTAGGCGTCGCTCCCCCAAAACTTAACGATCACAGCAAACGGCCCTATTGCGCAGACTTACGCAAAGACAAACTGATGTCGGGATGGCTGGGCTCCCAACAGGCTTCGTTTGAATGATACCACTTGTCAGGATCAATTGTGCTGTGGCTACCCACTGCCTTTCGAGGTTGCTGCCTGGGAACATTGTTGTGCATGGCATGCCTCTCCTTCTCATTGATTGCCTCGAGCTTCACCTCTAATTTAACCAGCCGTCGAAAGCGGAGAAGAATGGGCATTGTGAGGTGGACCGCTGGTGGGGTTATTTTTGTTATTCTTAGGTAACTCGAAAGAATGAGACGCCAGGGGCGGCAGCTCAGTGCCTGGGGCGTAAATTGGGTACTCACGAGATGCTGATGGCTCGGAGCTTGGGGCTGAAAGGCTGCAATTTGTCGAAAGCCAAAATACATCAAGCAAATGAAGGCGCATCTTGTTTCCTGGCGTTATAACAGCTACAAGTACCAGCACAGAATACAAAGGGCGTTCATATGTGCATCTCTGTATGTACTCGGTATTGAAGTTCAGCTCATGCTATCAACCGTCACGAAATACAGGCAAACGAGGGGGCAAACTCTTTCTTCCAGAAATGAAGCATGGTCGATGTTTTGGCATCCTATTTCATACAATAAATTGGTGGGAGGGAAGGATGAATTCAACACAAGCGAATGTAGGGGTATCGGCCCCAATAATAATAATATCTCATTACCTCCGCGTTAGCAGTCAGCGTTCTGGCCTGAAACGAATTTTGTAGGGAGAACAAAAGGAATGAATTATTTTGTCGTGACAAAGGGATGAATGGAGGAGCCTAACAGAGTAATCCGCCTTGTCAATCAATAACATCCATATTGAGTGGTCCAGCTTTCAACCCAATTCCTAACATGGCCAATATACAGCTTGAGAGCAGAAAAGAAGGTTGGAGGAAGCTTTCTCGTGCAACAAACCCCCAACATTGTAAATGTAGCCCGAGGTGTTGGAACGGTTGTCCTCGTGGTCGAAGAGTTTGACACCAGCGTTGCTCGTACTGGGACCGAAAAGCTACGCACCACAACGGCAGCCGAGACGGTGAGGATCTACATGGCATGCATCACTTCGACGTTGTAGCACGTGTTACTGCGCCTTTCTCGGCCTCGTAAAAACGGTTGCTCGACATTCAGGCCACATATCCGACCACCCATTCCCTCGGGCTCCAAGAAGAGGCCTCGCTCTCAATTTCTCCTGCTCGATCCTCCTGAATCCTGACCTCAGCGTCGCCTCGACCTCCCCTGTTTCGCATCCAGGTCTTTCGTTTCTTCAAACTCCTATAGCTCCACCCCCGAGAAATGGCGCCCTCAAGCAATTGGTGGGCGTCGCACCCCGGCCCAAAGCTCAAAAATTAAACACAGCTTGCAATTTCCACCGGCGCAAACACTGGCGAATTCTGGAGCTTCGCGCAATCCACCCACAATGGCGCCTTGCCGTTTCGGTCGCTAAGCTACCCCTGACACCATGCTTTTCTCGACAACCACCATCCGCCGGTTTGCACAAGCGTCGCCTTATTGTCTTCAACGGCGTAGAAACGCTTGCAACGCTCGCGATCCCCTAGCCGTTTGGCGTGATGTGGCTGATACTTAAGCCCGTATTCAAAGATTGGCATCTCGCTCCAAGCCCCATGGTTGCAAGGTGACCAGAAGATCCTCATCGCTTGCGACCGCTCTTTGCGCCAACAGACATCCAGCTGGCTCCCCACTATACTAAACTGAGACAATTCTGCCCCAGCTCACGATGCCCGATGGCATAGGAGGCAATCATCCTGGCGGCGGGAGCCCACAACCCATGGCTTCGCGGCAGGCCGATCAGGTTGGCCAATCTTCGATGGGAAGGTGAAAAAGACCCAAACGGGGCCAGAGGTAGAGTGATATACAACCCCTACCCGCGCCTCAGTTTGTTTCTCTTCTTCTCCTTCTATCTCGCACGCATCATATTCCTTCAAGTCACTCCTTTGTGCGGGCAAATCTGCCTGCGTCCGTTCGTTCAATTATGCGTTCTTTTCCTCTTTTCTTCACCGCTGCTGCGGCTGGTCTCGCAAGTGCTTCCACCTGGGAGTCCGATGTCACCGTCACGGCCACCTCTACGCGAACTCACACAATCTGCCCGGTAACGCAGGTCCTCACATGCGACGCTTCGGGTCCCACGGATGTGGGAGCGGGTAATGGCTGGCACCCTGGCCATGGAGACAACGGTGCCGAGGATGCCTGGGCCTCACTCTGGGATGCGCAGAAGTCGAAATATGGTATCGGAAGCGACTGGAACACCGCGACCGCTACCGGTGGCCGTCCTGACAATGGATGGGGAAATGGTGGTCATGGTGGCCATGGTTCCACGCCATCCACCACAGAGGGCTCAGGTCCTTCGTCCACTGGAAGCGGTGGTTCTGGTTCAGGACCAAGCAGTTCTGGCTCCGGAGGCTCTGGATCGGGCCCGAGCAGCAGCTACAGCTACAGCTATACCTCGCCGACTACCAGCGGTGGTTATGTCCCGACCTCGTCTTCCACCCCTACCACTACGGCAAGCTCTGGCGCCTGTCCGACTTATACCCCAGTTAAAAACGCTACGGATGACTACTGCAACTCGGCCTCTGATCGCTCTGTCTGGTGCGACAACAAGGATATTAACAGCGATTACTACAGTGACTACCAGACCGGCGTCACTCGTAAATACACGTTGACAATCACCAACACCACATTGGTGTTTGACGGCACGGGTCCTAAGCTCGCTCTTGCGATTAACGGCCAAGTACCTGGCCCCGTGATTGAGGCCAACTGGGGTGATATGGTCGAGGTCACCGTGATCAACCAACTGCAAGACAACAGCACGTCGATTCACTGGCATGGTATCCGTCAGCTCAACACCAACGATCAAGACGGTGTTCCTGGTGTTACCGAATGTGGTATTGCTGGAAACGGTGGCAGCCGCACATACACATGGCTTGCAAGCTCCTACGGCACTTCTTGGTACCACAGCCATACCTTCGCTCAATACGGCGACGGTATCCGTGGTCCCATCGTCATCCACGGCCCTGCAACATCCGACTACGACTACGACATGGGTACAGTTATGATTGATGACACGTGAGTTATTTGCTATTGTTCAGCGAGCTCAGCCACTGATTGTTCGCAGTTTCCCCATCACCGCAGCTGCCATGGCATCTCGTATTGCGCACGTCGGACCGGGTGGCTCCTTCAACACCCTCTTCAACGGCATGAACAAGAATCCTGATGGGACTGCTCCTGGTGGAACTCCTTTCTCGTGGGGTGTCAAGCCTTGCAAGAAGCACTTGTTCCGTATTATCAACAGGTTTGTATTCTCTCGCTAGCACAGGAATTTCGACTAAAACATTTCACAGCTCCGCCCAAAACAGCTACATCGTTGGTTTCGACAATCACACAATGACTGTCATTGCTGCTGATTTTGTACCCATCGTGCCCTACACTACCACAACCCTCAACATTGCGACTGGCCAGCGATTCGATGTGATTGTCCAGATGGACCAAGCACCCAGCAGCTACTATGTTCGTGCAGTCATTCAAACCGGATGCCCCTCAGGTGGTGCCAACTCTGGCCTGGGAACTGCTAATGCAATCATCAACTACGAAAATGCTACTCCAGTCACCCCAGTCATCTCGACCTCCATCACCAATGTCACTGCCAACATCTGCCAAGATGAGCCTCTTGCTTCCCTGGTACCTTACCTTGAGAAGCCTGCTGGCACTGTAACCGCATTCCAGGGCTCCGCATCCACCATCCCTGCTGGCTCCGTGACCTCAGTTGCAACCAATGATGACGGAACTGTCTTCCAATGGTACATCAACAATGCGGTCATCAACGTTAACTACAGCCAACCTACTCTCCAGACTTTGGCTCAGGGTTCAAACAACAGCCTGATCAGCAATCCTGTTGTTCTCAGCCAGGCTAACCAATGGGTCTACTTTGTCATCCAGAACCAGTTCTTTGCGTCTCATCCCATGCACGTCCACGGTCACGATGTCTCCATTCTCGGCACTGGTACTGGCACTTTCACCTCCGACCTCGTGAGCTCTCTCAACTTTGACAACCCAATGCGTCGTGACACAGTCATGCTGCAGGGCTCTCCGGGTCCTGGTTTCCCTGCTGGTTACACCGTCATTGGTTTTGAGACCGACAACCCCGGCGCGTGGCTCATGCACTGCCACATTTCCTGGCACGTTGATGGCGGTCTTGCTCTTCAATTCCTTGAACGACCTGATGACATTCCAGCCAAACAATATGTTGACCAGGCATTCGAAGATGAGTGCTCTGCCCTGGCTGCCTACCAGGATTCCAACCCTCAAGGCGCCAAGTTGACTGGCCAATCCGGTCTGAAGGCCCGTGGATACTCGGATGAGTTGGACATTGAGATCTTCCGCCCCGATGCGAAGATTGACATCAACAAGTACCGCAAGCGATATTCCCACCGTCGCCTTCATTAAGTGGCTAAGATCCAGGTCGAACGGCATTTGCACGCAGCAGCAGCGGTGAAGTAAATAATGGGAGGATTCTGGTAATGCACACTCATGTACCCTAGCATAGTTTTTGCCTATCTTTCGTCATGTCCAATTCTGTTCATTGTAGGAACTGGAGCCCTCTTTCAAATATGGTGATGAGTGCAGCTCCATCGCCGTCCTTTTCAAGCATGATGTCGGGAGTTCTCTGAATACGATGCACAATCTATCCCCCAATTCCGCGTGCTGCAGATTCTTCCGCCAGGGCACATGATCTTCCCGCTGGATCGCATTTGTATACATGTTGCCTCCGTTTCCCCAACTTTTATGCTGTCCCCAATAACCTTGACCCTTTTTCATCTCCATTGTGGTGCCGCTCTCCACCTTACCAACTCTTGTGCTCAGAATGTGGAGGCTCTCCACATTGCATGGGGAAATACGACCAGTCCCACGCGGCCCATCTTCAGATTCCAATGCCTCTGCACTATACATGGGCGCACCAATGAGGGGTTGCTATCAGGAGTGAACATGGGGTCTCAATTTTGGCCTTGAAGACGCTCCAACTCTCATGTTCGCAAGAAGGTCTCCTTCCAAGTATGTTGGCTTCTCGATTGTCCTGGAATCAATGCATCTTTGGACAGCTTGACACGCGGGTTTGGAAGAGGGCTTTGTCACACTTGAAAAAGATGCAAGCATCAATGCATCTTTGGACAGTTTGACACACGGGTTTGGAAGAGGGCTTTGTCACACTTGAAGAAGAGGCAAGCCATCATGGCCGGCAGCCATTTGCTAAGCTCAGTACGGTTCGAGAACGTCTCACTCGTCAAAACCGTGCTGGCCAGCTGTATCGCTTTTCCCATGTTATTCATTATCGGCTTCTACCTATGGGTCACTCCGAGCACACTGAAGGATTCGCGGCGGAAACACCTTCCCCCTGGTCCTCGCGGTCTGCCTTTCTTGGGGAATTTTTTTGAAATGTCAAGGGCTGAAACGTTTCGATTTCAGGCACAAAAGTGGGCTAAACAGTATGGTGAGATTTTTTACACCAAGATGGGAGGAGCTGATTATATCTACCTGTCATCTCCCACGGCTGTCAAAGACTTGATGGACAAGAAGTCTGGCATATACTCCTCACGACCACCCGCGCCGCTTGCTAGCGATGTGGCATCCGCTGGTCGACGACAATTGTTCATGCCATACGGGCCCAAATACCGTGTTGTGCGAAAAATTGCCCATCAGCTCCTCAACATAACTGTTTCCACCAGCTACCAGCCCATTCAAGATCTCGAATCCAAGCAACTAATGTACGATATACTCCACGACCCACAACACTTCTATGATCACAACCGACGCTACTCATCAAGTGTGATTCTGACTGTGGCTTATGGACATCGGATGGCGGATTGGGACAATCCACTGGTGAAGAAGATTTACAGCGTGGTCAACAACCTACAGCAGTTTTCTGCACCGGGTGCTTTCCTAGTCGACACTTGGCCCTCGCTACGATATTTTCCTCAATGGATGTTTGGTAACTGGAGGAAGTTTGGCGAGAAATGTTTCGCCCATGATTCGGTCGTCTATCTCAAGCTTTGGGGAGATCTGAAGAAAGAAGTTGACGAAGGCAAAGCTAAACCAAGCTTTGCGAAGGATTTCTATCTGAGCAACCCGGAGAAACTTGGGCTGGATCAACTCCAAGCAGCCTATCAAACTGGTGGTCTGGTCGAAGCCGGTTCTGAAACAACATCGGCATTCTTGAACTCCTGGATCTTGGCAATGACACTGAATCCTCATATTATGAAAAAGGCTCAGGAAGAGGTCGATCGAGTGGTGGGAGAAGATAGACTGCCTACGTGGGAGGATGAGACAAATCTACCCTATCTCAGAGCTATGATCAAGGAATTGCTTCGCACTCGTCCGCCCAACAAATTTGGCATGCAGCATTACACAACGGAGGATGACTGGTACGACGGTTACTTTATCCCAAAAGAGACAGTGGTTGTGTTGAACTGGTGGTAAGTGTCTTCAGCGTCTGGAAGCTTAATCTCTTCCTGACATACATATAGGGCAATAAACTATGACCCATCTCGTTGGGACAGGCCCAATGAGTTTATGCCAGAGCGCTTCCTCGGATACGATCTCCCGGCGGCCTCCTACATAAACATTGCAGATCCCAACCAGCGCGACCACTTCTCCTATGGAGCAGGAAGGCGAGTATGTCCAGGTGTACATGTGGCAGAAAAGTCACTATTTTTGAATATTTCTCGTGTCTTATGGGCGTTCAACATCTCAAAGAAAATTGACAAAGATGGGATTGTGATTGAGCCAAACACTGCAATGGTTCCCGGCTGGATGACGATCCCACAACCATTTGAATGCGACATTACGGTGAGGTCCGAAAAGAAAGCGGCATTGATCAATCACGTTTGGGCGGAGACCAAAAAGTCTCTTGATGGTAAATAGGTGTTACCTTCCCGACCCTGCAATGCATTCAAAGACGTCCAGCATGCAGTAATGACATGGCTGGATATGTAGCCTAGGAAGTATTTGACAATCATTTGGGGTTCTCGAACAAGATACAAGATTGCTGTAGCTATTACTGTTCCCTATAGTGCAGCTTCAGTCAAAATGCCTCGACGGAAAAGCTGGATATCGACAAGCAGTAGCTACGTCAAGAATCAATTATGCCCTCCTCACTCATTCTGAGTTGCGATTGTGATTGGCTCGCTGCAACGTCGAGCATGGGTGCGGCTGTGGATACCAATCGGCAAGTCAGCAAACTTGCCAAGGTTGGATAAATTACGTCTGAGCAAAGCGACATTAGTGCAAGCCTGGGTCAGCGAGCGAGGTTGGTCGCGTCAGTTGTCTGCCTTCGACTTGATGAATTTAATAGTCGCTGTCTCTCTCTTTCTTCCCGTTATTCTGCTCTACAAGGAAAAATCGACAATTCAAGCGCATCACACAGTGAAACTCCGCCCTTAGACTCTCTTCGCCCTCTCCATCACTATCGCTTTCAGCTCTCCATCATGCCTGCAACGACCGCAGAGACACTCTCCCTTGTGAGCAGACAAGTCTCGGTTGCTCCACTAGTTCTCCTATCAGCTGCAGATCACTACGGTCGCTCGGCCAAAGGAACTCGAAAACGAGTAGTGGGTGTTCTACTTGGTCAAAACGACGGCAAGAATGTCCGAGTGTCAAACAGCTTCGCTGGTGCGTTGGCGAGTGTTCTCGTATACAAATCTTCACTGACAGATGACAGTGCCCTTTGAGGAGGACGAGAAAGACCCCTCCGTCTGGTTTCTGGACCATAACTACGTCGAGTCAATGCGGGAAATGTTCAAAAAGGTCAACGCGCGAGAAAAATTGATCGGGTGGTACCATTCCGGCCCCAAGTTGCGAGCCTCTGATCTCCAGATCAACGAACTGTTCAAGAAATACACACCAAATCCGCTCCTTGTCATCATCGATGTTCAACCGAAGGAAGTTGGCGTACCCACGGACGCATATTTTGCAATTGAAGAGATCAAGGACGATGGAACAACAACGACCAAGACATTTGTGCATACCCCCTCCATCATTGAAGCAGAAGAGGCAGAGGAGATCGGCGTGGAACATCTGCTCAGAGACATTCGCGATGTCGCAGTCGGCACCCTCTCCTCTCGAATCACCCAACAGCTGCAGTCTCTCCAAGGTCTCCATCTACGGTTACGGGACATCAGCGCCTACCTTGAAAAAGTTCTTGATGGCGAACTGCCCATCAACCATGCCATCCTCGGCAATTTGCAAGACATTTTTAATCTCCTCCCTAACTTGACCACTCCTCCCGCCTCCCGACCGAATGGCAAGAACCAAATCGAGAACAGCGAGCTAGCCCGCGCCATGAGCATCAAAACCAATGATCAGCTGATGACCATCTACCTCAGTTCGCTAGTCCGTGCAATCACCGCCTTTCATGACCTCATTGACAACAAGAACCAGAATCGACAGCAGCAAGAAGAAAAGTACGCAAAGAAGGATGAGGCTGAAAAGAAGGAAGGTGAGAAGGAGAAGGACGAGAAAAAGTCGGGCCCTAATGGGGCGGTAAACGGAGACAAGAAGGACGCCGAAGAGAATGGCAGCGGAAAGGGAAAGGGCAAGAAGAAGAGCTAGACAACGAGATATCCGAGACTTTTCGCATGGAGCATGGCGTTTCGATCGACATGCTCGGCTTTAGAGCATGCTTTTGCTGCCGAGCACGAGCAATGTATATTATCATGAAGACTTGAGATCAGTGTTTGGGCGATTGAGGCGGCTGCGATCATCTGTCACCATGGCGCTGAAGCCGCGGGTTTTCGACATCAGGATCCGCCTCTCTGGGAGAGGCATCAAACACAACAGTGTCTGATTTCTTCGTCCCGCAAGATATGCTCACAACCCGACGCTCCAATAAAGCCCCGCTTCTCAAGATGTGCAGTGTCATCTTCATACTACTTCTCGTGAAGAACAGACATATCGTGTCTCCCTGGGCGTAGTTGTCAAGTCCCTCCGTGTTCACTCCATCCGGCTCCCCATGCAACGGCCTCTTCCCTCGAGACAGCGCTCTGCTTCACGGTGTCTGTGAATAAGTTAGGGGCGGCATTTGCGAGGAAAGCGGCCACGAGATGTTTGCAGCTTGGAACTGTGGCGACCTCCAGTGTGGCGGTACCACCAAATCCCCAGTTATCCTTGATCTTCGATTTCGAGCCGCTAATTCGGGCAAGATGAGTGGTATCTTCGAATACTCCAGAGTCCCGATCACATTGCAGGTTCAAACTCTGAAATACACTCACGCTGAATGCTGGACAAGTGCAATTCCAACCGTCAAGGCGGACCTCGTAGAACGGGACTGTTGCGCTGGTGTTTCCGCCGCGAGGATGGAAGCGTGGTCTCGAAATCTGCTTGTCCATAGCGGATGAAGATTGAACGTAAAAGACTTCCCAGCCATTGACATCCCGTTGAGCTGGGAGTTGAGCTTCAGAGCATTCGAGCACCGAGCGAGTTCCGCCTGGAGAACTTCCCCATTGGGGCACGCATTCTTGATCGTCTACCTCCGGGGCTGAGTGCTTCACCAAGAACTTTGTAACCAGACCTCGGTCCAGGAGATCAAGCGCGGGGAGCAGTTCATGAGGGAACAGCATATGCAGAGTTAAGAAGACCGGACGTGCCTTCTCCTGATCCGATAGTGGGAGACGTTGGACGCCATTTTTATGAGCGAGTTGTGAGTCGCCTTGCGGACGAGGCGACTGTTGTTTGTCTTGATGAGAGGGTTCAAGGTCTGAGAAATACGACAGGGCCTCAAAGATCGAGTCTAGAACTGATGCTTGAGACTGGTTCCGAGTCATTGCGCGACTGAAAGCTCGGAGCAGCTGAAAGCCACTGATGAGGTTCGACGGTGATAAAAAAATATCTTTGCCAGCTCTTCCAGAGTTCGTTGCTGCCATGAGCTGGCACCGAACCAGACCGGCAGACGACAACAGGTAATTAATCGGCCATCCAGTGGATCGAAATTGCATAATCGCTAGGATTGTGGTCTCGTATAAAGTTCTATCTAGGTGCGGAGAGATCGAATTGGCTTTTTGAGTTCCTACCAGTTAGATGTCAACTTGCGGCGTTTCTATATCTCCTTGTATACATGTATGAGCCCGAAAGACAGTCCTGGGCTTCTGGCTCGAAATCAGGCAAGTGCGGCCCAGCCTCGACGCCGTGTATTCAGATACCCATGGTCATGAATTTGGTCTCGCTACACTCGATACTGCATGGGTAACCAAAACATAAGTCCGTTGTGCTCAGCCTTGCCATCGAACTTTGCCGCCTTTCATCACGCTCACAACCCCTAGCGGGACCTGCGCTGCATCCACTATCTGGACGCTTCCATATTTATCGACAATCTGAGAGCCGTATACCGCAAGGGTCCATTTCCAATATGCATTCATCGAGCCGAACGATTTGATAATGCCCAAAGACGACGATCTCTTGCCACGGCCTACCGAGGGTAACTTGTCTAGCCATGCGGTGATCTCATTAGTCGCATGGACATGAAATTCGGTAGGGATCTCGAGCAGGCGGCAATAGGCATTATAAAGATTGATCGATCGCCCCTCGCGGTATCTTAAGTATTCGTCTTTCGGCATGAATTGGTCGCCAAAGGCGGGCTGCCCCGAAGGGTAAGACCTTCTTCTTCCGTAAGTTTTCATCTCCGAATCGAACAGGGATTTGGCAGTGAGATACGATTTCTCCTCGAGGTCGAGGCATTTCGACAAGATCTTCTGCGGGGTTTGTCGCATCTCCTCTCGCATGCAGTAGAGCGGTACAAGCGGGTTGCGCACCTCGAGGCCTCCCATTTGCACAGGCCAATACCAGACTCCATCGGGAATGTCCTTGACACCGAACCTCTCCAAGGCCAGCTTGGAGAGGTAGCCAGTCACCGAGCCCCCCGGGAAGAGCGCTTTCTGGATTTTGGCAAATGTATCAATCATGTCCTCCAGATGATCACGAGCAAATGCAAATGACGGCTTCCCGAAGTTGTTGCTGAAGAAGCGGGCTAGGTACGCGTTGTAGGCTTGAATGTACGAAAAGATCGACGTGCAATGGGATAATTGCAGCTGAAGTTCTTTGATGTGTTCGTCCACCATGTTCTGGTCTATCACAAATCGTACGCTGTGGGGATCTAAGCGAAGGAAGCCCCAGCGTACATCGCCCTTGGGCAAGCGAGGCTTCCAGGCTGATTCCCTTTCGTGCTCAAGCTGATCAGGGTCGGGAATTTCAGGACGCGCGGGTTGCGTAGCGGTCCCTTTCTCGAACACGACGCTGCCGGTCTTCTCTTTGTTGAACTCGATACCCACGATTGAGGCGAATTTGCTCATGGCTTCCCACCCACGAATACACAGGTCTTCAGTTCCCCAGAACCAGAAGTCATCGTGAAGGCGGTAGAGATAGGTTTGGGTGGCGTTATTGACAGCAAAATCCATGACGAACAGAATGACCTCGCCAAAGACATCGCTGAGCGCATGCGACATTGGGACACCTCGTCGACGAACATGATATTGACCGTTTGGACCATCCTGTATGAATCGCATCGGGGCTTGCAGAAACTTCCGGAAGAAGTCTAACCAGGTCGAGTCGACTCCGAAGAATTTCAACACAGCAAAGATGGTGCCATGAGGGAGGGAAGGCCCAAACCATTGAAAATCTGAACGAATTACAGCGTGCGAGTCCCCTGGACGAACATGCTGTGAAATAAGAGCCTCGGTGATGAGCATGTGTAAGAGACCTTGCTTCGTTTCGACGGGGCTCTTCTTCCCTGACGTCGAGTCATCATCACTGTCGTACCCTCGAGTACCTTCTGACTCTGTGGTTGGTAGCTGGGACATGAAATATTCTTGCCCATACTGGAACTTTCGCTGCGCCTCGACGCTGTGGTTCGGAGCTGATTCCTCGTTCAGAAAATACCGCCGCCGATCCCGGTCGTTCTTGGGAATGGCCCCTCTTGCAGTCCGCCAGGCAGGAGAGAGAAAGAAATCTGTGAGGGCAGACTTGAAATGTACAGCCCACTTCATGCCAATGGCGTGAAGCAGAATTGCATCGAGAACATCCTCGTCCATGAATACTCGATATTTCCCGTTCAGTTGGCGACGCTGTTCGACAGGGATTGCACCATCGACGGTCGTCCACTTCCAGCTCTTGAGAGAGGTAAATCTCATGTTCAGCACGTCGGCAACTTCCTGAAGCACTGCTGCATTGTTTTGAAAAGACTTCAGAATAGCAGCCTTCTCATCTGACAGGAGATCGGTCCTCAGAAGGCCAGTGATCGTGACTTTGAGGTCGTCTGCACCGAACAGTTCCACTGTGGAGTGAAGACCGTGACAAAAGGCCTTCGTCGAAGTCTCAACACTCTTGAAACTCTTGGAGATTGACTTATCCGATTTGAATAAGTTGTTGAGGTAGCGATCAATCCCTGTTTCATCAGTCTCGGGGTTCGAGAAGACGATCGATTCCCACTGCACTCTCTGTTCGTGCATTTCCTTTCGACCAACACTCTCAAATGATGACTCCTCCGTCGTATCGTCTTCCGACCGACGTGCTTTTGTGTCTGTAGAGCTTGAGAGCCATTCGGTTACCAGCTCAGAGAAGAATTGCGCGTGTTCATGCTGAACGCTTTTGAGACTGAGGTGCTCCACTAACTCATCATGGATGCGGTGGACGATCTCAGGAGCAAAGGCAGGATCCTTGCCCGCTTGACGAAGGAACAACTGTTGGTTTCGACGGGTCCGCGCAAGGTCGGAAGCTGGATCGGTCTCGGAATCAGAATCGGACGAGTCGTCATTGACCACAGTGATGCCGGCTTGACGACAGGAGCCAATCAACAGCTTGCGCGTGCGTTCGAGGTCATCCTTCAACGGTTTGGCGTCACGGATGATGTCTTTCTTGGAAGCCTCGTACTGGTCACGCTGTTTTCTTACTTCCTGGATTTTTGTTGACGTGACGGAGCGGAGAGTTTCTGGAAGTGCTGAGGACGCCATGACAGTTGTAGAACAAGCGCCAACTGTGGGTAAGTGAACAGTTAGGGTTGTAGGCGAGGCAAGAATCGAACGCACAGCAAAATGGGTCGTTGAAGAACACTTCAATAAGCTTGGAGAGACACTATCTGAAGGAGTACGGTGGGTGGGAGGGCTTTATACTGTTCAAAGCAGGCGGTAAACTATTGCAGTGACTCACAGTTCACATCTAGCTTTGTGCAGAGACAATGATTTAGAGGTTGAGCCCTTGATGACTCTGGGAGCAATGTGGCCTACAGTAACGTGTGTGGCCTACAACAAAGTGGAGGTCTCAAGACAGCCTTGCCATGGAAAGGAGCGAGGCTGAATCCTACGTCAACTACCGCCGCGCATTTGCCTCAGAAACGCAATATGGGACATAATTGTCGCGGCCTTGCCTGCTGCACTCCGTACCTATCTGAAGTCATCCATTCTTGTAGACTAGAGTATGCTTTCGTCGACGCAGTGCAGAGCAGGATCGCCTCGCTAGACGTTCTGCCACCATGAGTCCGCCGAACATTGCCAATCCTTCGCAGTCCATCCCCTCTTCTCTACCATGGATGCACCAGAGTCGCCATCGCCTCCGAACTCGAAAGTGATTATTCAATGTATTGATCCACATAACCTATTTGACCGTCTCGAGCCCCGACTCTCGGCCAGAAGCCCTCTACGGAACTTACACTGGAAAGCCCCAAACCGGCCACTTCGATCGATCTCGAATCTGAACATATCTTTGTCGCGCGAAGACCAAACCGCTGGTGGGCAGTCCAACGTTCGGAGGCACCAGATACCAGGTCTGCGCGAGACACCGTACGTCAAATTATATCTCTTACGGTGCGATGACAAAGAAACATACAAAGAGAAGGTCAGGAAAGATGTCCGCCAGTGGGTCAAGACACAAACGCCTTCGAATGATGGTAAATCGTCGAGCAAGAGCCAAGAGGATCATGATGCCTTCGAATGGCTGATTGTCCATGTTGTTCTCCCAAACACTCCTGCGGCTAGCCAGCCGAAATCTTCAAAACACATCTCGTTAGAAGCCTCGGAGAGCACCGACAGCGTGAATAGCAAATCAAAATGGTCTGGCAAGAGCCCATCCACTATTTTCGACAAATTGAGAGCCGATTTCAGCAGTTCCAAGTCATCCATCTCCCGCGTTACTCAGGTTCGACTTCTTGAACCTGGAGATAAGTCGACGCCATTGACATCTGCAGAGTTGGAAGAGCAGTGGCAGGACTTGGTGGATTGTCTGAAAACATGTATACTGCGCTCGTTTGATGCTCGTGTTGCCCAGTACGAATTAGACATTCGTGAAAGGGACAGCCAAAGAAGTCTGCCTGGCTGGAACTTCTGCACATTCCTCGTCCTCAAAGAAGGCCTCGCAAAAGGCTTTGAAAACTTGGGCTTGCTGGAAGATGCGCTCGCCGTATATGACGAGCTCTCCCTAGGTCTCGACACGCTGGTCAAGGAACAGGTCCAGAAAAATGACCACGATGAAAGCGGAGCATTGTTGACTTTTTCTAAAGAATCCAAGGGTCTCCTCAGAGCAGCCTTGGACCCGGAAACGCAGAGCATACCATCCATATATGCCGACTCGCAGCTTGACCTGAACCACATTCTCGCAGCTGATCAAGATGACTTTCCATTCGATGTTGAAAGGAAGAATTACCGCAACCTTATCCTCTCTAATGATGTCTCGGCATTGGATCTCCGCATATATCTCTTCACCCGGGAAATGGAGATTCTGACTAGACAGTCACGGTCAGCTCTAGGGAAGTCCTCCAAATCGGGCAAGATGGGTGTCGACCTCGACGTTGTCGCAGATTTGACGGAACGAGCTATGCAGTTCATCGGTCTCGCCGGTCGCATTCTCCGATTCGAGCTTTACAACGCCTGGGGTGGGTACGAAGGGTTGAGCGAAGATGAACTGCGCACTCAGAGGATAGTCACAAGCAACATTGTCTCCACCTGGCAGTGGCGAGCGGTCATGCAGATTCTTGCCCAAGCTTTGCCAGCCTTGGGCGGCGATGTCGATTACAGCAACAGTGGGTTGTCACTGGACACTGCTGACCTGTCTCCCGATTCCGACGCAGCCGTTGCGGACCAGTTTCACGGGTCCGCTGAGAACTACCAACACATATCCCTTGCCCCTGGTATACGGTCATCTTCGCGCGAACGCTCTCAGGAACGAAGCAGGAGACATTCCCCGACACCTAATGGGACCAATCTACGACAAGCACCACCGACTCGAATGGGATTTGGGCGTCTCGCTTTGTGGATATCAAAGCTCGTACTCATGGCGAGACATTTTATCGAGAACTTGGAGGCTGTGAAACCGTTGGTTCTGGTCATGAAACAGTCCGCCCTAGAATCGAATGGCAACGGAATGCACCCCATTGCCACCAATGGCGATGCCAACGATCCTCCGGTAAAAATAGACCACCATGAGCCCTCCACCAACATCGATCTTCTCTTGGGCTTGGGGTCCACCACATTGAAAGCTGCAGCGACGTCGAAGTCAAGTTTTGTAAAGCTTTACGCCATGTTGTCTGTCCTTGCTTTTCGGATTGTATCGTCTGCAAAGAATCGATCCACATACCAGCAAATACTGATAGACCTTGTCGAAATGGAATATTCACAAGGTAATTGGACCATTGCTGCATGCTACCTGGAAAATATCCTCGGTCCACTTCCACGTGGCGCCTACCGTCCCTCGGAAGAGTATCTCCTGCGAATCTATGCTGAGTGCCTGAAGAGCCTTGAGCGGCCTGGTGAATACGCTCGATGTCTTATTTCTTGTCTACGTCACTCAACAGCAGCCGAATGTGCGACTTCAAGATCTCGCTCCGATGCGAATCAGTATTATATGAACCAACTTTTCCAGGTTTTACCAAAAATTCCAACAACAACACTACGTGCGGGATTACTTTTTCGCATCTCCGGGGTATCGCGGCACATTTCTCCACTCGAGAGCAAGGATGGGTTCACGGTCTCAATCAAGATGAGCAGCCTTCCCGGTGCCTCGACCCCTCCGCTCGATAATATCAAATTGCGGCTCGTTGCAAAAGACGTGGTTGAACCGCGATCCATATTGCTCTTCCTTCCGGAAAAGGTAGCTATAGATTCCAGGCACAGGACCATAACCCTGGAAACTCCCGTGACGACGCATGGCTGGTACATACCGGATGAAGTCGAGGTGTGCATTGGTAACCTGAGACTCCTGCATCACTTCAAGTCAGGGATAGACGACGAAGATTACGGATCTGACGATTCCCTTAGCCCTCGCGCAGACGTCGTGCCCCTCCTTCTATACCCCAGCTACCGATCGTTTGGAATCAAAATGTACCCTTTTCCGGTGATTCACTTGGCCCAGATCCGTAGGCTGCTACTGCAGGTCAGGCCCGGCCAGAACAATGTCAAGCAGGTCAAGCTTCGCTTGAGGACCGCAACCGCTGGGCTGAGGCTCAACATCCACGACTCCAGATTGGTAGGCGACCAGCATGAGTCAAATCAGATGCGGACGGCCCGAGAAGGTGACGCTTTAGTGATGGTACTGGACAACTTGGCCTCGCTGACGGTCACTGAGATCGAGATCCCGTACACCATGGAGACTGCTTCCGAGCCGGCGATAACATTGCGCATTGAGGCTAGTTATGAGACCGACCAGGGAATATTCACCTTTTATGACACAGCGTTTGTTAAGGTGATCTTACCTGTCACTGTCAATGTCCAAGACGTGTTTCGTAAAGATTACATGTACTCCAGATTCACCATCATCCCATCGACCATGGTACCGCTTCGCCTCATTGGCTGCAACCTGGAGAAGAATGATTCCTACGACATGATTGCGGGCGGTAACTTCGCTGAGCCATTCGTGGTATTCCCGAAACAACCTGCTAACTGGACTGTCCGGCTTGTGCCCAGGGACGCAAATGCTGCTAACGCCAGCAGGAGACTAACGCTTGTTGTTGACTTCCAATCTCTCGACGGAGTCATGTTGGCTATTCTTGAGACACACTTCACGAGAGAGCTTGCCAATTCCAAGCACGCTTTTGCCGCCCGGCTTCTAACATCACATTTACTGGAGCGTGTTCGCACTACATGGACCGAGCAAGATGTGGAAGTTGCGGGGTTAACACAAGAGTTTGAGGTTTGGAAAATGGAAGATATGGAGTGGCCATCGGTCTTGTGTGCATTTGACCGACACAGAAGAGCCGAGATTGAAGATTGGCTTCGAGACTGGCATTCTCGGACGCCGCCCATCAAATTTTCGTCTTCGAAAGTCCCCCAACGTCAGCTCCGGTTGTTTGTTGACATTCCACCGCGACCTGTACTGGTCTCAGCGTTCTTGGACGCCAAATGGTCAACAGCGCCTCACCCGACCGCCACAATCGGTCAGCCATTGCTGGCCGAAATCGTCATGAAGCTCGAAGATCAAATCGAGGGGCAAGTGGAAGGGACGTTCGAGATTGCTGCACCTTCAGATTCGTGGTTGATTGGGGGCAGACGCAAAGGCAATGTGCAACTGGGCTCAGAGACCGTGCGGTTGCAAGCGGTCCTTTTTCCACAACACCTTGGACACTTACTCGTTCCCTCGGTCAGTGTTAAATGTCGCAGACGGGTCCGAAGCGCCGGCAAGGACGAATGGCTTGATGTCATGACTGATGTCCAGAATCCTGCTCACGGTCGGAGCATTCTCGTTACCCCAGATTTGCGGAGCACCACGGTGGAGGTGTTTGGACTGATACCGGACGAGGGTGCTGGCAGACTGGTCGCGAGCGGGAGTCGTGGATGAGTGGGTTGAAGCTCACCTGGAGCCCCCGGCATGCTCTTCACCGCCATTGCTAGGCCCCGAGCCGGCATTGAATAATTTTTGAGCCTCAGCCTGGAGTATTGTCCCTACTACTGTGCGGTGACAGCAAGCGCCAGGAACGGGCTCGCTTTGAGCCATTCCACGAATCCTTAACTACAGCCTGCCAGACCAGTCGCGGCGCCCAGTTCAAGGGTCCGTGCTCGGCACGAGCCGACAACCACCCTTGAAGCAGATTGGTGCGGTGGAGTGACGACATGAGTGGAGTCAATGCCACCCACTGCGCCTTCAGCCCCAAGTCATGGTGGGTTAGCGTCAAGTCTCAGCTCCCCAACAAAATCATTTTCGTTGGAACTCCGATTTCACCCTGCATACCACAGACCACCAGCTTCCCATGCTGCCAGCGGTCCTGACCACCGACCGCCGACCAAAGATGATCAGTGGACAACCGGGGACTTCAGCTGGAGGTGGGATCGTCTCGTCATCCTTCAACCTTCCCCATCCGACCGAGGCATCAGCTCGGCCACAGCACCGTTTGGCTCAGGTTCTCTCAGCATGTGAATTGAAAGGACCCTGCCGGTGGGCGAGAATCTGTTGCACATGCCAACGGCCCTTGATCGATTGGCAACCGTGCCATTACCCAGTCAGCAATAGACGGCATGGAATCCAGCATGTGCGCAAGGGCATGACCATCAGCGGTCAGTCAAATGCGTTCAACAGATGCACAACATCCTGCCGGACAGGCCAGCGCCCTTCGATCGACGGGTCGACGGCACCTGAGAGTCTAGCAAGACTGGAGCTGCCAAGCGTCGGGCAAGGCCGAGGGTCAGTGATTCATTCCAATAATCGGTCAACGAAGGAGGCAAACTTGCGCATCTCAAGCCAAGGTGGGATCATGGAGACCACCACCATACCCAGACAGTCTCCAGCTCAGTTCTCACCGGGCAAAATCTGCCAGCCAAGTCAATCCCACTTTGGGGAACCTGCTGACAACTTTGGCCAGACCGTATCGAGGTGTGTTGCCGTCCGAACAAAGTCCCTCCGGAAGTGCAAAATTGAATAGCAGTAGACCAACCAGCCTCGAGCTGCCAGAGCGGCTATCCGTGTGACTACAGCCTAATCCAATTACCTAGCCTTGGTTTATCAGCTTACTTACACACGTTGCAGCAAGACCATAGTAAATACACCCTTTTCTTTTTGCCTTGGAGAGGATGAGCAGTGCGGAGTTTTGGCGATACAGAACGGGCTCGGTTGCCCCTTCAGTGGTACCTGCCTACCAGAGCTAAGTAGGTTGCTCCAACCGTGGGCGATCCTCGGGGCCCAGACGAAGACCCTTCAGTCCTCGCTCACCGCCCAGGCATAACCGAGCAGCTAAATGGCCTGCCTCTCGATGCTAGCTGCTGGTCCCCTGACTGCCCCTGCCGCACTAGCCCTGGGGGCACTTTGTTGAGATTCACGGATCATGCGAATTTTTCCCCTCTGGCCAAAAAAATGAATTGCCCGCAGCCCACATTCTCTCCACTGCCCTGTTCCTGCACGACTTCTACGATAGGAAACCTCTGTTCATTCGCTGCCAGTTCTCCGTTCACTCCTTTGCCTGAGGGAATACGACCCTTTGAGCCTTAATATTATTTTTCGGTCCAGTTCAGAAGCTCCTCTTAACCCTGCCCAGTCGCTGCAGCCTTCGCCGTCTGCTTCACTCTGCCTTGACCTCTCCTCAGCACTTCCTCTCAACTGCGTGCTGTCGACTCTCCAGCCTAAAGTCCAGCATTCACTCCGTTCCTCTCTGACGAAGATTCTCTTACCAGCTCCGCCATGACTTCCACTGCACTGCCCGCGGAGGCAGTCCTTCGTCGGCTGGCAACCGCCGACTCAACACCCACCTCGTCTGCCAACATCTCACCTCTCGATAGTCCGAGATCCTCCCCTTCCTCCACCTCGCTGTCGTCGCTTGCCTCAGAAGATGCTCCCACTCAGCCTCCCAAACAGAGCCTTGAAAAGAAGCAGCTGCTCGATACCTATGGCAACCCCTTCGAGGTGCCCGACTTCACCATCAGCGATATCCACAAAGCCATCCCTAAGCATTGCTTCCAAAGATCTGCCGCCACCGGTCTGTACTATGTTGCTCGAGACATCGCCTCTCTCGCCGCTACCTTCTATCTCTTCAACCGCTTTTTGACCTCGGAGAATGTACCGTCCACCCCCGTAAGAGCTGGTTTGTGGTTTGTATACACCGTTGTACAGGGCCTTTTCGGTACCGGTCTGTGGGTGCTGGCCCACGAATGCGGGCATCAGTCATTCTCGACCAGCAAGATCTTGAACGACACAGTTGGCTACATCTGCCACACTGTACTCCTGGTGCCATACTTCTCCTGGAAAATCTCTCATGGCAAGCATCACAAAGCCACCGGTCACATGGAACGAGACATGGTCTTCGTCCCGGCGACCAAAGAGCAATACTGCACCCGACGAGGATGGCTGCTCCACCAGCTCGATGAGCTTACTGAGGAGACTCCAATTGCGACTGCATACCATTTGATCAGCCAACAACTTTTTGGCTGGCCAATGTACCTGATCACCAACGTCACCGGTCACAACAAGCACGCGGTTCAACGTGAGGGTCGCGGGGTCGGCAAGCACAACGGGTTTGGAGGTGGAGTCAACCATTTTGACCCGGCCAGCCCATTGTATGAGGCCAAAGATGCCAAGTTGATTTTCTTGAGCGATCTGGGTCTTCTCGCAGTTGGAAGCATTCTCTTCTGGGTCGGCAGAACTTATGGTCTCTCCAATCTGTTTGTCTGGTACATTGCTCCTTACTTGTGGGTCAATCATTGGTTAGGTGAGTCGTACACAGTCAAAACGGTGTTTCCAAACCTCTTTGCTTACAGATAACCAGTGGCGATTACTTTCCTGCAACACACGGATCCTTCTCTTCCCCACTATACTCCCGAGATGTGGACATATACCCGTGGAGCCGCAGCCACCATTGATCGAGAATTTGGGTTCATTGGGCGCCAACTGTTCCACGGAATCATCGAAACCCACGTCCTTCACCATTATGTGAGCACCATTCCGTTCTACAACGCTGATGAAGCCAGCGAGGCCATCAAGAAGGTGATGGGTCGTCACTATCGCAGTGATACCAAGGAGGGGTCTCTGGGTTTTTTGAAAAGCTTGTGGAAGTCGATGAGATGGTGTGGCTGGGTTGAACCCATGGAGGGCGCCACTGGGGAAGCTGCGGGCGTGCTGTTCTTTCGCAACAGGAATGGGTTAGGAGTGTCTCCTTCTAAGACGCCGAAATCTGCTGCATCGTGAGTCTGGTCTGCGTTTAAGGACTGCGACGGGCACTGCCATTGGCGCGCTCTGCATGGCTTGCATGGAATCCCGGAGTTTGAGACGATAGAGCAAGACTCTTAGAAATAGACATTATGGGGACGATCAGTTCTGAAAACACGGGAAACTTGGGAGCATAGATGGGAGACGAACAACGTTGGGGAGTGACGAGAACTTCTTGTTCTTGCGAACATTGCGCGTCAGGTGAGCTGTTGTTGCTTGGATCGGGCGCTTCGGTCGGAAGAGAGGTCCGGGAGGCCAGGAGGCTTGGCCATCTTTGGAGATGTGCGACAGCCAGAAAGAAAATTCATACAGCAGCTGCCTGACGATGCGAGGTGCGTCCCGCAAGAGTTGATTGATCCTACACAAAGTCCCTGTACGGCCGAGTGAGACATGCTAGGTACCTAGTCTGCGGAGTCAAGGAGACTGAGAATGATGCCTACTCGGGGCTCGTAGCCAGGCGCAGGGATACGAGAAGTGCTATCCTTATGTCAGCGCGGGGGTGTCCACCACTGTTCATTTGCGTCCTCTTAGGCTCTTACGGCCTTAAACGTGCCTACAGGGGCTGCGGTCTATATTCAACCCGTTGGATGGTGTGTAGCTTGCGGAGATGGCATTGTTGATGCCCATTTCCCCCACAACCCGCTCGAGGCTATGTCGCTCAGCTCAGTGTATTCGTGCGAAAGCTATGCGACTATTCTGGTTAAGCTACCTTGTTGGTCTCGTTGTGACACCCTAGATTGCAGGCTGCAGAGGAAACATTCCATCCATCAACGGTCCCTTGCCGCTGACAGCTCCGCCGCTCAAACTGAAACCCCGGCTCGCCCTCTCGTTCCAAGGTTTGTCCCGTCCGTATACACGGCACATTATGCGATCAGCACGAGGAGTCTTTCGCAATGTCGTATGCATGATGATGGCGTTTGGTGGAGGCTGATATCACAGCGGCGACTGAAATATAAGGAGGCTTGATTTCGTCTGTCTTTGCTGACATTCAACATCAGCATTCGCATTCACATGACACAGAACCCACTGACAACATTCTTGTAACAACCAACATCGTCTGCACGTTGCCCTCGCTATGGCTTTCAAGAGCACCCTCCCTCCCTTCGAAAAGCGGCCAAGGTCACAAAACAATTGGGCCAGCGCGAATGCAAAACTTGTTTATGTAAGTCTCCTCAATACCGTTTCTGCACGGTTCGAAGCCCTGACTCCTTCCCCCAGGCCCTTCGCGAAAACTTTTCGGTGTCGACATGGATCCTCCTTGGAGCTCTGCTTCAGTCCCTGGTGGTCTTGGTCATACCTCGCTTCTACGCCATGCTTCCGTCCCTTCTTGTACTCGGGATCCGTCTAGCAGACACCATGGCCATTACCTTTGGTCGGAAGAAAAACCACTATCTCGACGATGCTCTCCTGTATCGCACTTCTCCGCAGATCCCGGACGAAGATGGCACTTTCCATGAGGAAGCGTCGGAGGAGAAACTCGCCGTCTTCATGTTGGGAGCGAAAGTCAATCACCCACTCGGGATTTTTGCACCAAACGTCAAGACGGTCGGCGACTACCTGACCAAAATGATCGAGGACCTCGAGGCCGAGAATACCGACCTTGGCTTCTACGGCGGTTCCAGTTGGACAAACCAGGACAAGAATGGCGCCACCGAGATTCTGAACCTCAGTTATTGGCGGTCCGCGGAGGACATTCACAAATTTGCGTACGGCAAGCTGCACCGCGAAGGGTGGGACTGGTGGAACAAGCATGTCAAGGAAAACGATCACATTGGCATCAACCACGAAATCTTCGAGGTGGACCGCAAACACTGGGAGGCCATCTACGTCAACTTCCAACCCACGCTGCTGGGCGCCACGACGTATCTGAGAAAAGGCGACAAGATGGTCGGCGGCACGGTCGAAGACCAGTGGATCTCCCCTCTCATTGACGCCAGCAAGGGCAAGCTGCGGAGCAGTGCTGGCCGACTAGGCCGAAAACCCGAGGAGCTCTATCAGAAGCATGGGCTGGCCCCGGGTGCTACTTACGAGTCATGAACCCGTCGACTTTGCTGAGGGGAAGCGAGGATTTCAGAATATGTATAGAGAGCCTCTTTTGTTATAACTTGGCCTTCTGGCAGGGCGTATTGGCGTTGGGGAGGTGTTTCCCAGGATAAAATGCGCCGAAAAGATGCTGACACGCCCCCCCTATGTGGCTCTTTTTCTTATCTAGATATATTGTCATCAATAGCAAGAGCACTCTAGGCTGAAGACAAATGATCAAGACTATTGGTCGTATACTAATCTCTCAAGCCAACTTGACATCACTAAATGCCGCGCTTACGCCGCCCTGCTCACAAACCCCGTGGGGGCCTTTGTAGGATCGTCTATCTTGTAGAGACGAATTTTCTAAGGTCACATACAACATTGCGAGGGGAATGAAACACAAGGTACCTCTATCAAGCATTTCTCGCCCATCAACATGTCCAGTGAGGGTCAGTGGTAGATGCCGATTTTGGCGCATTCCTCCCCTAGATTCTACGGCAGGGACAGGACAATGCGACGTTCAACCGGCTGCTCGGCACAAGGCTGCACAGTGAATAAATCTCTCATCCAGTTCATGTCGAAGAGAATTAAATGACCATAGAGATGCGGGATTTTCTTGATTTGACAATGGCAAGGTCAGATTCAAGCTTTAGACAAGCTCCGGGGAGGTGCTCCGGACACATCGAGACGTGCAACTCCCTCAACCAGATGCCATCTGCGGCGTAGTTTCGAGTTGTACTGAGTGTGCGTTGGTGGAGCATTCGCCCAGGACGGCACGACGAAGGCCTGCCTGCTAACGAAAAGTCAATGGGTTTGCATGCCGTTTTGAAGGGCGTATTAAAGGACAGTCAACCCCTTCAAACCTTTCGAAGCCCTCTCGAGAGACACTCAGGTAGGATATCTGATAGTAGGTGCAGCCCGGTCCATTATGTTGTTTCTGGCAGTCTCACTCCTTTCCGGCCACAGCTGTGGCAACGTATACAGTGCCCCATCCCAATGGCACTTACGGTGTCTCCCTGGTTGAGAAACAACTAGTCGACCTCAACTTATCTGACCCATATCTTCCGCTCCCTCACCGTCGAGTCGAGATCTCCATCATCGCGCCGAGGGAGATCAACAGCTGTCGCCCTGTCACGCAACCATACGTGCCAGCAGCTCAGTCTTCACAGTTCTGGGAGCAGGCCCTTGCAAACATGACCGGCGTCTCTTTCGAGGGAACCACTTCGGAGACTGAACTGACTCTCTGTGAACCGCCAGTCAACTGGCAAGATCCATCAACTTCACTCATCCTCTTCGCGCCTGGTGCCGGGTTTCCACGCCAGCTGTATTCGATCCTGTTGACGAGTTTCGTCGCCAAGTCAGGCTACACCGTCGTCGTCTTTGAACAGCCCGGCTACGCCGAGTTTGAAACTTTTCCCAATAACACCACCGAGGTCGGGCAGGTCAACGTGACGGGTGGGAATGGTTTGGACGTGCTTGTCCAAGATGTCGGGTTTATCCTCGACACCTTTAACATTTCAGGCCATTCGACGTCGGCAACTTCAGCCACGTACCGTCCTGCCGCCATGTTCGGCCACAGCGAAGGGGGCGCTGTCACGGCGGCATCTGTCCTCGCTGAACCGCATCGTCTGCTCGGAGGAATCAACCGGAGCATTTTACGGGGCTCCTCTCCTCGCAGACGCAAGCATCAAGCAGGCATTTGCGATCTTCTCCTCGTCGATCCATAATTTCTCCGTCTCGCCCTCATGGCCTGTCATTTGGAGCCACCTGGAGGGGGATCAATGGCAGATCCAGCTGAACAATAGTGAGCATGCTACATATGGGGATTTCCCATTTCTGGCGGATCTGTGGGGCATCAGGGAGAAGACGCATGGACTGGTTGATGAGCTTGTGGGTGCGATCCCGGGGCAGGAAGCCATCGATGTGATTGGCAATTTGACGAAAGCTTTCGTGTTTGGGAAAGAACCTGTTGGAAATGTGGTCGCCAACGCAAAGGAGGACGAAAAGGTCTGGAGAGTGCAAAACGTGACTGTTTCGTGAAGATGTCGCGGTGAATGGCGTCTAGAGAGACAAAAGTTGAAAGGCGTATAGCTGGTTGCCTAGCAAGGGAGTCCAGCTTCAAACCAATGTCATCCGTGGTCGTGGTTGTCTAAGAAGGCTATATGATTTTTTGACTGGTCCGGCTAGTCTTCCATACAGATAGTTGCGTGGCAGTAATGTACGTGTACAGCGCGCTGGAGAACTTAAGATCCACCTTCGACCTGGGGACAGTTGGACTATTACCAACTAATACGTACAAATAGACTCTTAGGGTAGATTTCTCTTATCGCTCTATATCTTGCTCGGGATGGCCATCTCAAGCTCGAGATTGCAATTGGGCCTCTAGGAGCCTTTTTGCCCCTTAGCTGACTCGCAACGTCAGCTCTGTTGCCCCAGAAAGATTCTCTTGTTGCTCTCCTAGCGTTCTACTCCACGCTTGCGTTGGTGGTTGCTTCTCGCTAGTGTCAAATCTCTTCGGACTAAACGTCGCTCCGTCCAACATGAGCCTCGGCAGGCGCAACCACTTTGCGCTGTGGCCATTCCTCTGATCTACTCTTGATCTGTCTCGGTTAACGCCAACCAACGGCATCAAAATGATGAGGGTCATAAAGTCCCATAATATTGATATCGACCCTAAGAAGGTATCCAATTCGGTGACTCTGACATGGGTCGACCGCCGTGGCATGTATAATATCCATATATTCTCCCTTCAAACTCGTGGCTGCTGTTCCCCCTCGTTCTTGTCCAGCGTTTCCTTGACCCTTCACAGGCTGTGCTGAAGTTCTAGTCCTTGTCTCATATTTCTCGCGCGTCTACTGCTCGACTCACTCCTCGTCATGCCGTACAATTCGAAGTGGACCGTGGCCGTACCTGAATGCTCCTTGCCGACGTTTCTCTTCAAGTCGCCCACAGCGCCGCTGGGTTCTAAACGGGCCTTCTCAGAAGCTGCTCGCCCAGATACGCATTACCTGACACGCGACCAGTTCCGGTTATGGGCTCAGCGTTTTGCACTTGGCTTGCAGCGGTCAAAGCATTTCCGGAAAGGGGACCGCATTCTTCTCTTCAGTGGCAACGACTTTTTTGTTCCGGTCGTGTTCATGGGCGTGCTGTGCGCCGGGGGGATATTCTCTGGCGCCAACCCGACGTTTGTCGCAAGAGAGCTGGCACACCAGTTGAGAGACAGCGGCGCGACCTACCTTCTGTGTGCAGAAGGCTCCTTGGAGACAGGTATCGAAGCTGCAAGACTGGCCGGCCTGAATGTCGCTGAGAGAGTCTTCGTATACAACTCCAAAATATTCGATGGAGAGACCAAAGGGCTCAGAGGGTGCAGATACTGGAGTGAACTTGTGGCGCCGGCGGAGGACGCCGAGGGATTTGTATGGGATGATCTAACAGGTCCGGGGAAAGGCGACACCACTCTCGCATTGAACTACAGCAGCGGCACAACCGGTGTTCCCAAGGGCGTCGAGATCACCCACAAGAACTACATCTCCAACACAATCCAAGTGCAACACATGGTCGGACTCGACCCCGACTTTCAAGCTCGCAACGCCCGTGCCTCGTGGCTCTGTTTCCTTCCGCTGTACCATGCATACGGGCAGACATACTACATCGCTGGCGCTTTTAGCCGCCAGGTGCCGGTGTACGTGATGCCCAAGTTCGACTTCATACAGTTCCTGGAGTATACGCAGAAATTCCGCGTCACAGACTACACGCTCGTTCCCCCGATTGCCGTCATGTTGGCTAAGCATCCCGCAGTAGAGAAGTATGACCTGAGCTCCGTCGAGAATATCGGATCTGGGGCTGCGCCGCTGGGCCGCGATGTCTCGGAACAAGTGGAGCGACGAATAGGCACAGGCTTGAACTTCAAGCAGGGTTACGGAATGACTGAGTAAGACATACCGGCGACCTTTCATCGATGGCCCAAGAACTGACGACTTTGTTAGATGCACTTGCTCATTTCTTGGCTGGGACCCGAGACAGATATCCTTGACGAACTCGGTGGGCCAGCTCAACGCCAACTGCGAGGCCAAGATAATGACTGAAGATGGCACCTCGGAGATAACAACTCGCGGCCCTTCTGCGGTGGGAGAACTGTGGTGCCGTGGTCCCAACGTTATGAAAGGATACTGGCGTAATCCGGAAGCCACCGCAGCAACGCTAACACCAGATGGCTGGCTGAAGACGGGCGATATCGCATATGTGGACGATGATATGTGTTTCTTCATAGTCGACCGGAAGAAGGAATTGATCAAAGTGAAAGGGAATCAGGTGGCGCCAGCCGAGCTAGAAGCCCTGCTACTCGAACATCCCGGAATCGCAGACGCGGCAGTGATAGGTATGCCGACCGAAGACGGAGACGAGAAGCCTCGTGCCTTTGTCGTCAAGCAGGTCGGGCCTCGGGGGGCAAACCTGATGGAAGAGGATGTCAAAGGTTTCATCCAAGGGAAAGTCGTTCGATACAAACGACTGGCGGGTGGAGTCGAGTTCGTGGATGCGATTCCCAAGAACCCCTCGGGCAAGATCCTGAGGAGACACTTGAGAGATGCAACGAAAGAGAGGATGAGAAGAGAGGGCGTGAGACTGTGATATGTGCCGTCAAGGCAGAGGGGTCAACATTCCAAGTTAGAAAACACTATCCATTTGGGGTTTCCCCGTACCGATTGCTAAAATAAAGGGGTGGACACCAATGGAACAGAATCGGATCAGCTTGGGAATGGTCTTGGCCGTATCATCAACATGTTCATGTCCGCAGTCGCGATCAAGTGGGCCAGTATCGTCCTAAGATCATCTATGGCGTTTCTTCAGAAAGCTGCAGGGTCAACATGTAGACAAGATGCTCATACAGGGTCAGCCGAGAAGGGACTTGTGAAGTGGACGACATTGTGGGTGTTGGGCGCTTTGTCGCCCACGTGGCGGAAGTTTGCTGGAATTACAGAGGCTGAACGTAAACACAGATGCGCGATTCAAATCCGTCGCTCATGATTTTTCTTTCGTGATACCCGTACAATTACAAAGTCCCTGCCTGCCGAAAATCACCGCCAGGAATACAGCGCGCGGTGCAAGGAGAAGTCAGTTCTCGTCCTGGTCCTCATCCGTGCTCAATGCTGCGAGAGCCATCTTCAGCTCCTGCACAATCTTTGCATCCAGTATGTTTCCGTCCTTTGCGTTTTGCCAGTTGACCTCTTTTTCGTCAGTCGGGACGGTCAGCTTTCGCCTTGCCTCTTCCTTCATTGCAAGTGCGTCACGCAAGTCTTCAGCTATCGCTTTCCTATGCTCGTCGTAGCCCTTCAATGGCAATACAGTTGTGGGATCCACCGCGGCAGACGCGCCAGCATCCCGGAATGAAGAGAGTATGCGCGAGATAAGGGCTAGAGTCGCAGCCTCATTCGTCATGGTCAGGGTCAATATGTAGGTCCCATTATAGGCCGCTGGCGGCGTAAGCATTAGACTCGTGCTTGCACGAACAAGTTGGTTAGGGAATCGATTGAGGAAAGCAGATACTTCCGGTACAATAGCGCCTCCGACGGCGTGGAGGAGATTGAGGCAAAGTGGGAGGAATCCCTTCGCCCACAAACGGTAGAGATATCCGCAGTTGGGTCGAGTATCGGTATGGGAGGCGCCTCCTGGAACACTCTGAAGCGACTCAGTCGTCTTAGAGGAAAGGAGGCGACCGAGGACGCCTTCCACGGCAAGCTCTTCCGCAACCGACGATAGGGATGAAATAGAAGCCAAGAATTGGACACCGTATTCAGCGTAGCGAGGTAGAGTGCCACCTTCTGGTCTGGTGAGGACGTGTGACCATGAATAAAGCAAAAGGCCGACCGAGATGATACCGGAGGAAGACAGTCGGTCAGACAATTCCACGGCGAATTGAGAGAGCGTGGGCAGTCTGAGAATAGTCTGCATCAATGTCAACAAGAGTAAAATGTCGCGTGGTCCGATAAGGTCGTCTTCCTCGTCGTCATCAGTCTTCAGCTTCCTTTCTTTTTGGTCCTGAAGGGCCAGAATAGCAGATTTGAACCCTTCCACCACGACCATGGTCGTGATTTCGAGGAATGTTACATTTTCATGATCCTGGGTAATAACAGCCGTGGAGCTGCCGGGGATCATGGTCGGCTTCCGCTTTTTCTTGACGTGAAACTGGATGGTGAGGAGCAAAATGGAAAGGGTCGATCGCCAATATGTGAGGTCGTTGTTGATGATAGCTTGCTCATAGGACCCATTTCTGAATCTGACGGCATCCCAAGCAGGTTCCAACAGTCCTACAAAGTCTGAACCCTTAACGCCAAAAGCAACAAGTTCGCGCAGGAGGACCATCGACAGGTCCGCCCTCGTTTGAAATAGTGACTCGAAAAGCACTTCAGACGGATAAACCTGACAATTTGCTTTTAGAGCCTTTCGGATAATTTGTGCCATCGCCTTCTGAACCTCGCGATCCTGAACGAAGAATCTGCAATGGTCAACACAAAACCGCTGTAGGCTCGAAAGCAGGGCCAGCTCCGAATCCACGGCTGATAGATTCGTGTTCGCTCGTCTGAATTCTGCTGAGAATGACTGGCTGCTAGGTGTCCCTCGCCCACCCTGCCAGTATGAGTCTTTGCCCAACAACTCGCCGGCGTATTGGAGATCGTAGAAGAAGTTCAACCCGTATTCTCGTTCAGTCAGCCTCGTGCGTTTGACGTCGGAAACTACCAATCCATTATACTTGGCTGCAAAATTTCGACGCAGATTGGCGTGCAGTGAGGAATTATAGCTGGAAACTTCGACAGCGTTTGATGTGAGCCAGTTTACCAATGGTATGAAGATCTTGACGGCATTGAAGTCTCTCGCAACTTTAGCATGATGAAGATGAGTTGTCGCAATATCGGTGACACCAGCGGCAATCAAATTTTGCTGCGCAACATCGGTTTCGTTATGGTGCTTGGGATCAAATCTGGTCACAAACGAGACGATCGTAGAGAAGAATTCGTTGGAGGAGAGATCCTTTGTTACCCAGGACCAATTTTGCTGCGCCTCCAGAGCAAAATCCAGGATCGCCCTCAAAACGATTCGAGGAAGAGTTGAGATATCTTTCATCTCTTTCATGGCAGACTGAAGGAATGTCGGACCGGGAACGCACTTTCTAGGGACTTCCCCTGACTTCACACGTTTGGAGTTGTCCGGAGCAGCGCCAGTCAAGATGACCATCGCCAGCCATTGCTGAGAATCCTTGACTAACAGAGTAAGCAGTTTCCAGAGTTCAGCACGTTCCTCTGGAGATTCAGACTTCTGGTCAAGGTGACGAACAAGATTGACGAAGTCGATACATGACAACGACCCTAGATGGCCCAACAAAGATGAGGCCTGATATCGCTCCACATATCCCAAGGTGGAGCGCAACAACCTCAGACAAGGTTTGCGGACGGAAGATGGAGCTTGAAGCATCCGAACAGTGCAAGGCACTGCATCAAAGATATGCTTTTCGAGCACTGACAATGGGAGGTCTTGTAATTGGCCATATCGAACAAGCAGCGATGCCAACGATAATACCGCGCTTACGTGCCGATCAAAGAACCCTTCAACGTCTAACACAGTTCTGTCAGTTGTGCTCGCTATGAAAGCGAGGCGTGTGATCGGGCTGATCGCAGCATCTTCTGGACCTGTCGATCGAAAAGAAGCCACAAGATATTTCGCCGCTCCAATAAAAGGCATTGTCAGCTGGTTGGAAGAACCTATCGACGGGCCGTAGTCAAAAGCGTAGCGAATGATATCGTAAAATGAATCAGCAATTGACGTGCTGATACGGATCTGCTGAGCGGGTTCTTGAAATGACCAATCTGAGATCTCTTGGAAGACTTGGAACATAATCTCCGTCGTGGCTGATAGCATCTTACTCTGAATACGCCACGCCACGGATACCGTTGGGTTCCGCACGGAGGTTTCGTTGGTTGATGAAAGGCCATGACCAGAATCTCTGAGTGCCAATTTGATCAGTGATTGGTACAAATCCGTGCACTTCTCCAAGAAGTCGAAGTTCCGCAGCGGTGCTTCCACTACAGTGACAATGCTGAGGATCGGTGAAGAAGCTGAATGATGACCAAGAAGACTCGTTCGACTGAGATTGGACCATATCAGATGTGGCTTGATTTTCGTAAGGACATAAACGAAATGTATGCAAGATGTCATGACTCGACAATCAAATACCGATGCAGACCGACGGCGGAACGCTTGCAGCTCTTGTTCGAGTATATCAAAGATGTACACGACTACATCTGTCTCCGGAGAGAGATTGCTGCTGGCTTCGTCCAAAATCGAGGCGCAATGTTGCTCCATTTGGTCAGCAGAGTGACCATAAGAAGTGCTGGTCAGAATGGTCGATAAGAGCGTTACCAGAACACCAATGATCTCTGAAACTACCGCTTCAGGGTCTTCAAATGGCGTCAAGGCAGTGACGAGCAATCCCATGTAACGCAGCTCCAGTAACTGCCCCATGTACGCCAGACCCGAGAACTCATATTGCCATCTGATGATCTTCGGAGATGCATCTGGGTCAGAGATAAGTTCACCAATTGCGCCAGCTGGGATGATCGACGTAGTCTCTGAGTCCTGGTATGCGTAGGTCAGCAGCTTGCTCTGTGAGAGATCCAGTACATTGACTGATTTATTGAGAGCCACAAAGCTGCCAGCTTCGTCCTCAAGGGTAGTCCTGTAATCAATGCCTTTGACTGCGGCTTGCGTAAAGGATACGAGTTTCCGAAGGCGAAATTCGACGTATTGCGTCCCATCCTCACTAAAGACAGGAGCCTTGGCCAATGCCCGACAGAAACGCAGAAACGGCAAACACTCGTATGGAAACCTGGCGGCCGAAGTGTCGAAGAAGCCGTCCATGAGAAGGTTGTCCTCGATGAACTCCGTTGCCGGATCATAGACTTTCTTCTCGTAAGAGCAGTCCCGATTCGCTGACAATAAGGCGAGCTGCATTGATACCAACTCGGGGGTGTATCCTAAGAACGACTGCGATACGGCAATAAGTTCTTGTATAACTTGGAATTTGTAAATAGCCAATGTTTTCGAGGGAATGCCGGCCGATGCAGTGAGTAGTGTAATATAGTCAACGATGCGGCATCGATCAATGGCAGCGTCGAGTAAAATGACCGCTGGATCTTCGCTCGAGTTGAGTGTACTGAATCTATCCAGAAGATCTTCAAAGATCGTCTGTTGAAAGGAAGAGCCACTACCAGCAGAACTTCGGCGGCCAGTTGCTGCATCAAATGTTGCGATTCCGTCAATCGTCCTTTGAACATGATGGCTCTCTCTGTTTTCCTTGATGGCGATACCCAGTTGTTTGATCTGGTGAACCACGATTGCCCATGCTAAGATCGCAGGACCAGCTTGTATATTCCCAGTCGCGGCTTCATTGACAAGCAGCTCATGTATTTGAAAGGCACAGTCGAGGTCAAAGAAATACTCTCCTCGCGAGCCGTGCCGAACAGTTTGGCCAGATGATGCAGTTTTATTCAAAATGGCGACAGTGGAGCCAAGGTTGAGGAGAGACAACGATACCAGAGATGCTGTTGACTGTATTTTCTGAATGGCTGCAAGTTGGGTATCAATTTCCGAGCTGAAAGAGGCGAAAAACCCGACCGAGGACATGAGCTGGAGCCAAAGGAGAACCGTGTCCGAGGGTGGTTTCTCGTCTGAGGCCCGCAGCCTCAGTAACAGGATTTCCAGGATCACACCAATTATTCGGAGACTTGCAGTATCCCCCACATCTTTGAGAAGACTCAGACCGGGCTCATCTAACTCCCAGGAACGACCGGATTCGAGATTCTGTAGCTGTGCTCGGATAAACTTGACGCCATTCTCGAAGTCCTCGGCAATGCCAGATCTCTCACGTCGTTCGAGGTTGGCGAATGTCTTCCCGGGCTGTGGTGGTGATGTCTCATCCGTATCCGACAACAAGCTCACATCCAAAAGTTCCTTTGCTAGGCGCAAGAGCATGACTTCTTGCTCCAAATGCTTGCGAATCAGGCGTGTTCGGCGCGCATTTCTAGAATTGAGGGTCTCTTCGTCTCTTGCGAGTGCACTCCCCCGCCCTTGAAAATTCCTGTCCACAAAATCTGATCCAAGGGCGTCTTTTAAACTCGCGACTTCAGCCTGGCAGAACCCCTCATGCAGTCTCGACTCAGAGCGATACTGCCATTCTAAAATTGCCAACCGCAAAGCCTCCTGTTCTTCGAGGTTCACCTGCTTGCTGAGCCACAAAGCGTCCTCCTTCAGCTCATCGCGATTGAACTGTCCATCCGAAGAGTTTGGTATCGCCGAAATTCGGGAGTCGAAGGCACTTTTTGAAGAGGCTGAAGGCGGAGGAAACGAGGGGAACGTAGACTTCAAAATTTCTTTAGTGTGATTGCCAGAGAGTAGCTTGGCTACAAAATCCCGCCTTGAGTCATCGTGGGAAAAGAGCGCGTCAAAGAGATCGTCCCAGGAACTGTGACTTCTCGTTAGCATGGCATTCGATATGCTGTTGCGGAGGGGCCGTACAGAAGGAGGAGCTCGCCAGCAAGACACTTCTCAACATTAGGAAGATAGTCCGGGTTCAGCGACCCACACGCCATATCATCAGAAGCGGTCAGCCTGTTGGAAGCAACATTGAGGGAGTTGTTGGTCGTTGAATAATTGTTAGATGTGAACCAAATACTGAAACAAAGCGCGTCGCAAAAAGTCACAATGCTTCGCCGTAGTGATCTCAGCACGTGCAAGGCTGCCAAGTCTTGGCGTACCAGTGCCTTGCCGCAATGTCAACAACATCTTTCACACCTATGCAACTCGACCAAATCTCCCCAAACATCCTGCTAACGACCTCAGAAACTGATCAAGTGGCATTGGGACTACTACCTACTATCGGGAGCTCTCGAACAGGCAAGGATTGAGTCATTTCTTCATACTGGTTGCCATGCATCATATTGTTTCAAGCAGGGAAAGGAAACACAACAAAACCGCTCCACGGTTCACGAGCTGCATCAAACTCTCGTCCTGGATTTGAGGCGATAGGTCAATATTTAACCAGGCTTTACACCCCTTGGAAGATGCTCCGTCTCGAGCAGGTATTTCCCCAACGATTCTTGCTTTGGCACAACCTCTGTTCGCGCCCCTTGGCCAGTCGAGCCATTGTGACCATGGGTCTACTCAAATCCACATAAAACCTGCTTTGCTGGCTTTGAAAACCAGCATGGGAGGCAAATTTAGCGCCAAATCCGTTGGAAGAGATTCTGGGTTGTGGACTTCTGTGGCAAGGGATTCACGAAACATATGAATGCGAATGAGCAATTCATTAAGGTGCTCCCACACATTTCTTTCACAAATGTGGTATAAGACAAGAGCACGGCTTTCATCACACCGGTGCTCCCTCGAACCATCACGAACCATTCCACCCATATTCACAACTGACAGGCGCGATTTATATCATCGCGCCCTTTTCGATCTTTCACTATCACTTATTGTGGGTCTTCTGACCAAGTATGTGTGTTTTATCACAGCTTCAGTCCCCTCTTCGCCATTCTTTTGTATAAATCCATCATCTCTCACGAGGTTTGAATCACCCTCTTCGGCTCACGTTGTGAGTACCCATCGCTTGTGTCCTACGTTTGGCCTCTATTTTGGATCTGCACATTTGCAGATCCAACAAGGTCCGTCCTTCGTACTATTCACCGGCACAGTGTCACCCTTCCGGAACTTTCTCATTAAAATCAGATTTTTTTTCAAGCTGGTCCTTTTCAACCGGACCAGGTTTCCCTTCCCTTTCCTTCGATCATCTTTAGGCCGAGTTCATTCTGCGATCGCTCAGTTGCTGCAGTGTTGTGGCTTGTTTTCACACCAACACGTTGCTAGACTGCTATCAGCAAGGTATTAGAGACAACAACAACAAAGCCTATCCATGGACAAGGACGAGAAAGTCAAAGACGCGATTCCTGACTGCGGGGCCAATTTCAACACCAACACCTCCGCAAATGGCAAGCATGGAATGACCAAGTCAGAGCTGGCGCGCGCAAACAAGCAGAAGATAGCGGACAGAGAGAGGGGGGCTACCCAGGACGAGCGCGTTGAGTTTGCGGGTAAAGATTCTTCTTCTACGCAAAGCCATACTCTTTTACTGATACGGTACAGGATTGGATATGGATGCAGCATGCGAGCAATTCGAGGAGAAGATGACTTCCCGTAAGTTTATTCAATTTCAACTTTTATGGTCCCCCTCCATTCTTAGTGTGTACTTAAGTTGAGTTATCTCCCACCACAGGCGGTTATCGGCCCTTTGTCGACCAGAGTGGCTTCATGTACCTCTTCACACTGATAAGGGAGGATATATTGAAGAATCGGCTTGAGAAACATCGGATCAAGGTGCGCTATGCACCCGACTTCGCTTCCCAGCACGATACCAAGTCCTCAATGTACCACCAAGCCAGCGAGGGGAAGCATCAGGGACCAAGAAAAGGTGTGTTTCTTGTGCAGTTCTGAGCTGCTCACACGCTAATGGGACCCAAGGCAAGGTTTTCAGACCCTCCGAAGACCCTGAATCAAACTCCAGACTTCCATTTTGCCCAGTGCCGCTGTACTTCTTTCCCAAGCCATACCCATTTTCGCGGAACCCTGTCATTGGAAGTGCCCTGCCTCAAGACCTCAGGCCCTCAAACCCCAAACTTCGTGTGCACATTCCCGACCCATATGCTCTGAGCCTACAGCTTTTTGAGTCAGATTTAATATCGACTGGTCGCAGATCCACCAGGCACACCTCTTCCGCTTCGGTGGTCCCACAAGCAGGAAGCCGTCGAAACGTGAAGACATATGCATGCTATTCGATCAACACGCGATCGGGGATGATCTGGATACAGACACTGGCTCCCGTCGGCAGCACGTTTGACCTGGCTTGGGATATGTTCTGTAAGTTCTTCAACATGAGGGTGGGTGTTGAGTGGACGGATGTCTATGAGGGGTGGAAGAAAGGCATCCACTGCGTACAACCCTTGAGCGAGAAACCACTTGGTGAGGACGGAGCAGATGATGGCGAGGGCTTCCGTGGCTCAAAGCCATCAGCGCTACAGTTCCGTGATGGACAAGATGAAGCAGCGGTCGAGTCCATTGAAACCAGGAGTAGGAAGCCTAGCGTTACGGTGCTGATGAATATGCATGAGCATATCATGGATGAACGATTGGAGGTTCAGGCGAAGACTCCAGAAAGCGGATGGTGAAGTAATCCTGGCCATCGAGATATGCTGAAAACTGTCCACCAGCGATTGTCATGTCATGCAAGACGACTGCTGCATAACAGTACAGTGACATCGACCTATTTCTTGACACTGTCATGCTGCATTATGAGCTTGAGTTCATAGATAATCTTTCTTGCGGCTGGTTCTTGTGTATTGGGTCAATGCCCATTCGATTTCGCCGCCAGAATCCTTCTCCAAAGTACCACCTCTTATCTCGAAGCATCTCATGCTCATTCTGGGTCCGACTTCAGCCAACTCGACGTCCCTGTAGCCGGTCTGCACAAAGACGTGATGCCGCACCTCGATACTGTCCTCGACATTCTTGAAGGTCACTACTCTGTTGCCGACTTTATGTGGGCCGTCCCGGGGAGGAAAGATGTGTTTGAGGATCTGGACCACTCGCTTCCCCAGCCGTGTCGTAAATCCCTCAAAGATCAAATGGGGATAGGACTCAGATACCGTCCCTCGTGAAGCATCAGGGATGTCTGCTCGCAAAACGACATTGTGTAGGGAGAAAGAAGCGGTTGGGCCATGAGGCAGGTGGGAAATGGTCATTGCAGTGGGCGTGCCTCGATGCTCGTGGAGGAGGATAATGTCGGTGAGGGCGGCGGCCTTTGCGCTCGCAAGAAGATTAGGGAGAATCAAGTTGCCTCGATTCAGGCGAATAGAGGTGGGTAGGAGCAGGCGAATTTCTTTGGAAAAGGTAGAGAGTCGTGTCGAAGGGCTACGGGAGGTTGTGACAAGTGGACGAGGGTCGGAGAGACCAGACAGCATTGAATACTCATCGTCCATGGACTCTTGTGCAGCAGCACTCTCGAGATCCAGGGATTCATCGTACTTGAAATCTTTGCGCAGAGAATTGTCATTGGCAATCGACGGGTCAAGGGGTTTCCCAGTAGCAAGCGACTTTTTCAGCAGCGCCCGCTTCTCTGCAATGCTAGCATCTCGCAGTTGTATTGCGCGACGGTAGATATAATCACGACGCTCGCGGGCTTGCCGACGTAGCATTGTGCTGACTTGGGAGGAATGGACAGATGGGAACGTAGAAAACCAAGAGCCAAAGAAAAATGATGATTGTCAGATATAATTTTGGCGGAGAAATTTCGCCGCACTTGATCCGCATCGCGACCACCCACCTCCATATTCCTCCATCCCTCACTCTCCTTCGGTCACTCATCTTCACTGCAAATCCTCCTACAACTACAACCCCGCGCATGTTTGACAATACGCCCCTAGCGACCTTTGAGAACTGGAGACCGTCGGAGGGGTGTGGAATCGCGACGTCTATGTGAAAACTGGGTGACCCTGTGGACTGCGCCGATCGGTCACCCTTCGCCTCATCCTTTTACGGTGGAAGCGCCAAAGGTTTCTCTTTGATGTGAGACTGTCCAGGAGTCAGACACTATAGAGATTGGTTTTTCAAGATGGAGGCGTTCAGCAACATGGGGAACCACTTGGTTTCCAACTCCGCAGCCGCTATCAACGCCATCGACGACATCTCGACCGTTGACCCGGATGAGAGCGTCCTCAGCCTGGCCAAGGGTCCCAGAAGACGTCAACATGATGATGATGAGTCAGAGAGCATAGAGGAAGACGACCTTGAGAGCCTCGCTTCCGCTGCTGTCGATGCGAATGGCAAGAAACATGTTCAAAAGGCTGAAGAAGAGAAGGAACTGCCGCCCCACGCCTGCGCGTATGTGACTACTCTACCCATTCTTCAAGAGACATTTCACTAATTGGTCCCAGCTACTGTGGCATCCACAATCCAAGTAGCGTCGTGCGCTGTTTAACATGCTCCAAATGGTTTTGCGCCGCTCGCGGAAATACCTCCTCCTCTCACATTGTCAACCACCTAGTTCGAGCCCGCCATAAGGAAGTCCAGCTTCATCCAAGCAGCTCTTTGGGCGACACTGTCCTTGAGTGTTACAATTGCGGAACAAAAAATGTCTTCTTGCTTGGCTTTATCCCGGCAAAATCAGACACCGTCGTCGTACTGCTCTGTCGGCAACCTTGTGCGGCGATGCCCTCCTCCAAAGACATGAACTGGGACACTTCGAGATGGCAGCCCCTGATTGAAGATCGCTCATTTCTCTCTTGGCTTGTCGCACAACCCACCGACCAAGAACAACTCCGTGCCAGGCATCTGAGTCCTCAAATGATTGCAAAGCTGGAGGAACTTTGGAAAGAGAATGCCAACGCCACCATCACCGACCTCGAGAAAGCGGCGAATATCGATGACGAGCCTGCTCCAGTACTTCTGCGCTACGATGACGCCTACCAATATCAGAATGTCTTCGGCCCATTGGTCAAGATTGAGGCTGACTATGATCGCAAGTTAAAAGAGAGTCAATCGCAGGACAATTTGGTTGTGCGCTGGGATCTCGGCCTCAACAACAAGCACTTGGCTAGTTTTGTGTTGCCCAAACTTGAATTAGGCGATGTCAAACTGGCTGTGGGAGATGAAATGCGGCTCAAATATACCGGAGATTTGCGACCAGCCTGGGAAGGCGTGGGCTATGTTATCAAGATCCCTAACAACCAGTCGGATGAAGTCACGATCGAATTACGAGCAAAGGGCGACCATAAATCCGTGCCTACTGAATGTACTCACAATTTCACAGCAGACTATGTTTGGAAGGCCACATCCTTCGATCGGATGCAGCTCGCCATGAAAACTTTCGCTATCGACGAGATGAGTGTGTCTGGCTACATTTTCCACCGCCTTCTCGGCCATGAAGTTGCCGCAGCTCCCATGAAGACCCAACTGCCCAAAAAGTTCAGCGTCCCTGGTCTGCCTGAGCTCAACGGCAGCCAAATCAATGCCGTCAAGTCTGTCTTGCAGAAGCCTCTGAGCTTGATCCAAGGCCCTCCCGGCACTGGGAAAACTGTGACTTCTGCCACCATTATTTACCATTTATCCAAGATCAATGGCGGCCAAGTCTTGGTTTGTGCGCCTTCTAACGTCGCTGTTGATCAACTCTGCGAACGCATACACCGCACAGGGCTGAAGACTGTTCGAGTGACTGCGAAATCCCGAGAAGATGTGGAGTCGTCCGTCGGGTTCCTCTCTTTGCATGAACAAGTTCGAATGAACGACAGCAATGTGGAATTGGTGAAGCTGAACCAACTCAAATCCGAACTAGGCGAATTGTCAAGCCAAGACGAGAAAAAGTACAAGTCCTTAACCCGGGCAGCGGAGCGGGAGATCCTTCAGAATGCCGATGTCATTTGCTGTACTTGTGTCGGTGCTGGGGATCCAAGACTTGCTAAGTTCAAGTTCCGCACCGTCCTGATTGATGAGTCGACTCAGTCAGCAGAGCCGGAATGCATGATTCCTTTGGTTCTTGGCTGCAAGCAAGTCGTCCTTGTAGGTGACCATCAGCAACTGGGACCTGTCATCATGAACAAGAAAGCTGCAAAGGCCGGTCTCAATCAATCCCTGTTTGAGCGTCTCGTCGTCCTTGGCTGTGCGCCAATTCGCCTGAATGTTCAGTATCGCATGCATCCCTGCCTGTCGGAGTTCCCATCGAACATGTTCTACGAAGGATCTCTGCAGAATGGCGTTACCATGCAGTACCGTCTCCGGAAAGATGTGGATTTCCCCTGGCCAGTTCAAGACGCACCAATGATGTTCTGGTCGAACCTCGGGAATGAAGAGATCTCCGCGTCAGGCACCTCATATCTCAATCGCACGGAAGCGGCCAACGTGGAAAAGATCGTCACGCGATTCTTTAAAGCAGGCGTCAAGCCTTCGGACATTGGTGTCATTACCCCATATGAAGGCCAACGCAGCTACATTGTCAGTTCCATGCAAGCTACCGGGACCTTTAAAAAGGAAATGTACAAGGAAATTGAGGTTGCTTCAGTCGACGCTTTCCAAGGCCGAGAGAAGGACTTTATCATCCTATCTTGTGTTCGGTCGAACGATCACCAGGGCATTGGTTTTTTGAGCGATCCCCGTCGTTTGAATGTGGCCATGACTCGAGCCAAGTACGGTTTTGTCATCCTCGGCAACCCCAAAGTCCTCTCAAAACACCCACTTTGGCATTACCTCTTGCTGCACTTCAAGGAACGCAACTGTCTGGTGGAGGGCCCTCTGAACAACCTTCAGGTATCTCTGCACCAATTCAGCCGACCCAAACAGTCCTACCGGGGCCCACAGCGCTATCAAATGGCATATAATCATGCTAGTCATATGGCAAGCGGTATGATGAATGGGAGGGCTGCTCCGCGCAACGATTACCGTGAGCCAGCAGGCTCCGTTGTCGGCTACATACCGGACGACGTCTCTTCCATCCATTCATCTGCCATGGGCGGAGTAGGTGTTCCCGCGGGCTATCCACCAATGTTCCAAGGGTTTACGCCCGACGCGTGGCCCTCCCTCCAAAATACTCAGGCTCGTCGCCAGAATGGAGTCAAAGCGAGAGCCGTTCCGAGTAGTGTGGCGGGAGAATCTACGGTGGCGACTGAGTCCGACATCACAGGCAGCGTTCTTGGGCAAGGCGGAGTCAGCCTGGATCAATTGTCCATTCATGACACCAACAAACAGCCGAGTTACAACCAGGCGGATCGACTCAAGAGATATGTCGAAGGCGGGGTGACTGCATCTGGCGGTTATGTGTCGAACCACAAGCTCGGCAAGCTTGCGCACGAAGATGAGGACGCCAGGAGTGTTTCGACTGCATTTGCCAGTCAAGTTGGTGGAAGTTACGACTGATATCATTGCGACAGGGCGACAACATTCCAAAAATAGGGAAGAACGAGCTCATCTGAGCATCTCTTACGATGTGTAGTCATCATTAGCACCAGGCGCCGCCTCCGATCGGTTGCCGGTCACTGACTTGACGAATCATTTGTATCCCACACCACGAGGGGGTATGCTCCACCGTCTCCCGTCGAGGTTCGCCAGCAGCAGCGACAGACAGCGACAGCGACGATGCGGCGCTTGTGAGCCTGGAGGGACTGCACGGTCGCTTGAGACGCGTCCGCGAACTTGCCAACTGCGGGAAGATGCAATTGGAGAGGAGACTGGGCGACGAAGGGGCGAGGCATCGGAGCAGGATGTATCGTTTTTGGATGGCACCCTCTACTTGATGGAAGGCTGCACGTCTACCACCATTTCACCGTCTTATCTTCGGAAGCGGCATGCTTGGGCGACGACGATAGCAGCAGTCTCTCGGGTCAGGCCACAAGCAAGACTAGGAGAGGTGCAAGGGAGCCAATGCAAAGAGAGGATGAGGGGGAGAGAGATGGGAAAGATGGCGACCAGCAGACTGAGAATGAGATTGTTTGTGCTTTGCTTCTTTTATCGGATACATTGTGTGTCATAGGTTGATCGCCCTCGGTCACTCATTCATCAACCGACACAAGATAGTCAGTCGCTCTCTTAGTAGATATCCAATCAAAACCCGACGCTTTCAGTCGCTTATATTAGTGTCTGATCGTTACCTTGAGATGCTCGAGTGCCTCGTACTAGTTGTTGACCCACACATTGAGGCTCAGGAGGTTGTTCCGTCGTGAAACACCCCAGACACACTCCGAGGGGTTGTTGCTGTTCCCTAAAACACATACAAATTTCAATCTGATACACAACCAGCGCCTTTGGGGGCCTTTTCTTCCACCCTCACGCCCCTCCAGACCCGGACCAAGTCCACCTTTTCGATCTAGACTCTTGTCTGGACTGGTTATCATGTAGCAGCCTCATTCAGCCGCTTGCTGGACCAACTGGAGCCCATGGTTTCGGATCTGCGGTGCTCCGACAGCAACTGCTCGTCGATGAGAGACAATCCCTCCGTCATAGGGATCTGGCCAGCATTGTCTGGGGGCATGTAAGTGCGTAGCTATTTGACTCTTCCCTTCTGCGCAGAAAGTTGGTCTCTCCCTCTCTCTGCCCCCTTCTGTCCCAGTGTTTTGCACAGTTGAACTGTAGCAGGTGATCATCCTCTGAGCCACGAGCCCACAAACCCTCGAGTCCTGGAATCCTCACGACCGTGTTCCCTCAAGAAGAGAAGGACAGTCAACCATCAATTGGAGTGACTGGCTCCCCAGTTCCATCCGTCCATCATGACGTCTGAATCCCTCCCTGACCGTCGAGCACTGAGAGAGGCATTTGACCTCGAGATCTACTCTTCCTCTGGCACTCCGCTGCGATTTGGCTCCTTGTTCTACGATTGCGATGTCTATCCGGCTGAAAAAAGAATCCTCGTCGTCTTCATCAGGCATTTCTTCTGTGGGAATTGTCAGGAATACGTCCGCAGACTGTCTTCGGCTGAGTCGCCATTCCATCCCTCTCAAAAGCCACCGCAATGCTGCACGTCAATAGCCTCCACGATGAACTTCTCGAAACCGGCGTCCCGTACGCTTCCCACAGTCATAATCATTGGTCCTGGCCAACCTTCCTTGATTGCGTCGTACAAGAACGTGACACAATGTCCTTTCGACATCTACGCCGACCCCTCAACGCGCCTCTACGAGCTCTTGGGAATGTACCGCTCGCTGTCCCTAGGTCACAGAGCCCCCGGGTACATTGAGCATTCCCTCTTCAGCGGCGCGCTGAAATCCGCCTGGCAGATCGCCCGTCGTGTCGGCAACGGGGACGCCATGAATGGAGGAGACTGGGACGTCAACGGCGGCGAGTTTCTGTTTGTCAGGTCAGCAGCGCCCAGCAGACCCTCGACGGGTTTGAAATCCTCTTCACCCTCGCGGTCAAGGTCGAGGTCAAGGAGTGCGCAGTCCCAAGACTGGGACGTTTCGTGGTGCCATCGAATGGCCAACTCTCGAGACCATACCGAAGTCATCAATCTGCAGTACCACGCCTGCCTCCCAGAACTGTCATCTCGAGCAAACTCGCGCGCTTCCTCGCCCGCACCGCTGAAGTCGATTCTGGTCAATGGCGGCCGAGCGCATTCCAAGACCCTCTCGGGAAGCAGCTACTCGACCGAGCGTCTCGGTTCTTGTCCAGGTCCGGACATCCCTAAATCTCGCGAAGAAGTCCTTTTGAACCAACGCCTCGGCCGCCCGCACTCCAGAGGGCATTCCAGATCCAAGTCTCACCATAGTCGACGATCACGGAGCACGAGTGTCGGCTCCCAGTCGAACAATCAAGTAAAACAAAATCACAGGAGAGTGTGGTCAGGTGTCAGCAGTACAAGTGCATCGCGGATGGATGGTGTAGCCAGTCCCATCTCCGAGGTTGGAGAAGAGGACTTCAAACCAAGAAAGAGCTTCTCAGCCACAGTTGCAGAGAGCGTGGGGCTCAGCGCGCTCCTGAAGCGGTCGAGGTCATTCTCGAGCCCGGCCCAGACGGACGCCACCTTTTCGGTGGTCGACGCGACCGGAGAAGCTGTAATGGCGACTCCACCTCGCCCAATCGACAGGACCAGTGCCTCTCGATCAGAGGTGGAATCAGATACCAGTTCCTCTGCGGTCCGCAGCGAATCTGAGTCTACGCAAAGGTTCAGAGATGTCATCCTGCCCTCCTCTTCCGCTGCCGCATCTTTGCCTCTTTCCGATACCCCTGCGCCAAAATCTCGACGCGGACATGCTCGATCGAGAACATTCTCCTTCTCCCGGCCAAGTCTTCCCTTGCGACGAAGAGCAGCAAGCCACATCGAGATGGACGAGAACGGCGTGATGTTCGTGGACGGCGTGGAGTTTGTCAACGTCATCAGTGTGAAGGCACGGATCGAGGCTGGCAGTGCACGAGATCAGAGAAGAGAAAGGGCAGACAGCGGGCTGGGTATGGAAGTCGAGACGGGAAATGAAAAGGGAGCCCAGAGAAACGATATCAAGACAGATGTCCCAGACAAGAAGAAGTATTCCGTCTTGACTACTCTGCCAGAGATTCGTGGTCTGGCCCGACAAGATGGGGGAAAGATTGATACTGCCTGATTGGTTTCTTTGGGCTGGCGAAGCCAGATTTCGCTCGACGAGAATTCACTAATGCCCAGACCAAAGCGTTGTCGGGATGCACCGGCAAGTGCGGATTATAGACGGGTTATACTTCAAATTTGTATTGGGAGTGAAACCTGCGGCGAGGCCGCAATTGAATAGCTGATTGCAGCGAAATGAGCCGGGTGATAGTCAACATTAACGTTTTAACGCTATGTCGTATCCATCATCCCCGTACTTGAATGAGGACATCTATGAGTCCAAAGTGTATGTTCGCCATCACCATTGAATTGGTGTATAACATGCTGTCTGCCCATGCATATCTATCCGGGGTCCAGAATCGGAACGCTGCGCCGGGTCCTGTCGTCAAATCATAATGCTGTCTCTCGGTTTGTGGTTCATGCTTTTATCGTGCGGAATATGTGCTGGTTCTCTTCAAGTCTCTTGGTCGAATATCAAGGAGGATTACTCGTGATTGCCGGAGAATTCGATGCTGGTCTTCCATTAAAGTCAGAGTCGGTATGACCATCTTGAAAAAAGGTATAGCCACTGCCATTCCACGCTATGGCGCCACCATCCACTGGACTTATCTGCGGGTTGAGTTGTGCAGCGGGCTCGGGTAAATCAAGGTCAGGGGTATGAGAGACCGGGAAGGCGGGTAGCGAGGAGGTCGGAAAGTCGGCGAGCGTTCCAGAGCTGAAGACGTTTGCCTGGATATTTTGACCGGACGGATCTTGGGTGGCTGACCCGTCAAAATTTACGAATGGGTCACGCGAGTCGAACGATGGCGGCGCGTCAGGGAATCCACCAAGGAGAGGTGGGCTGGTAATAGAGGCGATATCTGCACTCATTGATGGTGTATGCTGGGCCGATTGAGGCTGGAACATAGGAATGCCATGTGCATTTGGCATGGACGCCACTCTGGCTTGACCAATAGCATAATCGGTTCCATAAGAAGCCTCAAAGTCTGTCCAGCTGAAGGAGTTGTCACCCAGCTGTCCATCTGAGAAATTCCACGTACCATTGGATTCATTTGGTAGGAGGTCCCAAGGAGTTGGGGTTTCTGTTGGAGGATCGGCATATACGTCGTTTGGGGGTACACCAATCCTGCTAGACGGAGAATTTCCATGTGAACAATGTGAGCTGAGAGGCCGGTTGGTCCAGGAGTGCTGCTGGATAGGATATGTCAAGTAGATGGCATTCGGGTTCAGCGTATCGGAAAAGAACTGCTGAAGCTGTTGTTGAGACACAGCGGGGGTTCTCGAGAGGAAAAAGGATGGCTGTCCGCCCATGCACGATCTTGGATTGTTTTGAGGCATAGGAGCGACCGGTGTTAGACTTTGATTCCCAATGTAAGCTTGCTCTGCGAGGTTTTTGACTTGTTGCTGGGTATGATTAATTGACGTTGCGTTGTTGGGATGATCAGGGCAGTAGAGACAAGAACAGCCCGAGCCGCAAGAACAACTGGATTTCCAGGATTCGCTTGGTTGAGGTTGAAGTCCCTGGACAAGCTCGGGATCAGGTTTGGGAAGGCCGGGGAGAGGCGGTATCGCAGCAACGTTTTGACGGTGTCGACAGCCTCCCTTGGGCGACTCTGGCTCGGCATTGGGCTTCCCAGAACTGCAACAGGGCGACTTGGCCTCATCTGACTGGGCTTCCTCACGCTCCTTCATGCGTCGCTTCCGATCCTGGTATTCCTCATCGTTGATTTCTTTTCCATTAGCATCTGCCCAGACTTTTTTTAAAGTCATCTTATTCCCCTCGGCGTCTTCCCAGATCGGCTTTGGTGTCGAGGTTGCGTCCCTACCGATAGCGGCGGGATTGTCGACGCGGACTATCAGGTACATCTCCTGGGTACAAGCACAGTCCCTGTCACACTTGCAGGCTTTTGTGGTGCATGCGCAATTCCTCGGACAGTGACATCCTCTCTTCTGGCCTGCTGAAGGACGGCCAGGCTGATGTGTTTCGGAGATGGGTCTTGTCTTTCCATGGTCACATTTGTGGACTCGATGCCCCCTCTTGCAGGACTCGCAAGCGTAGGTCTTGCCGTTGAAATGCTGTATAGCAGGTGTCTCGCTCTTGTATGTCTTGAGCTTTTTGACCTTGCCATCCTCAACTCTAGAATTGCCCCTCGCGGGACTGGCCACCTTTGGCGGAGTGGTCCAGGGGTCTTGCATCGTTCCGCGGCAGAAAGTAGGGACCCGAGTGTGGCTGGTTGGTGTTACCACCGAGAAATATAGACAGACGTTCAGGGGAAGTGGGCAAGAATGTGGACTCGCTTTCTAATTGGATCTGTCGGGCACTGTTCGTGGTCTGATCGGCGAGAGCGGCGTCAGTTATATCGACCAAGGAGTGACAGGAAAAGAACTGGGGCCGAACACATGTCTATCGAAAAGAGTGTGCCGAATGTCAATGACTATGAAAAAGGTTTGGCGACTAACAACAGGTCCTTTCTCACGGATCGACTTTTGAGGACAACGATACTGGTGTTATAATGGTAATGGAAGTGTGAGACTCTCCGCAAAGACTCGAAGCTGAACCTCAAAGGGGGCATGAATGACTGAACTCTGAATAAGAGGGCGAATGCAGGATCCGCACAGCCGCAGTCCCAATCGAGGGGAAACGGCGTCGTCCACCTTCCCTCGTTGGTGCCCTTGAGCTTATGCAGGTCAGCCGGCGCCTACCCTTCAGCCTACTTATCCTTGAGCCAGTCAACGTTGGCTTCCACGCTCCTGCTAGCTCTTCGTCACAATTTTGTTTGTCTGCGGTCTCGATTCCGTCTTTGGAAACAACTGACCATGGGGGTGGACATGACTGACAACGACAAAGACAAAGAACTGCCGCGTCTATCAGCTCAGAAGGTTCCTTCATCATCGTCTACTTCTTGGTCTCTTCCTCTACCCCTTCGTCGCATCTTCGATCGGTTTCCGCTGGTCACATATCCCGCAAACGCCTTGCCTCAGCGGGTTCCTCGACATCGACACGAAAACATCCTCTGCATTTTCCAGTCCGATGAGCCGAGTTCTCGAGATGGCCCCTCCTTCAATCCATCTTGTCTGAAGTGGCAAGCCTACCTCAAATTCCACGGCATCCCTCTCCGCACTCGTCCATCGAACAATCACGCATCCCCAACGGGTGCACTACCTTTCCTCCTTCCTGCTTCGAGAGACGCCAGTCGACCAGCTTCTCCCGTTCCCGCCAACCGAATAGTGAAATGGGTGATATCTCAAGGGGGGAAAGAAGAGGCAATGCAGTGTCGCCAGGACGCGTACACGGCATTGATTGACCATGCTCTAAGAAGTGCTTGGTTGTACTATTTGTATCTCGACGAGCACAATTTCAAGGCTGTGGCATGGCCACTGTACGTTGCATCGTCCTCGTCATCCTCAGCCGTCCGTCTGAGCCTGGCTCATCAGCTGCAAGCTGCCGCAAGAGAAGAACTGCTGAAAATGAATGCTGTCATCGACCCCCAACAGCTCTACTCGCAGGCTGAACAGGCCTTTCGATCATTATCTACCCTGCTAGCCGACGATCAGTTTTTCTTCGGTCAGTCCACTCCGGGCCTCTTCGACGCCAGTCTCTTTGCGTACACGCAAATTATTCTTGATGATCACCACTCCTTCGAGACACAGACATTGAACTCGTCCTTGAAGAAGCACCAAAACCTAGTCCAACACAGAAACCGTTTACTGCGGGGCTTCTTCTCTGACTGACAACCGTCATGCACATTTTCTGAGAATCCCTCCAAACCATACTGTTACGCCCACCCATTTCTCCGACCGTTGTCCCAGGACTGCAACCATTGGCTGGTCCACTTTCCGCTCCTCAATCTGTCCGAGCACTTCAAACCCATTTTCCGAGGCGGCTACCTCGACTTCGGTCAACGTGTGTGAGTAACTGGTTGGGCGGATCTTTTCGCCCGTTTTCGGATCAATAAAACCAGCCTGACTGATCTTGCCCATCTCTGAGTGCATGTTGGTCAGCACTAAGATCCCTCCTGGTTTGAGGATTTTGGCGACTGTGGCGAAAAAGATGTCTGCGGGGATATGTTCGATGACCAGTGTTGACACCACAGCATCCGCGCCGACGGCAAATTCTGGTGGCGAGGACTCTTGCAACATGTCATACACCTGGAGCTTCAATTTACCATCCGCATGGAACCTCTGCAGTCGAACTCGTGCCACCTCGAGCATGCCAGGACTGAGATCGAGCCCAACTACCGTCGCAGCATCTTCTACCTCCAGCAATGCTGCCGTGTTCCTGCCCGTTCCGCATCCCAGGTCCACCAAGGTCCACGGGCGGGGATAAGCGAGCTCATTTTCCAGGATCTTGAGCATTCGTGGCATCAGAATTTTCATCTCAATCGTATCCAACATCTGCAGAAAGTTGCCGTCTGTGTCATACACAGCCGACCAGAGGTCGTAGGCTTGCGTGGTGGAGAGATAGCGGATCGTGGGATCGGAAGACTGGGCGATTACTTGAGACATGGTGACACTGCTTGACGTCGAACGAGACTTCGCGTTCAGACACGCTTTATAGATGTAGATTTCGACTCGCACTGTTCACGCCTTGGATAAGTTGCCAGATGTAGATTAGATTTAGTCTGCAAAAACCGAGTTTGTCGAGTACTGTATCCCCAACCGTAAACAACGAAGGGGAGAGAAAAATATAAACGAAGAGGACCCAGGCGTATTTTTAAAAGGGTTCTCCGCGAGGCTGCCAATCCCCTCTTGTGAATGAGTCACATTGTTCGCCAAAGCGCGAGCGACCCCAGCATGAAGAGCGACTCTACCTGCAGATACGAATCCGACGTTCGAATCAAAAAGTGTTGATTTCGGCTAGCACTAAACTGGTTGTATTCATGGGATCCAGGTAGTAACATTAGACGTGCAGTCGTGTTGGCTTCGGACATGACTGCCGTCCCAAAGTTCGAAGATTTGTTCTTCGAATATCGCTTTGTGAGGAGCGGATTTGCATAGCCCTGACTGAGCTGGTGCTGCACATACATGTACACTGCCAATTGAGCATAATCGGTTTCATTTTCAATGGGTATCTTGCGAACGGATTCATCCCTCTTCCAGTTTACCACTGGGCTCTGCTGTGTTGTTACATGCCACCGACCCCAAAGACACCACCTCCTTCCCTCAAATCTTCCACCAAGTCCTGCACATTGCTCAAATGTTTTCCGAGCAGACTCTGCTTCTCCTCGGTCGTCCTTGTGTTCCCAGAGTCTTTTCCATTCGCTGTCTTTCCGCCCACGCCACCGCCGTCGGCACCATTGACAGTCTCCCCCCTCCTGCGATCAAATGCAGCAATTACTTCCTTCCCCCTCCCCCCCAAGATCGCCGTGTTTGTCGCAGAGGTTGAGCTTGCAATCTTTGGTGTGACAGTTTCGGGCATGAGGTAGAAATAAAGAAACTCGACCAGTTTTAATTTTACTTCGCGGGAGGTCCCTCGGGATTTGAATAGAGATGTGATTACCAACAGGCCGTCAATGGATTCAAAAGTGCGGGTGTTTTGCGGGTTGTCGAGTAAGGAGGTTACTAGGGCCATGATTGTGGAGGATTGGATGGCGGGACAGTTTGAGGGGTCGAGGAGGTCAAGGAAGAGCTGGAAACATTAGTTAATGGGTGTTTTGTTGAGTAGTAGTGGTGAAACTCACGTTCATGTATATCTCCTGCGAAAACAGCGCTCGGGAAGGTGGATGGAGTAGGAGGACTCCTTGGATCAGATCCAGTGTCTGAATGATTAACAGATCATTCGTCCCGTTGCTTTCCTTGCCTAGGAGTCTCTCTAGACTTGCCACCAGTCTCATAGAAATGTTCCATTGGAAACTCTGTTGCAGTTTGAAGAATTCACGAAAGGCGGGATCTGAGGGCAGGTCTGAGAGCTTCTTCGAGTGAGGCGAGGAAGGGGTCGACGATCCCAGGAGAAGCATCGACTGGCGTTTGTTCGCGGCGGCGTTGGTTCTGGACAGGCATAGTTGTGCGAGCAAGCCTTCTACCTGGCGGAGCCCCTTGCGGATTTTCTGAGGGGAGCTTGAGGAAAGGTAGTCGAAGGAATGTGACAACAAGGCCTCCATTATGGCAGCAAGTGACCTCTGTGAGAGCAGCTGGATGAATGTACACGCCACAGGCTATACGACCTCGTCGCAGATAAAAATGGACGAGAAATGTACCTGCTCTACGTATAAGTATCAACAAGACAAGTTGTCAGGGCGACCATGCGGGGGATGCACCTAGTGGTCCCCCGTGCCTCCTCCGGTCCACCTGCCACTGCTGGTGCTGGGCGTTGCCGCTGGCCAGTAGCCACTGCACAACAGTTCGGCGCCCCGTTCCGCCGCTCAGATCAGGTGGGTTGATAAGCGCCAGGCACCTGAATAAGCCACGCTGAGAATCGGTGCCTAGCGCCTGCATTGTCGTCATGACTCTCATGTGATGACCCTCTATTCGATCTCTCTGCGTGTCGGCCTAGTGAGCCTTGGGGCACCTGCTCGCCGACACAAGATCAAAACCACTGATTCCACCCGGCTTCCTGACCTCAGATCGCCTCCTTGATCACAAACTCAGGCTCTTTTGACAACCTCGAAGATCCCCTGCCTCTCTTTACTTTCCCGACCAAAACTGAAGCTTGCGCGCTCCGAAAAGCTCGAGCTGTGCAGTCCCCCACCTCATCCCGCATTTTCACATGCAGTTTGCTGCGGAATAGATCCAGCATATCCAACACGCATGTCGACCGTTTCAACCGAAAACCCGACTTCTCCCAACGCCATCCCAATCCGCTACAGCTCCGCAGGCGTCTCCAATGGCCTTCACCAACAGCCCTCAAAATCCGTCCTCAAGCCTCTCCCAGAGGATTCTTGGATTTCGTCGAAACACCATTCAATGCCACCATCAATGAATGCGGCCCCCGTCCTCTCCGACCATACGAACAGCCTCAAACGCAGACATTCAAAGAAGCGGTCTGCCCCTGAGAATTTGATATCCAAGAGACCGGGAGAATGGTCGCCGCAGAAAGAGCAGATAATCTTGGGGCCTTATGACTACCTGTTCGCCCACCCTGGCAAGGATATCCGCTCAGCCTTGATCAAGGCGTTCGACGTCTTTCTACATGTCCCACCAAAATCCTTGGAAATCATTACAAAAGTCGTGGGGATGTTACATACATCCTCGCTCCTGATCGACGATGTGCAGGACAACAGCGTGTTGCGAAGAGGAATCCCTGTGGCACACAACATCTTCGGGACAGCCCAGACCATCAACAGCGCCAATTATGTCTATTTTCTCGCCCTACAAGAGCTTCTGCACCTGGAAAACAAAGACGAGGCAATGGAAATATTTACCACGGAACTGCTCAACCTTCATCGCGGCCAAGGGATGGATTTGTACTGGCGCGACACGCTGACTTGCCCCACAGAGGACGATTACCTGGAGATGGTGCAGAACAAGACCGGAGGCTTGTTTCGTCTCGCCGTCAAAATCATGCAGGCCGAGTCTCCGGAAAAGGGTCGCATCGATTGTGTCCCTCTTGTCAACCTGATGGGCTTGGTTTTCCAGATATGCGACGACTACTTGAACCTTTCCTCCAGCACCTACACCAAGAACAAGGGCCTCTGTGAAGACCTCACAGAAGGCAAATTCTCCTTCCCCATCATCCACTCGATCAGGAGCAACCCTTCAAACCTACAACTCATCAATATCCTCAAACAGAAAACAACTGACGAGGAAGTCAAGCGATACGCAGTGAAGTACATGGAGAGCACAGGCAGCTTTGAATATACCAAGAGGGTGGTGCGTGAATTGAGGCTGAAGGCTGTGAACCTGGTCACGGAAATGGATGGCGGCTCCGGAAGGGGGGACGAAGTGAAGCTGATTCTAGATAAGATTGCGGAACCAGCACTTAATGAACCGGTTCAGAGCTCATAGGGAGAGCGAACATTTTGGAAGGGGGCATTCAACAGGCCAGAGTGAGTGATGATGGTGTACATTATTCGTGTATAATACCTTGCGAGGTGGTGTAACTGGGCGCCTTGACGGGAATTGGTTGGCGACTCATATTCGTTACCATCTCGGAATCCGAGATATTACTCGTACAACTCTCGAAGTGCCTCTTTAGACGGTAAATTCCTTAAGTATCAGGCCCTGGCGGTATTATTATAGCAGAGTAAGCTCCGTCCCACACTCACTACCTGCTCCTCGTACAACTATTGTACCATCATCAATGCCGGGGAAAGATAGGAAAGCCCTTCTCCGCCCATATGAGTCGCTTATTCGCTCCATCCCAATCCCTCCTCCCCCGTCGTCCCCATCCCCTTTCACGCCTTCTCGGCTCGGCATCGATTGTCTCTTGGGATGTGGAGGTCATCAATACCAATACACGCAGCCCCGATCTCCCCGCGTCCATACATCAGGGCAATCGGCAAGTGCGTGACAGGGCGAACCAGCAAAGATTATTATATATCGCCAGTCACTATTTGGTCTTCGGGATTCCGCAGGTCTTGGTAAGTTTTGGGCGGTTGGTTTTCTCTTGCCACGAGGACGTTGAACTGGGCGTTCTATCAAGTCGAGGCTGGCCTCCTGGAAGAGAGACACTTGACATTGTACCACTGTTTCCTGCTCGTCTTCAGCAATTCTAGCCGTCTACCGTCACCATGATCCTGCCCAAGAGCAATGCAGCCTCGCCACTCATCGCCCCCTACATCCTCCCCCTCTCTGTCATCCTCCTCATCGTCCTTCCCATCATAACCTTGCTCCGCATCCGCTACCGCCGCGGGCTGCGCGAAATTCCAGGCCCGTTCTTTGCCAGTATCCTACCGATTGACCGTATTCTCAGCACGTATTCGGGGCGTCAATTCCAGCGCCATCTCGAATACCACGCCAAGTATGGGACTTTGGTCCGCGTCGGGCCTAACCATGTGAGTTTGGGGGACTCGGAGCAGATTTCGAATGTTTATAGTATCACCAGCAAATTCGATAAAGTAAGTTTTCCCCAGATGGACATGCTGGCGGGGAGCGAGCAGAAGAGGACGTCCCTGGCTAATATGGGGGGTTATAAAGAGCAACTTCTACACCCTTTTCCATGCCAAATCGCCCGTGGGCCCTATTCCCACGGTCTTCTCCATCATCGACCCTGTGGGACACAGGAACCTAAAAAGGCCTGTCGGGGCCGCATACGCCCTGAGCTCTTTGCTCGACTTTGAACCCTTGGCCGACGACTGCACGCGGATCCTCCAAGGCAAACTCGACGGCCTGCAGGGCAAACCCATTGATTTCGGTACGTGGCTGCATTGGTACGCATTCGATGTAATCAGCAGCATCACCTTCTCCAACCGATTGGGCTTCATGGAAAGAGAGGAGGATGTCAATGGTATCATTGCGGCAATTGAGGGTCGGCTCTTTTACAATTCCATCGTTGGCGAGGTCCCGAGTTTGCATAAATGGCTCCTGGGCAATAGCACCCTCTCGAGATTGGCCGACATGGTGCCCGCCATCAAGAGACTGAACTCGGCGGCGTACATTGTCCAATTTGCTGCGAGACAACTGGAGATGAGGCAAGATGCCAAGGCACAGCACGGAAGGTCCGACATGGTGGACAAATTCAAGACGACCAGGGATGGCGAGGAAGTCATGAGCGCGAAGGAGCTGTTGGGCCATGCGAGTTCGAACGTGTGGGTATTGCCTTTCCGAGCCAGCCGGTGTCTGGGCTTTTCGTTCTGGGTTTCTGACAGATTGTGAAAAGGTTTGCCGGTTCTGATACAACTGCCATCTCCCTCCGGGCGCTCTTCTATCATCTCCTGAAGAACCCCCATGCGTACCAGAAATGTGTGGACGAAATCCTCGATTTCGACGCTCGCGGCGAGCTGTCCGAGTATGTCACGTACTACGAGGCGCAGCGTATGCCATATTTCCAAGCGTGTATGAGAGAGGCGCTGCGCATGCATCCTGCCGTGGGGCAGTTGCTTGAACGGGTGGTCCCCAAAGGCGGCGCCACCATCGACGGCGTCTATCTACCGGAGGGGACGATTGTGGGCATGAATCCCTGGGTGGCCGCAAGGGATAAAGCGGTGTACGGCCACGACGCTGCGGTGTTCCGGCCGGAGAGGTGGATTGACGCCGACGAAAAGACGCTGAAGCTGATGGATCGAAACTGGCTTGCTGTGAGCCCCCCCCCCCCCCCCAAAAACCCCGGCCCCCCGCGGGGTTTCTTTTCTTTCTGCGTCGCTTGGACCCTTGGACCCCTCAGATCGATTCGGACTAACGTCAATCTCCCAGTTTGGAGCCGGCTCACGGACGTGCCTGGGCAAAAACATCTCCCTGATGGAGATGTCGAAGCTGGCGCCGCAGCTGCTGCGTCGATACCACGTCCAGCTCGCGGATCCCAACGCCGAATGGGAGCTGTTTGCGTACTGGTTCGTCAAGCAGGAGGGGCTGAATTGTATCTTGACCAGAAGAGACGGAGAGAAGGAGAGGTAGCAATCGACTTGCGAGGTGGCGACTGTGCGATCGTGGAGACCGTTACAGATACATTGTGGCCCTCACGCACACCATCTCCGATGGGTACCATTTTGCAGGTAGAAAATTTACCAGGATCGAAGGAAGCCACTCAGTCGCTTCAGGCAGCAAAACTAGCAACGTGTCTCTTCACCAGACAGTTCAGCGTTGAGCAACGCAATTCGGTTCTAAGCCTAGTTTGACACTATAGTGCATTCCTTGGCAACCTACAAATCCTTGACGGCGTCTATGAACGCTCTGGTTCTCTCCGCACTCCGGCGTCCATCAACATCGACCCCGGAACTGACATCGACGCCGACGACGTTCTGGCCGATATACTCTTCTCCCAGTTCCCTCAGCACTGTCCGTACATTCTCCGGAGTGAGCCCTCCCGCAAGGATCACTTTGAGACCATCGTCCTTCTCGAAAAGCGCTTTCACATCGTCGAGGTTGACTCTCGTGCCTGACCCCCCGCCTCCAGCATCCAGCAACGGCAAGGAATGATAGCCTCTCCTATTAATCCCACAATCCTTCGGGGAGAATGCTTTCAGAACAGGCACCGGAATCTGCCTCGCATATTCTAAGGGTTCTGAGCCGTGAAGTTGTACCGCGTCCAGACCCAGCTGGTGGACTTGCTGGACAATGTGGCGAAGGGGGGCGTCAACGAAGATACCAACCAAGAGGGCACGGTCGGGGCGTATCAGAAGTTGCGAGGAAGTGTAGCTGAAGAAATCTGCGCTCCCAACTCCTTCAGCTGCACTGACGGATTTTGGAGACGCCACGCGGGGTGTTTCTTTCACAACCTTTGCTATCTGTAACGCCACATCATCGGAGACGTGTCGCTTCCTGCCAGGCACGAGGATGATCCCGATTTGGTCCGCGCCGGCTTCAATCGCTGTCTTTGCATCTTCGGGTGTGCGCGTGCCGCAGATTTTGACTGAGAGATGCTTGGTTCGCGTTCCCTTCTTGGGTGGAATGTCGGGATCTCCCACTAATGTGGCAATAAACTCGACCGGATTCGGTGCCCTCATTAAGGCCTCGCCAACCAGAATTGCTTTCACACCATCCTTTTTGTACGCCTGCACGTCTTGAGGACCAAATATTCCACTCAGAGCGCACACAATCGTGGACTCTGGGACTTGATCCATCAATCGACTTGTCGTTCCAAGGTCAACCTCGAAATTTGTGAGATTGCGGTTGTTGACGCCAATAACCTCGGCGCCCAGTTCAACCGCAATTTTCATCTCCTCTGCCGTGTTGACTTCAACAAGAGGCTCCATTCCCAGTGATCTTGAGTAATAATACAGTCTCGTCAATGTCTCCACATCGAGCATCTTGACAATGAGTAAAACCGTATCTGCACCCGCGACTCGTGCTTCCAGAATCTGATACTCGTCGAAGATGAATTCCTTGCGCAGCACGGCGGGTCTGTTGGGCATGCTGTCGAGAGCCTGGCGAACGAGTCTCATGTCCTCAAGACTTCCTTTGAACCACTCCGGTTCCGTCAATACGGAAATGACACTGGCGCCAGCCGTTGCGTATTTCCGTGCTTGTGCCGGAGCACAAGTCCCCAGGGATATTATGCCTTTCGAAGGGGAGGCTCGTTTGATCTCGGCTAGGAGTGCAATTGGGTACGGGGATTGTCGAAGCCTTTTTGCGAAGGAAATTTGTGGAGGAGCGAGACCGAGGTCATAGGCATCTTGGAGATCTTGAGGCCTCTGAGATGGGATGAGCCTCTGAACAGCAACGGCTTGTCGTCGGTGGGCGTAGATTTTGTCCAAGATGGATTCTTTCTTCGGGTGTGCTGCGCCGTTGAAGGTGGGTGTAGCTTCTGCTCCAGGAGTGGCATACTGAGGATTGTTCGACCACATTCCGCCAGACATTTTCAGAAAATTCTTGAACATGACCCGTCCATTTTCCGTCAGAATGCTTTCGGGGTGGAATTGAACTCCTTCGATAACATATTCTTTGTGGCGGACACCCATGATTACGCCCTTGCCCCCGTCCGGTCCTTTGGCTATCCAAGAAGACACCTCCAGTGACTGCGGAAGGGTCGGATGTGTCCCTGCGAGCGAATGGTATCTTGTGACGGGTAGGTCTTGTGCCAATGTCGTATAGCATCCTTTGCCGTCATGCCTCAAAGGTGAGGTCTTCCCATGGAGGATCTCTCCAGTGACATCGACTTCGCCACCAAATGCCGAGATGATACACTGTTGTCCCATACACACCCCCAGAATTGGAATCTTGCCCGCAAAGTATTTGATCGCCTCTTTACTTATGCCCGCATCGGTGTCGGGGTGGCCTGGGCCAGGACTGATAACCAGTTGTGTTGGCTTTTTGGTAATAAGCTCTTCAAGTGTCACTTTATCGTTTCGGTAGACTGTAACGGCAGCACCTTCGAGTACGAGGTACTGGTAGACATTCCAGGTGAAGGAGTCATAATTATCAATGAGGACGAGGTTGTTTGCGGACGACAACTTTTGCGCAGGGATGGGCTGGTGAGGAGAATGGTCGATCAGAGCAGCCGGTGCCATGGTCAGTTTCGTGTCTTGGGAATATAGAGAACCCTCCTCTGCTGACGGTGAGAAAAGAGGAGGGGGAGTCTAAGAATGTTCAACTGGGATGATGGAGCCCTGCTCACTGCAGCCTCGCTCATTTCGCAACCGCAGTTTTCCCGGCTTCCTTTAGTGCCCGCCCTGCAAGTTTAATCGGACCTCGACTCCTGACTCCGTCCATGCACTCCCCGGCATCGAGGAAACACAACGAGGGATATGCGCGCTGCGACTTGCGTGGGAGTCGGTTTACAACTCAATGCGCTATCAAGATGTCAGGACAGGACAAGCCCTTGTGTCTTCATTTCAACCAAGACCATGGCAAGGAGACCATTGTCTTTTTACATGCGCTGCTCGCAAGTTTTGTCGAATACGCCAATGTGATCCAAGCCCTACCTGACCACCATCTCATGCTCGTCAATTTACCTCGCCACTCGCAGTCTTCCAAAGTCCCGCTCTTCGAACTTGGTTCGGCCGCAAAAATAGTCGCAGAGTTGATCGAGAAGCAAGCTCAGGACGGTCGAGCCCACCTTGTAGGACTTTCCATGGGAGGCTTTGTTGCTCTGGAAATAGCCAAGTGTTGCCCTGAGCTGGTTAGTTCCGTGTTTGTTACCGGGGCTGTTCCTCTGGATGGTTGGCGGAGGTGGCTAGCTGAACGGCCGTTGATGCTCTACATGGAGTATGGTCTTGCTTCGTTCATCCAATACTGCCCCGATTGGCTTTACTGGCAAGTCTGTTCTTGGCTGGGCCTTCAGCGCCATGACGAGCTGCGCCATGAAACATGCAAGAATTTCAATCTCGACCTATTGAGGCAAGGCTACGCTGCGATACTGAGCTTTACTGTGGAAGACATGAAGTCAATAAGAGCCAGAACTCTGATTGTCGCTGCGTCAGCACTGGACAACGTGGACACAACACAAAGCATGGGAAGACTGCTCAAGGCCAAAAATGTGGAGAGCAAAGCTGCAGTTGTTCGAGGCTTGGTTCATGCTTGGAACTTGCGGTTCCCGGAGCTTTTTTCAAAGACCATCATGGCGTGGGTCGGAGGCTGCGACCTTCCCGAAGGTTTAGAAGAGCTGGTATGACTCTTCAGGGGCCGGAGGTCTTGGTCTGGATTTTCTACTTTCCCTGGTAGAATCCACTCATGGTCTTCCACCTTGCGGCTCTCCTCCGTCGAAAACTGACTCAAGAAACGGCTGTAACAGTTGGTGAAACTCATTCGGCTTCGAAGAGAAGACCACGTGTCCTGCGTCGATGAACTCTAGCTTTGCATGAGGTATGCACAGCCTGGTTGCCTCGGCAACTGCCTTGGAACAGACCGGATCTCTGGTGCCCCAGAGAAGCAACACCGGAGCCTTGATGCTCCCTGCTCGAGATCGAAGATCATGCCCAGGATCCAAAAAGCTGCGCCAGAGTGCGGCAGCAATCGATGCGCCTTCCTCGGTTCTTGCCCTGGCTGTCACTCTGCGGGTGATTTCCTCGTCATGGCTTGTCTGAGGGCTCATATACTTTCCCACAAGATGCGGCGTCACCCAGCGTGATATAGTCGCAAAACCCAGCAGCCGAGCCACCAGCCGGGAGAAGGGAGTCCAGGTGGCGAAACCGCCCGTGTTGACAAGGACCAGTCCTCGAACTTTGTCTGGATGAGTGATGGCCAGTCTTGCCACAGCAAATCCTCCAACTGAGTTGCCGACAAAGATGGCTGGTTCCAGCTTCAATCCCTCAACAATGTCCTCTAGGATATCTGCAAACCCAACGGCGCCAAGATATTCCTTGCTTGATACTCCTTTGGAGTCGCCGTGCCAGGGCCAGTCCACGCTGATTGCCTGGTATTTCTCTGCCAGACGATCGGCAATGACCTCATAATCTCGGCCGTCGTGAAGCGTTGCATGTAACAGGACTATTGGCTGGCCTTTGCCTTTAACACGGTACGAAACATCTCCCCCTCGGGTAGGAACTGAATGCTTCGAGGTCGAGATCATGTTGTGCTGCGTTCAATTGCTAATGTGATAAACTTCAGGAAGACATATATTGGACATTATAACCAGGTTTCTTTATATACCCTCTGTCAACCTCCTTTGTCGCATTGTGAGGCTGTGGATGCGACGGAGCAGGATTGGCGGTCTTTGTACTTTCGTACGAACGAGCCAATCACAGGGCATGAGGCACTGGGCTAACAACTATCCGACGGGCAGACTTGAGAACTTAGTATGCTGTTGAAGAGACGCTTGTGTCGACATAAGTGTGAATCACACAGACGAAGACCTCTTTTCGAGACGCTGCGGTTTGCCGACGTATACGTATTGAGCGAGCTTGCGAGATCCGCAGTCGACCTCGAGAATGCATCCAATTCTCCAAATTGGCTTCCCTTGCTACAACCTTCACCGGTCTTGTTCCTTCGCTTCTGCTTCTCGTAGGACTGTAGCTCGAGTTGTCCGCCCAGGGAGATTGGCTTAGGCAGTGTACTGTATCTTGGACCCCTGTTGACGGCTTTTGGCGGCTAGATCGGAGGTGGTTGAGATTGGTGAGTTGGAACAGGATGTACGCCCGATGGTAAAGGCATCCTCGTATTCGCTTTCGGACTGCATTGTTTTGTGTATCCAGACACAAGGATACCAGGATCCAGCATGCAATCGAGACGGCTTTCTTGGTCCTGAAATCGGTCATGTTTTGTGACGTGTATCATCTCTTGAACTATCCATTTGGCGAAAGCCGTTGTGGATTAGCACTGGCATTCTGACATGAGGCAGGAATGCTGCACCCGCGATATCCCTGACGGTCAATTATGTCTGCAAGCAGATGATTCAGTGTGGTTCTGTCGCTGGACTTCTATGGTAGGCCAAACTCCACAATCGTGGACTTCGCCTTATCAACTTCGTCAAACTTCACCGAGGGGTGGTAATAAGACCAACACGGGTCGGTTGCCAGAGCCATGAGTTCTAAATTGCCCAGGGAGACATCTTTGCAGCAGGTTGAATGTGTGGAGGATGGCTGATTGATGATGGGCTTCCGTCGGTCAGCCCTGGGTCACCGGATGATCAGCAAGTGGATTTGTCCGAGAATGATTCCTAATACAGGCGTATCCGAGGTTTCTCCCGCTTCTTATAGAGGAGGACAAGAAGCACGTTAACAAAACCACAGAACCGCCAACCCTGTCCTCTTACCTCTCCCCAGACGTACACAGTCATCTCCGACACCTTCATCCTTGCCGGGACACCAGCAGGTTCCAACCCGGGCTCAGACCGATCACCATGGTTCCGAAACTCTACTGCACCCCAGAGTCTGGGAACTGCTACAAAGTCCGACTTCTCGCCAGCTTACTCGACGTCCAGCTGGAACAAGTGCACGTGGATTTCTTCAAGTTGCAACACCGCTCGCCGGAATTCCTGGCCATCAACCCTCGGGGCGAGCTGCCGACTCTGGTCGATCAAGGGAAAGTCTTCAACGATTCCAGCGCGATTCTCATTTATCTCGCGGGGACGAACGCGGATCGAGGTTCCAAAGCAGTGCCCTCGAGCTACTGGTCTTCCGACGTCGTGGAACAGGCCTCGATCGTGGACTGGCTCGCCTTCACGGCCAGCTGGATCCACTTCGGACTCTGCAAAGCCAGAGCGATTGTATCGTTCAATTGGCCGGCGAACGCCAGCGAGGAGGTCATTGCGGAGACGAAGGAAAGGGGAGTGAAATCGCTTGAGATTCTGGAGAAGAGGCTAGAAAAGGAGCAATGGTTGGCTCTGTCACGGCCGACCGTCGCCGATGTGTCGATATTTGTCTACGTTGCTTTGGCGCATATGGGCGACATCTCGTTGGACCCGTACCCCGCGGTGAAGGCGTGGGTGGAAAGGATGCAAGGGCTGCCCGGATTCGTTCCGCTTGATGGCTTGGACAAGGCGATGCACTAGACCTGAGATGCAGGATGCCCGCCCCATGCGAACGGAGGTTTTGCATCCTCAAACACGCTCGGAAAATAAAATGTGGTCGTCATTGTATAGACCTCTTTATGACTTCAAAGAGAGACACTAGTAAACCACCTTCATATTCCGCATATTCTGGAGCTACATGGAGATTAGCCAAAGACGTGGGATAGTTAGAGATCAGAGGAAGTTCGGTGTGACGCATCCAACAATCCTCCGGACTATTCTCTGGCGTGCATTTTGATCGAAGATTAGTCTCACGTATCATCACTGTGGCCCCCAAGACCCCTGGCGATCATTCTGCAAAGCTGGGCTGGGAGGCAGTCTATCATTCGAGAGGTCGGATGCAGGTTGGTGGCTAGTAGAACCGATGCTGGACAATTTATATTGAGCACCGGACGTAGTGCTGGGGCTAGACTGAAAGGAGCAATGAGATCATCGGCGAAAACCACTTAATACACGTCTTGGCGCCGCAAAAAACACCCAGAAAATTCAATTTCGCGCTGTGTGGGCTGCCTGCCTGCCTAGATTTGGCAGCCTCGTCACAGGCAGTGAGTTTTCAACTCACTGGCCCACGTGCTCTCGTCGTCGAGAAGCCTGAATCGATCGATCGAAGAGAAGGTCTCGGATCGTAGAGTGTCTTCCGACAATACATCTTGTCAAATCTCCATTCACTCCAAGGTGCCATGGAGGACACATCGTCGCCACCGCCTCGCCAGCAGCAGAATTTCCGCTCCACGGCCTCAACCAACTGGCGCGTCAGAGACGATACACCGCGCCTGGAGCAGCAGAATTCTCGCGCGCGGTCCAACCGCAATCAGAATGAGCAAAACAGTGTCAACTCGGCACAGCCCGCTGACGAAGCATCGGGAACGAGGCTTTACATCGGCAATCTTCTCTACACAGCCCAGCGCCCTGACGTCGAGGAGCTCTTCACCAAGAACGGATTCAACGTCGTCGGGGTCAGTATGTCCACGGATCCCTTCACGGGACGAAATCCGAGTTACTGCTTTGTAGACGTGGAAAGCCCGGAAGAAGCCCAGAGGGCCATGAATGAATTGAACGGAATGGACGTCCTCGGTAGAGCCGTTAGGGTCAGCCCCGGGGTGGCCAGGAGACAGGGCGGCCAAGGCCAGAGCAACGCCAGTGGTGCTGGGGCGGGGAGAGAAACCAGAGTGAAGGACTTCGAGCGAGGTTGGGGGAGGGCACGAGAGTCGAAGGAGCAGAAAGGTGAGCAAATCCTAGCAAAGTTTCCTCTCGCAAGCGCTCCTTGCCCCAGCCCGTGTCTCAATCAAAGCGTTGCTATGAGAATCACAGTGCATAATCCTGACGAATGTGGCAATTTTAGACTCTGAATACAACCCAACGTTCGATCGCTGGAGCCGTACAGACGCCAATTCCCACTGGACTGCGCCTCAGTCCGAAGGTCGACGGCTCTACCTTGGCAACATGCCCCGGATCGAGCCACAGTCAGCGCATGACGAGGAAGTGCGGGCTCTCTTTGCCCAGTACGTGCCGGATATCACGCCAACGGCGGTGTCAAAGCAGATATCACCACGTTCCCCCAAGCCCGAACAGCCAGGAAACCAGTACTATTGTTTTGTCGATCTGGAGAAGCCAGAGGACGTCGACGTGGTGATTGGAGCGTTGGATGGCAAGGAGGGCAGCTGGGGCGGGAATGTCAGAGTCAACCGGGCTAGAGGCTCGGACAGAAAGGTCATCAAGGAGCAGGGCTTGGGCGGCGGCGAGCGGCGAGCGTTCGGCGAAGGGAATTGGCGAACGCAAACCTAGGCTTGAGTCCAATCTGGGTCTCTGGAGAAGTGGACGCCCTGTAGATGGGGACATTGCGAAGGAAGGGCATCCGCGAACGCGACAACCAAGGATTTATATCCCTGCACTCCCCGAGCAGGTCGGTTGCTTAGGAACTCGCATGCTCGCTGGTCTTCTTCGAGGCTACAACGCCATCTCGACGATATTGCGCGTGGTGTGAACCTACCTAGGAAACCGAATGGAGAAATTCGCGGCATGCTTTCTGGATGGCGGTAAATGGTAAAGTACATACAGTCGTTATTGGATCGGGGAAGATTCCCATCAAACGGGCAACTCGTTTACTACTATTCGCCTTTTTGTTTATAAGAGGGCGGCCACGTCATTGTCACAGAACACTCTTTGGCTCTATAGGACATAGCACATGTTCTGACTTAGGCTGTGCCGCGTCGTTTTCCAGCTTGGCTTGCTAAGGAGGTGTAGGTGTATGTGTTGGACATCTCGCCCTCAGAAATTCCATCAACGGATACGGCAGACGTGCAGTGCTGTTCCGGCAGTGGACTCCCTCGTCCCATCAGTGTCTCTTCTACGCCTTGGCTGTCAATTTCACGGGGTAGCCCGTGCTCTCGATCGCGTCTGGATACACCAAGCCGCCCTGCTTCCTCGCTTCATCCATTACTTCCATAATCAGCGTGGATTCTGCCCACGGCAACGTCTCGGACTCCAGCTCCCCAGCAATTAGACAACGGGCCGCGGCGTCGGCTTCGTACTGTTGTGCGCGGCACAGATGTCAGCAAAATGCCATCCGGGGCATAGAACGAAAAGATCCAGGACGGGACCAGACCCGAATACATACCATCATACCGTGACAGCCGCCCTCGAACTCGAATTTCCGATCGAGAATCTCTGCGTTTTTGTCCTTCGGGACCAATCGGTAACGCATCGGTCGATATATTGGGCCATATACCTGGATCTCACCCTTTTCGCCTTCGATGCGTACCGCGGGGACTTCCACATCTTCCTTCCCATCGTGTCCTCGGGCGGGATCGTCGCTCACACGCATGGCCGTGGTGGCCACGGCGTGGGCTTTCGTCTTTCCGGCGGGAGTCGATTTGGGAAATTCGAGGAGTATTAGTGTGGATTCATCGGCGCCGGTACGCGGTTCGGGAGTCATTGCTGCGCCAATCACTTTGGGCCGAGATTGTTCCCTGACTTGGGGAGGTAGTGTGTGATACATCGATTGGAAAACCCAGGTGAGAGCATAAACCCCTAGGTCGAGAAGAGCTCCACCCGCCAGGTCAAGGTTCACCATGCGGTGGCCCAGGTCGAAATCTTTCTCGGGTACCGCACCAATGCTCAAATCTGAGACGACTCGTAGTACCTCACCGATGTCATTATCCGTGATATGTTTCCTGATCGTCTGACTGAGTGGGAAATAGCGAGTCCAAACAGCCTCCATGAAGAAGAGATTCTTCTCTTTCGCGGTCTTGTATAGGATCTTAGCCTGCGCGGCGTTGACGGTGAGCGCTTTCTCGCAGAGGACGGGTTTATTGTGAGAGAGACAGAGCATGGCGTTTTGGTAGTGGTGAGAGTGTGGCGAGCCAATGTAGATGATGTCGACAGCCGGGTCTTTCACCAGTTCTTCGTAGGAGCCGTATGGGGTACATTTTGTGGACTGGGACGGGGAGACGAAGTTGGAAACGAACTTTTCTGCCGACGACAGAGACGAGGAGGATGCGACTGCGGTAACAACATGACGAATGTCCTTGACGTTGCGTGTGGTAGGGTCGACGAGGAGGTCTTTGACGAAGGTTTGCGCGATCCAGCCGGTGGCTACAGGAACGTTCTCAGCTCAATAGAAGCGTGGAATTCTCTGGTGTGAAACGTACCCATAATGCCCCAATGAATTTCTTTTGGCGAACCCATGCTTGCGGGAACCTGCGCAGTGAGTAGTTGCAGCAATACAGCAAAATGTATCAAAATAACATCAAGAATGCAAGCAGATACATATCACGGGAATGTAGCCATTGAAGAAATCTCGTGGGGAAGAGCCATTTGTACCAGTGGCGCGGGGTATGGTTTTGTAGCGGATCGACGGACTCGGTAACCCGCCCGACGACGACGATTCAGCCTGATATCAAGATCGGCGCCCATTCATCAGAGCCGATGGGAAGTCGTCGATGGCTTACCCAAGGAGTCAGATGTGGCCGGTCCTGTGGGTTTTCGGTGTGGTCGGATCTGATCCCGACCTGTTCATCGCTGTCTGTACGGGTTATGCTGAATAGTTTTCGCCATCTCTTTCAATTAGACGATCGGTGGTCGACCGGGTAAGATTCCTGATATTGAAGTCTGGGATGGGGGACATGAACAGGGGACGCTTGTCTCGCTTGTGCCAATTAAGTCTTGTATTCGTCTCGCGAGGACGCAAGATATGTACTCAAAGTCAGAACCCTTTTCCGCATGCAACTCACCATTTTCCAGGGCATGTTGGACACCCAGTTCCCGTAACTTGTACACATTCGCAAACAAGGCATGAATCTTTTCCGGAGTCTCTTAGTGTGTCATTTCAGCCGCCAATTCTGTGCTTGCTCTGGAGGTTGAGGCAAGGAGGTCCCTCCTCTTTTGTCATTGCCCACGTCTACCGCAATCCGATCTTGCTCAGGATGCTGCCGGTGGCTGGAGTCCTGGAATCGCCGAAAACGGACAGAATGCTCTTCCAGACATGTTCTGGGTCTTGACTGGCGTCAATACCGGACCAAATGCCCTTATTCTTGTAGTAGGCCACCACAGGGGTCGTCTGGGCGTGATATGTTCCCAATCTCTTCTTAAGAGTCTCGGCGTTATCATCGGTTCTCTGGATAAGGGGCTCTCCAGTGATGTCGTCCTTCATGGGTTCCTTTGGTGGATTGAAGACCTTGTGGTATGACCGACCCGAGGCTGGATGGATCAGCCGACCGGTGATGCGGGAAACCAGCAGGCCGTCGTCGATTTGGAGTTCGATCGCGTGCTTGAGAGGTTTGTTCTCCGCTTGAAGCATGGAATCGAGGCCCTCGGCTTGGGCAACCGTTCGGGGAAAGCCATCAAGGATGAAACTGGCAACGTCAGTAACGCACAACACCTGTAGCACGAAATCTTACCCGTTAGCACATTCTCTATTCGTGTCCAATTCGTTCTTGATCATGTTGATCATAATGTCGTCGCTGACCAGGCCGCCTTGATCCATGATCTTCTTGGCCTCTCTTCCCAAAGCAGTCTTTTTCGCAACTTGTGCTCGAAGCATGTCACCCGTGGCCTGTAAGGACGATCAGTCTCTGGCCTGAGGACGATGGAGGGGTGTGGGCATACCAGATGACACACGCAGTATTTCTCTTTGATTCGGGGAGCTTGAGTTCCCTTGCCTGGTGAAGGCGTGTCAGTCAACGCGTAATACAATAGGTAATACCAAACCCACCTGCGCCCGGAGGACCGATGAGAATCATGCGCATAGAGTCCGTGAGAGAGGGCTTCTTCTCGCCCTCTAATCGTCGTTCGAGTGACCAGACTCGGGCCTCGAGCTTATGAACCAGGTCTTTCAGATCCTCAACATGTTGATCGGTGATTGGTGCCATGATGGCTAGATAGCTGAGCGCAGGGGACCTGACCAAGGTCGAAGGGGGGACAGATAGCTAAAGTGCTGTTGCTCCTTGCTGGGGGGGATGCAAGGCAGTAGAGAGGAGGGTGAGAGGAAGAAACACGGTGAGGAAAGCTGGTGCAGAGCTGCAGAGGTGTTACGGAAGCAATTGCTTTGTGAGCTTCCAAAGTTCTGTGAGGACGAGAATCCTCCGGTTTACCGGGCGTTGCACCAGCCCCCCCGAGGTGTCAACTTGAGCTCCGGCTCGCCAAGAAGTCACGTTTGTCGGTTGAATGTCTCCCTTCCCCCGAAAGTATTCCGACCACTTCTCTCCCATTGTCATCATCCTCACTGTCCGAGGCCACGGAGCAGATCGAGGGTTGAGCTCAACATCTGTGAGACAGTCGGTCTCAACAGCCATGTGGCAAACTGGTCAAACTTGGATGATATGGGCTCTAAAGACCACCAGAGCCACCGGGAGCCCACGGCTATTTCAAGCGCACACAGCTCGTGAGACTTACTGCCTCTTGCCCGAGACATCTGAGCCTGTACATGAGTTTACAGCCCTTTGTGAGGGTGAGTATCAAGGTCAACTTTGTCCGCCATAGCATGCATGGTAGACTGCTGATTGATGCTTTCTGGGCCATTTTCACCTGTCCTCCGCTCCGAAAGGCGACCCTAAAGGTCGACCGTGGAACGAGAGGAAGAAAATTTTACGACGCCTGGTGCAGACTTCTACTTCTTACGGGACCGAGCGAGGTTGATGAAGAACTGATGCGTTACAGAGACCCCATCTTACCATGAAGGTTGGCATCCCTATGGGAAGAAACGAGATGTCCATCCCAAAAAGGGTGATTAATCACGAAGAGTTGGGTAGCCACTTGGATCCAAGTTGTCGCAAGGGAAGCGAGTCTTCGACAAAACAACCCACAATCGGACATATCTTCCAACCGCAGCACCCCGGTCGCTGCTTTGATCAACACCGCACCAAGGCACTGAACTTTTCCAGATCAAATGCGAACGCCAGGCTATTCAGGAAATCTGAAGGCTTCCACCGAAAAAAACTCTTCGTATAGATCGAATTCTGCCCCGACCATGAACTTCACAGTGTTCTAGCTAGACAGAACACGATATCATGACGCTGGAGCAGGCAACCTGAGCTTACGTCTGCAGCAATCACGTCGACTGTTCTGCATCTGAAGAGTTCTGGCGTTTCTATTCTTACTTCATTGATCGGAATTCAAGTACATATTCTTCCACAGTGTACCGGAAGCAACTGTGTTAGAGTGTTCAAATACTCTCGAGACCACTTCACGCAATATATCGAAATCGGCTCGGAATATGCAGGCAGGTCTATGCTTGAGGCAGCCTTGTGGAGATCCTCGGGATTCGCACTGTAATCAGTCTGCAGCGCGCTCCAACACATACGCCAGGCTGTATGATGCAGTTTGACTTACCGGTAAGTGTTGTACGAATTTCGCTCAGACAGTGCCATGTTTCGCCAGATTTATACGCAAAAAGCCCTCAAGGCTACCTCGCCTATCGTCACAATGATCAGATTGGCTATCAACGAATTCGCGGATAATGTTTCAACGACATGCGAGGCCACTCCCCACGAGGTGAATCAGTAACCAGGCTGGTCAACGTCAGCAGACCCCTAACGATTCCTTCCTCCCATTCAAGCATGCTACGGGCCTCTACGAATGAGAGAAACTCTCATTCGTGAACGATGCAATGTGAAAACACAGACTGCACTGGATTGCCGATAAGTGCTAACCCCGCATAGCTGTCAATCTCTGCCAATTGAGGCCCGCTGTTGCCTGGTTGCGGTGAAAGGCAATGTCGACGCTGCGGGAGAACTCCTGTGTGGTGGAAGAAAAGACCAAAGAGCGGGATCGACACGGCTTTCTGCCGAAACAGACGGCGATCACGGCACGAATTCTCCTCATTTCGCAGCTTCTTCATTTCTAAATGGCTGGGATATGAATTGCACGGTTGAAGACTTGTCGTCAAAAAGCAGGTTTTGCACTTTCCCCGCATTTTCTTTTGTTTGACTTGCAGCCGCTTCCGGATCGACGGCACTTAGAGCGCCTAAGGCTGTGAGGAGGCGAGTCTCCAGCAGTGCCAGCAAACCCAAGGAGTCTGCGTGGAACCAAGCATTATCAAGCATATATAAGAGTTGTCAAGCTCTTTTGGCGTCCTTGATGGAAATGTGTCACATTTACCGGTTTTCCCACCTGCCAAAATGCTTTGTCTCTTGATCATTTTCGGTGCCATCAGTTGGGTGAATGCTCTTCCCAGTGCAGCTACTTGTTCCAACTCTCTTCCCAAACCGAATGTCCCGGGAGCTATCGTTACCTCCTTGACTGCATCGGTGGTTCGTGACTATGCTGTCAACATCACCGGCGAATCAAACAACTGGCCGGGCCAGAACATCACAGGTCTCGGCTTCTGTCAAGTCAATGTTAGCCTGACTCATCCCGGGACTGGGGATCATGTCAACAACCAGGTATGGCTTCCTCTGACCGGGTGGAACGGTATATTCCTCGGAGTGGGAGGTGGTGGATATGTTGCCGGATCCTGGTCATCGTTGGCACCCGCTGTCGAGCGCGGCTATGCTGCTGTGTCAACCGACGCAGGACACGCTCAGAATAACTCTGGAGACGCCACGTCGTGGGCACTGGTCAGCGAAGGCGACGTAAATCAGAACCTGCTCCTTGATTTTGCGTCCAGGTCGATTCATGACATGACGGTGCTAGGAAAGGCCGTCACCACCAGTTTCTATGGATCCTCACCCAAGTATGCGTATTGGCAAGGCTGTTCAACAGGCGGCCGACAGGGTCTCATGGAAGCACAGATGTACCCGAACGATTATGATGGCATTGTCGCATCTGCTCCTGCCATCAACTGGAATGACTTCACACCGGCTCAGCAATGGCCTTACACCGTGATGAACAACGAGCACTACTCCCCTCCTCAATGTGAGTTTGACGCTGTTAACGCGGCTGCAGTTGCAGCGTGCGACCATCTGGACGGCCTTCAGGATGGTATCATTGCTGCGCCTGGACTCTGCAAGTTCGACCCTTCAAGCCTTGTTGGGAAGAACTATACCTGCGACACCGATGGGACAACTCGGCGCTTTTCGAGCAAGGCTGCGACTGTCGTTAAGAAGATTTGGCAAGGCCCGACTGCCGCAAATGGCACCGCGCTCTGGTATGGGATTCTCCCTGGTACCAATTTCAGCTCGCTAGCCCCCACCGAGACCTTTAGCAATGGCACCACTGTTGCAGAGCCATTTGGTATTTCTGACAGTTGGTTCCGCGACTTTTTGTTCAAGGACGCCAACTACAACACCTCGAATATCACCTACGCCGAGTTTCCGGGATTAATTCGTCAGTCTCATGTGGAGTATGATTCCATAATGGGTACTATGAACGCCAATTTGTCCACCTTCAGAGCTGCCGGCGGAAAGATGATCACGTGGCAAGGTCTTGCTGACAACCTGATTATGCCGAATGGAACCATGGAGTATTTTAGCAGGGTCAAGGCTTTGGATCAGAATGTCACCGATTTCTATCGTGTCTTCTTTGCTCCTGGCGTGGGACATTGCGGTGGCGGAGGGAGCGGCCCCATTCCAGACGACACTCTCATGGCTTTGAGAAAGTGGGTTGAGAATGGAACAGCTCCAGAAGTGCTGCCAGGATCGAGCGGGTTCAAGGTCAACGGGACTATCCGACACCAGAATTTGTGTCTATATCCCCTTGTGTCAAAGTACAATGGGAAGGGCGACCCAACAAGTGCATCCAGTTTCACATGCGCAAAGAATTTCTGAGAGATTGGAGGAGTAACAGCACAGCGGTGCCCCCTCGCGAGAGGAACCCATGTCTATAAGAAGATGACACTGGATTAATGCGCGGGACAGATCAGAGAACTGACTTGATTACCAATACGTGTAGCAGGATAAAGAATTCAGGACATCTCGATAGTTATACTTATATGGGGCCGGGTTTCCTCAGCCTTGCGAACATCCTTACTCTGATTGGCTCGTGCAGAGTGCGCTGAAAACTCCTTGGGTTCCAGTGTCTCAACGTCTCCCACTCAACAAATATATTGCATTCTCGTGCTTCTTCTTGAACAGTATTTAGTTTAATTTCTTCCGTTCTTATCTTCGATTCGCTTTTATCCCTTCATTCTCGCGAGAGGTTCTTCCTCAGCGGCTTGCATGGTTAGCAGTGTGACGTCACATTTGTAGTCGTCAGCACCATTGTTCGTCGTCAGCCGCAATCATCTGGTTCAGTTAAGCAGACTGCAGAAACATCTCGTGGAGAGACTACTTGGGCACTTGCCAATGCAGCGGTGGTCCTCCCTAGTTAGGACGATAAGTGGCGGTGGAAGAACTGCTGAGTTCGAGGGTAAGGCAGCACACGAGAGATGCGCTCAATTGGCAATACCTGCTATGTCCCAACTTCACTTTTCACATCTGTGGGTGCATCATCATGGTTTTAACTGGAGAAATATAGATGAATGGCATTAGCTAACACCCCAAAGATCCAAAGCCAGATGAAAACAGGACGTTGTTCCAAGCCTTCGAATGGTATCTGCCAGCTCCGCCTACTGACGGTGGTCTTCCGAATGCAAGCCATTACGACACCTTGACAGCTCTACTTCCACACCTCTCCGCCTTAGGTATCTCGCACATCTGGATTCCCCCAGGTTGCAAAGCTACATCAGTGCATGACAACGGGTACGGTATATATGACCTTTGGGATCTTGGCGAGTTTGACGCGAAGAACAATGGCAAACCACCAAGGACGAAATGGGGCCACAAGGCGGAGCTAGAGGCATTCTGTGCAACGGCAAAGGAACTTGGAATCGAGATTCTATGGGATGCCGTGTTGAATCACAAAGCCTCGCCAGACGGAAAAGAGGTGAGTTGGGGCGTCAAGGTAGACCCTCATGGTGAGTCAAATCCTCACAAAACGCGGCGACGAGACAGTAACCGAGCTCCATGCGCAACAGATCGGACGAAGACCATCTCTAAACCCTATGAGCTGGAAACATGGACAAAGTTCACCTTCCCCGGGCGCGGCACGAAATACTCCGACATGAAGTACAATTGGAAGCATTTTTCTGGCGTCGACTATGACTCCCGCCGGAAAGATCATGGTATCTTCAAACTCATTGGCGAAGGAAAGCGAAGTGACTGGGCACACGATGTCAGTAAGGAGCTCGGAAACTACGACTACTTGTAAGTGTGTTTCCCGGGGCTCTCGCTACTTCAAACCCAGAGAAGCCACGAGCTTACGACTGTCGATAGAATGTTCGCAGACCTTGATCACTCGCACCCCTCCGTACGCACAGACATCTTCAACTGGGGATCTTGGATCACCTCCCTGCTTGATCTCGGCGGCTTTCGCTTGGATGCCATCAAGCACTACTCTCTTTCTTTCCTTGCAGACTTTCTTTCCCATCTTGAAACGACAACATCTCAAGGGAAAAAGTTGTTCTTCGTGGGGGAGTTTTGGGATTCTGATGTGAACACATTGCTCAAGGTCATCAAGAGATGCCATGGGCGACTGAATCTATTTGATGTCCAGCTGGTATATACCTTCAGCGACTTTTCGAAGGGAAGGCTGCATGATTTGACCGCCATTTTCGACGGCTCTCTGGTACAAAGGGATCATGACCATGCCGTGGTAAGACCATCGACTTGAACCGGGCGTGTTGAACCCTGTCAATCTGACAAGTGCTTTGCAGACGTTTGTTGCGAACCACGACACCCAAGAGACACAGTCTCTGGCTGCACCTGTCGAAGAATGGTTCATCCCGCTGGCTTACGCCCTGATTCTCCTTCGCCACAATGGTGGGACCCCTTGTGTCTTCTGGGGCGACGTCTTCGGCATCCATGGTCCACGGCCTCGACTCCCAGCGTGCGGTGGCAAGCTTGCGCGACTCGTCGCCGCGAGGAAGCTCTACGCACATGGCCCGCAAAGAGACTACCTCGACCGGGAAGACTGCATTGGCTGGACCCGGCTGGGCCACAGGTCTAAGGCCAACGGAGCCGGCCTCGCTGTTATCATGACCAATAGCTGGGACAGGGGGTCCAAGAGGATGTTTGTGGGTCACAGGCACATTGGGGAGAGGTGGAGGGATATTCTCGGCTGGGAAGACAGAGAGGTCGTGATTGACTCTAAAGGATTCGGCACATTCCCTGTCGGCCACAGGTCTGTTGGGGTCTGGACGCACGAGAAGGCCCCTGATTTTGAGAAGATCACCAGGTTCTCGTTTCCCAGATTGGGGCACAGTGCCGCTGCACCGGACCCGAAAATGTTGCCGGTGTAGGGCCAGAGATTACGACTCCTTGGGGAAGGGCTCCAGAACGATCGTCCATCAATCCTTCTTTTCGGCGCCAGCGTTCCAGGGCTTCCGTGCAGACGCCGGCGGAGGAACGATGGCTATGTCCAGTGGAGCGATCGGGTCGACAAGCCGGGCTTTGTTGCCACTTCACGGTGGTCTCCAATATGCGGCTGACGTTGCCTCAAGTCTTTTTCACAGAGGGGTCATGGACCAATTTCCGTGAGCTTGGGGCCTCTGGGAGAGTCGGCTTCGAAGAGCGGAGCCACCATACCACCGACAGGCTGATAGGCGACGCCTGTCAAAATTTCGACGTGGAATAGTGGTGTCTATGGCTCTGTAGGGCGGGTCACCAAATGTGGAATGCTTGCGGAATCCAGAGAGGCGCCTCTCGTAGACGTGGTCTGACTATCAAACATACTTTTTTTGGTGAAGGATTTGAGACTACATTCTGCTATTTGGGAACCCTCGGCCGCTGCAGGATTTGCCTCATTCCAGCTGAACCCCCACAACCGTCCCTCTATCCACGCAGCCATTCTTGGTTTAGAACTGGTACTTGAACTCGGGCGACCGGTCGGTGAACTCCTCTGGCGGAGTCACCACGCCCTGGGCGCGCTGCTCGGCCTTCCAGTTCTCACGCCTCTGGTAGAGCACGCGGAGAATGTTGAACACGATGAAGGCAAAGGCCAGACTGCCCAGGGACCAGGCGTGGCCGAGGACGAATCTGGGAGCGTCTGTGGAGGCGTAGATTTGGCCAGAGATGATGCCCCCCAGGTTGGTGAGGGTGAGCTGGGTACCTGAGAAAAAGAACGTTTAGTAAATGAATTGTGTCCATCAGACCGCCGCCGTGAGAAGACTTACCCAAACTCGCAGCTCTCTTTCCGTCGGGTGCCACATTACCGGACAGCCATGCAATGTTGCCTCCGGTGCAGAGGAAGCATGCCGTGGCGATAAGATACGTGGCGAAATATTGAACGCCCACCGAGACGTCGTCCATTTTCAGAAGGATGGCGTATCCTGCAATGCCGACGGGGGCACAAACCACCATGATCAAGAATCTCTTGTGGTACTTGTCAGAGATGACGGCGCCGACGGCGTAGACGACGGCGCCCCAGAGATTGACGGGGATGACCAGATACTGGGCTTGTTTGGTGGAGTAGTGCAACCCGTTCTTGATGATGATGGGCAAGAACGTGCCAAACCCGTAGAGGATGGTGACCACGGCAATCTGGCTGACACCGTGCAGCCAAGTTTTGGTGTCCTTCCAGGCCAGCTTGAGGTCGTTGACTTTGTAGTGGCCGTCGCCGCCGGAGTAGGATTCCGACAGCTCGGCGCGGACGGCCATGACTTTCTTCTCTTCGTCGTTGAGGAAGTAGGCGGTCTGGTAGTTCTTGGGGACCAGGTACACGCACATTCCCGCCCAGACGAGCGTGATGAGACCCTCCAGAATATAGAGCCATCGCCAACCGGGGTAGTTGGCGACGCCGTCCATGTACAGGATGCCAAAGGCGATGAGGCCGCCAAACGCGCCGGACAGAGCAGACGCAACTATCTCATGTTAGCCTGGATCGCCTTCAAGAGGTTGCATGATACTAACTGAAGAGGTAGGATATTCTTTGAGCCAGTTCTTCCCGCCTGTACCAGTTGGCCAGGAAAAGCGTCATGGAGGGAAACAGACAGCTAGAGGCACAAAAGATTAGCTTGGTCCATTGCTCGAGTCGGGTCCAACACGTACCCTTCAAACCATCCGAGCAGAATTCTGCAGACACAGAGACCAGCAAAGTTCTGGATGAATCCCATACACATGCAAACAAGTCCCCAGCAAAAGGTGATGATGGGGATGACTCGGTGGAACTGAAGTCGCTTGACGTATAACGAGGTTGGTAGCTCGGCAAGCACATAGGTGCAGTAGAAGATGGAAACGGCAGTCTATCATCAAGTTAGCCAAGTGAACAAAGTTGAATGGAAATGAGGCAGCTTACATTGAGCTGGTTGCCATGCAGACCGATATCATCAGCCATGCCTTGGGTGGCTGCGAACCCAATGTTGCCACGATCAAGATAGCTGATGAGCATGAGAAGCATCATCACGGGGGCGATGTAGAGATCGAGCTTGCGCCGCAACTTGGCCTCCTTCTTCTCAAACTCGATGACCTCTCTAGAGCGGTCATCTGTAACATACTCTTCGATCTCAGCCTTTTGCTTGAGCTCTTCGGCCGGGTTTGCCATGGTGATGTTCCGCTATCCTTTTCCCACTATCTGTAAGGCAGGGCCTTGGAAGTTTAGGCTTCGTGGATATGAGAGCCGGTCAGTGTCTTGGTGGAAGGACGAGAATCTTGTCCTGGAGCCCTGCTTATGATTCTCGAGCAAGTTGGGGTATCAAGTCCAGAATCAAGCCACGTGGGGAAAATCCTTGTAGACAATCCTTGCAGGTGGATATCTCCTGATCAAGCGGATAGAAGGGAACGAGGCAGAGGAGGCAATGGCAGTGACAGCAAGGAGAAATTCCGGGCAGGAAACCTGATGGCCTGAGAGTGATATCGTCTCTCGAGAAGGGCCATAGCCTTTGGGTCTGGGTTGCCAAGGTGGGACATGGCATAGGTCTGCAGACCGCCGTCTGGTGCCATTGGCGGTGGCACCTTTGGTTCAAAGCGGATCAGTGATGTGCCCATCCTAGACCGGGTCCAGTACAGTATAGGCAAGGAATGCTGATCGGCAATGCCTCGACAGTGTCGGGAAACGCGCTAGCAGTCAACGGTCGATGTAACTGCAGCGTCCGTAAGATGGATGCTGCGGAGATTGGAGTTTCTCCAATCGGCATTTATCACCAGCACATCTTGTTGGAGAAGTCTGCGACGAGCGACCTGACGGAAGCGATAGGGTGCTTGGATCTGTCAAGCAAAGCCTGGAGGAAGGTGATTGACACAAATTTAAACGCAGGTGGGAATAGCTATTGTCATGATTAGATTTTGGATGCGTGACTCTGGGTGTGGATGCTTGGAGAGGCTTTCACAGTGCGAGCCTCGTCAGGTGTCAACTCTCAGCCTTGTCATGATTTGCCCAATCGCTCTGCCAGTATAGGCGCAGCGACGTTCGACGTATGCAGACTGAGCTGAGTTGCAATCTCCAAAACTTCCATAATTTCTTCTGGTGTTCCTCCATACTTCAGGACGTTCCTCATGTGCAGCTTCAGCCCTGGAACATAGAGGTGGGTCGCGGCGGCGTCGAACGCACAGTATACCAACTCTTTCACCTGGGAAGGCTGTCAGTGAGATCCGATAGCCCGCTTCTCCGAAGGAGGGAAGGCTAACCTTGGGTTCCAATACGCCACCTCCCTTGCCTGAGCCGTCTACGTCCTTCAGCCAGGGCACAGACGAGAAATTCAAATATGCCTCAAAGAATTCGGGATCCAACGCTAAGAAATCCTCCCAGAAGGTATGCCAGTATCCTCTGTTCTTCGTAAAGTCGGCCTTCAACTTCTCTCGCTTCTCGTCGAAAGGTTTGCCGGCAGTAGCATGTTGGTCGTATACGCCCTCCTCTTTCATTACTTCGACAAGCAAGGGCACTCCAATATTGCAGGCATGGATGCCCAATGTTCCCGTCAGCTCAATCACTTCGATTATCTCGGCGGGAGTGGCCCCCTCTTTTAGTGCAGCATCAATGTGTTTTCGAACGCCCGGGACGTAGAGGTGAGTTGAAGCAGCGTCAATGGCGATCGACATGAGTTGCTGGATCTTGGGAGACAAGTATCTCTTCTTCTTGGGTACCGCGATGAGATCGACACTGGCCTTGAAGAGCTCAGGGCTAAGCTTTGCGATGCTTTCCCAGGATTCATCCCATTGCTCCTCGCCCAGTTGAGCGACGAAGGCCTTCTTCATTTCTGCGGGGTCTTTTGACGCGGCCATGTCTTGGTGGTTGTAACGGCTATTACTCTCAAGGTAGACAAACAACACAATGGCACAACAACCTACACAGTCGTTTTAGTTATGTCACACGGGCGACACAACAACTCTATAATTTGCTAACCGCCGGTTCTCGTACAGAATTGGAGAAACATGGGCGGAGTTGGACCGACAGACGCTTCAAATGTAGCGTGTGGGGAAAAGACAAATTTCCACTTTCAACTACCCGACCAGCAGTTCTCGCCGTCTGAGTATGTACATACCTAGGTGCTGCTCTACCCTGCCCCACTATCAATGCCTCGGGCAACCATGTTGAGGACCAATGGAGGCTCTCTAAAGTTCGAGGACAATGGGCAACAGAAACAACCAGAATGATTGGAAGCTTCGTGGGGTTGCGCCCAGTGCTAGGGTTGTTGATGTTGGATATCGACGCACTGGAAAGGCCTGGCATGGCTGCTCACCATGCTCGAACATTGTCCCAAAACTCAAGAGCTCCCAAAGAACCTCGATTGGTTTGCTGGATCCTCTTCCCACTCAAAATCATGCGCAAAAATAACCTCGACTCCTGTCAATTCCAGCTGTTGGATTCGTTCAATGGTTTGCTCCGCCAACTTCTTGTCCGCATGAATACAACAGATATGGCCGTGCTCGTCAAGCCACTCCCCAATCTGTCTCTCATTCCTCATGATCCGCCTGTCGTGGCACGCATCTCCAGCCAAGTAGACACTCTTTGTAGGACTAGTCCGTGCCAGTAGGTTAATGTGGCCGGGAAGATGACCTGGAGCGTCAACGATAAGGAGGCTGCCATCATGGAAGATGTCGAGGACTCGAGGTAGATTTCCATGAGCTTTCCATTCTTGAATGAAATCTGGGCCGTGGGAATCTAGGGGCTGTTTCTTGGCTTCTTCCTCTATGTCTTCGTAAGGGTTGGACAGCTCGATCATTCTTGCGGCCGGTAGTAAATCAGATTCGAAGAACGAATGACTCCCTCGTAATGACCCGTGGCCTTGTAGCAACGCATTCGCACCACTCCCGATCACAAATGTACTTCTAGGAAAGTCTCGAGGTTCCCCCACATGATCCCAATGGACCTTTTGGTTCCTTTGTTAGCCTAGCATCAGGACTTGGGCACGGTAGACTTACATGCGAGAAGATGACATAATGAATGTCGTCGGGTGTCAATCCGCCTGCAGCGAGACTGGCAGTCACATCGGGCAGAGTTGTCATGGGCTGTCTCGTCTCGACATGTTTCTGAATCGGCGGTGAGTATCTATTGAGATCTCGGCGAAGACCTAGGTCGAACACTATCCGTGTTGTTTGACCTGACTCTTGATCCCGATGGACTATCAAAAAAGACAAAGAAGGAACGGTTCTTCGGGCGGTCTGCGAGGCTGGATGTACAAAGAAACGTTCCGGGAGCGAGAAGTGACCAGCGGAGAGAGCGTACACTTCGACCGTCGCTTCGGAGGGGCTCTCTGGCGGTGACGGCGGTGCCTGGCTCAGATACGGGGAAGACATCCCGCCGCTGGTGCTTTTGAGGATTGTATTGAAGCAGCACTCAGCGTCGTTGACATGACCTGAGGAACTCTTTCGGATTTTAGCAAGATCGATATTGACCAAGATCGGATCCCAACCACGGTCCCACTTGCTGGAGGATGGCCGTTGGGGTAAGAAGGATGGCCAAAAGCAGCTTCGGCATGTTTCCAGACTTCCCCAATAATATGAGCAACCCTGCCGGAGGGTCTCTTTATGTTCCACATGGCCAGGTCTGGGCAGGTATATCGTTGTGTCGGCAGGTGAGGTCGGGCGCAATCGTCCTATGCAGACATGGAGTTGATGCGAGCGTAAAAAATGAATGGTCTCTTTCGGTAGGTAAATCGTCTGTAGGACCCAGAAGGCAGAGTGCAACTGAGCAACCCGCGGATGAGATTTGTTGGCATTCCGTTCAGCAGCCTAGAGATAGTCACTGACCGCCACTTCTATCATAAAAGCGGCTCAGGAGGCCACTAAGGAGGTAGCAAATTCATTCTTGTGTCGCGTTGTGTAGGCAAGGGGACAGGTGAAAGTGAGAACAAAGACCGCAGTTGTCCCTCGGCCCAGCTGAAACCTGCGGCCAATCGCCTACCTACAAGTACAGTACATGTTGAGGAACCTTTGTACCTCCCTGGTAGGTTATTGTGGGCTCCAAGCCTGCATGCCAGTTCCAGGCGTGCCTGCTCTCGGGTTTGGTACTCGGTTAGGTCGCTCATGGGCGGTGGCGCCTACAAGTCTGGGCATTGCCACCCCCCCTGGTGTGCTCCTCTCCCTTCTACTGGCTTCTCCCAGCCAGCCCCGCAACATGTGGCCTGTTCGCCCCATGTTTTTCACCTGCGGTGGCTCGGCGAAAGGTCGAACCCTGCTCGCCTGCACATGCGGCGTCCACCGCCCAGCTGCCACCACCAATCTCTCCGCAGCCACCCCAGAAATTCCCCCCCAGAGCTTCACTCCCATCACCCAAGCAATTCGAGCTTTTTGTCTTGATACCTCTTTGGGCATCTCCAAGTCGCCCGCCTAGCTTCAGCATCTTGTCATAGCGACCGGCAGAAATGCTTTTGAGCCCATGATTGACGACAACATTAATGCGGAGATTGACGGCCCGGAGTTGGAGGAAGACCGGAACCAGGAACCGCCCCCCAAGAAGCCCAAAAGATTCCAGTGCAAACACTGTCAGAGGCTGTTTGCGCGCCTAGAGCATCTTCAGCGGCATGAACGAACGCGTATGGCTCTTTGTGACCTGATAGATTCGTATGCGTGCCCTTCCTGACCTCTTTTCAGATACCCGAGAGAAGCCTTTCGCCTGCAATCAATGCGACAGCAAGTTCACAAGAAGGTACCGTACCCAATTCGGTTATTGGTGTCGCAAACATTGGCAGCTGACTTGGTTGAAGCGACCTTCTGGTTCGACATGAGAGACTCAGTCACGATGCTGAACGCTGGGGAAGAAATGGTCGAAACGGTCAGAGCGCTGCTGCTGCCAGTTCAACACCATCATCTACAAGTCGAAAACGCCGGAACACCGATGACCACCACGCTTTAGATCTCCCCGACCCCCCCAGCATGACCTCCAGCGATTTCAACGCCTCCCAGAGCATGGTTCCCAGCTATCTACCCGCAAATTCGGGGCAGAATACGGGCAGCACGCCAAATGGCCATGACCTTTCCTTTGCAACCTTGCTCATGGCTGCGGAACATGCTCGACCTCAGGATTCCCAAGCCCACGCTCCCCTGCGACAGCCGAACCCTCTCGCAACGCCGATATTCCCTGTACAGGACCAGTTCCTACCTGAGCCGACTCCCCAAGCTTCCATTCCGGCTCCCTCAGACCAAGTCAATGGCATTGTGGGATTTGATTTCGAGGACTCTCTTCAAGATCTGGCAAACTTCATGGACAACGGCGCTCTATCTTCTTATCATTTTTCTTCGATGATCAGCGCCGAACAGCCCATTCCCTTCTTCTCACCTGAGTCCTTTACCCACACGACCGACGTGCTTCCAACCACCGAGCCTCGTCAGATCTCACGCCCTGTATCTCGCGCACTCCCCAACCCAGATCACCCTGAAGACTCGGGCTCGTTCTCGCGCTTCGGGTCTCGTTTACCATCGCTGCAACCGGAGGAGAGTCCTTCGGCGCCGCAAAGTGAGCAGAACAGCATCCATCGTCCATTATCCGACATCAACATCGAAGACCGGCAAAACGTCTCTTTGAAGTTGGCGGAGTTTGCTCACGTCGTGCCCAACACCTTCCAACTCCCGTCTCGGCTAGCACTATCAAGATATCTGGCCGGCTATGTCAATGGCTTTCACGAACACCTGCCCTTCCTCCATATCCCCACGTTATCAGTGAATAATAGTTGCATCGAGCTTATTCTAGCAATGGCCGCCGTCGGTGCACAATATTGCTTCGAGGGACAAAAAGGCGTTGAGCTGTTTTCTGTCAGTCAATCGATAGCCATGCAACGCATCCGCCAGAGAGATGCCAGATTGGCCGCCTTCCATCGGTCGGCAGAGGTATCACCGCAATATTCCGGACATGGGAAATCTAGCGACTTGGCGACAGGAGAGACACCGCGCAGTGGCTCCATGTCGGGATGCTTGGGCCTGCCATCGCAGCCAGATTTCGACTCTGGGTTGCAGAAAGAAGATCTGATGCAAACAGCACAGGCCCTGCTGTTGCTCATGGCGATGGCAACTTGGGCTAAGCACCGAGAAATCCTTCGCGAGGCACTTGCAATACAGAGCGTTCTAGCAACCCTGGTGAGGGACGACGGTTTCAAGAGTCAGCCAATGCCCGAAGACATTAGCTGGACAGATTGGATTCGACGAGAGTCAATTAAACGCACCAAATTCATTGTCTTCTGCTTTTTCAATCTGCACACCATCGTCTATAACGTTCCTTCGCTTATACTGGCTTCCGAAGTCGATCTCACCTTACCTTGCAACGCTGCGGAGTTCAAGGCACCAACTGCGAGCAAATGGAAAGAGTTGCGGGCCCGTTCAGTCTCTGAGACCAGCTTTCAAACAGCCTTGCATCGCTTGTTCTCTCGCAATGGTAACGATGTGACAACATACAACTCTTCACTGGGAAATTATGTCCTCGTCCATGCACTGTTGCAACATATTTTCTTCGTTCGCCAAATCTCCCGATATCGACTTGATCACGACGGCGATTTACGATCTGATGACGTTGCTGCCATCGAACAGGCCCTGAGAAATTGGCAATTAGCGTGGAAACGCAATCCTGAATCATCTCTTGACCCGATGAACCCGAACGGGCCAGTCACTTTCAACTCTACTGCGCTTCTGCGGCTTGCATACATTCGCCTCAATGTTGACTTAGGACCCGGAAGAGCACTTGACACCCGCGACCCTGTCCAGATTGCCAACGCCTTTCGAGACAGTCCTTCTGTCAAGCGGACACCGAAGCTCGTGCGAGCAGTCCTCCACTCTGCTCATGCTTTGAGCATACCGGTCAAGATCGGCATCCACCTCGTTGCCCAGACACAAACCTTCATGTGGTCAATCCAGCATTCCTTGTGCACATTGGAGTGCGCTTTTCTGCTAAGCAAATGGCTGGAAGCATTGAGCCTGCCAGACTCGGGTCCGGCGATAACGAATGATGAGCGAAAGATTGCGACCTTGGTGAAGACCATGCTGGACGAGACAGAATTTGCGATGCCTGTGGACGTGGCCATCGACTCGCCTGCTGCAATGAAATACCTCAGTGCGGGTGTGCTGAGAGTATGGGCACAGGTGTTTCGCGGGGCTCAGACATGGGCAATCGTCGATGTCATTGGAACGAGTCTCAACATTTACGCCGATATGCTCGAAGCAGGATGAAGCGACTCTGCTGAGAGTCTGAGCTGTTACCTCTTTATTGAAGTCTGCAGCTCGTTGCAATCCCGCAAACGCCCCTTTTTGTGGCAGTATTTGTCGTGGTGTATGTTCAACAGCTCAGTGAAGTCAAACAGGGTCGCAACGCTCCAGGCATAACGAGCGATCTTCCTCACCGAGTCCAAGGGGGCTGGTTCTAGGTCTCTCGAGTCCTCCTCTGGCGATGCAATCCTTGGAGCCCATCTGGGCTTAGTGGCCTGCGGACTGCCAGAACTTGCCGAAGGCTGGTCAGCGCATGTAGCCATTGCCCGTCGGGCATCTGCTCCCTTGGGAATTACTGCTACATTTCCCGTTGCTCCGGTGTGCTAGAGGAACGACGCAAAGTCCGCGGCTGCAGTCTGAGCTCCTCGTACGCCACCCATGCCAATAGAGTGCTACGACTGGCAACCGATAATGCGAGTGGTGGTGGACGCTCGAGACAGGAGGTGTCGTAAATATGGCGACAGGCTCCATGTCTATCCAAGCAGCCTTACAGCCTAATCAGCTTCGCTACGATGGTGCTGTCGGCGGCACCACTTGCGCGCTGATAAGATGGTCGGCCGTTCGTCGTTGATAGTATCACGTCACAGAGCCGGCCCTCGGGGTAGCAGATCAGATCAGAGCACCGCACCGCACAGCACCCAGTGTTAGATCTACTGTAGAACTAGGCGGAGACGATTGAACAGCAGGGAAGTTGAAGCCATATATCGGGGCGTGACACTTTCTATTCCGGCTAATTCTGCTCGTTCTTATTCTCCCTGAGTGTCCCTCCCCCCCGCGGGGCCTCATTTCTTGTCTCCGTTGACCTCCTTTTCTGACCGCCCCTGGTCGTTCAACCACTTGTAAACCACGCGGGCGTCTTTGCCCTTGTACCTCTGGTCGGCCATGGCCTCGTCGAAGGCCCCCAAGGTGGGTTTATCCAGGATGGTCCTCGCGCCAACCATTTCGGCCAGCGACGAGCCCATCTCCAGCACGTGCTTGCACAGTTCGATCCGGAAGCCGCCCTCGTAGCCGCGACTCGCGGGGGCGTTGGCGTGGATCCCGGGCACGGGGTTGGACTGCGACGTGACCCAGCACTGTCCGCCGCTGACGTTGATGACGTCGGTGAGCAGTTTGAGGTCCAGGCCCATCTTGGCGCCGATGTTGAGCGCTTCGCTCGCGGCGAGGCTGGTGATGGCGGACAGGTAGTTGTTGATGACTTTGAAGGCGGTGCCTGCGCCGACGTCGCCGCAGTGGAATATGCTGTCCTTCTTGCCCATGTGTTGGAGGTACTCCTTGGCTCGCTCGAAGGCGTCCTTGGTCATGGCGCCGACCATGAAGCACAAGGTCCCCGCCTCGGCGCCCATGGGCCCGCCGCTGACGGGCGCGTCGACGAAGTCGAGGGTCGCTCCCGAGGCGAGCTTCGGGGCGGCCTCCTTCGTGGCGGCCGCGACTTTAAGGATGGTAGCCGTCTCGATCGTGCCGCACTCCATTATCAGCTTCTTCTGGGGGTTGCCGTTCTTGGAGGCCTCGATCGCGCCCTGGATCACCCCCGTCTGCGGGTCCAGGTACACTTTCTCTACCGACGCCGCGGTGGGCAGCATGGTTATCAGGGTGTTGGCGCGCTTAATGGCCTCGAAGCCGTTCGACACCACCTCAATGGGGCCTTTGGAGGAGTTCTCGGTCTGGAATTTCTTCAGGGCCGCGTCTGAGACGTCGCAAATCAGGAGGGTTGTGGTGGAGGGGAGTTTGGCGCGCAAGTTGACGGCCATGGAGTAGCCCATGACGCCGATGCCTATGAGTAATTTCTTAGAAGAAGTATATGACAGGTTGGATTTCAGCTTCCTTTACCAATAAACGCAACGGTATCTTGAGGGGAAGCCATCTTGTCGACGAGATTGATCTCCTGGCTCGTGTGGTCTCTGGTGATTGATTCTCTGTTTCACTTGGTCCGTGCAGTCTGTCTTTCGTGTAGTATACAGGCAAGGGGAAATGTGCGCGACTGTGCTTTGGTCAAAGATGCGTCAGCCTCGTGGTCGCCCTACGTGATATGCGGGATGATGTTCAAGACGATCAGAACGTGTCGTCGACATGGTTTTTGGCCGTCTCGGCACGTTGAAGCGGCCACTCCACCCCCTCGGAGTCGATGCCGGGAAGACTCCAATGGGATGGACCGTTGTGCGGCAATTGCGATGCGGAAGCGTCTGAAATGTAACAAAGTACTCCGTATACTTCCTGTGGTGCTGGGCGGTTTCTCCCACCATACTCCGTCCCTCCAGTTAAGACGACGGGATTGGGGAATAGACACAGGCGCAGAGAGAGGAAGAGGAAGTTGGGGTTGGGGAACCACGGAGAAAGTCGTCCAGCTTTTGGAGGTTTAGCCGAGGCTGCGGCTTTGGTGAAGGTGGGGGGGTTGGGGCACTTCTTCTCCAATATGAGGGCAACAAGGCTCGGACTCGACATCTGGAGTCAAGCATGGTCTCTGTAGAGGGCGGTTCCTGACATTGACGGACAGGGGTAGGTTCCATCTCGGTGTACTCGGTACACCTAGAAAACTCCAAGTATAGAGAATCCTGGCAAGCTGTAGGGAGATGTGGCCAATTCCCCCCCAAAAGACCCGTTTTGGGAGCTGACTAGCTGCCTCACAAGGCTTTATTTTCAGGGGGTGCAATACCACGAACAGAGCACGAGTATTATCTCATTGTTCATGGTCGCCCGGTTCTGGGTAGCAGTAGGTCGCTTAGCTGGTGACTACCCGTAGCTACGTTGAATTCATCAAATGGTCCAAAATGGATGACGCTCATATGGGGGCCTGTGTAGGAATTGCGGTGTCTGGTAGTTCATTGCTGTTCCGGCCTGTTGTAGAGTCCGAGAATAAAGTCACCTGGCTGCGGCTCAGACACAAGAAAGGCACGGGACAGGACAGTAGCAAGAGAGACAGAACAACATCTCCTGTCGAGGTGAGGTAGCCGTCCATTCAACGAAGAAGGGCCATGATTCCTAGTCCTCGCATTTTCTCTCTACCATCTCCTTATAGAGTGCCTGGGAAGAACTTGCTCTTGTTCGCCTCCCGCCACCCCTTGTCGTGCGCAACAATCACTTCCACCTCCACCGGCTCCTCGTTCTCTCCCTGTGCGAACACGGGACACGGCTTCTTCAGCAGCGGTCCAATCTTTGCGAGAGTGTCTTTCGCCTGCTCCGTGTCCACATGCACCGACCTCAACCCGCCGTGTCCATCATCATACAACGCAATGTCCTTTTCACCCGTAAGGATTCGCGGATCATGACAGCAATCTCCGCCCAAGTATACCCACTTCGTGTGACTGAGACGCGCGAGGAGATTGACGTGTCCGAACAAGTGTCCCGGAGAGTCGACGACGTACAGACTCCCGTCGCCAAAGAAGTCAACCGTGTTGGGAAATCCCGCGAAAGGCTGCCACGTATGGTTCGTCTGCGACTTCGCTGCGGTGGTGCTTTCTTGCCTTGTCGGCGGTAATTCGGACGTGCGGTCCTTGGGTAGGAGATCTGGATTGAAGATTGCTTTCGGGTAGTGAGGCGGCGCCCCGTTCTCCAGCAAGTGCAGTGTCCCCGACCCGACGACAAACTGAGAGTTGGGGAAATCGTCCGGTGTGCCCTCATGGTCCCAGTGAACGTGGGATAGCATGACTATGTCAATGTCCTTCGCCGGATCGAGACCGCCTGCCCGCAGACTATCAGCGCAGTCGGGGTGGAGGATAGTAGGTTGACGGTTCGAAATATGAGCTTGTTGCGCAGGCGGATATTTCGTCAGATCACGCTTGAGGCCCAGATCGAAGACAAACTTGGTCACTTTCCCATCTGAGGACGGATGCTGGATCAGAAACGACAGAGAAGGGACTGTGGCTTTCTTTTCGGGGTCGGCATCGGTGATGAACAGGCGTTCGGGGAGAGTGAGCTGTCCCGCCTCGAGCGCAGACACCGTCACGTAGACTTCGTCTTGACTTGATGAGCCCATGGTCGAGTTTGCTCTTCTCATAGATTGTTTACGGCGCAAGTTTGCTCAGACTGTAATCAATGGCAAGATTTCTGTCCCTTGGTCTTGACGGTGCGGCATGTTGCTTCCCCGCAACAATGGAGTCAAACAAATGCGAAGTTGCAGGTCGTACGGTATGTTTGGAGAAACAGGCCGATTAACGGAGCGAGCCCCAAGCATTCAGCCGCAGACCAGGAACGACAGAATGCTATCAGATCTGAATTAGACCATTATATACCAACAAGAGGGGCATTGCCCATACACTAAAAGGAAGCGAGCCTTGCTGAATCGATTCGCTGGCACAAGACAATTCAATCATCGCCTCTGCGGCCCAGCTTGCCCGATCAAAGTAACATTGGCACATCTCAGGATCTCATTCGACCATAGATTGCCACTTCCGTCAATGCTCCAATCCTCCATGTTCTCGAGGTCGAGACATCGTCGTGGACATACCCGGGAGTCGTCCTCGTCGGCAGAAGCACCCTCTCCGCAGGTGGTACATCTGCTGACGGTGCTGTCACTGCTGAAAACCGACTGCGAGTCGCCCGAAGAACTCGAGGCCAGACTGAGTGAGTCCCACGGTGGCGTCTCTGTAAAACGGCGCTCTACCTGGATCTCTTCCGAGGACGACGAAGAGAGATTTCTTCGCCTATCTAGGCTCGCCCAGTCAAGGTAGTCCGAACCGCAGAAGTTTGATGTGTCGTCATCCGTGGGGTCCGAGGTCGAGTCAGCATCAGAGCTTGTAGATCTCCGAGAGTGCTGGGAACCAGTGCTGTAATGCATTGGCGTGGTTTCGTCCTCGGTGTCCTCCACTGCACCATGGTCATTATCGTCCGAATCCGTGTCAGCGTCCTCTTCACCAGGGGGAATGTAGCCATTCCCTGCGCAGTCCCGTGGACACCGGAAGCTTTCTCCAACGAACCCGAACTCGTAGGCATAGAGATCGTCCATGTCCAGATTGTATTTGTACTTGGCTGTCTTCCGGACATTGCATTTGCGCCATGGTATATTGAGACGAAGGGAATCCCGAGCAGCCTTTATTTCTGCCTTCAAGTGATGACCGCAATACCAACACAGCCTTTCGAATCTCTGTAATGACGGTTCATCGGGGTAGAGAGATCTAGCTGGCTTGTCTCGTAGGTACCTCATAGCGTGAAACCGTCGATATTCAGCTCGGTAAGTTCTGCGGAGATGCTGGGATTGGTGGCAACGCCGGTTATAAGAGAGAGACGATATTGTGAAGACAACTTCTGCTCAAGCGATGGTGACCTCAGATATGCCGGGCTATGGTAAGGTCCTATAGATGGCGTAACAGATTCTGCATAACATTTGCGAGCGATAGAATGCGTACCGGATCGAGGAGACGCAGAGGGGATCGAGAACAGGTGAAACCGAACTTCGTGGTTCCCTGCTCGTCAAAGTTGCTGGCGGGAAGGTACCTTGAGGAGAGAGCAGGTGCCCTCTTGAGACGGCGAACTCATTCACTCGCTTCATAACGCATATTTTCCTGAAGGCCGACATTGTGGGATCAAAATGCGGCACAACCCAGTTGTCAAGCGGAAGCTGGGTCGTGTTTCTTGCCACTAGAACTTCCATAAGACTCTTGGGTGATCGGAGAATTGTGATCTCGATGTTTGCATCCTGTCCCATATTGCTTCTGAGAGCCACATTTCCTGCATCGGACAGGAAAGAAAGAGGACTCCCATGGAAGCCTAAGCATTCACGTTCCAAATGGGTTGATCCACTGCTGCTGTGTGGTGGTAGCGAGGCTGACAATAGATACCGACTCTCCAAAGTTGTACCCACAACACACTCTTCCGGACGCATCTGCGAGCGTATTGGGTATTGCCACCACTTCGTAGTGATGGCTATGAAGTAACCAGCTTCGAGAATGTGAGCATTGGTGATGCGTGAAAACTGTGTCAAAATTCAATGCTGTTGCATAGTCCTATATCTGGACGCAAAGCCCTTCAAGGGCCAGCTGGACCATAAGCCTGCCTCAGCCCAAATCTCTCTTTTCTCAAATTCTTCTTCCGAATGCAACAGCGTCGACTCTGCGCCTTTGCCGCCCCAGAAATCCCCGGGGCTCACCAGCATTACCAATTCCCCTATTCCGCCCCGATGTAGCCGAGCTCGCGCTCGCAAGCCGCAAATTTTGGTCGTACCAAGCCGATGCCATGAGTCTAAGTTCGCGTTGGAGGATGATGTTTTGGTTTGTGAGTCGTTCAATTTCGGACTCCTCGTCTAGCGAGTGGGAGGAGCTAGCTGCGCCACCTTTCAACACAGGAGGAGGTGCAGCATCTTTTTCCGCTTTCTGAGATTCTTTTTCACGTTCGATGTTCTGCATGTCCTTGATCGTCTGGTCCTGCTTCTGGACGTGGTCGAGCAGTAGCTTGTTCTTGGTTCTTTGTTGCTCAATCGCCAAAATTAGTTTCCTCTGTGCGCGCAGAGACGATTCTCTTTCCGTGGCAGTGCCGGCCTGTGCCTGCGCACGCATAGCAGACATGATGGCTTTCAGCTCATCCTCAGAGATGCTCTCCTTGTCCTCGAGGCCAGGAATAGTTGCTTCTGTTTCCCTTGAAAGACTAAGATTCGTGTCCTTCGCCGTCGGAGAAGCGGGCCCGCCATTCAGTAATGCAGCGGCAAGCCGGGCTTCTGACTCAGCAAATTCTGCTTCTTCTTTCTCAAAGTCTCTATTGACCGGGTCTGGGGGCCTTTCTTCCCTTGGCGCTGGGGTGATGCCTTCTTCGTAGTCACGCAATCTGCTCTGTAGGTCTTCCAAAGCATGATTTTGGCGGGACAACTGCTCAACGGCGTCGTGATATCGTGCTTCCAGTGCGTGGTAATCAAATTCGAGCCTCTTTTTCATCTCGTTCAACTCGTATCTTTCCTGCTCAATGCTGGGCAAGAGGCGACGGTATTCATCAATCTCTCGATGCAAGTCACTCGAGTTCGCCTGAGCAAAGTCGGACTGCTTGAGTTGGTTCTGCAGTTCTGTCACTTTAGCCCTGAGATTTGTGTTGTCTTTCTCCAGGTCCTGGCTGGCTTCCAGCTTCTGTCTATATTTCTCCGCTGTATTTGCCTTCCGGGCCAGACGATCTCGGTCAATCTTCATCTCGTCGTAATCGTCTTGCAGCTTTTGGGCCTTCTCGGCCTTGATTTTGAGAACTTCATTGTTCTTCCGCAGCTCCTCCACCTCGGATTCGGCCTCGAGTACACGGTTCTCCAAAGTCGCAATCAGGGTGTCATGTTTGGAGTCTAGTGGCCGGGTCGAAATGTCGGATTTTCCTGCAAGAATGGCAGCCAAGCGGTCGTTGGATTCTTTGAGATCATCTTGAGCTTGGTCGAAACGCTCTTGCAGTTTCTCATAGCGTGAATACGACTCGTCGAGCTGTTTCTGCAGTTCCCGCTTCTCGTAGGCTATCCGCTGGTTGTCGGCGATCACCTTGCCGAGCCTCTCTTCAGATTCAAGGACGGATTCCATCTCTGTAGAACGACGAGGAGAGCTGAGAAGTTCTTCTTGGACTTGATCATTCGGGTCCTCCGCATCGGCCTCGTCCGCTTCTCCTCCATCTTCTCCCGCCTCTTGCACCGTTTGCATCAATACTTCCTGAGTTGACTCTGCCAGCTCCTGCATCTGCTTCAGGTAGTCAATACGGTCGGCGCAATTAATGGCAGCCACCACGAGGAGCTTCAGGAGAGCGACGGTGTCGGTGAGAGAGGAGGATTGGGCGATGGCTTTCAGGTCCGGGCGGCCACCAGGCAGAGGCAGACGTTGCCCGCATTCTTCCACGAGGAAGATAGAGAGCGCATCGTAAATGTGTTTGAGGTTGGTCCACTTGTTGATCCATTGATCGGTCTCGGGGTCTTCTGGAAGTTTACCAGGAAAGCTGAAGCGGTCAATTTGCTCTGGAAGTAATTAGAGAACTTGCGCGACCGTTGCGAGGGCTCAGACATACGAAGAGCCTTCCAGATGAGGTCGCCATTGGTGAAGTCGTCTACCGTGTACACAGGGTCTGCGACGGCGAGACTGTTGATCCAGTCGATAAGCCCGGCAGCGATGGCTTCTTGGGTCGCCATGGGAGAGGTATATGTTTATGTTGATTGCATTTCATAATTGCTCTGACTATCAAGCTGCGACAAGTCTGAACACAATGAATGGCCCCATGGTTTCAGGTTGAGGGATAGCGAAGACGCGAAAAACCTTTGGGGGCGCGTGCTTCCACCGAGGGCTGTGGAGGCACAGAGGCACCGGGGAATCAACACCATGACGTCGATTATTCAATATCTATGTCAACAGTCATCGCACCATGAGCTTTGGTCATTCTGCGCACGGGAAATGGATCCAGCAAGACAGTCATGAGAAGCAATTAACACGATATGGCAGGTCAATACTTTTGAGTTACCAATGATATCTATAACGAGTGAGGTACGCAGTACACATTGCGTACGCCGTACAGATTCCCCCAGCCATGCAGACCGAACAAACCCTGCGGTCATATTAGTCGTGCCATCATATTTGCATTTCCGTTGCTTTCAGTTCATGATATTATATCCATCCGTGATCCGAATACGTTGTCATATGTACGGTCAGTCTCGATAAAATTCCTCCAGTTTATTGAGGGGCACTTGTCGAGCCGTCAATGTTGACCACGTAGTCGTCCTCGATATAGGGCGCATATGCTTCGGCCAATTCGCTGATTTTGTTGAGCGTGACTTCTGAAACCTTGGCTGCGAACCCTTTGATCAAGGCTGTCCCAAAGTTAGCGTCGGTTCAAGGCATAATCACCAAAGCGGTGTGAAAGAAAGAGGGCTCACAATATTCATGGGTGATGATACCACCATCTTTCTCGATCTCTGCAATAGCCTTGTCGATGATTGAAGACGGGGTGTTGTCTGGAAATGAGACCACGACGGGTTTCTGCGGTGGAGGCAGAGCGAAGACCGCAACCAAGAAGGCGAACAAGAAGGCGATCGGTAGACGCATTTCGGCGGCTCAAACAGTGTGTCGATGAGAGTGTAGAAAGCGGGAGCTGGTCTCTGCCACGATGCGATCAGAGATTTGATGATGCACGGAAATAAGGAGATGAAGTTGAGGCTGGAGAGGTATTTCGTGAAGCGGATGTCAGTGGGAGATTCGGATGGTAGGAGACCGTGTTCGACGGTTGCGGATTTGACGCAGTAATAACGAGACAGGGTGACAGCGCTTGCAAGTTCCCTGCGCTTCCAGATCCGGAGGCAGCCCGCCAGGTTGACGCAGGCGGCAACTCGGCTTTGAACTTTCCATTTGCCGGCCTCTCTGCCCTTCCAGTTTCCTTCCCTTCGGTTCCTTCTTCTCGCTCATCTCACCACCTCGTCTCTTCTCATCATCATCGCGCCCATCTCGTCACTAGTCCTCGCCCTCTTCACCCTGGTAGTGTGGTTCATCTGGTATTGAGACAGTGCGCCTGCGAATCCGGTGCATCTGGTCAACGAGCAGCCAGTCACTGACAGTCCACCTCTTTACCACAACCAAATTCACCTCCTTGCCCGCGGCTCATTCAGCACTTAACTGGACGCGATCGCCTGACCGAACCGGCTTGTACCTATACCTGGTCTGCTATGTTGCAGCAAATCATGACCTGAAGACCCCTGAAGAGCTGTCTGGAGAGGATCACCGTCGAATTTGGGCTGCTGGAGAGTTGGACTGGAGTCACAAGGAGGAACCAAAGTAACATACCTGGTGTCACTTTGAATGGTTGTAGATAGCCAAAAGATACCACGACGCTTTTTCCTTTTGTTGTCCACCTTGCTCGGGCACGTCCGTGCCTGACGACTCCAGTCGCTGCTTGACATCAAAGAGTCATTGCTTGCCTCGCCGCATGCCCATTTGACTCCTTCAAAGCTCGAGTCCTGAGTCCTGACTTCGGACTTGCTCTACCTTCCAATCTTTCCTACTCTCCGTTTGCGATTCCAATCTCCTTCTCTCGTCATGTCCGGGCTACCGTCAGATGAGGTCGCGGAAGACTATAAGAACTCTTTGGAGGATCTTGTGACCAACGACAGATATCAGATCTCGAACTTGACCCTGATCGCAAAAGAAAATACCGAACATGCTGAAGCCATCTCCAGGGTGCTGCAAAACCACATCAACCGAGTACGTCAGTTGCCTTTCAACTCGTTTCTCATATCTTGTCCCTGCGCAAATCGCTCTTTGAAGCACGTTCCAAGGCCACGACTAATGCTCTGATAGGCGCCTCCGGCTCGCAAATTGCCAGCTCTGTATGTGCTGGACTCTATCGCCAAAAATGTCGGGTCTCCTTATACGATCTACTTCGGCCGGAACCTTCACCAGATCTTCATGCTGGCATACTCTCAAGTTGACGGTGCAGTACGGCGGAAGCTGGAAGAAATGTTGAAGACCTGGCGAGAACCGGTCCCAGGCTCCTTGTCCACCACTCCCGTGTTCCCTATCGCCAGCACCCAGACCATTGTCGACAGTCTGAACAAATTTCGAGGCCAGACACCCTCAACTCATCGACATCAATCGACCCCCATCCAAGGCCAGCCGGCCAGAGTGCCGTCGGCTCAACCATACCGCCATACACCAACTCCGCCCCAAACCTTACCTCAGTTCGCTCAGAATATTCCGTCACATCTTCGAAGTCCGCAACCACAACCTGCCGTGCCCCAACAACCATATGCCCAAATACCACCAGTGACATATGGCCAGCCTTACCCGCCTCAGCCGACCCCAACTCCGTACTATCAGCCCCCTCCACCTTCCCATACACCCCAGTATCTGCCTCCGACTCCTCAGGCGGCGTCCGTCGCTCCAAGTGCCATCGATTTGCAGAAACTACATGCCGACATCGACGACCTCACCACTGATGCCAAAATCGAGTGCGCCACTCATCCTATGGATGCGGGGGCCCAACGGAAATTAGCCAGTTTACAAACGTTGAAAGAAATCCTCGACAGTGGCAATGCTTCAGAAAGTGACTTGGTCGACATTCGAAATACCATTATGCAAAAGATGACGGAGAAGATGGCGATGAGTCTCCAGGCTCCAACGCAAGCACCGCTGCCCAGTATCCCTATCCATACACCTTACGCCGCTCCCCAGTCACTTGTCCAACCAATCCAAGTGGCTGCTCCAGGTCCTAGCCCTGCCCCGCCTGCCACGGCCCTGTTCAACAGCACGAATCTTGCTGAGCTCCTTCGAACCACTCTAAATCAACAACAAGCGACACAACCTCCCAGTTACTATGCACCACCTCAATCTGGCGTGAGTACTCCACAGTACACTACCACAGCCCCCCCTCCGCCGACCGAAAATCCACTCATAGCTCAGCTCCGAGCGTCAGGGCTCTTGTCTGCAGCACCAACGCCTCCACCCGGGGTCACACCACCCATGGCATCCTTCGCCACGTTCGCACCAGACGCAGCTGCGGAAGTCAAACTCACGTCGGCCTCTATCAGAATACCAAGACCGCAGATGATCGCTATCTTTCTCACCGCGAGGCCCAATCAATGCAGCACCTGTGGGAGAAGATTCACGTCAGACGAGGCTGGGAAGGAGAAAAAGGCGAGACATCTCGACTGGCATTTCAAGACCAAGGCCAGAATGCTGGAGGCAGAGAAGCGGGGTCAAAACCGCAGTTGGTATGTGGATGAACGAGAATGGATCGCGAGCAAAGAGTATGATGACGATGCTGGACCCGTGGATTCCAACGGTCATCCGATGAATGGAGCTGGGGTGGCTGATAAGAAAAAATCCCAAGACTTCGTGCGCGTACCCGCCGATCCGGTGATGCGGTCGTTGCCTTGCCCCATAGATCAGGAGGCATTCAAAAGTGAATGGAGTGAGGAAGTGCAGGATTTTATTTGGAAAGACGCAGTCCAAGTCGGAGGGCGATACTACCATTCATCTTGCCTAGGGGACTATTCTAACTCAATACTTGGTAAACGAAAAGCAGAGGAAGATAATATGCCTGTGGCCGCGGAGAAGAAACTGCTTATCACTTAGGTGTGATTGTATTCGTCCAGGGGTGTTTTTCCTGGAGGGTGAGGCATGCAGCCGTGGGTTGGGGGAAATGTTGGTGGACTATTCCAGATAAACGCATTTGCATAGCGCGAAAGCATGTAGTAGATTATGGCCACATGAATGAAATATGGCACAAGATGGTATTCTGAGCGCGGTAGCCTTCGGGTCATGTGTATTTGGTTCGATATATACCCCATATTCGGCAAGGCTGTCGGAGATAAGGATGCGGTAGCCCTCACATCCGAGTTCAGGGTCTTTTTCCCTTCTCCACTCCCCAAAAAAGACACGGACCCACTCTCTTTCCCGACGCAGTCTTATCGAGCCTCGAACTTTTTTTCCCAATGCACATGTTTTCTTCTGCTGCGCCCACAAATTTTTAGACCTCGCAGCTCTCGTTTCATTCATTCATATTGGAGTTGATATAGACGAGACCTTGTCCGACATTTTTCTGGTCTTTGAGAGCCATCCTTTCGCCCGCGCCGCCTCCCGTCCCCGTTCGCGACCCCGACGCATATTTCCTTTCCATCATGTCACCTCCGGCTATGGCGCCAGCTCTGGGCGTGGGCGGTAAAAGCTACAAGACAGAATCAGGGCTTGCTCGGTTACTGGGTTCAGGTAATGGGATGATCGGCCCATACGTGGCAGCCCGCGCTGATGGGTTGGCGATACAGGTTCCGCTGGAGTCGCCGAGCTGCTGGTCTTTCATCCTGTTGATACCATCGCGAAAAGGCTGATGAACAATCCAACAAGAGTACGTTCTGTATTTCGAATTCGGTTGCTGCGCGCCGGTTGACAGTCCAATTTGCAGGTAGCTTCCGTCTCTGCTCTCAACGCCGTCATCTTCAGAGAATCCGCCTCAGCACCCGTCCTCACGAAATTTACTTCCCTTTTCCCAGGTCTAGGATATGCAGCAGGCTACAAGATCCTTCAGAGAATATATAAATACGGTGGTCAACCCTTTGTGCGCGACTACTTGACCCAACATCACGGCCAGGAGTTCGACAAGGCGTTCGGCAAAGGAACTGGCAAAGCAATGCTCAACGCAACGGCTGGTTCTCTCATCGGCATAGGAGAGGTCGGCCTATTACCGCTCGATGTGCTCAAAATCCGAATGCAAACGAATCCAGATGTTCTGCGTTCGCGAGGTTTTCTCCAGATTGTCAAAGACGAAGGTTTTGGGCTGTACAGGGGCGCGGGATGGACAGCGTAAGAGCGGCCCCCGATTGTCAGTCCACACTTTCAAACTGACACATTCAAGCGCACGAAATGCCCCCGGAAGCTTTGCACTATTTGGGGGCTCTTCATTCACCAAAGAATATTTCTTCAAACTCGAGGATTACAACGCCGCCACATGGGGTCAGAACTTCGTCGCATCTGTCGCAGGCGCAGCAGCGAGCCTACTCGTCTCTAGCCCACTCGATGTGATCAAAGTGCGGATCCAGTCGAGGAGCCATAGTGACCCGGAGTCTGGAATCCGCATCATGACGAACATGGTCAAGAATGAGGGTGTGATGAGCTTCTTCAAGGGCATTGTTCCAAAGATGTTGATGACCGGCCCCAAGCTTGTGTTCTCATTCTGGCTGTGAGTATTCATCAGCTCCTCCTTTTCGTCCAGATACTAATGTCCTCCCCAGAGCTCAGACTCTCATCCCGGCCTTCGGCAAGGTCGTGTGATCTTCTCCGACACACACCACGACCACCCAACAAATATCCATGAGATTGATTAGCCATAATTTAATTGAGCTGATCCAAGTGCCAATATGCTTTGCTTCACTACGGTGGTGGATAATGGCGGCCACCCTATGGTCCAAAGGCCCAGTCGGATCAGTCGAGTTTTTATGCGCCAGGCGTTTTCAGCGCTTGGGAGAATTTTCTTGGTTGGCGGGGGGGTTTTTGAGCAAAGGCCATTACACTCTCCTCCAATATATTCTCGCCTGACTGTTGATTCGTTTCGGAAAGAAATCTGGTTTCGGGCCCCTTGCACCCTCCTTTTCAACAGCTGGGAGTGTCCTCGGTGCGGACCTTGCGACGATGTTGGTTGGGGGAGGAGAGTCGCCCCCAGCCATGACGTGGAAGAGAGCTCGAGCAAGCCCATAAAAATGTACCATTATGATTTGGCAGAATTCAGATTCCTCAAAAGCAAAGACTTATACCATTCTACACTTGTTGCCGCCCAGCCTTGTAAGAGTGGGTTTAAAGACGAGAACAGCGGCTCCGCTACTAACGTCCCAATCAGTCACCGTGTCAACACGACATGGCAGAAGGTACGCAGAAGCTCGAGGATCATGCTGGAAGACGTCAACAGCCATATCTGGAGGTGGTATGTCGAGCACGATCTACACAGACCAAGCATCGTTTGTGGCCCTCCCAGCCCTTGAATGATTACATAACAGCATTGAGAAGGCCTGTGTACGTCCGCCTTGAGAAGACGCTGTTGAACCCACACGTGAGGACTGGGTGCCCGGGACGAGCAAAAGGCGAGTCATCCGACGATGGAACTGCAGGGGACTTGGTAACAAATTCCCAGGGCACCAGCGGTAATGCGTGGTTGCACACAGCTTCGCTCCAAGCTTGCAAGCGGCTACCGGCCGAGGAGGAACCCACGAGGGAAGTATGCCGATGGCAAGTGTCTGCGATGGAAATTTGAATTCGATACATGTTTGACGTTCATTACCATATCATGGTCCGTCTCAAGCACAGTCCAGATTCCGAAGTGGTGTATTAACAAGAACCCAGCAGTCTCTCGTCCCCGAAACGAGGTCGATGCGAAAGAGAGTCATCCATAGTCCTCCTTGACCAAGAAAGCTCAACCAAAGATGTGGGAATACCTACCTCGTACGGGCAGCAAGTTCGACAGCAAGTTCCGCTGACAGCAAGTTCGCTTAGTGGTTGGCAGAAGCCAACTACACCTAATTTAGCTAGTTGCAATTTCCGCTCGCCATCCTCCGTATCCCTCCCCTAGACCTCGCCGCCGCCTGACCTCGCCGTGGTATATACACTGGAAATTACAGGCAGGGAACGACGTTGTTCCACCACCGGTTTTGACAATATCAAAACCCTGGGCTAGCGAGTATCCAACTAGGCGTTTGTAGCAATCGTCAATAGTCTCAAACGGCTCGTTGGTGACAGGATCGGTAAGGAATTCAGGTGGTAGTTCGTTCACAGCCTTCTCAAGTGGCCTTCGGAGGTGGTCAGGACAGCCTGACCTAGCGCGCCAGGCTGATGGTTGACGATTAGCCATTGGACAGAACAGGACGATCTCGATCAACACCAAGGTTGGCTATACAAAATAGGCGGCGGCGAGGTCTAGGGGAGGGATACGGAGGATGGCGAGCGGAAATTGCAACTAGCTAAATTAGGTGTAGTTGGCTTCTGCCAACCACTAAGCGATCTTGCTGTCAGCGGAACTTGCTGTCGAACTTGCTGCCCGTAGGCATTCCCAAAGATGTGGTGCAGATACCAAGATTGACAGCAGTTCCCTCATCTCTTGCCACAGCCTTGCGATTGTGGCTGAGATATATATCCAGCCTAGACACTGTGCACCACCACACCCCATATGTCCCAGAAGTCTGATCACGCCGCATTCTTCAGGAACTCCGCCACCACTTCCATGTATTTGTCGGGAACCTCGAGGTTGCTGCAATGGCTCGCGTCCGGCAAAGTGTACCATTTCACCTTGGGGATCTGGAAGAAAGGATATACGCAACTATCTCGGGCCTCGTCCCACGCTCCATTGAGCAGGAGGGTGGGCACCGAGATCTTGTGGACTTCATCGACCACCGACCAGTTTCTGGGCCCCGTTAGCACGGTGCAAGCATACTCAAAGAACTCCATGCTTCTCCAATCAATGCTCCTCATGTTGTGGGAGTTGGAAGACTCTTCAGAAGACTCACTTCAAATTCCCAATCACGGTAACTAGTATGCCGTTAGTATCGACGAAAGTACTCATGGTATACCGGGTTGTAAATGATCAAATCCAAACAGAAAATGAGACTTACATTCACTTGGCCCGTTCATGGTATAGTACACAGTCTAGAAAGTATCATATCAGCCCACAGCTCAACCTCCCTTCACTCTCGTAACGGCGGCACCGCCAACTCACATCGTCTATCTCCACGTTCGCAAACGTGTCCAGAAGATCCTGTGGGAATGGGAACACCCTGCAGACGTGTCGCTTGTAGAATTCTTCCACGGCCGCTTTATACTCGGGGTCGTCGTATGTTTGGTTCGCCTCGTGTTTCGTCAAGGCCTTGTCAACATCTTCTGGAAGTAGGCTTCGCCACTTGTTGCACGCCTCAACCCAGAGCTTCATGGATGCGGGAGAGTTGGAGATGATAAGCCGCTTGAGGCCCGGGCTTCCGCGAATCGCAAACATAGAACCGCTGGTACGGTCAGCTGCGTCAAACAGAACCAGGAAGCCACAAGACCTGGAGACTCTCCAGGTCTCAAACGCAGCAGCACTTACAGCATCCCACCCTGGAAATGTATGTTAGCTTTCTCGCCTTCGACGGTGGTTCAACGAGGGAAGGCTTCTGCGGGCACCGGGGCAGTCTTGCAAGGAGGAGAGCGACGCACCCAGCTCTGTCCGAGCAAGTCAAATTCTGAAATGCCGAGATGCTCCAGCAGGTTATCCAGTTCCGCGATGAACAGCTCAGGCACCCAGAAGTCCGTGTCAAGTCTCTTTTCCCGGAGATGAGTCGAGTTGCCAGCGCCTAGCTGGTCATACTGCTCTGTCATTAGCACCAAACAGCCACGCCGTAAATCGAGGGCCCCGTGGCAACTCTAGGAAGCTCTCCAACGGATCCGGGAGAAGACTCACGAACACCACGGGGATGCCATATTCGTCTGAAAGGCGCCGGAGGTTCGACAGATAATTGTGGCCCATACCAGGACCTCCGTGAAGAGTGACGAGCGGCCGGCCGGTCGAGGAAGACTTGAGGTCCCCGTACACTTTATACCATGTCTCGCAGGGCTTTGGCAAGCTCGGGTGCGAGAACGGTACCCTGCCCTCAGTGTACTTGGAGGAATCCGAGGTCGCCATCTTGAATACTTCGTTGGCAGTTGTGTTTTCTTTGGAGTCTCAATCAGGGTTAATGGAGGTGTAGCTAGATATGCCAATGCGCACGGAGAAGCATAGATTCTGAGGTGAGAAGGGCAGAACAGACCAACAGGCTGGCGAGAGATTATCGATGAAAGACCATCACCCACGTCCAATGGCCCAGGCAACGGCGAAGTGACATAAGTCTAGGCAGAAGCTCAGCTGCAGAGCTGTGCGAGCAGACGAGGTGCATCAATTTCCCACGTCCGGGACTGGAGTACCGTTTTTAGGTGCCAGTGACTCGCACGAATCCAGGCATTTCGCTCCGGGCCCAGCATCATCTGTTATTACTCACCTTCCTCTTCAGGCAGTTCGCATCTGGGAAAAGCGTCAGAACCGGGGCTGGGGCTTCGGGATGAGCGAAGCATCCGCCAACCATAAGCCATCCAGGGGGCCCATCCACTTGTGCCAGGATGGGCAAACCAACTACGAAGAAAAAGGAAGGTCGATCGGCACGCGGCCTGGGGAAGACGGACACCTTGAGCTTGTGGGAAAAGGATCATTGCTTATCATCCATCAGCAATAGCAGTCGCAGCAGCGGCAGCAGCAGCAGCAGCAACGAGCATCATCGTCACCGAATAAGCAGTGTGGGAATTGTCCGGCCGTGGAGGGTGGGAAAGGTTTAGGCGTACTCCCTTTTTTTCATTCTTGTTTTCTAGCTGTTTTCGAAAAGCAGGCGTCCTCTTTTTGCAAGATCCCCACCTGAAAAGAGACAATATTCCACAATCCTGATTCCTGAATTCCTGGCTGGCTGGCTGGCGTCACCGAAATCTTCACTTCACTCACAGGGAGGTGTCCAGCCCATCAGATGAAAAACATGGTGTTAGCAACTCACGGGTGAATCGTGACCATACTTTGGCCCGGTACTGTAGGTCTTCCTGTCCCCCTAGGATCGTTGCTTGCCGCGGACGAAGGCTCAAATACCTCAGCTAAGTGCCGCCTCGCGCGGTCGCATACCAGATCTGCGTAGTGTGCCGGCGGGCATAGGCTCACTGATCTCGTGCATCGCCTAAAGAGGTAGCACATTTTGTGAGTGAGGTCTTCTAAGACGTCGGTAGCGTTTGCAAACCGGCGGCCTGTTGATGATATGGCCAGATGCTGATGGTATTTTTGGAAGATCTCGTCGTAGACCACAAAGTAGTGGATAGGCCGCGCCGTCCCTATCATCGACGTATAGGTTTGAAGGTAGAAGTCGTAGTTTCTCCCCTCAATCACTCCCCTATCGACAACTGTACCGTTGAACGGATTGCCGGACTTGTCGACCTCATTTGCATTTGAGTCTGGGTTTATTGGGTAGAATCTTGTATGGTGGCGTTTACTAACAATAGTGATGTTTAGTTGTGGGAGCCCGTTCTTGATGTCATCCGTAGGATAGACGTCTTTGTAGACCGCTTGGATCTGCGGTAGCTCTGCCTTGAGCACAACTTGGTACTGGCTCTCCGAAACGCCATCTCGGAAGACCACAATGTTGTCAGGTAGTCTGCCGTTGTTATTTTGCTTCCACAACTTAAGGTGGCTTTCACCAGACGCCTCAAGGCTGTCACCATCTCTTTATGTGACTCCTGGATCACCACACTCGCTCGCCACTGACCGAGTAACTTATCGATCGAAGTTACCATACCAACAACGCTAGGAGCCTCCTCTAACGAGTGGATAGATGGGTAAGTAACATCTATAAGTCACCTTGTAGGCCTGTTGAGGTGGATTGAGTTTGACTTTTCTGATGATCAGAGAGTTGAAGTCTGTCGCGATGCCCGGTCGGTATTGAGAAAAGTTCTCATCGAGGAGTAGAGAAACTAAGCGCTCTTTGTCTACTCTTTTGATCGACTTCTTCCTGGGTGCACTATCCTCCGTAAACTCGAGAGCATAGCGGTAGATCACCATGTTTGCCCACTCGAGTTGTATGTAATTTGCCCAAAGTAGGATGCGGCCCTCCTCTGTACCGAAGCCTGGGCGGAATCACACGCTAGCAAACATGATACTCATGGGAATGAACTGAGAGAGACGTGGTTCAAGTCAAGGTGGTCTGTGATAAAGGTTAAAGGATAGGGTAACCATTGAAGGCAGTGGGAGGACCTCCTTTGTGCGAGCATGTGCGTGTGTAAGAGTGTCATCGAATCCATTTTCTCTCACATAAATCTCACAGATGGCTCTCTACGAGCTGAGAGAGCCCTCAAGAACACCTACCTACCCAGGTACATAGGAGAGAAGCCCACCACAATCACCACTTGGTATGGCAGCTGTAAAGAGGGAGGTGGTGGATGCCACAAGCTTCAAAGTCAGTGATGAGGACTAGGCACTTAGCGTCTAAGCAGCAGTTCAGGGCCCATGAGCTCATAGGCGGTGAGGGACCCTAAAATCTGGGGATGGCCCCGCCCCTAGTGTCTCCTAACCATCCCCCCACAGTCCCCCAGTCATGAGTATTTACATCCTCCGTATTAGATCTCAGCCTCGTCTGCCAAAGAGATCAATGGCTGCCTGACCCACTACTACAACCCCTCCCTGCCGTGTAACACACCCTCAGTATCACCCACGGCATTGGCTGGGCAACTGTCCTTTGGGCAAAAGACAAGACAAGACGCTTGCATCATACTTACCCAGGTCGCTAGGTAGCCATCCAGTGTGATTTCCCCTCTCTTCTCTTCTATCTTCTGCTTCCTTGCGGCTCGTGGTCTCTTCTCTTCGACATAGGTATCCAGTTGTCTCTACTCAGAACATCTCCTTCAACCGCATCAACGTCCCAGGCGCCAGTCTCCGCCATGGATCCCTTTTCCAAATATCTCAGCCTCATCTCAATTGTGGTATGTTGTGGGCTATCTCGTTTCTCCTCTTTTGCAGGACTCTAACATGTCAAACTCAAGCTGGGCATCGCCTCAGTCATTCTCTCTGCGTAAGACGGCCCATCCCCTCTTTCCTTTCCTTTGAGAGCCTCGAGTTCAGCAATCTTACCTCAATCTCTACAGCATCTCCTGGGCTAGGATTACCTATCTTTCCCTGCCCTTCCCTCTGGCTTTCCCAGTGCTGAGCACAATCACTGCTCTAATCGGACCCTTCGCCATGGCCTTCGCCGCAAAGGCTAAGACGAGAACACTGGCGATTCTGGCGCCGTATTTCCGCTACTTCCTCCCTTTTCTTCCATTTGCCATCTTCATCCTCTCCCTCGTCTACGGAGTCCCCTCCGACATTATGTCCTGCAGCTTAGAAAGCCAGTGGACCAACCTGTTCCGGGCTAAGAACGAGGATGCCGTCCGCGGAATCGAGAATGCTCTCCGGTGCTGCGGGTTCAATTCGCTGCAAGATCGTGCGTGGCCGTTTCCCAGTCATGATGTCGATGTCAGAGCCTGTGAAGGACCCTGGGATATACGCGTCGATGCGTGGACCCTTGGCGGAATCAGGAGCAGGTTGCTGTGGGATTGATTGCCGTGGCCAGTCTATTCAACTGGATCCTTCTGGTGCGTTTGAACTCGCCTCATCTTGGGATAGCCATTGACTTTCTCCCCTTCACAGCATCTCGTGGACATGGCGGCACAACCGAGTCGACGTTCGGCGCGATTTCCGGCTGCCTCTGATTTCCGCTCAGAGCATTCGAGACTGCTGCGAGGAGCAGAGGAAGACCAGGAATATGGTGGAAGTGGGAATGCGCATGTTTCATACTCCGACCACAGTGAGACAACCTGAGTGGGAAGATAAAGAAGGTGGTCCGCTGGCAAGAGAATGAACTAGGTCGCAAGCCTGCAAGCAGGGGCTCGCCAGGCACCTCAATCAGTTGATTGGGTAGCCGATTGCATGTTGTTATGGGGGCCAATTCACTGTGCAACTTTCCGGACATCAATATCTGAATCAGGTAGCAATGGACGACCCAACCGATCGATCCGGTGGGCCATCTACTTATTGCTGACTGCGCCGTCTGCATTTGATACCTCGACGTCTTTGTGGCTCTCGCGTCATTCATCTCTCTTGAGCTCACCGCCCTTCCATATTGTCCATCCTTCTCGCGGATTGCTTCTCCCTTTCCTCTAGAACGACGCGATATGGGTTTCAGAAGTACTCGATTATGATGTACGAACAATGTATTCACTTTGCCACGCCAGCCTGTGAACGAGAGAATCAATACGTTTTGCTTCTGGAGGCCGTCCATGAAGAGGCGGGTGCATAGATTACCACTGCTTTGGCGGCCTGGGGGCCAACGTCGTCACCAAGGATACCTATCAAGGGCGTACGCCTGGGACTGATTAAACCCTCTGAAAGGTATATAAGAAGAAGAAGAACCCTACTCATTATTGCTTGTCTGTTTGTTGTCTGCTTCTCTGTTGTCCGTTGCACTGCTTTCCATACCATTTACTTGCTCTTGTGCCCATCCAAGGATTCACCGCCATCGCCAACAATGTCTGCTACCACCGGAGCCTGCCTCTGCGGCCAAGTCAAATACGAATTCACAGGTGACATTGCGCTGAAGGCATACTGTAATTGCAAGGACTGTCAGCGCTGGGGCGGTTCAGCTGGTCTGCCCAATGTTGTCATTGACCGTGGAAGCTTCAAGGTCACCAGCGGTGGTTCTCACCCGGCTCCCTTTACTTATCCAGTATATGCTGATCCATTTGACCGAAACAGGAACGCCCAAGGCCTTTGATATCGTCGGCGACAGCGGCAAGGTCAATAGGCACTATTTCTGCGGAAATTGCGGCTCGAGCCTGTACTGCGAGTTGGAAGCCATGCCCGATAACACGGTTATCAAGGTGAGTGGTGACCTTGTCGGTGCATCCAGAGAGACATGGGAGACTGCTGTAGACAGTTTGCTGATTCCACTGATACAGGCGGGAAGTCTGGACCAGCCCGATGTCAAAGAGATGCAGGCCGAGCTCTATGTTAAAGATCGTGTGAGCTATATGAAGCCAATTGAGGGTGCAAAGCAGGTTCCTGCGTTCCTTTGAGCGTAGGACGGGCAAGATTTTAGGCGGTCTGTGGCGGTTGTTGTAGTTCAGTCCAGAGGGAAACACCACGAGCTAGATGACAAGGCCCATGCCAACAGTCGCATGATAACTCTTCCATGCCCGCTGAATTCGGACGATGTCACAGAGTTTGAAGGTCCCCATATGCGACAAAGCTGTGACATATCTCCGAAGCCGCTTTTTGCCAAACCCTCGGATATAGACCAACCTGAAGGAATGTATCTCTGTCTTAATATCCTATCCATCCGGACAGTCCTATTCTCTGTCCCGCGACTGGGTATGTAAAGGTGCGTGAGTAGGGGAAGACCAAAGGGTTGTGACTCGAGAATTGAACGGCGTGCTCCTGTAATAGTCCAGAGCTGCTGAGATTGGCCATTCGAATGCTGACGTCCCTCCCGGAGCTCGTGCGTGGTTTAGAACAACTGAAACTGTGCAGAGTGTGTTCATTGCTCAAGCCGCAGTGCCACCTCCCCAGTAAACCTTGTTCATCTTGAGACCTTTCTGCCACAGCGCAGGGAAGCTGGAATCTTGTTGAGGGTATTTCTCGCGTTGCTCGCGCTGGATGCGAAGAGCAGCTGCAGATAGCCCGACGCAGACCGAGAAGATAGGATCGATGAACCTGGAGAACAGACCCAGATTAGCTTCGATGCACGTACGTAGCGCAAGCAGGAGATGCGAGAATAGACATACTTTGAGAACAGCCAAGGCTGAGCCACCGATGCCATGGTTCACGGAACGAAAGCGACAAAAGTCACAAAGCCAACGTGTCAAGGTGTCCAAGATTCGGAGGTATGGAGGTGAGCATCAGGATGAGGTAGATTGCATCCCGCCCATAATTGGAAAGTAAAGCTGCAGCGCTCCGATTGGCCAGCCTCATAGCCTCATCATTCAAGTGCTGTACGATTGTCAGGTTCTCCGATGGAAAGCCACACTTACGTTTGACGGCAACCGACTCTCTCCTCGTCAAAATGAGATTTATCTGTATCTATGAACGGCTTGACATTTCTATTTACAGCGAATATCCGCCGAGGCAAGCACGAACACGCCATTCTTCATTGCACACTTTGATCACATCTTCTCCCAACACGCTTGGAGCTATCCGCTCAGAGGAAAATGACCCTCTGTGCATAAAATGGCCATCTCGCACTATGACGGAGTTGCCCTTGCTAGGTATTTCTCAAACCACTCATACCGCCTCCGCTCGATATCACTTAGCGTGGTTCCCTTATTGAAGATATGCCCTTCGCCAGCGTAGACCTTGATATCTACCGGGGTGCCGGCCTCCTTGACCATCTTTGCTAGGTCGTATGCTTGATTTGGCGGCACAATGGCATCCTCTGCTCCACTGATAATCAGCAGCGGACTCTTAATATCCGAAGCGTGGGTCAAAGGGCTCCGGTCTCTCAGGATGGCTTCCTGCTCCTCGGCCGAGGCACTAGGATAGCATAACGGCGAGAGATATTGAGATTCGAACTTATGCGTCTCCTGAACAAGGAGCTTCATATCCGATATTCCACTCTCAGCGACTCCGCAAGCCCACACCGAAGGATACTTGGCCAGAGCTTGCATCGTTGCATAACCTCCCGCAGAGTGACCCGTGATACCCACCCGTGATTTGTCAATAAGCCCTTGTTGAGCAAGATAGTCAACGGCGGAGACAGCATCGGCGATGTCGCTAACTCCCCATTGGGCAGCAAGTAGGTTGCGGTACGAACGACCATACCCAGTACTTCCGACACTGTGAAGAGAAGTGTTAGTCCGTAGCAAGATCAAATCAGGGAGATTAAGAGCCCTAAATTCAAAATCATTTTCACGAAGAGACACAAGAACCTACTAATTAACTTGTACAAGCGCATAACCCCTAGTGGTAAGTGCTTGATCGCGAAGTGAGAAGCCCGGGCCTTCATGATATGTTGGACCCCCTAGAAATACTCGTTAGCTTGGATGATTAGCGACAAAGCGGCGAAATAACAACTTTAGCCCGAAGCAGGCGCTCGAGAAAGAGGAGAACGCACCGTGAATTGCGACAATTAGGGGTGGAAGCGTGCCGGTTGGAGCTTCGAACTGCGGATTCTTCGGCGGGTAAAAGAGACCATATGCATTACCGCCGCCAGGACCGTGGATTCGTGGGAATGTAATGGGCTGTGGAATTGAGATATAATCTTCCGGAAGGGATGTTGGAGTGGACTTTTGCAGGATTGTTCCGAGCCCTTGTTCGTTGATATCAATTACCGTTGCCAGCATTGGGAGGGTGGTAGTGGAGCCTATGATAGCGAACGATGTCTCCGATACTGGTTTGATGGCATCGAGCGTGATCTCGACAATAGGGCAGCTGAGATCTCGCCATTCGAGTGTTCGAGTATCTGCAAGAATGGTGGTGCAGCGGCCTTGATAATTGAATACTGCGACCATGGTGGCAGGGTCCAGGAGACAGTAGGAAGCTGTAAATCTCTGTTAGGTCATAGCCAGGTAAGGGTATCCTACTGATGAGTTTCACGGGGAGATGCCAAATGATCCTCTCGAAGAAAGGGGAACTTACAGCCTCCCAGAAACCAATCTGCAAATCCAAATTCGGCGTCCTCCAGGCCTGCCAGTACGAGTTGTTGTATTTCACCGTCGGAAAATGAATATATCTGCCAGAAATCGGTTTGATCCGAGACAAAGTAGAGCACTCCATCATCACCCCAGCGTGGCTGGGTTATGCTGGCCTTGGTCTGCTGGCCAGCAATGCATTTAGGGTTTTTGACCGTGCCATGGTCCCAGTCAGCAAGCCATAGCTCAGTATTATCCCATGGCATATTGGGGTGATTCCATTGAATCCAACATATCTTCATCCCGTCAGGACTGAATCTCGGATAGGTGTAGAAATCAGCACCGCTGGCCAGAGGTCGGACCTCATTTGTGGACGAGTCAATCACCACAAGAGAATTTTCAATATCTGTAATCCTGGGCGCATGATGATCTTCTTTGATTGCCACGGTATATTGAGAATGGTGAGGATGGATAGCAAAGTCGGCGTAATATACCTTGGGATCCGCTGTCACGATTGGGATTGTTTCGCCTGCTTCAGGATCGAGGCCAAAGACACCCTTGGTCTCCCAATCCGTGAAGACAATGTGCCCCGTCGACTCATTGAAAGCAAAGGAGGCACCGCCATACTCATGAACCTGGGATAAGCAGTTGTATTGCTTGGGAAGAACGTCTCTGCTCTGTCCATTATCGTGCTCGACGATGACCCCTCTTCCTCCCTCGTCTGGCCGTATCTCGAGGAGATATATTTTGCCATTGTCGCGCTGTCCACAAGTCAGGGTGATCCTCATAGATGGCAAACCCAGGGCCTACATTGACACGCAGCTGATTCAACACCACGGAACCCGGGGCTGCAAAGCTTTCCGGCTGAATAGGACTCTTAAACGTCCCATACTGTGCAACTTGGCGAGAAGTCATGGCTATAATTGTGCCAGGAGAGAAGAGTCATTCGCGGTCGAACTCGAAATATACGGGCCCATGTTTATGAGCCTTAGTAAAGCTGCATGAATTTTACTACGGGATCTTATCGATGTCACCTCCGGAAACCAGCTTGCACTGCGCAGTTGTGGCCTTCCCGAAAAGGCATCGCGCCCGTTGAGGAATATTAATCTTGTTGCGAAGCGCTCGGTAGACTTCTCCCTCTTTTAACCACGCGTGTGAGGCACAAATACACAATTCCAAGGCGGGATGTGAAACGACAGATCTTGAAGAAGTACGGTCTCAGCGCATTTTCATTCCAGCGCGCACCTTGGTGGATACATTGTCCCTGCTTCGGCTTCATGCAAACGACACCGGATTTGCCTTCGCGACTTGACGGCAGACCATGGCTGCCATCCTGGTGCGACACGCTTCTATGATCCTACGTCGCTCCAATGTCCGACCTCCTCGAAGTCCTCCCTGATTTTGACCTCAAACCGCACTCACATCTCCTGCATTCCCTGGAGAAAAATGACGTTACTGTCGCCGACCTGATCACTCTTGATCCGAAAGAGATTGCCAGAAAATGTCCTCTTCCTGTGGCCGACGTCCAGAGATTAGTTGAAGATGCCATACATGCTCTACAACGCGATACACTGCAAGGAGTGAGGAAGAAGCGCAGGTTTAGAGCCGCGGGTGCAGGCGAGACAGCAGGCGATGGACCGGAGACAAGAAAGGAATTGCCATTAAAAGTCAGGACTTTGGATCCGAATATAGATCAAGCATTGAACGGAGGCTTACACCCAGGTCACATCGTAGAGGTAGTGGGAGAGAGTGCTGTCGGAAAGACTCAATTCGTCCTCGGCCTGCTGCTCTCTGTCCAGCTACCTCCACCCAAAGGGCTTGGGAAAGGGTCAATCTACATTTCAACGGAAGGACCACTCCATACCAAGCGGCTGAGTCAAATACTTCTTCACCACCCTGAGTACAATGGCTTGGATCCTGGCCAAGGACCTTCACTCGATCGTGTGCGCACCATTGCAACAAATGATCTGGAGGCACAGGAACATATTCTTCGCTACCAGCTTCCTGTTGCGGTCCAGCGCTTTAATATCGGACTGATCGTCCTAGACTCAGTGGCCGCAAACTTCCGAGCCGAACACGATACCCGGACAGCAGCTCAACTCGCCGACCGAGCCTTTGAGCTGGCCAAATTGGGAAACATGCTACGGCGGGTCGCTGTCGAGAATAATATAGTGGTCGTGGTCACCAATCAGGTGTCGGATCGCTTCGATGATTCAAGAAATCTCCTGCAGTCTTCATCTCCGGCGACGACTTCCTCTCCTACCCCTCCAGGAGTGCAGGCTTCGGCGGCGGTGCTGGAGTGGCGGAGGGAGGCTCGGAGCCTTGATCATCAACAACGCTTCTTTACTGGATGGGGAGACGAGAAGGGAAAGAGCAAGCATGAACAGCTGAAGACTCCCGCGCTCGGACTGGCATGGGCCAATCAAATATCTGCTCGCATTGTCCTTAAGATGGAGAGTGAACGACAGGAATACGCGGGAGGCAATCTCTGGAAAGACAAGAAGAAAAGTCGGACCTTCTCGGTGGTCTTTGCTCCATGGGCGGGCCCGACCCGTTGTCCGATTCGATATGAAATTGGAATGCAGGGTGTTGTTTCGATCCCAGACACCGAAAGGCCCAAAGAGGCACTTGCAGCCGTAGATAAAGGACACGAGGACTTGCTGGATGAGGCTTTCTGGGCCACAGATGACGACGAAGAATTTCCATGATGGTCTCGAGTGGGCTTCGCGGTATTCGATCTGGTTGGATATATCCAGGCTGGCAAAATGGGCCTCATGGTGGAGGACATTGTGAGAGCCCCGCACATCAGAGATCAAGTACTGCCTGTGTTTCTTCTGGCCAAGCCAGAAGGCGAGACAAATCTAGAATCTGATAAGATGGCGGCGAGGCGCTCCAAGGGCGAGTGAGAAACCGGGTCATTTGATACAGGGAGCCAATACAAGTAGAAAGGCGAATGTCGATAACGCCCTCTACTTACTCCCAATGCGGTATGTGTAGCCGATCCTCCATCTGATTGGTTCCGAGCTTCTTCAGGCTTGAGCTTTAATTCATCCCGCTTTTGCTGTTCCAACGAACAAGCACGACAGGGCACGACAAACAGCTTCTTTTATGACTTTGATATCGTAATATAAACGTCCACTCTTGGCTGCCTTCGCCAGGATCTTATCACCTCGGGTACATGCCCACCCGCCCACCTGTGGCGGAGAAACTCATGCATGGCAAGTCATTTGGGTGATCCTGAGATCAACCTGTTTGTTCCCTGAAGGACAACTCCGAATATCAGCATCATCCTGCTTGCTTTTATTGAGACCCTTTCCCCCCTTAGTCAATCGGGTAGTCTCACACTTCTTCCCTTTTCTCCCCTAGCTCCGTGATTTGTCTTCTCGTTCATTAGGACTCAGTACAAGTCTTAGCCGTGAAGAAGATGGCCGCCACGAATGGTCATACTGTTCCCAAGATGACTTACCAACACCCCTTGGATCAGTTGAGCGCCGATGAGGTCAACGTTGCTCGGCAAGCGGTACTTGACGCCCGCAAGGCTGCTATCCTTTTCCGCAACATCTTCACTTTTGAGCCAGCAAAAGCCGAGCTAGTGAAGTTCCTCGCCGCCGAGCATGCTGGAGCCCTCTCCTCTGAGACTCCCCGACCTCCCCGCCAGGCCCGTGTACAGTATGACGTGATCTTTGAGGACCGACACCATGAGTACATGGAATCTATAATCGATATTGCCTCAGGCAAGGAAGTCGAGCATAGGCGGGTGCCTGCGACTTCCCAACAATCTCTGACACTGGATGAATTTAGACAGTTCAACGAAGTGTGTGTGGAATCAGAGCTGTTCAAGAATGCCATCAAAGAGCTCAACCTGGACGAGAAATTCGAGGTTGCCATTGACCCATGGCCTTACGGCGGTCCGGATGCCGGAGAGGTCGCCCCAAGGCAAGAGTGTTCCCCCTACTGCATTATCCAGGCCCTAACTTGTAATCCAGATACACTCAAGGCCTATGCTTCGCCAAACTACGAAATGGCAACCCCGATAGCAATCATTACGGGTTTCCTCTGCCTATCATTCCAGTGATGGATACCTACAAGAAGGAAATTGTTCGGATTGACCGTCTTGCCACTGGTGGCACCGAGGATGGGCTGAACTATGGCACAGCCGGCAAAAACATCCTCGAACATTGTAAACCGGCTGAATACGTCCCAGAGTTGCTGGATACCCCTCTTCGCAAGGACCTGAAGCCCTTGAACGTGATACAACCCGAAGGGCCGTCCTTCACCGTCAGTGATGACTCTCTGATCGAATGGCAGAAATGGAGGTTCCGAGTTGGGTACGCAAGCCTCTTCGCTCACCGTACAATTCAATGCTGACTGAAAGGACGCAGATTCACTCCTCGCGAGTGCGCTGTCCTTCACGATATTCACTACGATGGCCGGAGCGTGCTCTACCGCTTGAGTTTGTCCGAGATGACCGTTCCGTACGGCGATCCTCGACCGCCGTTCCAACGGAAGCAGGCCTTCGACTTTGGTGATGCTGGTGCAGGCAGAGCTGCAAACAACCTTGCACTTGGCTGCGACTGTCTCGGCGTCATCAAATACATCGATGCAATGCTGGTTGACTCGGAGGGCAAACCCTCGGTGTCAAAGAACGTCGTGTGCATCCATGAACAAGATAATGGAATCGGTTGGAAACACACCAACTTCAGAACCAACCGAGCAGTGGTGACGAGATTGAGAGAATTGGTCGTCCAGTTCATCATCACGCTGGCAAACTACGAGTACATCTTTGCCTTTAAATTTGATCAAGCTGGAGGGTGAGTGGGAGAATCTCCGTTGGATATCATTGAGTGCTTACATTCTATTTCAGCATCACAATCGAGACTCGAGCCACTGGAATCGTCTCGGTGGTCAACATCGACCCTGGCAAGGTTAGCCCCTATGGCAACGTCGTTTCCCCGGGTGCCCTCGCCCAAAACCACCAGCATATTTTTGCCGTCCGAATTGACCCGGCCATCGATGGCCATTCCAATACCATTCTCACGGAAGAATCACTGCCTATTCCTATGAACCCCAAGACGAACCCCCATGGCAACGGATACGAAATCGTTCGCAAGCCCGTCACCAAATCGACATCAATTCACGCCTCTCCTTTCACAAACCTGACCATCAAAATGACCAACCCCAACAAGGTCAACCCCGTCTCCCAACGGCCCGTCTCGTACAAGTTTATTCCCACTCCGTCCCAATTGATGCTCGCAGACCCAGAGTCCATTGCCGCCAAGCGCGCCGCTTACGCCCATCACCACGTGTGGGTCACCAAGTACCGAGACAATGAGCTTTTCGCAGCCGGGGAGTTCACAAACCAGTCACAGCTCGAGGTGGGCGGCGTGGCGGACATGGCTGCTCGCAACGACGATGTAGAGAACGAGGACGTGGTCGTCTGGAATGTCTTTGGCCTTACCCACAACCCCCGTGTGGAAGATTGGCCTGTGATGCCGGTGGAGATCCACCAGGTCCATCTTCGCCCAGCAGACTTCTTCGAGAGGAATCCTGCCATTGACGTACCCGGCAACAAGAACATTGCCAGCGTCGAGGTTGGAAGAGAGGCGAACGGTGAATGCTGTCATGTGAACGGCGATGGATCGGTACAGGCCGCTCCGACTTCGCACCTGCAAGGTACTGGAAGCACGCCTGTTGCGGCAGTCAATGGACATTAGATCATGATAGCATATAGAATGTAGCACGATTACGTCGCTGGTGTTTATAAGCTGCGAGGAGGAACCAGCATTTTAAATAGGTTTCACGGGGAAAAGGCACAGCATATTTGGTAGCACAATACAATTCGAACAGAGTACACATGAGTGCGTACTGCAAGAGATTTTCATCTCTACAAAGGTCGGAATGACTGGATGAATCTAGTGAGAGGCTGTAATCGGAACGACATGTGAAGGGAGCGGGGGAGGGGGGTTTGAGGCACCTAGGCTAGTCTTTGGCAGATCACCGCGGAAATTTGTCCCACATGTGCTCAGCTGTCGCCTTTCTCGTACGATGTACCGAGTAGTACAGTGGCTATACTTTCGAGTTGTCCAGACCGCTCTCTTGCCTCGACGGTGCAGCACTCCAGCTTGACGATCTTCAAGCCGCACCTCTTTGAGCCTTTACCGAGACCGCATGAAGATCGGCTCGGTCCGAGTCAGCATGGCCAGCTCAGCCTGGTGGCACAGTGGCGTCATCCAGTGAGATGCCTGCGGCGTCTTGGGTTTCCCCGCTGATTAATTCTCAAGGTATCACTTCGAAAAGCGCAGAACCGTCGCCAACAGATTACTGCCTATGTCTTCCGCCAGTGAGGGCATGCTTCCTCGCTCTTTTATCTTTACATCCTATATCGCTACCAAGTTACCTGCCATTGGCCTATCGATTATTACCACCAGCCAGACCAGGGCCGCCTCTGTTCTCGATGAAGATCCAATACCGAGATGAGAGCCTCGAGCTCGAGGACATCTCAGATGAAACCATCAGTGATCTGGCAACAAGATGCGCCGAGAGGATTGGTGCAGATGTCGAGCGAGTGTCCCTCTTTTTCCTCCCCAAACCGGGCTTCGTCAAGCATCCTTTCTCCGACCGCAAGCTGAGCGAATTCCTCACGCCGACGACGCGAATAAAGCTAGTTGGGACGCCCAATACTGAGGTTAAGAAGATGGAAGACATGGGCGCGGCTACCCGAAGAGTGTCGCGCCCGAGCAGTTTCAAACCGGTCAAGGCAAACAAGACTCGCGACTGGAAAAAGATCCAGGACGAAACCACCTACACCTTCCACGCCATTGAACCTCTGCCCTATCTACCGAACCCAGAGAAGAGCAGACGGTATTTAGAGCGACTGGCGAACGACCCGGGAATCAAAGCGTCTATGCGCAAGCACAAGTTCAGCGTCGGGCTCCTCACCGAAATGAATCCCGCAGAACACACGACCCACGAGTCGAAGACGCTGGGCTTGAACCGCAACCGGGGCGAGGTGATTGAGCTGAGGCTGCGGACAGACGCATACGATGGATACCGAGATTACAAAGTGATCCGCAAAACCCTTTGCCACGAACTGTCGCACAACGTCTGGGGCGATCACGACCGGAACTTCTGGGATCTCACCAAAGAAATCGAGCGCGAGGTGGAGCGCAATGACACACTGCACGGCGGGCACCGACTGTCGAGCGAGGAGTTCTACAACCCCAACGACACGTACGAGGACGTAGAGCATGCTGACCACGGGGGTTGGACGGGTGGCAGCTATGTGCTAGGAGGGTCGAAGGACGGTGGTGGTGAGAGCGAGAGTGGTCTGAGCCGACGGGACATCCTGCTGCGAGCGACGCTGGGTCGGTTGCAGAAAGAAAAGGAGGCGAGAGAACGTCAAGACTCGTCTCCACCACCGTCTTAGTGTTGGCTTTCACGTCTCCTTTTGCGACCGCAGGGCGTTGGGTGGTTTATGTTTCTTGGTGCTTGGGTGCCACGAAGAGTATCGTTTCTGTGCGCGGTTTGACAGTTGGAACACCACTGCTCTTAATTCCTGCCCCCGGCATTGTATTTTGTGTCTTGGGACTCCAAAGCCTTTGTTCTCGTCCTCGTCCTCCGTTTTTCGGGCCCCGAATCGCTACGGGGACGGATCGGGGTGCAGGGCTACCCCAAATATCACTCGTGTCACCAACCCGAATTCCGCGGCTTAGGGCCGTCTTAGGTGCTCGGGGCCAGTGGATTTGGGCTTAGAGGAGGCTCGCTGTTGGTCCTTAGATCGGACTAGTGAGCCAGGCGAAGTGAGCCAAGTCGTTTGGCGAGGACAAGGCTCACCTGTCTGATTCAGCCTTCTTTGCGACTATCGAGCCATCCGGCATAATGATGGAGCGATAGAGGAGCTAGCCGGCTCCAGAATCCGACTTCAGGGCGCATGAACTAGTCCATTAGGGCTGGAGGAGCTTGCGAAACCAATACGAGTACCTCGTACCCTGTAGCGAGTGCTCCGTAGTAGTGGTGAGGGAGGGAGGTTGGCAGGGATTGGCAGCTGATGGGAGTAGGTACTAGGTACTCGGTAGGGTGCCTGAGAACCTTGGGTTCGCGATGTTGAATCGCACTCCGTGTTCCGGAGACTAGGTATACGAGTTACTGCGCATAGCCAGTCCTCGTGGAGAATGTACTTGTATGTATACTCGTGTATGCCTCCGCTCCTGACCATCGTGCTGATTCCCAAATTGTTCTGCTCCTCGTTGCTGTCGCTGCCGCCGTCGTGGTCATCGTCGTCGCCTTGAAGGACTTGTCCCGTCGGAGCACGCCCCTGTAACTTTGACTGCTGCAAGGTTATCTCTCCCCCTCACCCAACCCTTCCAGGAACGAAGACGTCACTTCCGCTGGCCGTTTGAGCCGGGCAAGTGAATCAATCATACGGCTCGGTGAATAAATAAAGAGGAGCTCCTTCTGCTGCTCCAACCAGAGAAAGGTACTAGGTACGGTTGTCACCCCAGCATGCAGGTCCGCTTCCCGCTCCCGTGTGCGTGTTGAGTCAAAAAACTGTCCAACGCGAGGACCTGTCACAACATGTCAGACTCTTCATCGCTTTCTACTTAATATTCCCTTCCCCGCCTCTTCTACTGTCTTGTTCCCCTTTCATCAAACAGAACCTAGTTTCGTTACTTGCAGGCATCGATACTGAATGCCTCTCTTAGAAGGGTCGAGGCAGTCCTCGCCGACCCCGAGTGCGAATTCCCCAGACCCTGTCCCAGCGGCCATCTTCAACCGTCGCCTCAGCGAACAATTTTCCGATCTCGCTCGAGTCGCCATCATGACGAACGCCTCTGCCTCTTCTCATGAGGGCGAATCCCTGAATCATGTCGCATATCACTCCAGTCTTATGCCTCCTCCGAAAACCGCATTTGGCAGATCTGCATCCAACTTACCCACGCATAAGGTACCCACAAGCGCCCTGGGCAGAGCCCTAACCGACACTCCTGCTCCCAGTGCGCCCACAAGTCCTCAGATGTAAGCAGATTGATAGCTCCCATGTGCGATCGCAAGAGGCGCTGACTCGACCAGACATGCGCGAAACAGCTCCAACGCTTCGGGGTCCGCGACTCCCAAAATCCGCGCCACCACCCTCGATATTCCCGGTCTGACTCGATCCAAGGTCTCTCCGAATGGCCAAATATCAGAAAGAGATGTCGCAGCCAAGCTCATTATCATCATGGTTGGGCTACCTGCCAGAGGGAAGAGTTACATCGTCAAGAAGATTGCTCGGTATTTGAACTGGTTACAGCACCCAACCAGAATATTCAACGTGGGAGACCGTCGAAGAGTGGCCGCTGGAGTTGGTCCCCCCATACCCGATCGGACAACTGCTGCGCTGCGGGAATCGGTGCGTCGAATGAGCTCTACCACGCAGGGGCCCCAGGGCATCGTGGATCATGGTGAACTGCTCCCTCCGCCTGCTGTCGAGACTAAGATTCTCATTAATGGCGAAGTCACCTCGTCTCCCATAAGCCCGTTACAAATGGATGGCTCGACTAATTCCGATGGAGAGAGGAAAGACTCTATTCAGCTGTCCGCCCCAGAACCCATGGATCAGTCTGCGCAATTCTTTGACCCGAACAATACCAAGGCCAAGCAGTTGCGAGAACAGGTTGCCCATGCAGCTTTGGACGAGCTCTTGAAATATGTCCTGGAAGACGGTGGATCTGTGGGAATCCTGGATGCCACGAATCATACCCGGGAGCGACGCTTGTCGTTGGTTAGACACATCCGGGAGCGCGACGAGAACATCAATATCCTCTTTGTGGAGTCACGGTGTCAAGATCAGAACTTGCTGGAAGCCAATATGCGACTGAAACTGTCCGGTCCAGATTACAAAGGCAAGGACCCGGTGGCGGCATTTAAGGATTTTCAGCAACGGGTGCAACAATATGAGAAGTCATACCAGAAGCTAGACGAGTTTGAAGAAGAGCACAACATGGCGTATTGCTCCATGATCGACGTGGGGCGCAAGATGGTGACGCATCAAGTCAAGGGCTTCCTTTCCATTCAAACCGTCACCTACCTGATGAACTTCAATCTGGCCCCGCGACAAATCTGGATTACTAGACATGGCGAATCGATGGACAACGTCAATGGAAAGATCGGTGGTGACAGCTCTCTGAGTCCCAACGGGGTGAGATATGCTCAGGCACTTGCCAAATTTATTGGGATAGAGTGGAGGGCGTGGGAAGATTACCAGGCCGAAAAGCAGGCGAACACGCATTTCCCACCGCTTCCGGGCGACACCACACCACCGAATCCGGAATATACAGCGCAAACGCTCCAGGAGCGGAATTTCTGCGTGTGGACCAGCATGTTGAAACGGAGCATCGAGACGAGCCAGTATTTCAACGACGAGGACTTCGATATCAAGCAGATGCGAATGCTGGACGAACTCAACGCCGGGTCAATGGAAGGCATGACCTACACGGAAATTCGAGACAAGTTCGCCCACGAGTATGAGCTTCGAAAACGAGACAAGCTCCACTACCGGTACCCGGGCCCTGGCGGCGAAGGATATCTGGACATAATCAACCGACTGGGAAAAGTCATCCTTGAGATAGAAAGAATGACGGACCACGTCTTAATCATCGGCCATCGAAGCATCTGTCGGGTTCTCCTGGCGTATTTCATGGGACTCAAGCAAGAGGACATCAGCGACCTGGATGTTCCGTTGGGGGTGGCATATATGCTCGAACCGGTAAGATCAAGTGTTTCGCTCGGAGTATACATTATACTGATGTGGAAACCGCAGAGACCATACGGCGTGGAATTCAAAGCATATCGATGGGATCCTGCCACGGATGAATTTCTTTATGAGCCAGACTACCGGATGAGGCGAGCTATTGACCCACAAGCCTGATGTTTTGTTGCTCCTGTTGCGTTCCCAACTATGATACCCCCAGCCGCATTTGCCACGCCCACTCCAACTCTCCCGGATATCCTCTCATATATAATATATAGAACATACAGCACTGGGGTACATGGTGGGACGTAGACAGGGTGCTTTTCTCTTTTCCTGGATCATCGCACACCCAGATGATTGCTACGACTGGACTAATACTTGTTTTGGGATTTTGGCAGGCAAGATTGTTATTGGCAATCCCGACCGGACGTTATGACTCGCATCAATTCCTGGGTGGACTGGTGAATAGGTTGTTAGGAAGGCGAGGCCATAAGGGACGGTGGATATATTAGGTCTTAGCGATGGCGTTGAGGAGAATGACTTGAGGACCTGTTTTTCGTGTACAGTGTCATCACATCTGCATTCGGCAGTCTGTTAGAACCAACATGGGCCGGGATGAAAAGAAGACGGGGGTATTTCTGGAAGCACAGAAGAGAGCCTAGTGGAGCAGACGAACGGATGCAACGGGTAATTACTGGGCAATGGGCACCAAGAGAGGAGCAGGTTGATGGACTTACTCGATCAAGGCATCCTAGTCCGCTACAGATGGTTCTCCCCTCTCTTGTCGTGTTGCTCGTGTCTCCGGGAAGACGGGACCAAGGGTCTCTGAACCATGCTGCAGCCCCAGGCGCCTTACCAATGGGAATGGAACCTGTGTAGCCAAAGGTCCCCGTGTAGCGCCCTTGTGGTGCCCTTGGGCTGCTAGCGTCGTGGCCAGTTTTTCATCAGACGAGCATCGGGCCAGCCGTGGACGGTCAGTCCGCCGGTAGAAGTCCCAAAGGCGACGAACCCACTGTGCCAGAGCCAGTGCCAGTGCCCTGTACGAGTAGGATAGCAGTCTTGTAAGGCTCGGAGATAGACTCGCAATCAACCCATCATGGCTGATAAGAGCTTATGAAGGTGAGGAAAAAACTCTGTCTGCGTGTCTTGCCGTTGATCCGACCCACCATCCAATTCTCTCCCATCAGTTGCCGGAGAAAGGACGTGACACCGTGCCATATATTAAGACGCTCGCTGTCGAAGCTTGTCTCGGAAAGTCAACACCATCCAGGCCAATTCGATTGACTTCCCTTCTCTTGCTCTTTTCTCCTTTTGACACCAGACGGGTTCCATGGTGACTTCTGTCGCCCGTATGAGACGCCGCCCATTTTCCACCACGTGTATCCTTCATCGGACCATGAGACTAATGGTCCAATAACACTGGGTGAGGAGGTGGCTGTCCGTGGATCGTCCACTAAGACACCATTATACATTTTACGACCAGCTGTCCAAAGGAACAGACGTTGTCCTCTCGGGCAGCGTTGACTGAGCGCATCCGGCTTGTCTCGGGTGTGAAGGCTCACTCATCGTCCACCACAATCTCTGGATCCTGCAACATCGCCTGACTAAGTCGATACGGTCCTGCTGTGGCTCTTTGCAGAAGAGGGAAGATCAACTCGAGAACGTGAGGGGAGAACTACACAAAAAGTCATATCGTGTTGCGATCGTGGTGGTTTGGGGAGGGCCATTCCTCGCACAGTCATGCCGACCTTGTCCCTCTCCAACTTCAATATTGTGTGTGCCGTCCTCGGAGGATTCATCACCGTCTTTGGCCTTGTTAGTTACTTGTTCAAGGAGCGCTTCTATCTTTCCGAAGCACGTATGTCAAGAGACCCGCAGCTGGGCCAGCGGCTCCCTGCATTTGACCAAAGGCTGACATACACACAGTGATTTCTCTCGTGGCTGGCATCATCTTCTCTCCTAATGCCACCGACTTGATTAAACCTCTCGAGTACGCCGCGGGCTCCGAAGACAACCTCGATTATATCACCCTCTATTTCACCCGTCTCGTGCTAGGCGTTCAACTGGTGCTTGCCGGCGTCCAGCTACCGAGCAGGTACCTCTACACGGAATGGAAGCCTCTGGCATTGCTCCTCGGGCCCGGAATGTGTGGCATGTGGATGTGTGCCAGTCTCCTTGTGTGGGCGATGGTCCCGCACCTGAGTTTCCTTCATGCCCTTGCCATCGGAGCATGTGTCACCCCGACCGATCCCGTGCTGTCCAACTCTATCGTCAAGGGCAAGTTTGCGGACAAGAACATTCCCAAACCATTACAGAAGATCATCATTGCAGAGTCAGGCGCCAACGACGGCCTGGGATACCCCTTCTTATTCCTGGCGCTCTATTTGATTAAGTATACCGAACATGGAGGCGCAGGCCAACCCGGCGGAGCAGCTAAAGCTATGGGATACTGGTTCGGCGAGACGTGGGGATACACAATTTTGTTGAGCGTGGTTTATGGCGCTGTCGTGGGCTGGCTTGCAAAGGAACTCTTGCACTTTTCCGAGGAGAGGAAGTTTGTAGACCGCGAGAGTTTCCTTGTCTTTGCCATCACGCTTGCGCTCTTCATTACCGGCACTTGTGGGATGGTTGGTTCGGATGATGTCCTGGCTTGCTTTATTGCTGGGAATGTGTTTACCTGGGACGACTGGTGAGTTTCTCACCCACAGAAACCCTCAAATTCCTTTCATTAAGTCTCAGCAGGTTCCGGCTCGAAACTCAAGACGACTCTCTTCAACCGACGATTGACATGTTACTTAACATCTCGGTCTTCCTCTGGTTCGGCGCCATCTGCCCCTGGGCATCATTTCGAGATAACCATGTCATTCCGATCTATCGACTAATCCCATTAGGAATTTTGATTCTGCTCTTCCGCCGAGTCCCCGTTGTATTTGCCATGCACAAAAAGATCCACCAGATCGAGGAATTCCAGCAGGCTGCATTCGTGGGCTTCTTCGGCCCCATCGGGGTGTCGGCCATATTCTATCTCTATGTCAGCATTGATTTTCTACGGCAGGTCACGGTTGACGGGAGGGTGCGTGAGGATGCAGTACGGCTCGAAGAAGTCATGAGGGTGGTGATTTGGTTTTTGGCTATCTGCAGTATTGTCGTTCACGGTCTTTCGATTCCCCTGGGCAAGTTGGGCTATCATCTTCCACGGACCATGTCTCAGGCTCTCAGCAGCGAGAGGGAGGACGACGAACCAGATATCCACATGGGACCGTCGCCTCATCGCAGATCGACGAGTCAACTGCGGTATAGGAAAGGCAATGGCCACAGGGACAGGTCTCGCCGCCCAAGTCCCGCAGCTTTTATGATCGGGCAAGGAAATACGACAAGATCGACCACCATGGACCTGGAGAGTGCCCAGGAGCCCGCTCGACCGGTCCGCATTATTGAAGATACACCAAGCGGAGGGTCCCCCGTGATTGTGGCGACGACTTTGGGACAGCGAGCAGATGCCGGAGAGCGGGTTGAGAACGGCGGAAGAGAGCTAGCGGAGTCGAAGCCTGCTGGAGAAATGAAAACAGGAGAGGAGGTGAAGCAGGACTGAATCAAAGAGCAAGGCCTGTTAAGACTATGATCTCCTGTGGCGTTCTGGAAAGGCGCTCCTTGTTGCAGTTTTGGAGGGCAACTGTACCAAATGAGGAAAATAGAACTGTCGGAATAGCCGTCCCAACATTCGTTGTCAAGGAGGGTGCTCAATAGAACTCGTTGCTTGCTCAAGGAGTCATTGGGCGGAAGAATGAGATGCCCACCTCCCGACTGCGCACCCCCCCTTTCCCCCCCTCCCACCTTGAAACTCCATCTCCACCTCCCTCCCCCCTTGCCGGGTGCTTGCAACCCGACCCTCAATGGTCGAGCCACACGCCTCACGCGCCCTGCTCTCATTTGATTGAAGAAACCAGGTCTGTGCATGTCACAACCAATCCTCCCTCCTTGTACCCCCCGCCCTGCAAGGAAGAAGACAGCACCAGAACCCAGTGGCCCCCTTACCGTTGTCCTCCTCCCCTCCCCCCCGGTTCTTGGTACCAACTGCCTGGCTAACTTCATACAAGGCGCAGTTTCTCACCGTATCCTCGTCTCCGACTCCTCTCTGCACTCTCAGAAACCAGGTCTTTTCATCGTTCCAAAACATTGCACTCTTCTTTGCAAGGGAAGAACGGGATTCACTGGCAGCTGTTCACCCCGAGTCGAGTGCGCCTTGGAAACCGATCCAGATGCGTGGTGTTCGTGTTTGACATTCCACCTTGACCCGATTTTGTGCCTCTTTCTTTGATAAATAGGTCAATCTGCCTCGGTTTTGGCTGCGCAATCGTGTCCTACTCCTCTCTCACCATCGCATCCTCATGGCGCAGCCTTCTCTTCCTTCTCAAGCCACTGACGCCTCACGTTCCAGCCCGAACTTAATCAGCCAGAATGCCGCGGCTGGAGTCAAAAGAAAAAGAACAGCCGAGCGGAAGTTCTACGCCGTGAGGCAAGGGAAGACGCCTGGCATCTACGACACATGGACGGAGTGTCTGGGTCAAGTGAAGGGACACAAGGGTGCTGTGTGTATGTGGGATCGACTGCTTTGCAAAAGGTTTCATTGTGTATTGACACGGTCGCAGTCAAAGCCTTCCAATCTCTCCACGAGGCCCAAGCTTTCATGGACGGCAAAACGCTCTCAAACACCAACAACTCCGGCGAGCAAAAATTCTACGCCGTCCAGAGTGGACGGGTCCCGGGGGTGTACACCGATTGGATACAAGCTCAAGCTCAGATCCGGGGCATCAGGAAACCCAAACACAAGAAATTCAGCACCCGTGCAGAGGCAGAAGCGTTTGTGGCCGCGGGGCGGAAGGCCAATGGCGCTGAATCCGCGCACAGCGTCACCCCAGAGGAGGAGATACGTCGCTTGATAGTCCGCAGTTCGGCACCCGGGTTGCAAGTCAACGGAACATATTCCCCGACAGACAAGGATGGAAAACCTTACGCAGTCGGTCGGGGTCCTCTGCCACCTGGCGCTGAGGACGGGTATGATCCAAATGTCAAGTTGGACGCCGACGGCAGCATCGTAAATCGTACTGAGGAAGAGAAGAGCAGAACCAAAATGATGACCCGACAAAAGGAGTCCCCGGGCATGCTTCGCATCTACACGGACGGGTCAAGCCTGAAAAATGGTCAAGCAGGAGCCAGGGCAGGAGTGGGAGTGTTTTTTGGACCTCAGGACCCCAAGTATGCCAACTCTCCATCTTCCAAACCCAAGCCCAAGCCAAAGTCCAGGTCCAAGTCCAAACCCAACCGTTACGTTCCGTCCAAAAAACCACAACTTGTTTATACCATGGACTGGGCAGCTCGTCAGCACGGCTCTGGCGAGGAATCAGCCAAGAGACCGCAGGCAGGCGACGAGGATGACGATGCAACGGACCAAGAAAAAGAAAGGCTAACGAATTGGCGTTATAGAAATGTCTCCGAGGCACTGAAAGGCAGCAAGCAGACCAACCAACGGGCCGAGTTGACTGCTATCTTACGAGCATTGGACATTGCTCCCCGGCACCGAGAAGTCACCATCTACACTGATAGCAAGTATTCCATTGATTGTGTGACGAACTGGTACCGAAACTGGAAGAAGAACGGCTGGGTCAACACCAAGGGGAAGCCTGTGGAGAACAAGGACCTGGTGATGGACATCCGAGAGAGGATTGAAGAGAGGGAGCACCTCGGCAAGCTCACATATTTTGTATGGGTCAAGGGTCACACGGACAATCCGGGCAATATCGCCGCGGACCGTCTGGCCGTACAGGGGGCGATCAGCGGGAGAGGGCTTGATAATGAAAAGGCTGAAGGGTCCAAGGGTGCCAAAGATGGAGAAAACACGGCATTGGGTGAGGATGAGGATGAAGAGGCTGCGATCTTCCGGGCGATGGAACTTGCCATGGAGGAAGAGCTGGATGCCCAGTTCAAGTGACCAAGTGTTTACTCGGGGGGAAACCAACAGGTGGTCACGATGCTGTCTATTGATGTTCCCAACATGGCCCAGTAGATTCCTTGGTCTCTAGTGGTGCTGTTGGGCAGCTTGAAGACGCGACAGGTGCCAGGACGGATGGCTGTGTGTTGTTCAAGCATGCTGCTCCGAGCTGCTCCAGCGAGGACAAAGTCAATCGACACGGGTTGACTCCCTTCTTCTCTTGTATTCTCCCCTAGCCCAGCAATATCGTGTATCCCCATTCTCTTCAATTGGTCTGTCATCAACACTGATGTCATTGTGCATTCGGCCATCCTGTGATTGCTTCGCTCGTTTCGATCTTTGGTTGTGAGTGCGAGATACGAGCCTTTTCGCCCAGACTCGGTCCTTGGCTTCCCTCCTCACTACATCAACGACAAATACACAGCGAATACCTGCTCTCCTTCAGAGAACAGACTGTCTCTCACCACGACGCGCTACTGCGTCCAGCCTCGTTGGAAATAAGCGCGTCGCTTGCTGCAGCCGATATCGCTGACGACATCGGCGAATCTCCGTCGCGATGGATTCGTCGTTTGCCCTCCACACTCGGATCACGGCACGCGACTATTGAGCGCCTCCAAAGTCCCAAATCTTCGTTGCATCTCGCAGTTTTCAACATGCTCTCTAACGCTCTCTCTTGCGGTCAAACGCATGTCCCCCATCCTGCTTCTCCTCGAACATGCCCTCAACTGCGGCCCTCCGCCAACGCGCCGCCGAGTCTGCCCTCCACGACCAGACCAATCTTCTGGGGACGAGACAGCTCTTCATCGTCTTTTCCTCCCTAGCATCGGCACTGTTCATCTGCTATGCTGACCAGAATGGCATCGGTACTATCCTCCCGACGGTCGGGCGCGATTTCAAGGCCACGGACACCATCTCATGGGCCGGTACCGCCTCCCTCATCTCCAACACTTCTAGCCAGATTATATACGCCCGCTTCTCCGACATCTATGGGAGAAAACCCGTGTTCTTGTTCTCGGTAGGGATGCTTGTGTTGGCCGACATTCTGTGCGGAGTCGCCCCGGATGCGTCGAGCTTCTACTTCTTCCGCGCCCTCGGGGGCATTGCAGGCGCCGGGATCAATTCCTTAACCATGATGATCATCTCGGACATCGTGACGCTGGAAGAGCGAGGAAGATGGCAGGGGTTCTTAGGCGCGGGGATAGGTGGTGGCAACGCAGTAGGTCCGCTGATTTCGGCTGCATTCGCCCTGCACCAGACATGGCGAGCCTTCTTCTGGTTTCTTGCTCCGTGTGGTGCCATTGCCGGGGTCATTGGGTGGTTCTATCTCCCCTCGACGATGCCCAAGGGGAACGCGAGGCAGCAATTCAAGCTCATTGACTGGGGGGGAATCATCACTGCCACCATCGCCATCGTGCTGACCCTGATCCCGCTTTCCGGCGGTGGCTCGTACTTTGCGTGGTCCTCCCCGATGGTCATTTCCATGTTTGTCGTCGGCGGCCTGTCCTTCGTGGCCTTCCTGATCGTCGAGTGGAAGGTGGCCAGTCTGCCCATGATGCCCCTGAGCATGTACGCCAATGCCCCCGTCGCCGCCATCCTGGCCCAGAACTTCTTTTTCGGCATGGTCTACTACTCCAACCTGTACTACATTCCCTTGTATATCCAAAACGTTCGGGGGTGGGACACAACGATCTCGGGCGCTTTCTTGGTTGCCATCAACGTCCCACAATCGCTGGTCAGCACGCTGTCCGGCATCTTCATCTCCCGGTACAAGCGGTACGGGGTGGTGATCTGGACGGGCTTTGTCATTTGGACGCTCGGGGCGGGACTGATCTGCAGCTTCACGCGAACGACGTCCCCCGCGGCCATTGCCGTCATGCTCTCCATCTCCGGCATTGGCGCGGGCTGCATCTTCCAACCTGTCCTGATCGCGCTGCAGGCGCACTGCTCCAAAGCGCAACGAGCAGCCGTGGTCTCAAATCGAAACTTCCTTCGCAGCTCGGGCGGCGCCGTGGGACTCTCCATCTCTGCACAGGTCCTGCAAAGCTCCCTGCGGAGGAAACTCCCGCCTCGACTCGCGAGCTACGCGCACGACACGTTCGCGCTCCCGGCCCTGACTGGCGCGGACGAGGATGCCGTGCGGGACGCGTACATGGGCGCCATCCGCACGGTGTTCATCGTTTCGGCGCCGATGATCGGCCTCTGCCTCGCGCTGTGTGTCTTCATCAAAGACCGAGGCCTGCAGCGACCGGAGGAGAGAGAGCAGGCCAAGGCCGCGCAAGGTGCAGCCGGTGGCGACAAGCAGCAGGAGATGCAGGAGAAGGAAGAGCGTGGTCCACACCAGAAACAGCCGTCGACGGTTGACGATGACGACGACGCCGGCGCCGAGCAGACCGTCACAATAAACGGGGGCGACCAGCCGGGGGAGACCAGGATAGACATATCCCCACCCTCTAATGATAGACAGGAAAAGGGGACGAACGTGCCCTCATGATATGATTGATAGACCAGACAGAAACATTAGATCTCTTTGCTTTCCTCCTCTAGTCCTGACTTGTTCCTACATTGACGTTACATCCTCTCCGCTCATCCGTCCATCGGGATCTACAAGTATGTATCTGCAACACAGCCCCGTTGTTAGTCGTTCTCCATAGCTGGAATTGAACTATGACCTATGACCTATGAAGCCGGTGGCCGCGCTGGCAAGGCTCGCGCTCGCGCTCGCGCTCCAGTCCAGAAGTGGGCACCGATCATGCTGCCGATCGACCTCCCGTTTCGTCCAGACCTCCGCGTCCCCGCCTGTATACCTAAAGCAGGTACTCCGTACCTAGTAGATACCTGGTAGGCATCTAGGAGATTTTGTCTCAGATCCAGCAGAGGAACTCGGAGCCGCTGATCGATCGGTCGATCGATCGGCCGGGATGCGGTTAGGCTCGCCGTATAAAATACACATATGTTACCTACTTTGTACCTAGTATCCAGTAATATTAGTACCTAGTAGTGCCTAATCGTGCACTAGGTATCTGTTTGTGTAACCTGTTTTGTATACTCGTCTGTACATCTGGGTGTGTACCTCGTTGAGTAATACCCGTTTATTGCACCTGGTCGGAATCTCAACGCCACCTCGTCGCCCCCAAGCCGTCTTTGGTATGTACTCTGGGTATGTAACTTATCTCGCGCATCGTTTACAGACTATCTAGCGCCGTGCCTAGGTAGGTTCATGCACAGTGTCAGATCCTGATGCACGAAACGACGCATGAGGCCCCCCCTTTCCCTTTTTCCTTCCCCTCGCTCTAAGCACCGTCAAAGACCGTTGCGACCTGTTACCGCAAATATCTTAATGGGACGCCTGAATGAGGTTGTGGTTGGGGGGTCCACGGTCGTGACGACGGTGACTAAGGGTTGTAACTCTGTTAAAATCTCCCGGCTTCTTACCCAGCTTTGTTGCCGCCCACCTATGTACGGAGTACCTGCAACGGCCTTGTCGCTTGGTACTTCTGTCCCCACGCACTGTTGGCGCGAGATCGCCTATGCACCAGCATCCCTGCAAGATGTGGCCGGCCCGAATCTGCAAAGGCCCTGTTCAGGACACAGGATCATCGAACATGCATGCAGGCAGACAGGCGGAGGGGCGGACGAATCATGGCCCAACGAACCAGCCCCGGCTGGACATATGGATACAGAGGGAGGATTTCTATATAAAGTCATGACCATCTGGTCCTTTTGCTACACTGCCCAGAAGACTTCAATCTGACACACACTCTCACACACGGCAGTTTTGCGTCGTCGCTTTCAAGTCATCGCACCAAGATGGCGCTCGTTTCTGTATACCTTGGCTGGGCCGTCGCCCTGCTGTTTTCATTCATCGTGGCCCGCGCCGTCTATCGCATCACATTGCATCCGCTGGCAAAGTTCCCCGGCCCCAAGCTGGCGGGCATGACCTCGCTGTATCAAGCGTGGTATGACCTGCGCTCTTCGACGTCGTACATCAAGCAGTTCCACGGGTTGCACGAGCGGTATGGACCGATTGTGCGAATCACGCCCAACCAGCTGCACATATTCGACATGGCGGCATACAACGAGTGAGAGGCCCCTTCCGTTGGCATAAGTGCCCCAAGTCGACTGATGCCGTGCTCCAGGATCTTCAAGATCGGAACCCGCTACGCCCGCCACAGAGACAACTACAACCAAGACGCCGCCGACGGCTTCTTCAACGTCCTCGACCCCAAAGCCGCCAAACCGTGGCGAGACGCCTATCAGCCGTACTTCGCCAAAGGGACCATCACCCGCCTGGAGCCCCTGATCCACGACCGCATCCGAAAATTCCTCTCGGTGCTCGACGCGGCGTGCTCGACCGGGGCGCCCGTCGATCTGAGCAGGGGTTACCGCAGCTTGACCAGCGACGTGGTGACCAGCTACATGTTCGCGGACAAGGGGTTCGACCTGCTCGACGCCAAAGGCTTCGGCTCCCCGATCCTGGTGGCCCTGGAGGAATTCTTCGAGTTCACGCAGTGGTACATGTACTTTCCCAACTTTATGGGGTGGTTGGGACGACAGCTGCAGAGGCTCACCAAGGAACAGACCGAGAAGTTGATGCCGGCGCTGGCGGCGACGAACTGGATCACCGAGGTAAGGCTCAAAGACTCTCTGTCGGTTGTGCTCGCTCTCGCTGACGTTGATATCCTCAGCAATGCGGCATCAAGGTGAAGAGAATCATGCAAGAAGGAGGATCGGGAAGTTCGATCCCGACCGTGTTCGACGCGTGGGCCAAACCGAGCGAGAAAAGATCATTCACGCCCACCCTCAAGCAGCTCACGGCCGATGCTTTCACATTTCACGGCGCTGGAACCGACACGACCGCGCATGCTCTCACAACAGCGACCTGGGGTCTGATCAACAATAAGAAGTGCCTTGAAAAATTGCGTGCCGAACTGAAGGCAGCGATTCGGGAGCCGAATAGCGAGCAGCTGGTCAGCTCGAATGTGCTTGAGAATCTGCCTTATCTTGTAAGCCAGGGGGGAATGCAAAGCCCAGAGGTCCTGATGCTGATCCTTCGGTATAGCGTGCGGTGGTCAAGGAGAGCCTTAGGATGAGCATGGGAGTTCCTGGGAGGTGAGGCCCCGAAGCAATCTGCGAGAGTGAGGCTCCAATTGACATAACCCGAAATGCAGGATGGGACGAGTCGTGCCCGAAGGAGGCGCAGTATTGTGCCAGCAACAGATTCCTGCAGGAGTGAGCAGCCCGACCCATGATCCACAATCCAGATCCTCTTCGATTCGAACCATGTTGTTGCTTGACAAGGGCCCTGCTAATAATTTCTCGATCCGTCCTCCTTTCAGGTTGGAATCACCAGTGTCTGCTATTGCTACCACTATGACCCAGTGTATTTCCCGGCCCCCAACGAATTTCGCCCGGAACGCTGGCTGGGCCCGGATAGCCAGCAGCTGGAATCACGCCTTATTGCCTTCTCGCGGGGACCGAGATCGTGCATCGGCATCAACCTCGCGTACGCCGAGCTGTACCTCAACCTGGGGTACGTGTTTCGGAAGTTTGACCTGGAGGCGTTTGAGACCACGCAGCAGGACATGGAGTGGAAGGATAACTTTGTGGTGGTGACCAAGGGCCATTTGCGGGTGAAGTTGAGGAGGACGGTTGATGACGATGAGGACGATGAGGACGAGTGAAGAATCCTTGGAGGCATGTCAAAATTCAAGGCTTCGAGGACGAAGCCCAAGTAATCGCTTCTCATATCAAGCGGATAATCTCACGAGGCTGAGCTTTGAGCTTTTTGCACAGTTGAGACTGGCGGCGCAGGAGAACGTTCTCCACAAAGACGTGTGTCGCTATTCCAACGCGAGTGTACACTCCCTCATCGGCTTTTCGAAAAATCAAAAACCATAACTTCATTTTGGTAATTGGTTTGCAAGATCCTTCTGCGAGGGCATCAATGGTGTGATGCCAGTAAGAGTATCCTAGCATTAAGTAGCAGACGCTCTCGTCAGCTTGCAAGTCAGGATCCTCATCCGCAACGTCAAGCACCAACGTCGTCGCTACCTGCGAGCTCGCAATCGAGGTAGAACAGATTGCCGAGGGCTTCATGACCTTTCCCCTCAAGGCGAGCATGGGTCCGGATTTGGAGGAGTCGGCATCACATTTCAGAGGAGTGCTTTCGATGAAAGCCACAATTTGGTACTCATACCTTTGTATGAAAGCAAACGTTATCGGAGAATCGACAGATGCCCAGCTCCAGGTAGGGAAACCGGAAATTCGATAGCTCCTTTTGTGGGCGTTCCATGCCACCTGTCCGATGGAGTCCTTCGACCAGAAGCCATAGAAGTATTGGTCGCCCCAAATTCGGCCTAATTCTTGAGAGATACCTACCAGGCCCGCCAATCTGTCGCTTGGGAATGTGGGTTGTCTATTAGTGTATTCCAGAAGAATGGATCCCCAGGCGAGCATACGGTCAAAGGTCGACGGAAAAAAAGGGTCCACAAAGGCGCTTACGGTCCGTGTTATAATATCATGTACTCCGTAGATATTCGCCCGGAAGGCGGGGCAGGTAGAATCCTGTTTTGCTGAAGTGGCTGTCTGTGTAGGTTTTGCTGTTGGTCTGACAGCAATAAACTACGTCCAAGTTGAAGAAGATGAGCAGTTTCGGGGAAAGTAAAAATTCTTGTAACGCCCACCCTCTTGTCTGAAGGGGATTGTCCTCAGATGTCCTACTACCACTGGAAAAGTAGTAGTCTCTCAATGAAAGGAAGACAGTGCCGATTTGGTTGTTGGGCAGGCGAAGTCGAACAGCGCAAGACTTGAGCTCTTTCCTTGGTGTCCGCAAAAATCCCTCTGTCGCACTCCTGGCCGTCGCTGCTGCGATTGTGAGGGTTGCATTCCTGAAGATCGCACCCATTTTGTTGATCTCAGTGCTCTTGTCTTCGTCACTGTCTTGGATTATGCAAAGAGCGTCCACCCAGAGGAAACGGAATCCAAGCCGCTGCGTAGCCTCCATGGCATCCAAAATTGTCTGGGCGAGCTGAGATTTGGGAATTTCCTTCGTCGTGGACTCCAGATTTTGGCGTGTTGTCAAATACTGGTTGGCTTCTCCCCAGCAGTAGCTTAGACAGCAGTACGCACCTCGCTCGTCTGCAGTAGAGATGTGAATCTTTGCGACTAAGGCAGGATCGTTGCCTCCAACGTCAATGACCCTTGTTGGCAGAAGAGGATTCTGTGTCGCCGCAGCCGAGTTACACCGTTTGTGCTTGTTCAAGCAGTGCGTCAGAGAACACATACTCTTTTCGAAAACCATGGCGCTGGATTTGTCTACGTTTGGCGGGTTCAGATCCACAAACGCCGCCGCCGGATCACCTAACCCTGTTCTCAGCAACTCACAATCGGGATGAAACATTCAAAATTTGAGTTACCAGGTTCAGCAAAAGCCTTGAAGTAAGGCCACGTTCCTGGCTCAAAGTCCTTTCCGAGCCCCTTCCGTAAAAAGCTGCAAAGCGGACACAGAGGTGTAAGCTCACACCGTATGTCTGGATGAAAGAATAGTTGTCCTTTGTGCAGGTTGGGAAAGTGCGGCGACAGTGAGAGATGGTACTCGGAGGGAAAGCTGCTGGTCGAGAGCATTTTCCGGCATGTTCGGCAATAGCGCTTCGGGGTCTTCATGATATCGGTTGCGTCGAAGACATCTTCGGCCATACTTTGTCGTGTTGCTCGAGGATGGGAAGGTTTCTCACGATGCTGAGCTCGACAGTCTTTGCATGAGCTGACAGCCTGACCGTCTGTAGAAGGTCTTCATCGTACTATGGCGGAGGAGGGAGTTAGCATGTTGTTTGATTGTGCAAATAGGGGTGGACCGCAAATGCTCGTAAATCTGAGAAATCTGCTGCGCGGGCCACTGCTGCAGTGAACTCGTTCCGAGCAAATACTCACCCACAGCAACTGTATCAACCATCCACTTGGGCTCTGCTCGGTATAAAAGCGTCACGCGGGCTGTGTACTGGAAGGCGGAGCAGGGTTAGTGAGGCTGAGCCACCCAACCTGAACCCAGGCATCTCAAGCTTGGAACCTGCACAATTCAGAGCTACCGAGCAGCTCAGGTCGAGACAATAGTCGCGTCGGTCTGCAGACGGAACTGGTAATTAGGCAGGTCCTCTTTCGTCCGTGTATGCTCGTAATTAGAGCGAAGCGTGGGAGGTGTGCGGAAGCTGCTCGACCAGTGCTATCAATCATCCATCCCAGGCTTTGAAAGATCCCGTTCGGAGAGTCTCCGTTTCGGGAAAACGGCCCCAAGTCGAGGCAGCCTCGCGCCCCGTCTAAAGTTGACCAAAGCGGTACAACAGATCTAAGCATTCGCTGACCATAACAAATGATCCATCAAGGACTGCAGGCGAGGATGCCCAAGTAGAGGATGAACGGAATAAGGAGGGGAGGCCCTCGGTTTGTGGGGAGAGGTTGAATTACACCTATACAAGTAGGGCAAGGCTGAAAAAGATGCCGTCTCCGAATACCAGGTATATACCTTGAATTCTCGTGAACGAAAATCCTACCCACCATGTACACTGGAGTTGTGTTGGTGCAGCACTGAAATACACGACTGTTCTCTAGCCCAGCTTTGCGGACTTGTCAAGATTGGAGGATATGATCGAGCCTGGGAATATCGCTTAAATCTTTGTCCAGAGTCAAGGAGTTGAGACTCGGTATTCGAAGGGACAGGAATCAATAATGTCAGGTTGTGAATCCGTTCAATGCCTCTTCGTGCTTGTTTCGGTCGACTTGGTCTTGACGATTCAACTCCCTCAATTTCTGCTGCAAGGCTTGTCTTGCAGCATCTTTGTCCGCGCGAGCAAGATCCCTGTTGAGCTGCTCGCGCTGCAATTCGACGTTACGTTTGCGAACAGCCTCGCGTTGCAAACACTGTGATCCTGTAAGGGCACGCTTGTTAGCATGGTGGTATTTCACCAGATGTAGGGGGGTGTAGCACTCACTTGTGTCTTCGCCTTTCCTTTTTCTTTTCCTACTAAAGATGGTGCACAAGTCCTGTTTGGCATCAGAAGGCTTGATGGATATGAAGGCAGACTTGTGCCTGTTCCATGCGTCCATTGCATGGAGCACTCTCTGACCCAGGATCACCTCATGTGCCAATTGATCCAGAACATAGAATGTTCCTAGGCGGGCGACATCCGCTTCAGATATCTGTGTCGTCGACAAATCTCTCGGATCAACAACGCCGCAATCGAATGAGGTTGGTTCCACGGAGGCAGGGGCGCTCAATGCCAATATTGCAAGCACCTTTCCAGAGATGCCTTGAATCTCTCCGTTGGCGAATTCCACAGCATGGTTCTCATCATCATCCACGTCTAAGGCACAGATTGGAAAACCATGTTGAAGGGCGCAAGCGCGGTGGATCAGACTAATCTCAGAGCCAGTATCGGGTAATGCGAGAAATTCCTTTCCATTGAGAAGAACATGAAAGCGCAGGTTTGATGGCTGATGTTTCCCTATACTCAGGCATTGGGGGGTGTGCGCTGGTGCCCTAGACCTCTCCCTCAGTCTGAAATCCTGGTTCGTCAATACGTTTGTCTGTCGCAAGAACTCCAATCCGACGATTGCCGAAACCCCAGTGGCTAGTCTTTCGAAGACGTGAAAGAAGACCGGGGAGATTTTTATTTCAGGTACAAGATCTACACTTGGAATGCAGCAAACCAGCTGCACCTGAAACAGGGCACCGGCGGAAGTGTCGTTACCCACGCTGATGACTGAAAACTCGTCATTTGCACTGACGGAACTGCTCTTGGCTCTGCCTCTCTTGCTTGCCTGTTCAAGCTGCTTGAAAGTCGATAGAGGTATAGCGTTGATATGGGAGCCCGAATCTGGAACGGAGCTGAATCTCAAGCCGTTGATCATGATGTCGAGATACAGTAACTTGCCGGGTCGGACAAAGATACTATGAGGCTCCAATCCATCAGCATCGGGTCGAGACTCAGCAAGGACGTCAAACGCATCATCTGTGGCGCCGAAAAGTGGTCGAGATGGTTTGAGAGTCCTCAAAGACAGATGGTGGGCTTCAAAATCCGGTATGGAAGGGTTAGTAGCGTCTGACAAGTGTGAATGTCCAGATCTGTAATTTTGTTTAGCTGGATCATTCAGTCGTTGCCGAAATCTCGACTTGAATGAGCTTACTTATTCGCTGGGGTGTGATTAACACTCCCTGGATCGGGGCGGACCTTCGCGCCCCTTACAAAAGGAGGCTGTTTTACTCCGCAAACAGTGCATCTCCCTGCACAGAGCGCCGGGTTGTTTATGTTGCAGCACTGATCGCAATACCACCATCTGCTAGCGCAAATACACGAACGGGGATTGCGGCACCTCCCACCCATCTGGTATTCGGGTTATTTTCCAAGGTGGGTTTGGAGGAAAAGAAGAGTATCTGCTGTGGATGGAGGTTGAAATTATCTTCCATGAGGCTCCAATGCCTTCGTTGCCTGGCTGCTGCGCCTCGTAAAAGGCGATGCTTCTGATGGGTCAGCAATCTTGTCAGTTATACCCAACCCTGCGTACTTACGGGGCAACTTGCACCTGGTAATGCGACTGTTATTGGCCTGCCCAGCCGCCTCATGCTCTAGGCATCCTGGACACCGGTCAAGGCCAATTGCTCTGAGCGCTAGTTCGAAAGGCATCGTCAGCCTGGTCCCTCCTCAGGCAGCGAGGAAGTATTTGAAGCTTGCCTTCAAATCGAGCCTTGCCTCCTATAGTTCGTGTTCATAATCCAATGCATGCCTCGAGACGAGGAGACTGGAAAGGTGTGTGAAGAAGCCATCGGGTTCGCAGACGTCGCAAAGTTCATAGCCGACGACAAAGAGCACAGTTCCTCCATTTATCGGCGCTATGAAAGACTGGCAGCGCGGAACTTGCTGTATTTGCAGGTGGAGCTCCGCGATCTGGAACTGCAGCTTGACGAGGTCGACCGAGAGGATGCGCGCGGTGGCGAAGATGAGGTCGAGGGCGCCATGGACTGGCAGGTTCTGCAACAACGGGCGAACATTGCGGATGGCAAAGAGTCGCGTCGACGGGAGCTCACACTGCAGCTGAGGTGCAAGATCAAAGAGTATCGTAAGTTGAGTCGACGGAACAGCTGAAAGGTGGTATTGACAAGGTTTCGCATCTTCAGAAAAAGCGGTCCTTCGCAATGCCCAGATGTTGGCTCTTCCGCGTCCCTCCAAACAGGCTCATACGGCCTTCTGCGACTATTTCTACAACAGAGACAATGAGAGGCCATTTCCACGCCTCGCTGGCCTCGGCGGAGACTTATATGCAGATCGACATGACTTGATGTCCTTGGTCTTCAACCGTGATGACGACCGGCTCACTACTTTCCTTCGTGAACATGCTCCTTTGCTCTTCCAACGCCGCCAGGAGCCGCAGGCATCGCATTCTTGCCCCAGCGTGCGATCTCTATCAGAATATCGTCTCAGCCTTGCGGTCGCGTCCATTAACATCGTGGTCGCTGCCGTGATGCTCTTCGGGGCCATTTACAACTTGTTCTATATCCACAGCTTGACCAAGCGGCTGGGGATAGTGGCAGGCTACACGGTAGCATTCGCCATATGTGTCGCTCTGCTGTCCAACGCACGAAGGTCTGAGATCTTTAGTGCTTGTGCAGCATACGCAGCCGTGCTGGTCGTCTTTGTGAGCGGGAATTTGAGCAGCCAATCGCCGTCTTGAAGCACTTCGGATGAGGATACCAGGTACTATTGAGACATTGTAGTATTGCAACGGATAATCACTCATGAGACCGACTTTGAGGGCCAATTGAAGTCTGATCTGATCACTGCGACCTGCGCGGTTTGCCTGCGCTGCGCTACGGCATCTCTTGGACGTGTTGTTGAAGGTTGCACGTATTGTAGCCCTTACTCTTGAAATATATGCAGCACAGTTTCCTGCTCGTGTTTGTTACGTCCTGCCCACAGTGCAGATGTACTCGATCATAATTGGGAGGTTTGCGGGAATCATTCCTCCTGGCTTGGTCGAGCCATGGAGTCGAAGGGAGTTTGGAGCCGTGATCACTCTTGCTTGAACATCAGTGAAACGTCGGGGAGAGGAAGTGCATTATGGAGGTCAGGCAAACACAGCTATTTCAGATAAAGACCATAACGTGCGTGCGTCAAGATCCGATTGCGCAATCGGGAAATATTTGTTGCAAATGTCGGATGAGCGAGCAGTATTCAGAGGTGACGGGGTTGGATCACGTCGCAACGAAGACCCGCTCCCCGCAACCCAAGCAGTTGGTTCAAAGAAGTCTTGCAACCGCAGTTTTGAGGGACTTTTGCATCGACGGAGTTTCAACTTGCTAGCTATGCACAAGTACGCATCCAAGGAACCGAGTACAATCATATCAAATCATATCATAACATCCTATCCTATCAGATGAAAATCCTCCCTCCACTGCTTCCCCAGCCTTCGCCCACCGCATTTCTATCCGATGCCGAAACAGACTTCAGCCACCGTGACAAGCCCCTTCGTTCTCTTCCCCAATCATCAGATGCCGATTTCATCTCGGGGCATCAAACGCCGACAATTGCCTTCTTTTGCGGTTGGGGAACTCATTGAAAAGAGCTATGGATAGTCTGACACGGCGCGGGAGAAGTCCGTCACCATTGTTGTCGGCTTCTGACGATTGTGGTGAAGCTTCCATCCTGCTGTCCCTCACTCGTGGACAATTTCCTGGTTCGAAATAATAATATTATTTTCTTGTTTGTTTCTAGAAGAGCTTCACCTGCGTCGTGGGCGGTGGTGACTTTTATTTAGATCTGTAAAGAGCGTCGCAATTCCTCGACTTGGTTGCTTGCAACCCGCTATTCGTTTCCTCTGCGTGCTACGGTCCCTGCTCCCTGGGATTCCGGTCCGCAGTCCTCTTTTTTGTGAGGGTGCTGTTTCACAGCTCACAGTTGCAGGAGATCGCGTAACTGCGACAACTCCGGCCGAAAAGATGTCGAAGCTCATAGACTACGCGGAGGGTGGGTGATCACGTTCTCTGCCAACACACAATCCCCCCGGCGTCCTCTTCTGAAGACTAACTATCTCATTCTGTGCGATACAGTGCAAAAGCACACCTCCAAGGACTCGTGCTGGGTCATCCTCTACGGTAACGTGTGGGACGTGACAGACTTCCTCCCCTCCCACCCCGGCGGCGCCCAGATCATCCTCAAACTCGCCGGCAAGGACGCCACTGAAGAGTACGATCCCATCCACCCTCCAGGCACCCTGGAAGAGAATCTCCCCGAATCCGCCCGCCTGGGCCCTATTGATCCCAAGAGCCTGCCGGAACCAGTCAAACCGGCGAAAGATGTTGGACCAGCACCCGACACGAAGGCAGAGGTCGAGCTGCCATTGCAGGCCATGTTGAACCTCGACGAGATCGAAGCCGCCGCTACAAAGAAGCTGTCCAGAAAGGGATGGGCATATTACTACTCCGCCGCTGACGACCTGGCAAGCAAGCAATTGAACAACACAGTCTATCGCCAAATCCTTCTCCGGCCGCGCGTGTTCGTGAACTGCCAGGACTGCGACCTCCGCACCACCTTTCTCGGGCACAAGCTCGACCTGCCCATCTTCGTTTCCCCAGCCGCCATGGCTCGCCTGGCTCACCCCGATGGCGAATGGGGCATCGCACAGGCGTGCAAGAAATTCGGGGCCATGCAGATGATCTCCAACAATGCGAGTATGACCCCGGAGCAGATCGTGAAGGATGCGGGGCCCGATCAAGTGTTTGGATGGCAGTTGTATGTGCAGACCGAGCGGAAGAAGAGCGAGGATATGTTGGCCAGGATCAACAAGTTGGATGCGATCAAGTTCATATGCCTCACACTCGACGCACCTGTCCCAGGCAAACGAGAGGATGATGAACGCGGAAAGTTTATCGTAGAAGATACGAGCCAGGCCATCAAGGACGCTGGCGGTGCGGAGTTGAAGGGCGGCGGCGGCATCGGACAAAGTCTGTTCTTTGGCACGGATCCGACTTTGACCTGGACAGAAACGCTGCCTTGGCTGAAGAAGCAAACCAGCAAGCCGATCATTCTCAAGGGCTTGCAGTGCCATGAAGACGCATACATTGCTGCACAGCACGCGCCACAGGTCAGGGGCATCATTTTGTCGAACCATGGTGGTAGGGCTGCAGATACAGCACCGCCGTCCGTGCACACCCTATTAGAGATCAGAAAATACTGCCCCGAGGTCTTCAACAAGATTGACGTGGTTGTGGACGGTGGTATCAAGAGAGGAACGGACGTGGTCAAGGCACTGGCCCTGGGTGCGAAGGCTGTTGGTATCGGTCGTGCCGCGCTCTTCGGTCTAGGTGCCGGCGGCATTGAGGGAGTGGAGAGAGTGCTCGAAATACTCCGGGATGAGACCGCCACGGCAGCGCGGTTGTTGGGTGCTGCAAAGGTGACTGATCTGGGTCCGGTGCATATCAACACCAGAGCTGTTGAGAGGGATATTTATGACGGACCCGCTAATCTGCCCGGCCTGGAAGGCGCCATGAAGGGTCTATGGGTGAAGGCGAAGCTGTAATCGGGATTCTGAAGGCGAGACATTCAGGCATTTCGCGAGGCGTTCCTCCCTGACATCTTGGGTCCATGTGTTGAGATAGCGAAGCACAATGATTTGGGAATAGACGGAGGCAAGGACAGCTGTGCCCTTCTGACCAAAATCCAGAAGGTGCGGTTTTGTTTCAAAATGCTTCCTGGCCAACACCGGCTCCAAACCACGTCCGCAATTCGTCTCTCTCAGTTTTTGGCCCTGACGACCCGTTGGCGCTGAAATACTGTGAGAGTCTCGTGTTCTCGTCTTCGTCTGGGTCCGGCCACTCAGTTTTCGTCGCTGGACCGCCCTTTTGTTCGAGCATGTCTTTGATCGTGCCCCAGCTGAAGCGGCATTCGTTCCCAAACCCCCAAACAGGGTCAATAGCAGACTTGAGCCAGCTCACACATCTGGCGTCAGAAGGGTATCCTGAACCCCACGATTCTGATGCATCCTCGGCTGCGTTCGATTGCTGTTGAGTATACGCCTCCAAGAGGGCCTCACAACTGACATCTCGGGTGACCTTGGCGACGACACTAGCCGCACTCACGCACGGGAAGAGACTATCAGCCTTCTTCTCAACCGTGATCTTGATGGTCGGGAAGATCAACTCGAGTTTCTTCTGGTACACTGAGGGTTTGCCAATGGTGTCGACGTAGATCTCTGTCACGTTGACTCCCTGCTGCAGCACTCCTCGGATCAATTCGATGGTGGCATCCATGGCCTGGGCGTTGAGGTTGTACGAGCCGCCGTTCTTCATCATCCCGGCGCTGATGTCCCGGGCACTGAGTGATTTGATGGCCCAGCCTGACGACTGGAAGAGATCCGTTCCAGTAGTGCATACCGCCTTCATGAGATTTGCTCGCACTGCTGGCGTGAGCACCTTGGAATCATCGAAATGATACGATTCGGTAAGAAGGGACTGTTGGATCTCGACTGGGACGTAGTAGACGCCATACACCATGGGGCCAATGACAGGCCCGCGTCCAGCCTCGTCTACACCGAGAACGCACGGCGTCCCTGATGCAGACGACGAGGCTGTCCTGGTGGTGATGGCTTCGGGCACGCTGCTGTAGTGCGCGTAGGATTTCCCAGAGAGGAGAGATTCATGGTTATCCTGTACCGAGGGTGGTACGAAGACTGCAGAGGCGGCGACCTCGTCTTCCTCCATGATTGTGTTGTCCTTGTATCAGATACTCGACTGGGAGAAAATGTAGAGCACGCGCAATCGAGGGCGAGCGGCCGCGACGCGTCCCAAGTAGCGCCCCTTGATGTTCCCGCTTCGCCGCGCTGCCCGATTGTCGCTAGTCGGGCAGTAGCCAATCATGTTCCCCTCCTGTGCTATATCACGCTAATCCTAATTCATGTTATCGACAACATTGAATGCGTCTCAACCAACGCTGCGCAGATTGATACCTTTCTTCTAAGCAGCCCACGACTTTGATTTCCAGCACTTATATCGCAACTTCTCCAAAGACTACGCGGTTCTTGAGACTCAACCTCTGTGTACCATGGCTGCTCGACCCGCGGTCCGCCGCGACCGCGGCAACGTTGATTATTCCGCCATTGGGAAGCTGGGAAGGTGAGAATAGATGCGCCCTGAAGGGAGACGCCAAACACTGACAGATGTGTAGACGCACCGGAGTTACGCTCGATCATCGACCGCTGGACGCGAATGGCATGGAGGAAATCTCGGGCATCTTCTCATCCCCGCGCAAGCCCTCGCCGTTAAAGAACGTGATGATCGTGGAGAGTGTGGAGGGACCCAGTACATTGGCCGAGTCGCCACAGATGTCGAGCCCCAACAGTACGTGCAATCGCCGGTGGGAAGGCAATTGTCCCATTGTGTTAATACGTCCCTTTTGTCGGGTACGACTGGTCAAGCCGGGTTGAACTGACGCCAATATAGGTCCAGGTCCTACTCCCAGTCAAGCTCTGTCGTCTCGCAGGAAGAGCCGCGCAACGCCTATTCCCCCTCCCAGATCATCGTCGCCGAGGAAAAGCGGTATTAGTGGCACCGCAAGGAAGAGCAATGGCGTTGATATATTCTCTATGCGGAAGAGTTTGCAGCCCCCGAATGTTGAGGATCACGAAAACTTCGCGGAACCAACGCCGACTCGAAGCCAACCGCATCTGGCCCCTAGAAATTTCAGCCCAAGTCCAGAGAGGCCACCACTACGAGACATTACTACACCTGTTTCACACAAAACCCGGAAACCGAGACCCAGTCGCGAAATGCAACGAATCGAAAATGAAGTATACGCGTCTACCGAGGACGAGGTCTTTGACCCGTACCAACAAACAATCGAAGAAGCGGAGGTGTCACCACTTGTTAATGCTGACGTTGTGCCATCTGTTGAGCAGACAGAAACCCCTCCAGCCCTTGCAGAAAGACAACTTTCCCCAGAGGACGTTGATGCATATGTCGGGTTTGATGGCGAAGGAGCAGACCAAGATCAGGACCCTGAAATAGCGCTGTCTGAAGTGGCACAGAACAAAGCCAATTCCACAAAGAAACGGAAATCGGATGTACTTGAAGAGAGCAATAGCGCACCATCACGAGTACCAAAGAAAGCGCGCAAAAAGCAGGGACGAGTTCCCGCTCGTAAAGAGGCAGTCCAGCCTCCTTCAAGCCCAAATCGCATATCGGTAGAAGCAGAGGCAGGCGCACACACACAGCAACCACCAAAGCAACCACTAAGGAATAAGGATACGAATCTCAAATTGTCATCACGACAACAAAAGGAGCTCGACGAGATCGTTGAAAGAGTAAAAGCAAGGCCGGGCCCACCGAGATCACTCTACATTCTGCGCAGAGAAACTCCCACGGACGACAGTGTCAGGCATACCAGAAGTGGCCGGGCCAGTGTAAAACCATTGGCATATTGGCGGAACGAGCGATGTGTCTATGGCGCGAGTCCCGGTGGCGGCAGTCTAGCGGACGGCGCCAGGTTTCCTTTGAACAGCATCAAGGAGATTGTGCGGATCGAGGAGATTGAGCCGAACATTGGAAGGAAGAAATCAAAGACCAAAAAGAAGAATGGAAAGGGCAGGGGCAAGGGACCGCAAAGACCAGTGGAAGAATCCGAGGAGTCGGATTCAGAGTTCGACATGGACGAGATTCCCGACGATCCAGATGCCGAACCCTGGGAGACTGGGACTGGCACGCTTCGCGGGAATGTCTCCATTTGGGACAACGAAGAACAGGCACCCACGGAACTGGAGGAGGAAGTCGAAATCGCCCATGCACCCGCGGCGATCAAGACGCGCGAAGTTAAGGGCTCGAGCTTCCATGACGGTCCCACGTTTCGGTACGCAAAGATACTGTCCACCAAGTTCTTCGGTACGGGACTTGTGGATCTACCGCCTGGCGGAGTGAAACGGCCGAAGAACAGTCGGAAAATGCACATGAGCTTCTTCGTCGTCAAAGGGAGGGTCACTGTGACGGTGGGTCCAGCGGGTGGTGAGGAGACAGGAAGCATGAACCGGTTCAGCATTGGGAAGGGAGGCTTTTGGCAGGTTCCCAGAGGTGAGTCTACTTCAGTGTCCGATTGGAAGACTACGAGATTGACAGGCTGACTTTTATCGCGAATTTCCCAGGCAATCAATACTCGATCGAGAACGAAATGGAGAAGCCGGCCCGGATATTCTTCAGTCAGGGCTGTGAGCCTCCTCCGGTCGAGGAACAGGCTTGATCTTGCCTGTGTGAAGCTATCTATTTGGAATGATTAGATGTCTCTCTGTCGAGGCACTGGACCATACACTGGACACTGTTCAGGCAATCAGAGTTAACGACTAAGATATACTTTTGGAGCATGACTCTCTTGCAAAACGCGAGGGCTCTGAAAAGGGGTTCTCAATTTCGCAAGCCACAAGTGCAAATATGTCAATTGGATGAGCGATCATGTAGCCGTTACGGGTGACTTTCTGGTCGCATCGGGTGCTCATAAGGCCACGTAACAGAGGTGCTGAATACCTCGGTCTCTCCCTTTGTAGTCCGCGGCGCTTCCCCTGTCGTCCCTGGGTTGCACAAGCGATCGCTCAGTCGTCCTCCACGGGTAGCTTGATGGATGAACTGGAAAAGGCCCTCGTATTCTTCCAGGAAGCCCTTTCATTCGTCTCCTTTTGTCGTGGATTTCGGCCTCCGTTCCCGTTCAATCTTCGACGGGGTCTCATGACGTTGCCGTCGAGATGACACCGAAGCTGATTTTCTCGATGAGTGCAAGAAAGGATGTTTCTCTGCTCGCAGGAGCCAGTTCCGGTGGTCATGGGCTGCTCTTCTTCCTCAGCACGGCCAGTGCTTGCTTCGCTCGCCAACCTCAGATTTCCTCCATGTCCTCATCTAGCAGATCAGTCAGGGGTGGAAAGTCGCCCACGTCGACCTTCTCCGGCCTGACGAAGACGCCATACTTGTCCGCGCACTGAAACACCCTCCTCGTCTCGTACACCTTCTTGCTCCCCTCTTCCTCAAGTTCGACTTGGACGCTCCCATCGTTCCTCCCCACGGGCTCATCCAGCTCCACACCAACCCAGAGACATCCTTCCTCCCTCTGCCCACCCAACCCGGGAATTTCTCCCGTGAATCTCACCGTGCCCCTCCTCCCATCATCACGCCCTACACGACATCTCAGTCCCTGCTTGATCCCCCGCGCCTCCATCTCCTTCTCATCCTTCTGTCCCCGCTCCTCCACCATCTGAGACTGAGACTTGGCGTGGGGATCGAACCTGCCCAACTTCTGGCGGCGTTTCCACGCGAGCACCGAATCCTCCAACTTCTCGTACTCGGTCTCGGGCATTTGGTATTTCTCCACCGAACTGAGATCCGCGGCGAGGAAGTTGAGGTTCTGTCGCAGCTGAGGAGGCCGGGTATCCTGGACTTCAATCTCGGAGCCCTTCCTAAGCCCGAACCGGGGATCAGAGAGGAGAGCCGCGTCATTGGTCAAGGCGATCCAGGTCCCATCTAGAGATTTGGTGCGAAGAGACTGTGAGGACGACGGAATTCCCGTGATGGGCTCTAATTTCGATTTCAACTGGGATATTGTCCACGTGGGTGTTATGCGGCGCTCTGCTGAGAGGAGCGGCGGGCCTGTAGGATTGGAGTCGTTGGGAACGACTATTTGCATTGTGATGTCGATGGGTGCTTGTGTTGAGAGCGACATTTTTGCAGCAGCCTTGATATGTCAACGTGGCTCTCGATGCGCAACGGGTTCAGCAGTCAATTCTCAGTGATCAATGTAGGTGTGAGACCCTCAGCCGCGTTCAGCAAATCGTAAGCGTCGTGCAAAAAATCTTCGTCGACAAAGGGCGTTGGCAGAGGATGGTAGAGAACATTTCGAATCCTAGAGGCTTTTCAAATGACGAGTGTGTTGTAAATGACCGTCTTTCCATCAACATTTAGAAGCACATCGAAGAAAAGCTACAAGCATTCGTTCTATCTTTTTAGATCATGGCGATGCTACATCAATAGTAGGTATGTCTTCCAATGACCTTCACCATTCTATTTGGGCCGATCCCGAGCGCAACCACATCGACACCCGCCTTCACTCCCCTTGGTATTACTCCCCTCAAGGCCGCTCCGTGAGATTCAGGAGAAGTTTGCCTCCACAGGGTGCCGCATTGAAAGTATCGTACATCCTCATGTCCGCCAGAGTCATTGAGGGGTCGACAGTCCCATCGAACCGTCGGAAGAACGCAGCCGTCACTTTGTTCAACTCCATTCGTGCCAGACTGTACGCACGCGATTAGACCCACCGGCCAGCCGAAAAAGGGGCGAGAAATATAGGTAGGAGCTTGAAAAGGTGGAGAGAGAAGAACATACTTGATTCCAATGCATCGGCGTGATCCGATGGAAAAGGCTGTCAGCGCCTGCTTTCTCAGTTCTTCATTTCCATCGTTCCTCAGCCATCGATCGGGATCCCAGCACTCGGCGTCAGGGAAAACCTCCTCGTTGCGTGATATCGTGTAGTTCTGACAGCCGACAGTAGTCTGTTACCCTGAGCTTAGTGCCCGAAAATCCAGATTGTTCTAGAAATACTTACACCTTTGGGGATTGTGAAGCCTTGGACTGTCGTCTCCTCAAGGGCCATTCTGGGGAGTGTCGCGAGGATCGTGGGATATCTTCGGAGAGTTTCGTCGATGACTGCTTGAAGCAGCGGAAGTTGTGAACAAGTCTGGATATGCACAAGTCAGCTACAAATTCTGTCTGAAGCAACGAAGCGACTCACTTTGTGGTCAGGGACAGCATTGCGATCGGGAAAAGCAATCACGAGTTCCTCGTGAAGTCGAGACACGATATCAGGCCTGTTGAGCGTCGCCCATAGGATGTAGACGAATGTATTGGCCGTGGTGCCGCTGCCTCCAAACCTATGTCAATAGTCAATAACAGCGTCTCAACGGGGTCGCTAATGGCGGTCAGGCTTACATTCCTCCCATACACTCCTCTGCAATTTCCGAGTCCGTCAACGGTCTGCCCAAGGCCATGTCTTTCTCTCCATACAACATCTGCTTCAGGAACGGCGTTCTGACGCCTTCAGCTCGACACCGCGCGAGAATTGTCAAAGCATACTGTAAAGGACCGACGTTTAGCATGGCCAGTCATGGATCACTTAGGGCAATCATCACTCACGCCTTTCCACAGCCTGACCGCCCTGAAACCCTTCCCATATCGTCCTGGGAGGTATATTCCGTACTTGGCCAAGTAGGGAAAGAGCTCTTTCTGCGAAAAGCTGTCAGTTAATGCTGAGGTGAGGTTTCGATGCCGACCTACTACTATGAACAGAGGCCTGGTCAACTTGAAATAGCTCCAGACATGGTGTGGAATGCCTTGTTTGACTGACTCGGGATCTTCGTCGAATAGGAGGTGGTCTGCAAACTGGTCATTCATCTGGACTAGACTACCTGAGACGTAATGGGCATGCTGAACATACGGACGACGTCGAATCCGAACCAATGGGTCCACGGAAAGACGTCGAAGGCCTCCCCTTTCTTGCTGATATGAGACCAGTTCCCGAGCATGTTTGTGATCTTAGTGTCGATGTTTGGCTCAAACTCGAGCATTGCCGACTGCGAGAACCCGCGGTTCACCAGCCTTCTCCGCTGTTTGTGGGCTTCTTTGCCCCAGGAGTTCCTATCTATGCATCAACTCCCGAGTCATGGTCTGCGCACAAGCAGCAGGGAGACTGACCGATATGTTAGCAGGAAATCGTGGGCAACGATCTTTTTGGATCTCTTCACGAGCGCCATCAGCCAGGACTTTAACCGTTGGACTTCGACTTGCTTCCTACATAAAACTTCTCGTCCTTTGCGAAAATGTCCGACTCATATATTTCCTTGTAGGCAGCGGGGGTGGCGAAGGAAACTTCATTTGGGCCGACTCTCACGACCGGGCCTATGACTCGGGGGGAAATCACTTCCATCAGCCTCAGGTTGAAAGAAGCCAGCTTTTGAGGAGACTCACCATATTTCACGTGCGCTGCATGGATGATCTCTGACTTACGACCGTAGAAGTTTCCGCGCCTGGTGTACAGCTTTGTAAGTCTTGCGGCCGAGGGTCCTGGGAATTTGCGCAGCGGGTGGAAGAAGAAATAGTATATCAGCAATGCCGTCTGATATGCCACGAAGGCGAATCCAACAGCACAGGCAATCAACCGCTTTCGATGGAGGACTGACTCCAAGTGAGCAGCAAAGTTCGCAGTGTCTATCATGGTGGCGGTATCGTGACCGACTTAACCAGAATGAATGAAGATGAAGCAAATAGTTCCCATATCCCCAAAGCAAGAGCAGAATGTATTTAAAGGCCATGCCCTCGAAGTTGGAGTTGTTCGAGTCCACGTTGATTGACATACAGGGTGCTTGTCCTGGCACCTCGTTTCCCAAAGCCGCAGAGGTTTCATTGTTGATACGACCATACCATGTGGCAGCCTTGTCCCAATCTGTGTATTTCCCCCAAATCCCCGGAATCCCCAGAAGTCCCCCGCCCGTTCCGGGGTCTGGCCAATGGGGGTCGACCATCAAGTTACCCTTCTGGGTGTAATTCCCGCTCCATCGTCGTCGAGACCCCCGTTGCCTCGACTGGACACCCATCTCTCGTCAAGCACCCCGGATTCCAGGTCTGTTGCGTCGGAATGGAACCGCACCTGTCCTTGCTCCCGAGTTTACTTGAACTCCCTCGAAATCTTCCTCTCTGACAAAAGATATCCCGAAACCCCGTCAGCACCGGAACTCTTCCAAATGTCGGATGGGCTCCAGAAGCACAGCTCAACCCCACGGGGAATGTGGTCGGTCTGGAACAAAAGCGGGAAGATGAATCGCAGCCCTATTAAAGGTAGCGAGTCCCCGAACGATGGTGGTGTCTGCACCGCACATCAATTTGCTCACGACTTCTACTTGCTCGATCTGCCCTATCTCAACTTGAGTTTGTGCCAGCAATATGTCAGACTTTGAGATTATGCAAAAGGAGGAAGGACGAGGCAAGAGCGTCACCGAGCACATCGACAGAGTCTCATCAGAAATAACCCGCCCCGAGAAGCTCAAGCTCACCAAGCGAATGTTATGTCTGGGTGTCTACGTCGGCATGACGGGATGGATGTATAATTTTGATCTCGGTAAGAAGTCCCATCGTCCTCGGCCGTGCGAGTCCTCTTATCGGGACGCTTGAAAATCACCGTTCGACAAAGACGACAGATCACTAAGTGAAGATAAGGCTACAGTGGCGGCGTCCTCCTCATGACTCCGTTCAAGGAAGCCTTTGGCAGCTACGGCCCCGTCGAGACCTCGACCGGCAAGATCGTCTACGCGTACAGCCTCACCGCACTGCAACAGTCGCTGGTCTCGGTGGCCATCATCTTCATCGGCATCGGAGGTGCCCTCGCCGGGCTTATTGGCAACTATCTGGGCCGCCGCGGGGCCATCCAGATCGCGTGCGCGCTCATCGCTACTGGTGCAGGAGGCATGCTCGGCACGGCGGGGAATTACTTCAACTACATGGCCTGCAAGTGCATCCAGGGCGTCGGGCTCGGGGTTCTTCTCGCCGCGGGCCCCGTCTGGGGCGTGGAGTGCTTGTTGCCCAAGACCCGGGGCATGTTGCTGTCGTTCTTCAGCTACGGGCTGGCCATCGGCAACATGATGGCCGGCTGCGTGTGCCTGGCCACATCCAAATACACGTCGAACCTGGCGTGGCAGACCCCGATCATCTGCCACATCCCGCTGGCCGTCATCTTCGGACTGACCACGCTGGTGTTCCCCGAGTCGCCGCGCTGGTTCCTGCTCAAGGGCCGAGAGGCCGACGCGCGCAGGTCGTTTGGGGCATACTACGGCAAGCCCGCCGACGACCCCGTCGTCTCGCGCCAGGTCCAGGAGGTCCTTGCCCACATCGAGATGGAGATCCTGACGGAGAAGACGTCGACCTTCCTGGAGATTTTCCACGGCGTCAATCTGCGCCGGACGTCCGCGGCCATCATTGTGGTCCTGGGGATCGCCCTGACCGGGTCCAAGTTCATGACCACCTACGCCGCCATCTTCCTCTCCGGCGTCGGCATCAAGGACCCGTTCCTCACCAGCGTGATTATTGCCTCGTGCACCTGCGTGGGCGTTCTCGGCGCCCCGTTCGTGACCGAGTACGGAGGGCGGAGGTTCGCTCTTCTCACAGGCTACGCTGGGTTGGGCATGTTCATGCTGCTCATCGCCGCCGTGGGATCTGGTGTTGGCCAGACGAGCCCCGTCGCCATGCGCACCCTGGTGGTGTTCCTCTGCCTCTGGAACTTCACCTACGGCTTGACTGTGAGCACCAGCCTGTCGACCATGGCGCCGGAACAGCACTCGCTCCGTTTGAGGACTTACGGACAGGCATTTGTCACTTTGATCTACGAGATCTTCTCCTTTGGCCTGTCCTTCAGCGTCCCTTACATGATCAACAAGGACTACGGCAACCTGGGATTGAACGTCGGCTATGTCTTCTTCGGTAGGTCTCGACTCCAATTGATATAGTTGTCTTTCGTGATGCATTTGAACGTGAATATACTGACGACCAGTACAAATCCAGGGATCTCTGCCATCATATGGCTTGGGTGCTTCTTCTTCGTTCCCGAAACCGGCCGTCTCAGCCTGGAGCAGATCGACGACCTCTACCTGAGTGGCAAGCCTGCTTGGAAGACCTCGCTCAAAAAGAACAAAAAGGTAGCTGCCGACGCAGCCAAAGAGTGACCGCAGCTATACTCTGGAAACATGGATCTTGAGACTCTTCCGACCACCAAGCAGCCCGTTGCCAACTCAGAGACTCGATCTTCCTTGTTGAAGGCTGCTGTTGAAGGGGAAGTCATGGCAAGGTTGGATTTTGTATACGTAACTGCCACAATGTACATCTGTTTTGCTCAAACTCCGTGGCATTGACGAATCCACTGCTCTTACTTTTTGTCTTCGGTACCCTGCGATTGATTTCCTCCCTGTATAGCAAGTTAGGCTGGTTTCTTGCCATACACCTGGCTACTCAACCGAACCAATACAAAAAAAGGTCTCCTTTGACTTTCGATATGCTTGGGGAGCATAGCTTGAAACCCAAGACCGCAGCTCACAGGGTTGACCTCAGCGTCCAGGACTCTTCCTAATAAAAAGGAAATCCGGCCCACGAATTTTGTCGAGACAACCTTTTCCGTGTCCCGTCAACAACATTCCCGGATCCGGGGGACGAGAGCATCGACTTCCCGACGGGGTCATTCCGTGTAGATACAGATGCCTGTAGTAGTCACCTCACCTCACCCGCCCACGATTGCGTGCCCAAGGCAAGGCCTCACCTACACATTGTTGATGCCATACCAGAAATCAAACGGGTTGGCGTAGAATAGATCGCACGAGTTGATCGTCTTGCTCGGCCCTACGCCCGCGACATCGGGCATGCCAGGGCTCGTCGCGGCATGGTAGAATGGTGCTTCGGTGAAAGCATTCGGCGAAGGGGTCGGTTGCTGCGGGCCGACTCCCACTCGGTTCTCAGGGAGAAAGATGGAGAACCGCCTCAATTTCTGCTCAGTCATCCCGGTTGACTGCCGCTGTTTGAGATCGAGACCTTGCCTGACCGCGGTAATAAGTTCTGTTTTTATTGGGTGACACATGTCAGTTTTGTGCGGTCGGCGGACGGGAAGGGTGCCAATTCACTTTGCATTACCAGGCCCAACTTCCAGTATCTCCCGATGTGGGAGAGCAGCAAACTCGATACGTCTTCGTTCCGCAGGCTGAGACCAAGGCCCCGAGCATCGAGGCATCCCGGGACGACGATACAGCATCCCATAAAGGGGTGGTTCATGGGGATATATTCGGGCTTGCACTGCCTTGCGATATCGATCATTTGGGTCACAATTCGTTTCCCGTACAGGGATAATCTCTCGTTGGCACATCCGACATCGTATTGAAGATACCGTATGTTTTCCAAGATACTGTCACAGCTGGTCATGCTTGTTAGGCGAAGGGGTGTATCGAGGGTGGGAGATGAGACGGAAGGAAAGGGGATGGGAAAATGGGTTCCACTTACGATAAGATCATGAAATGACAGCAAAGGATCCAGTTATGCTCTCTGTAGGTTTCTTTGTCGATACACAGAGACTGTAGCTGATATTCAGCAGGTAAAGCAAGTCGAAGACAGCAGAGCGCACTATCCAGCTCCAGGGCTGTGTTGGCGGGCGCCTGAGATGTCTGTCTCGCTGCAACAGCAATACAAGACATGAGATAATTGCAGACCAGATACCACGCCCGAGGAGCCTGATTCGGACAACCCTGCAAGCTCTTCCATACCATGGCAGGTTGGTGATCGAGGACAGCTGATATGAGCGGGATGCCAGAAAACCATTGATGGTCTGCAACTGGCAAATGCACCTGCATCTCTCTTCTCTCGATTACATAGGGCTGACGTACCACCGTAGATACAAAGGTGTCTAGATCGAAGATTGCCCACCACAGTCTCCGGAGGTCTTCTTTTCGCACCCAGGCATCGACATCACTGAACGGATCTGGAAGCTCGGATGGATCTTCATCGACTCTGTTCAATGCAAGGTCGTGGGCAAGCCGCACGCACATGCTGGTAAGGAGAGACCCCTGCCCCAGCTGCCCGGAGGTGCAATAGTATGATGCGAGCAAAACACATGCCTTGAGGAATTCCGTGCTTGTTTCTTCGAGGGTTTTCATGATCTCATCCTTGATGGTCACAGCTCGGTCCACAAAAACGTCTCCTCGATCGAGGATCGGGACATGATCGAAGTTGGCTGCAGTCGAGAATCTTGCGGTCAGCGCAAATATGGCATTGATCATGAAGATCTCGTCGGCCCCAAGGCCCGCTGTGGACACTATCGTGTTTTCGAATGGAACATATTGCTTCCAAAAGGAAGGGCGGTGAAATATCGGGAGCCACACTTGGACATTGTCGAAGAACAAATGCAGCCTTTCTTCGATCAGGATAAAGAGGTTACAAGTGAAGCAGACGCTTACAATTCGGTTGCTGTTTCGCTGGGAAGATGCCATCCATTATCGTCTGGGGCACACGCATCTTGAGACTGTCGCCCTGTCGACCACTGTGGCAAGGCTCCGGTTGTGGGAGGAGACATGTCAAGATTTGGGATGATTAGTCCTGTAGTCTCTGAAGTCGTTTGGTCGCGGTGAGTAGGGGACGAGATGGAAGGAGCATAACTTGAGGCATTTGAAGCTTGTCGAGAGTCCAGTTGGCTGCCATTACTGAAGCTGGAGCTTCTGTGATCCAAATTTCGTCCTTTTCCCTGTTAATAAGTGTACAAGACTGTGCTTTCGAACCGACCTAGCAGCTGATTTGTGACATCGCTAGAGTCTAGAGCATATCTATCAGTGCAACTGCTGCTGGTTTTCTTCGCACTGACGCTCACCACTTACCCTTCGGAGTCTGTCTAGCTCTTCCGCGTGGTCGACAGGGTTTCTTCCTGATGGGAAACATGCACTGTGAGCCGAGCCTCTCACAACGGCCACAAGCGGGCAGTCTCATGTCACCTTTGCCAGTCAGTGCATCCGTGGAGTCTATGTTCAATCGGCTAACTCACACTTTGTCTTCTTCCTAATCCCAGACGATGTTAGGGCCAGCAATTTGCGTCTGCAGGGACGAAATAGGCCTTACCTACTGCACTCCTGGCATGCTCTGTTCACCGTTGGAGGCTGGGGAGCATCAGCGGCCACATAAGCAAAATAGTTCTGTGCCATGGTTCGAGGGCTGGAGGTTCATCCGGTGTGTGGTACTAAGATGAGCTCTGGCAGACTGCTAAGATATGGACAGGCTGGCGGATGTGCCCATGTGCATCTCTCAGGCAGGGTATGCAGTAGGAAACATGCTTTACCATTGTAGAAACTGGAACAGGACTGGGGACTGGGGGCTGTGGTAGCATTGCGGGGTACAGTACCTCATAGAGGCGAAGCTGCTCCAGATGCATCACACTAAGACGGAAGGCATCCGTCCTCTGGCTTTCGATATCATAACTGGGGGTGTCTGTAAGATGTGGTGCTTTGGGTCGGAATGCTTCCGGCCTGTTTCACGAGGATTGATTCGGTTGAACCTTTAATGATGATGGTTGGCTTCGCTTGGCACGCCAAACAAGGTGCATCGCATTCCTCAAGTTTGACATTTGTTTGCTACCTGCCACCGCCTGCTTCATTCTTCCTTGTCCCCGACTCTTTGAGCATTGAAACCCTGAGCACTCGACATTGGTCGTCCCTCAACTGTAGACCATTCGGATCGTTTCTGGAAGTGTCTCAATAGTTGTGTTATCGAGCAGTATGCAGGTCCTGTCCCCTTTTGTGGGCATGCTCTCTTGAATATTCAACTCATTTGTCCAACATGACCGACACGCTGGTCAACTGAGCTCATGCCTAATCCTACTAATCGCTTGGCACGGATCTTTTCGAGGGTTGTTGTCGTTGTTGTTACAGCCATCCATTCACAAGAAAAGTCGCATTCAGACCGGCCGCGCGCCCCTTTTGTTTTCCTGCTGTTTTGACACAATCTGCCTTTCAAGCTGTCCCCACAAACAGATACAGCCTCTATCAGTGGTAGTTGGCTCCTTCCTCCTCTTCAGATTTTGGCACCGGATTCTCGCTAGACAAATCGCGCTCTGCTTCTGGTAAATTTCGACGAATGATCTTTCCAGATGGAGTTCGAGGAATTTGCGTGACGAAGATGACTCCCCCGGTGATCTGCTTGTATGAGATGAGCCTGCAAGCGACAAACTCCTTGACGTCCTGCTCGGCCAATGGAGGCTCAGAACTGCCGGGGGACCGAACCACGTATGCGGTTGGAAACGTCTCAAGCAGTCCGTCCTCGTTCTCCCGCATGTCGCCGCCAATAGCAACATCCGCAATCTGGGGATGCTGAATGAGGACGCTTTCGATCTCGCTCGGCGAGACTTGCCACCCCTTGACTTTCAAGGTCTCTTTGATTCGGTCACAATAGTGCAGACGACCTTCCCGAACCTCTATGCGATCGCCGGTGCGGTAAAAGCCATCAGAGTCGAAAGAGTCTCTATTGGCGTCGGGATTGGCCAGATACCCAGAGAACAAAGTCGGAGTTTTGATCAACGCTTCTCCAGCCTTGCCTTCCTGGACAATCACGTTGCCGTCCTCATCCACTAACTTCATTTGAGCATTCGGCAGCAATTGCCCCACGCTTCCCGACGAATCCTTCTCTTCCCAACTGCCTAGAGAATGCCAGCCTGCTTCGGTCGTCCCCCAACACTGAGTAATCACCGCATCTTGAGCCAAGACATCGTACAGCTTGTTCTGCACGCTTGCAGGAAGAGCAGCACCGGCGGAGATGACATATCGGAGGCTTTGGAGAATGGGCATGTCTGAAGCGGGGAGCCTGGTCAAAGCGCCAATGATTGGGGGAGAGACGGGGGTATCGGTGATGGCGTAGGTCTGTATGGCTTGCAAATATTCCGAAAGCGACCACTTTGGCAGAAAAAAGGTGGGAACGCCCAATCGAAGTGGCAGGATCAGGGCCAAGGGTGATGCAAATGCGTGAAAGACAGGCAGACAGATGAGCTGTGATGGCTATGAAGCATGTCAGTCTCGTTTCTGCAACCTTTGGAACCGACAGGGTATGGTACTCGGTATGGTCTGCTACGGAAGACATCTTCCAAGGTTGAAGTCAAGGCCACGATATACCGATGCGAGATCATGGCCGCCTTGGGGAGACCGGTTGTTCCGCTTGTCATGGCATAGACCGCGATGCATTCTGGGTCAGGTTTGCGATTTGCAGTGCGAGCGTACCAATCACCATCAGGCTCGAGCAACAGTGCCCGCCAGCTGGCATAAGCTCGACCTCGGGCTTGGTGGGAGGCGTCATGGGACTCGATGGTGAATATTTGGGACTCCGCTCCGCAGTGGGCGACTGCCTCAGCGATTGGTTCAATGCAATCCACCTGAGCAAAGACGACCTTGGGCTTTGTGAGACTGAGCAGATGAATCAATTCGTCTTTGGTGTATTTGGGATTGGACCCAACAACACGAGCCCCGGATCCGATTATCGCCAACCAGATCAGGGGATACCAGATCTATCTTCGACCCCAAGTCGAACCCCTGGTCAGCCAAGTCACACAGCATCAAGGTGAAGCAGGGGGCACGGCGGCAATAGCCGGTTTGAGCAACCGGAGCAGGACTCACGTTGTTAAAGGCATGCAGGCACACGCATTCGCCGTCTTTCAGGCCCAGGGCCCGAAGGCCGTGGGTCAATTGAAGAATGGTCCGACGAGCTTGCTGGGCCGAGATTCTATTGGAGGGATTGCTGGCATCGATGAAGATCTGTGAACCAGGATCAAAGGGGTCAGCAGAAAATCCACAAAGCTGCAACAGTTCAAGCAGCTTACCGGGCAACTATTGTCATATTGGCTGAGATTGGCAAAGGCAAAGGTCAAGATGTCAGTGGATGGAATCTGGATGGATTTTGGAGCAGTCCAGACAGGATCGACGGCATCTGTGGGGTGATGTTGGGACAGAGACATTGTGTAACGAGGGGCTTGCAGACAGCAAAGACAGGTGTCACAGCTCTTTGGACGGTCAGGTGAGACAAGAGATGTCAGAAGCACACCTCTGGTGAGCACGAGGGAGAAGCAAAGACGGATAAGCTGTGAGAATCTGTGAGATGAGACCGATCCCGCGGTCAGAGGAGCACGGGGGGGGGGGGGGGAGAAGAAAGAAATGAGGATACACCTACAACCTGGAGTGGAAAAGGTCTTTTAGGGATAAGTGACTAGGGAAGGTGAGTGAAGATGGTGAAAAGTTTTAGGCATGTCACTGACTACAAAGGTTCTTGGTTGGGTCGAGGACGAGGCCGACGCCAGCGTCAGTATTGTCCTCACCGTCATCATCGCCTCATTGGTCATTGGTGCTGGTGAGCTGCAACGATGCATGGTATAGTGGGCAGGAGCAATAAAAGGGATTGCTACAGAAGAAGCAGCGGCTTAGAGGTGGAAGGTGAAAGGTGAGGTGAGAGTGAGAGAAACATTCAGAGTGGCCGCCATACAACATCCCCCTCCATACCAGGATGCTACATGGGTGTGTACCTGGCTACCTGGCTACCTGGCTAGGTGTGCAGAGGGATTCTGACAGCGGCTCCATTAGTCACCTCCAGCCCAGCCGACAGAAGCTACTCGTCTCGCTCTGCTCCCTGCCTGGCCATGAGTCCTCCTAGGCTGTTTTAGCATCAGAGTGATGGAGATGCAAAGCTGCAGGAGAGGCAGGGGGGCGACAAGGGCGCAGGCAGTGGCAGTGGCAGTGGCAGTGGCATTGAGAAGTGAGAAGGACGAAGAGAGAAGACAGAAGGGAACCAGCCGGTCTCCCACACGAAGCTCCTGCCACTGCCTCCCCAATGCGAATCGATATATTGGCTTGACCATCAATTGGCTACCGACAAGACATGCCTGCAGTAGCTGGGCCATTCCGCATCTCTCCTCAATCGATCCAAATCCGTGGGTCGAATCCTCCTTTGGCATCCTCGATGCATAGACACGCATTATCCTTATCCTTATCCACATCCACGCCTACATCCTCGCCCTCGCCCTCGTCCTCGTCCAATTCTATGGGAAGCAACACACGCACCAACACGAGCTGCCCACGCCTCCGTATTCCTACTTGCATATCCACGCCCTCCTCCGACATCCCGCAGAAAAGCAGCACTTCCTCCCAGCATCTCGCCATCGCCCGTCTCCTGTCTCTCGCCTCTCGCCTCGCCTCCCTCGTGTACCTCCCTCGCACTCAATCGGCTCCCTTCTGAGCTCGCCTCGAGTTTCTGTCATCCTTCGGCTTCGGCTGCGTGATTTCTCATTCTCCACGTTTTCGAGTCACCCACTGCTCCCCCCATCTTAAAACACCTGGCTCAGCTGCTCAGCTGCTCAGCTGCTCAGCTTCCTTCACTCCTCGCCAAGTCACTTGCCACCTGACCTCTCCATTACCCATTCACCTCATGGTTTTGCGAGACGCATATCCTACGTACTGCAATACTGTCTGAATTCACTTGTCTGGGACTGGAGAAAACAAGAGCAACACTTGGCCTTGCCATTGACCGCTTCCGCTCGAGCCTCCTTTCCCATGGTTATAAGGCTTCCAGATACCTCCCTTCAGATGATCTTATCCTATCCCATCTCAATGCACACCAACCACATCTGACCATCGGGTATCTTGGAAAAGCAAACCTGGTGAGTGCTCAATTCACGGGGTCAAGACTGCCTCACCTCTCTTGTCTGGCAATCTTGTCGCTGTTCGGAACATCAGCTCCCAACATTTCACGTGCGGTTTTCTCCTTCGAGTCGTGACCATTACTCAATGGCCACTATCACCAATTGCACGGAGTTCACGGAGTTGATCTTGTCGCGTGGTCAGGTCACTCACGGTCACCTTTCTGCTGATATTGATATCGTTTGTCTCTTCCATTCTCTGCCGCAAACACAGCCGCTTAGCCTACTCCAACATCTTGACTGACAAACGCGTCTAGTCTCTTCACAATGGCATCACCAGCTTCTGCATCTTTCTACACTCTCGAGTCTCAACGGCAGGACCAAGGCCCCTTCCATGTCGACGAAAGGGGGCCCATAGAAAGTCATATTGTCCCTCACAACCTCTTTGACGATCCCGACGAGCCCAATTATCCGATAACGCAAATCGATGGCGCAGACCCCACGACATTGTCTCTGGGAGCTTCAGGCGTAGCAGTACCTGGCACCAAAGTTGCACAAGATCACACATCCTCCAGATCAGGTTCAGTCATCCTCGAGAAGCAGCCTGTACCCGAGATAAAAATGCCTGACAAAAAATACACCCGCTTCTTGCGTAACCTACGGTGGACTATTTTCTCCGTGTACCGCCGCCTCAACGCCCTCGCTTTGACTGCAAATATCATAGCCATCATTGTGCTGGCTACACAACATCAGCTGCTCACCATGTCACCAGAGTGGGCTGCGACCGCGGTATCTATCAATCTGACCGTGGGTGTCCTGATCCGACAAGAATTGGTCATCAATGCACTCTTCTGGACCTTTGGCCAATGTCCCCGTTGGTTCCCACTGCGATTTCGACGGTTAGCCGCAAAGATCTATCATCTAGGGGGCCTACATAGCGGTGCAGGCGTGTCTGCAGCCGTGTGGTTCGCCTTTTTCAATGTGTCGACTGTCAGAGCATTGCAAACTGGAGCATTGCGGCGGCATCAGAACAGCATCCCCATCATCACCGTCGTCCTTGACGTCCTCTTGATCTCCATCATCACCATGGCTCATCCTGGCATACGCGCGAGAATGCATAATCAGTTTGAGCTAGTCCATCGTTTTGCCGGCTGGACTGCTGTAGGGCTGTTTTGGGCTGAATTCGGGCTCTTGACAGACGCAAGGGTTCATGATGCCTCCTTCAATGTCCCAGCCCAACAACTAGTCCTCGAAAGCCCCGTCTTTTGGACACTTCTGATTGCCACCATTTCCATTGCATTGCCATGGGTGTGGCTCCGGAAGGTCTCGGTGAATGCAGAGCCATTGTCCGATCATGCGATACGTCTCCACTTTACATATACAAACTTGCCTCTCTGTGCGGCTCCTCGACTGTCAGATAGTCCGCTCCTTGAATGGCATGCATTTGCGGGCATACCAGAAGAAGACGGACGCGGCTTCTCGGTCCTTGTATCCAAGGCTGGAGATTGGACATCTCGGCTGATCAGATCACCGCCCACGAAATTATGGGTTCGTGGCATTCCCACAATGGGGGTGCTCCATGTGGCGCCAATCTTCAGGAAGATGGTTCTCGTCGCCACTGGCTCGGGAATTGGTCCCATCATGTCACTGTTACATAAGAGGGATGTCTCATGCCGCATACTCTGGTCTACCCCTGATCCCGAAGTCACGTACTCGAAGCGCGTCATCGAGGTTGTTCGTCGGGCTGATCCAGAAGCCATCATCATCAACACCACTGTCTCTGGCAGACCCAACCTTGTCAAACAGACCTACGAGCTGTTTGTTTTGTCCGGTGCGGAGGCAGTCTTTGTCATTTCCAACCCCAAGGTTACCAGAAGGGTGGTTTACGGCTTGGAGAGTCGGGGAGTCCCGATTTTCGCTCCCATCTTCGACTCATAAAGGACCCACGGGGACTACACCTCGCTGTTGGGTCCAGACAAGAGCTGGGAGTCTTGCATATATGGGAGATGTCGTGTTTCGGGATCATGTCGAGTTCTTGTTTGGCGTCTCAGAGGGTAGCGGTGTCATTTGCAGGAGCGCTCGCCTGTCACGGGTCGCCACCTCGCAGTCGATTGCAATGGTCAACAAACGAGCTCGTCGCAGCCCAGGAATTCCGGGCTTATTTCTTCTGTCTTTTGTCATCATGAACTCTCGGGCTTGGACTTTTCACAAACATTCAACACTATGCCATGGGTCTACATAGTCTAGGTGCGGTGGATACGGAAACATTTTATCGAAGCATTGCACTAAAGAGGTGGCATCGGCATAGGTAGAAGCTAACCGGCGAACATGACATCCTGCAAATGATAGAGTATGTATCAGAAGGGGCAAGCCTCCTTTCAATGGCTTGAAATGATGATGATTATTGTGCCATGTTCTCTATGCTTTGGTGCTGAAGATGACTTGTAGCCATCCCAGTAGAACTTCGCGGAGATTAGGCCATAAGATCACAGGCTGCAATATCGAGGAATGCGCTTGACCCGTCACCCGTGGAAGATCGATTGATTAGCACAACTACATCTCATTGCAACGAGGGAAGAATGTCTTCTCGGTCGAGTCCCTGCCCGACGCGTGTAGCACAGGCACTCAGCTGCGCATCTTCGAGACAGTTTGAGGTTCCTCGACTACAACAAGCTAATTCGCTAGAGACTCTCTGTCCCAGCTCCCTCTTCTATTGCGCACGAGCAAGCGAGGTCGGTTCCTGACTTGCCAAATCGCTGGCCACTCCAATGTTTCATCATCCTCTCCCTCCCTGCTTGAATCCAGTTGCAGCTCGAGGATTTCCTTCCTTTTTTTGGGGTGCCTGTTCTTGTTTTCCCTTCTGGTACTCGGACATGTAAACACTTTTGCACGTCGCTTTCCTTTTTGCGCCGAGAAAGTGGAAATCACGAGCCTTCCACGCTTCATCAACGCCCTCCCTCTCAAATTCCAGACCGTGCTCGAGTTCGCGCTGTTTGATCCGAAAAAAAAAAGAAAACAAAAACACACACACACACACACACACACACACACACGGATTTGCGAAGCGGCATATTGTCCCAGACACCGGGGCGAGACTATGCCGCGTCCAGCATACCATTTCGCGACCACCTTCGCGACATCACGAACATTTTTTGAGTATCGATGCCTGCAGCTTCCTCGGGTGTGCGGGCTGCGACAAAACCATTTGGCTGCGACGTCCTTGCTCCTCAGTCTTGTTCGGGCGTCTTGGGCCGCCTCGCCAGTTTCTCTTCCGGAAGCTTGCAGACTTGCTCGAATGCCCTTTTGTGCGTCTGGCCCGCCGCAACGCGGATCTTGCTCGCGTCGATATCCGTCTTGGAAATGCCGGCCCCGTGCCAGAGAAATCTCTCCAAGAAGCGAATCTCCTCGCGGGCGTCATGGTACATGTTCTCGTATACGTTGAGACGCTTCTTGCGTGGCTGAGGCGTATGTGCGGGTTCGTCGTCGGATGAGTCCTCCAGTTTAATTACCACTCGGGGCTCGGGCGGCGGTGTGGGGGTCGGCGATGCAGTTGGATCCCTGGTTGTTCTCTTTATTTTCTTCTTTTTCTTCCGCTTGGATGGTGTCGGGTCCTCCATGCCTGCTGTCTCCTCGTTGCTGTCTTTAGTCGGAGTCTCCGCATCCAAGCTCTTTCGCTTTCTCGAGAAAGACGCCTGAACGGCTTTGCCAGGTGATATCTCCGCCTTCCTCTTCCCTTTGTGCGTTGAGGACGTCTCAGGATTGTTCTTGGGGTCGTCGCGTAAAGGAGGGACATGGTTATTGGACGTCAATTTCGGCCCTGAGTGAGGCTTTCTCCATTTTGATTGACGGTCAGATCGAGATGTTCCCATCCGTGCCCGCCCAACATTGCTCGTCTGAGTTGAAGTAGTAGATAAAGTCTGCTGTTGGTAGTCCATGTCCATCGCATGCTGGCCGGCGAACTGGTGGTTCTTTCCCAAGAAGCTGATCAGACCAGCGAAGAAACGATCCATCATTGTTCCCGACTCTGGAAAGTATCGGACTGGGATGAGGGAGGTTAACAAGTGGCATTTTGCCGGAGCAGTCTGGATTGCCCTCAGCACACTTCGCCGGAGCTGGAGGTGGAGCGCAGGTGGGCATGTCATATTGACGACCGCCAATGCCTCGTCCAACACAAATTTATGCCAGCTTGGGTCACCTGGATATTCGGCGCCGTCTGAGCCCGGCAGAAGCCTCACTACCCGCTGAAGAGGATCTCCCATAAGCGTATGAGGATTTTTTGGAAATGACGTAAAGTCCAGAACATCTGTTCCAACTTCAATGCGAGGACTTTCGGCTGCCATCACTGCGCGAGGTGCCCCATGGATTGGTCGCAATGGCAATGGGTGCCTGATACGGTTGGCCGTTGCCGCCGACAGGTTCCTTGGACTTGACTCTATCTTGAACCGAGAGGTTTGCTCCATGGTTGGCCGCGCATGAGGCAAGGTTGGGTTGTTGGGTGTCGTGGATGGGTCCTGACTTGGAAGTCACCCAGGTATTGGATGAAATAGGGCTAGAGTTACGGAGTGGAATGAGGTAGACGATTAACATCGAGAGGTGAGAGATCGCAAGACATTGAATAAAATCTCGTATCAGTATTAAAGGACGAGTGTGTTTGTGGGAGACAAGTCCGCGCCGTATGCCAAGCGACGTCGCTTTGGGAAGTCCAGGAGTGAGGAATTGACAGTCCCGCGTTTGAGACAATGCCAATCCCACGGAAGGTGACAAAGCGAAGACCCCGATGGACCACGGTCTGAGACTGATATGCCGGTAGGGCCATTCGTACTTGTCACAAGGCGTCGTCCTCCTCAGCCTGGAGGTATCTTCGTATCCATGTTCAAGCGGGCCCGATGTTGTCCAAGCCCACTGCTGTATCCTCCTCCACAGCCAGCCTTAGATCACTCATCTGCAAACAGCCAGCGTCCACCCTTGACCGCCTCTTGATACCGCTTCTCGACCTCATCCCTCTGCCTCTCCCGTGCTTGCTCCTGATTCTCCTTTTGCTCCTGCGTGGATGGAATGTCCACGTCCCAAAATCCCGGAGGCGTAGTTGGGAGCGCAAAATTTGCCCTGTGCATTCTTCCATACTCCTTGGCAAGTAAATTGGCTCGAGCCTCATGCACTAGATTTGCTCTTGCTAGAGGCGTCAAAGAACGTATTTTGTCCGCTGACCCGGGCCCAAGAAATTCACGCAATAGATCGTCTTCGGAGACGTTAGGGTCACGGGGCAGCGTCTCTGCCAAAACTCTGAACTTGGTGCCACAACATTCCGGCCGCATACAGTTCGGTAGGCACTTCCTCGCTTCCTTGTTACGGACAACGTCTTGGAATGCATAATCAAGACCCTCTGTGTATTTTGGATTGACTTTGAAGTGGGAGAGATCAAGCTGAAGGACAGGCCGGGAACGGAGTGGCCCACTCTTCTCTGCTGCTTTGTTTGTAACAGGGACTTTCCTGGCGGAAGTGAGCCGAGGAGGTACAATTGTAGTAGGCGTGGATGTTGCTAGTAATGTCCCCAAGCGTTTGCTGGGAGAGCCGGTTGTATGAGTACGCTTCTCTGGTGGATTTTCTAGATCGTCTCGATTGTGATCAATGCCATCTTCCGTGAGAGACGAGATCGCTTCCGCTCCTCGCTCGTGCAATCCTTTAGATTTGCAAGTTCGGGAGGCGCGACTTCCTGAAGGCACATTGGTTCCGATTTCTTGCAGTGGTTCTATTTTCTCGGTACTGTTGGCTCTTTGTCGCTTTCGACTGGAATTGCCGGGGGTTTGTTCCTCGCACGACACACTGGGAGACGAAAGATGTGGATTCTGTGAGCGTCTTCTTTCCTTGCGGAGCTGATTCTTCAAGTTGTCGATCTCTGCTTGTTTCTCTGCGTCTTTCCGGAATAGTTGGTCCAACTGGGCCGCAAGCTTTGGAGCTTCCTGTTGCTTCTGTGTATGTGCCTGACGCAATTCCTGGACCTCGTGCTTGAGCTTCTCGTTTTCGCGTTTGAGACGTTCAATAGTTTTATTGCTGTCTTCGAGTTGCCGCTGAAGGGTTTCGCTCTGCGTGAGCGCCAGATTAAGCGTCGACGTGAGCGAAGGCGCAGGAGTAGACATGTCGGGTTTCGTGAACGACTGTGGTCGTTCGTTGTCTGAAGTTGAGGCGCTATGGGCGCGCACCGTGTCAAAGATGCCGATATGCCTTAGTCAGCAGCCAACTTGCGGAGACGCGATGTGGGGCAGGCGCCGACCAGATCTCATGCTTCGACGAAGGAGACGGCGAAACTCTATCGAACGTTCCTGCAACAGGCTCGGGCTGCGCCCTTGAGATGCCGAAACGGAGACGCAGCGATGAGGACACTGGCAAGCTGCCAGCGCCCGCGAAACGGAGTCGCACTGGGTCCAAGCGGAACCTGCTGGACGTCAGCGACGAGATTCTCTTGCGCATCCTGTCATTTCTTCCTATCAAAGACTTGCTGAGGACTGAGTGGTAAGTCCTCCACAGGCACCCACTTGCTGGACTTTTGCTAATTCATTCACAGTGTCTCGCGTCGGCTTCATTCCCTCGCTACCGATCGCGGAATCTGGAGGGTGAAATATATGCAGACATGGGTGCGGCCGCGCTTGCGACGGATTCCACCGACTGGTACAGGACGACAAGACCACTCGGTTGACTGGAAAAGCCAGTTTCGAATCAAATCAAATTGGTCAAAGGGCCAGGCCAAGGTAAAGGAAGTCGAGGTCGCTCGTCCACCTGCGCCGCCTGTGATTGCGAAAGTCCACCGAGGCATGATCTTCACGGTGGATCCAGCAACTGGCCTCCGGGTTTGGTCGCAAAGAGACGTGACGAAGACATCAAGGGCGCAGATTCGGCTTCACGGGACGTCAGCAGCCACCTGCATGGCGGTAGAAACCACTGACGAAATAACCTATATCTTGCTTGGGTTTCAGGATGGATCCCTCTCGGTTTACATCTACCACGACGACGGCCAGTTTGAGCACCGGACCAGCCACCAGTCCACCGACGGGCCTCTCATGGCTATCTCTTCGAGCTTTCCCTACGTGATGACAGTTTCCAGAACAAAGTTCCTGAGCCTGTATCAGTGGAACTCTGCGGGAAGTCGAGATAGAGACGCCACCAATATGTTGACGATTGCTAGACTTCAGTCCGATGCGTCCTTTGCGCCTATTTCAGTAGCCTTGAGACGGGCGCCAACCCAAGTCATTGCAACCATCGCGTATGCCTTTAGCAGGCTTCAATCTGGGTGGTGCATTGGGCTACAGGAGGTCCGGTTGACCACTGGGGGTAGACTTGTGGGCAGCAGACTAGCGTCCACCATTGGACCTCCCTACACAGGCTCGAGCAAAGGGGATCTTACCACCCGATCGACAAGCTCGTTGCCGTTACCTTTGCACCCTCAACTGATGAGTCCTCCTACGTCTCTTTCCTATCAACATCCGTTCCTCATTGGGACCTTGGCAGACAACACGATCATATCGTTCCTGGTGACTTCGAACGATGACAAGCTAGAAATCAGCGGCGGAAGACGTCTCTGGGGTCACACATCGGCAGTGTCAGGAGCAGAAGTCAACAATCGGGGCAAAGCGGTGTCGATCAGCTCTCGCGGAGACGAAATGCGAGTTTGGGAACTGGAACCTGTGATGACAACCGAAAGCCAACCTCGGGCCAGTACTCAGATTACAGCAGTCGACCCCTTTTCTGGTGGCGCTGGACTGTTGGCTCGGCGAGGTCCCGGGCTGGGGCTTGCCTTGGACGAGATCAGACGCGAATTGGAACTCACTCGACGGTGGGTTGGCTTCGATGACGAGCAAGTGGTGGTGCTGGGTGAACGAGACCAACGACAGATTATGGCATTGTACGATTTTACATAGACGCGTTTCATCATCATCAGAAGAAGAACATACAAAGACTTATACCGAAAGACCAAGAGGCTGTCAGACTGTGACCATACCCGGTCGAGCGAGACAGGTCCGAAAGGTACAGTACAATACTGTCGAGCTGTACCCTCGTCGGGTGATAAACGGCCTTATCTGCAACCGCGACGAATAAGAGGCAAGGAAACCTTCCGCGTGGCTCCAGGAATGACAGGAAAAGGCCTGGAAGATCCAGACCAACGGCAGATCCAGGCAGTGCAGTTTCGCAGCTGGCAAGCCTACCCGAGTCGTCAAGTCTGGTGGTCTTTTTACACAGCAGATGGCCACCATTGGAGTCCAGCTCGCAGGACGCCATGGGCAGAGTTTTCGAGGCCCTTAGTATTAGTATGACGTTGAAAAACACGCCCGTGGTCTAATAATTCTGCCAATCCACGCTGCCGGCCACTTTTTCTCCATCGCATTTTCTCCTCAGCTTTAGTTGACAAAGCGTTCACTTTGCACACGCACACAACAATCCGACCCTTAGGATCCTATTTCATCTTGCTCTTCTTGAGCCTGACACCTGGTACGCATCCACATCCTCGAGTGATCCTGCATGAGTTGCGGGTGGCCGAGACTGACGAGTGGTTGACTTTTCAGCTTCTCTCGAAACGAGCACGCACCAACACCATGGACCGTGGCTGCTACAACTGCGGCGACTCTTCGCACCAGGTACTCAGGACTGTTATCATTGACCCTACATCCCCTTACTTTACTTCAGGCACGCGACTGCCCCAAGAAAGGCACCCCAACTTGGTGAGTAAATCTGACCTGTTTCCTGCCATCTGGCCTTTCACTCCAGGTTGACTGACACGCCAACAGTTACAACTGCGGAGGTACGTCGCACAAAGTCACCCCCGGTCCTTACCTTTACTGACCTCTTCCAAAGCCGAAGGTCACGTCAGCCGCGAATGCACCGCTGCGCCTAAGCCCAAGTCTTGCTACAAATGTTAGTCCAACCTTGGAACGACGCCGTCTCAGACACATATATTGATTCGCTCACAGGTGGAAATGAAGGACACTTCGCGCGTGACTGCCCTCAAGCTGGTCCTCCTGGCGGTACGGGAGGCGGCTGGGGTAGCACCGGCGGAAACACCTATGGTGGCGGGTCGTCTCGAGAATGCTACCGCTGCGGAGGGCAGGGTCACATAGCGCGGTAAGCCACTGTTGTCCTGAAATTAAATGGGATGTCTACTGATCTCCTCTCAGTGACTGTACTTCCGGCGGCGGCGGCGGTGGCGGCTTCGGCGGCGGGTTCAATCGCGGTGGGGGGGGTCAGACCTGCTATGTGAGATACTTTCTTCGACGGTCTTCAGATTCATACTGACAGTCGGGAAACAGTCTTGCGGCGGCATTGGCCATATGTCACGGTAAGGCTCGGTGATCCTTGCTGCACCATCCCCCTTGCTAACTATGGACCAGTGACTGCACTCAAGGTCGGGCTCAGAAATGCTACGTATGTCACCCTGACCTGCAATGCCGACCCATACACTGACAGGGAATGCAGAACTGTGGCGAACAAGGTCATCTCTCTCGCGACTGCCCATCCGAGCCCAGCTCTGAGCGCATCTGCTACAAATGTGAGATTACGCTCCTGTCATAGACGACCCCCTTCTAACCGTGCATTCTAGGCAAGCAGCCAGGACACTTGCAGTCCGCTTGCCCCAACTAGTTGACTTGCTCTAGCACCTTGACGAGCCGACCACTACTTTTCCTTTCTTATCCAACTCACGCAAAAAGTATGGGCCTATGGATGGTTGATGATGTACATCCCGTCTCGAGCATCATGATGACATGACGATACGCATTCAAGCAGATGGCAATAGGTTACGACAGAATTTTCAATTTCCAGATTCGGCGATGGCTCAACATCCTAGGCGAACCATCTGTGGTTGGTGGAAAGGCCTTTTGAAACCGGGTGATGATGGGAAGAGATTTCGAAAAGGTCTTTGCAATGCAGGAGCAAGCGGACGATGGAGAAAGGAGAATTTTGAATGGATTTCGTCGGGGTCAACCAGATTGCACGAGAACCAAGGACATTCAACAGACGAACCAGGTTGAGGCAAAGGCGGCTTTCGCTGAAGGGGGAAAATTTTCATTCGTTCAATGGGTCAGCATGCAGATCGGCGCACTGAGACCCAGGATCCAAGGGCGCTTTGGGATCGGCGCGAGCAATGCGCAGAGAAATCCCTGGCAGGAGGAGATGAGGTCGAGATCGACGCGGCTTCCTCGTGGATTAGGGACGATCCATCTCGACAGAATCGATAACACAATAAGAGAGCTCGTCTTCCCTTTCCAAGTCTTTGTGCTCTCTGGTCTTTTGTTGTGTGCTGTCGTACCTCGTATTGCAGTATCTGTTGCCGAATGCTCGACGTCTGAACACAGGCAGCCTGTTCTCTTCCAGAAGGCACTGTCCTCAAAGCTCGTCTCACGGCACAGACGATGTGCACAGCGTACTCGGTATTGCTTGAGCGAAGCAGAAGCTGACGGCTTTCAAAGATTAAGCGCACGTTGCCGAGTACAGGTAGAAAGAATACTGATAGCGGTAGTTGAGCATTGAAGTCGGCGAGTCGGAGGACAGATTCCGGCCCCCGACGCCCCCGCCAGCCCAAGTTTCAGTTGGACGGGCATCACAGGCACTGCCACGGGCATCACGGGCGCCCACGGGCGAACTCTCCAATCAAGAACCGCCTATTCCAACGTCCCTGGAGCCTCAGCAGCCCTCTGTGGCCCTTGTCCGACACCTTACGCGTCCTCCGCAGCAGCCAAGCCCAACCAAGGCCTCATCGCCCGCGCATTGCTTGCCCGTGATTCGCAGCCTTGTGCGGCCCGCTGCTATTTCTAGGTCCAGGTACAACATGCGCCCCAGTCTTTTTTGTTCCGTCGACCTACGTCGCATACCCCAAGACCACGTAGACTGAATACCCTGTCTATCTCCAGCCCCCTCCCTGGCCGACACTCGATACTTTGCGTTATCAATGGCTTGTCAATCCCTCCGCGAAGCCTTCCGGCAGTCTTCCTCTCTCCCTCTTCCTCCCACCAGAACCTCACAACACATCCTCGATACTTCCAGTCGATAATTTCCCATCCACCATGGCCAGAAACTCAATCATCGCCCTAGCCACGGCAGCCCTGCTGGCAACGACGGCCAATGCTCAGTTTGGGTACGGATGGGGAGGTGGATTTGGCAATGGCAACGGGGACGGCTGTCCTCCTTGGGCCAGTGACTGCGACGGCTCCGACGACAGCGGCGACGGGAGCAGCTCCTCGTCTTCGAATGGCGTCTCGCAAGGCAGTCTTTTCTCTTCTCCCGCTGCGTTCGACCGAGGAACCAAGATTCTAATCGCCCACGCCGTCCTGGCCTCTGCAGTTTGGGTCCTGTTTGTCCCGTCGCTCGCAATCCTACTGCGCTTGAACATCAAGAATCCTATTGTGCTCAGAATCCACGCTGTCGGCCAAATCCTCAGCTACATCATCTTCATTGTCGCCGCAGGCATGGGCATCTGGCTTGCACAGCAGTCTGCCGCCTACGGCGTCTGGAACGACCCTCATCCAAAGCTGGGTCTTGCAATCCTGGCCTTGGCTTTCTTTCAGCCAATTGTGAGTTCTCACCCCTCGAACGGCGTGATTGGAGAAGCTTCTTGGTGCTAGAGCTCTCTCTTATCGCCCTCTTCCACAACTAGTCCATGCTAACGGCGAACCCAGTTTGGTTCTATCCACCACTCAATCTACAAGAGACGCGTCCAGAACGTCCAGGCGGGAAAGCCAACCAAACCGCCCGGCCGGACGGCGCCTGGACGTGTACACCTTTGGCTCGGCCGGCTTCTCATTGTGCTCGGTATGATCAACGGCGGCTTGGGCATCCGATTAGCATCCTTCAGCCCTTTCCAGACCGATGCCACGTCCACCAAGGCAAAGATTGCCTACGGCGTCATCGCGGCCACCATGTTTTTGCTCTACCTGGTGTTTGTGATCACCTTTGAGGTCAGGAAGTCAAGGGCGAGCACCGAGGAGGTGCGGAGTAGAGAGCAGGTGGTCGCCAACAAGGACGGACTGCCCTCGTATGACGAGAGTGAGGAATCCGTGGGAAGGCCCAGCAGGTACAGCTGAACCCGGAACAAAAAGGCGTCTGGACATTTTGATGACATTGTTTGGAAAGAATTTGACTTCGATGTGATACACGAAAAGCCCCCCCATTTACTCCGTACACTTGTTACTGAGATGGCATGATAATGATAATGGTACATACAAGAAACCTTGCTTTTGTGATCGAAAAACTCACCAGATCCCTGGGATCAGAGCATAGGGGACCTCCCTCTTGACCTTGGCCCATTGCTCGCCGTACTTGTTTGCCATGTACTCGTCCAGCACGGGGATCGCCCGCGTCGCAAAGTCCCAAAGGAACCAGCCTCCGACCAAGACACCCCAGACCGGGCCTCCCGAGGCCAGCGCGTATCCCGCGCGCCACATCGAATAGCCCATGTACGAGACGTGGCGGACGATCGAGAACAGGCCGCCCGTGTAGACCTTCCCTTCGTTCTTGGGGTCCGATTTGAAACGGTGCCGCTGGACTTCGGCGACGGTCTCGCTCAGCACGCCGCCGGCGAACAGCGCCGCGCCGACGTACACGCTCCAGGGCGGGAGGTAGGTCGGGTTCTCGGCGGAGGCGTCGTACAGGAGCGTGTTCAGGGTGTTGAAGACGGTGTTGAAGGCGCTGATGGCCACCGCCGCGCCCGGCGACACGGGCTCCCGCGCCGTGACGGCCTTCCAGAAGATGTGCTTCGCCGCCGACCCGACGGCCATGGCCCAGATCACCGTCTGATACGGCGTCAGCCCCGTCGCGGAGACGACGGCGCCGCCTGGCACGGGGGCGCGGGGCGCAGGCAGGCCCAGCTTCGCCGCCAGCTGGGGCAGCGGCGAGTGCAGCAGGAGGTGTCGCTGCAGCAGAGGGTCGAGCGCCCGCAGCCCAATCATCAGCGTGTTGCCCAGCAGGTTGGAGCCGTAGGACCCGCGAGCCACCAGGTCGAGCTTCTTCTTCGGTTCCGCCATGCTAGGCCACGATAGGTGCGTCTTGGTCGCAGAACAGATGGCCGGATTTGGATGTGTGGTCCACACGTCGTTTTGACTCGTAGGCAGGGGGTTGCGGGGAGCGTTGAGGAGGGCCGTGGTGAGTAGGGTCAAGGAGTGGTAAGTTTACGGAGTTGTCCATGTCCATGTCCATGGCCCATCGCTGAGGACACCGGATCGGCTGAATCTCGGCCCGACAGCAACGACGACGGCGACGATGATCCCTCTCGCTCATGTATGCGGCGCCAGCAGCGTCAATGGGAAGTTGGGGTGAGGTCTGACCGACTCGCAAATCCCTTTGCGGCCACCTTCAACCTGCATGCTCTCTCAGAACATATCTCCAAATGCAATGCCGTGACGTTGGCAACCCACGGGCAGCTCTACACAGACATGCTGACACAAAAGGTTTGGTTATGCAGAGTACGGACTACTCCGTGCATATCAGTCTACCACCACTGATCACTACTGATATCCATTCCTCCTTCACTCGAGCTTCCCTACCACTAATTCTCGCTTCATCATGGCAGGATCAGGGTTTGACCTAGGGTTAGGCCTCGACGGTTCTCACATCCTCGTAACCGGATCTTCAGGGGCGATTGGATCTGTAGTGGTCAAAGCATTTCTTACAGCGGGCGCATATGTATCGGCATTTGATATCGTCGAACCCCGCGAACCTATCCAGAATGAGCGACTACACTTCCAACAAGTGGACATTACGGACGAGTCCAGGGTCGAGGAGGCTATGGAATCAGCCAGGACAAAATATGGGGTAGTAACAACATGTGTATTGGCTGCTGGTCTGGACTTGTCCTACTGTTCCCAGCACTCCCTCGTCGACATGCCCCTCAAAGCGTGGCAAAGAGTGCTGCATGTCAATGTCGACGGGACATTTTTGACCTGTCGAGCCTGGCTTCGAGGCATCAGAAGTAACGCAACACCCCAGACCAGAAATATCTCTGCAATTCTTTTCGGCAGCGAGGCAGGAACCTTTGGAGTTCCATTATGCGCACCATACGCCGCCTCCAAATCAGCGATTCAGTATGGTCTTGTCAAGTCGCTCGCTCGCGATGCCGTCAACATCAATCCGCGTTGTCGCATTAACGCTGTCGCGCCGGGTCCTGTTAACACAGCACAATTTCAGAAGGAATGTGCGGACGATCCATCTGCTTTATGGCGCGAAGCCCAAGCAACCGTGGCATTACATCAACCAGTCCCGATTGAAGCGGTCGCAAGAGCCTGTCTATTCCTCGCAAGCGACAACTTTGCTGGCAATATAACTGGACAAGTGTTGCCGGTGGATTCTGGAAAGAGCGGCGCCCTGATGTGGCCAGAAGCACCATAGGGTTGGTCCGATTTACCTCTGAAGCCATGCATTGGCAGCATACACCGGGAAAGGAAAGTCTTCTTGGTCGGCACAACCTCCAACGGAAAGGAAGGTTGGATCCATTCGACCCTAATAAAGACCTTCTGGTGCACCCCATAGAAGAAAGCTGACTCCCCTCAGTCATTTATCCATTTAGCCTGGAAGAAACATTTTATGGAGCCCAGCCTGGCGGTTCGAGAAAGGATACTGTGTAGTCTGACGTGGAAGTAGGCTCGTGTTGCCATTTGAGATATTGACACGTATACCGAAGAGAGCTGCCGCTCTCATTTGGGAATTTGACTTTTGCGAGGCTGGGGGCCTGCGTGTCCTCCAAGGTTGCGGGATATTCTCACCCGGGTAACGGACTCTTGGCCGTCCGCCATTGATGTCCTGATACCGTTGGCAAGGGTGTCCTTTTTGAGTCAGACCGTTAATTATATCTCCGAGATGGCCTGACAGGGAGCATGAGGTGCATGTGTCCGGCCTCTTCTGCGGTGATTGGCAGGGAGCTAGGGCGAGACTTGCCCGAGAGCTGTGCCACCCGCATGCTGGAGAGGGACAGGGTGTGATTGCGCAACCAAGGCGGAACAGAGCTCAACCTCTGACAGGACGAATGCTTGATAAGAAACGAGACAAGTCGATATCGGGAAGGTCGGGGAGGTGGCTGGAGACTTAGAGTAGAGGTATCCTCAGAATCGAAAATATACCACGAACCCGTTGGGGAAGGCCACTGGGGATGAAAGAAGTTCGAAGCTGTCGGCCCGTTTCACCCAAATTGCAACGAGGGAAATCAGCTTTGATGTGAGGTCGATTGACGAAAGGGCAGGCGGGTTCAATGCAGAGTGTGACCATTTCTTCTTGTACTCCGATTATGCTGGGGATCCCATCGGCAGCAGTGCGCAAGCGTGCATACGGCAGGGGTCTCCGCCAATTTTTCGCCATCTCATTATCGAACGAACACACCCGAATGTGGCGGGAACGGCGAAGCAGGATGCGAGGTGACGGCGTATCAGACTGCACCTCGTGAGAATCGGAGCGAATTAGCGAGGCACATCAATACTAGAAGCAGAATCTTCACCCGCAGCCACTGGAACAGCGCAAAAATATGCAACACCAATGCAGGTGTAGAAGAGAGTTCAGGCCGTGACAATCAACGGCCAGTGGGAGGCTCGGATGGTGGGTGCGATGATGAGAAAACATGGAGAATGATGGAGGGGAGGGAATGCGGCGAAGCGGCTGCCCACTCAACAGCCAAGCCTTGACTAACGGAAACAAACTAGGGTCGTCACAGATTGCCCTCATTGAGGGCTCTCTAGGCACCCCTCCGGGTGCTCTATAGGTGCCGCCCCAGGCTACCCATTAACTGAGCCCTAGAAGCTCGGCGCCCGCAGGTTTGCCAGGAAGCCTGGAAGGCCGCCGTGGACAGGGACTGGGAGGACCGCTTTCCCACTTGCCAGGGCTCCGCCTCCACAAATTCGAAGTTCCGTTTTGGTTAACTAATCGACAACTCTGTTCTTTCATCACCAGAACGCCTTACGTCCTTCTTTGCTCACCATTTTGTCATTTCGCACGCATCTGCCCTCGAGCCACCCATCTGCGGACCTCACCATCTGGCACCGCGTACCCGTCACATTTGCTGTCTGTGCGTGTTCCCACCTCGACCGGTGAGCGACGATCCCACCAGCCACAGTCCGAACCTCGCACAAAACAAGCGCCACAAGCAACACAGCGCAGTCGGACACCGTGGAAGCTCTTTCTGCTCGAGCCAAATCCAAAATATACGAAGAGGCAAATTTTGTCTGCTCTCCCCCTCCTTTCTCCGCCTCATCCTACGCCACTCAGGTCTATTTCGTGGTTGGGTTGGAGTAAGAGATGGCATAGCGGCGTTGCGGTGACGGGTACAATTTGAGGCCTCTGCCACCTAAAAAATCCGACAGCATGGCGTCAACTCAAGATGATGATATGTATTTGTTCCAGACTGGCCTCGGCCAAACCCCAGCATTTGCTGGTCAAGACTTCGACGCTTTTCTGGAAACTCCAGCTCCAGACCTTGACCAGTCGGCGTCACCTACCGGCTTCCTCAACCCGAACGACTTGACCATAAAACGGGAAACGGACTCCTTCAGCCCGCTTCCGCACAACGATGCGTTTGCGCGTGCATCTAGAGGGTCTGCGTCAGGATCCAGCAGCTCCTCGTCCGAAGACCCTGCAGACCGCACACGCCAAATGTCCGCTGCCTCGACAGCGTCCCCTCCAGCACAGGATACAGTACAGAGCACCTGGGGAAGCGGGATAAACGGATTTTCAATATCATCAGATGAGCCCCTATTTGAGGACACTGCCATGGAAGGCCTGGACCAAGATGTCGAGGCAAGTAATCAGCAGATGGCTTCCGACTTCGACTTCGATACAGCTGCCAGCACACCTAGCGGATTTGACGCGACGAATAAAACTAACAATATCAAACCAACGCCAATTAACCCGCCTTTCAATCGGCAAGTCGATTTCTCTAGATTTGGAAAGCAGACTCCGACTGCCCAACTACCGAGTGGGCAACCTCAATTCTTCTTTGCCGGCTCCAGAGAGGCATCTCCTCTGAATGCGATGCTCCCCTCTGCGCAGGGGCAGTCCCCGTGGAGCAAGCATTCTCCATCTTCTGGCTTGGAGGAAACCTTCAATCACATCACCATGAACGGAGACTCGCCCGGTAACGCGACATTCTCACCTAATCTACAGTTTTCAACAGCGGGATTCAGCTTTGATGCAGACTCGAGCGCAACCCCATCTACCTTCACCAAAGATATCTCTTCTCCGCCATCCACGGTCAATTCCGCTGAAGGGTCACCAACCCTGACAGTACATCCAACCTCGCTCAAATCCCGCGTAGAGACTCAGATACCGATCAAGATGACCCTCTCATCACTTCCGGCCGGCGTCAAGAAATTGAGGCTACCAAGGTACACAGTCTCCAAGCCCAAGTTCCTCGCCAAACCAGAGGTCCCACGCTCGTCAGAAATTCTGGAGCTTCACACGTCTTTGGTCTGTACGAGTGCTATGCAAGACAAGGTGAAGTTGCAGCGGGCATTGGCACGTGCTAGAGGTGAAGAACAGGGTGCTTGTACTCGGTCGAGTCCTGCTTCCCCCGAGTCAAACACCTCGAAAGATGACGAGGACAAACCTCTGAATGGTGGTGAGGTTCGCATTTGCTCAGGGTGCATCCAACGCGAGAGGAAGAGGGCCTCGAGAAAGAAGCAGAAGAAGCCGGATGAAGAAGAGCTTTTCCAAAGAGACGAAGAAAAGAGAGTGGTTGTTTTCAACACCAATGAGGTCAAAGAATGGGCAGAAGTTCCTCGCGAGTCCAACGGTAACGAAGCGCAAAGTGCCTCTCCTTTAGGAGGAGTTCAAGTGGAGCTACCGATGCGCATAGCCTGCTATTGTCGGCATCAACACGAGAAAATGGGGTTCCAAGTGATATTCACAATCAAGGACTGGAAAGACAAGGTCATCGCTCAAGCCATGACCAACCCTATCATGATCACAGACGACCATAAAACTCACAATCCACCAGCAGTGATCTCGAATCAGCCGCCGCCTGTGCCAGGAGCAGGTGTCTTTGCTAGTACCGACCAAGAGATGCAGCCTCAGATCCAGGCAGTCAATCCAAAAATGTCTAGGCAGGCTTACTCCATGACCGACCTGCACGCCTTGCAGCAGACCTTCACTCCAACCTTCCCAGTGGCTCCAGCGAACACTCCATATGCCATTCCGTCGGCTGCGTCAAGCCAGGTCGCCAATTTTACACCACGAAATCTCTCTAGACCTGCCTCTCCGAGTGGCCCGTCAGGTCCGACTTCGAAGAGAAGGAAGCAAAGTGGCTCCGGAAAGTTGCCATCTGGCTTGACAATGACCCGCCTCGACACGTCGCAAGCACTACCTGGGCCTTCAACGATGCCCAACACAGCCGCGTCGTCTCCGTACGCTCCAAACATGGTATCGTTCATTGGACCAAACGATCGTGCATTTGCGATGCCTCCTGCTGCCCGCCCTGCTCCATATAGTAACAGTCCTCCAACGCCCAACGGAGTTGATCCTTCTTTCGCGGCCAATATCAATCGCTCCATAAGTCACGAAAATCTTCCGCGCCAAGTAATGATATCAGCACCACCATCTCGTCAGCCGAGTAGGCCTGGTAGTCCAGGCTCTGCGAGGAACAGCTTCGGAGCATCTGACGCTGCCTTTGGCCAAGCGGTCAACAATCAACTAATAGGACAACCCGCACGACGGCCGCCGCCCCTGATACACAAACTAGTTCCCGCTGAAGGATCCGTGACTGGAGGCACCGAAGTCACACTGCTTGGCAATGGCTTTTACCAGGGTCTCGAAGTCATGTTCGGTGACACTGAGGCGACCACCACGACATTCTGGGGAGAGAAATGTTTGAATTGCATTGCACCTCCAGCTCTGCAGCCGGGCGTCGTACCTGTTGTCTTCAAGCACGATCACCCACAATATTCGTCGATGCCACAACAATCCCAGACCCGTCCCTCGCTCTTTACTTATGTGGACGATAGAGAATTGGAGATGTTCCGTCTGGCGCTGCGTACCCTTGGCAAGCAGTTACAACACCCGACCGATGATCCATACTCGGCCGCCCAGCAGCTTCTGCAAGGACAGTCTCATTCTATGTGGCTTGCGCACGGCAATTATGGGCTAGGTGGGGGACATCAGCGCGTACACAGACACATTGCTGGAGCTCCAATGGACACGCTCGAGTTAGAAGCCATGATGTTGCAGGTACTGGAGCAGATGGATTCCCAACGGTTTTTCAGAGACCCAAGGTTTGATTTGCGCCGCCCGTCTGGTCTCACGCTCTTGCATCTGGCAGCCTCATTAGGCCTTACGCGGTTCGTTGCGGGACTGCTCTCGAGAGGAGCAGATCCCAACATGGTCGATAACAACGGCCACACCCCTATGCACCATGCTGCAATGAACGGTCACACTCATGTCATACACCGATTACGGTTGACAGGCGCCAACCACAAAGCCCGCAGCATCCGCCAATTTACGCCTGCCGATCTTGCGACGTCTTTGCTTGCTTACCAGGCCACAATATCGCCGATGGAACATTATCGGTCACGGAGTGCTGGAGGAACACCGATGAGACTGCATAGTCGGAGCTCGTCTTCTCTTCGCTCCTTCTGGGAGAACGCATCGAATCACTACGCCACCACTGACACGGATGACTCGGACGATTCAGATGATTTTGACGATGAGACGCCGACCAGAGTGACTTCCGAGGAACCGGATCTGCCACAAGTCCTGGGGCAGACTAATCGGATGCAGACGGTCAGTGTTCCTCCGTCCAGAAGGGGGAGCATGCCGCCCACGACGGCTCAAGCGTCAGGTTTCCCTCCAGAGGATATCTCAAGCGCAGCACCGGCAGTAGCTCCAGCAGCGTTCATGCTAGCCTGGCGAGATCATTTGGTAGCTCAACTACAACAGTTCAACGAGAACGCCCAATCAGTGATGCCTAGTCTCGCTAACCTCAATGCACCTCTGGCCGCTATTCAGGAGTATCAGGCATACCCTATGATGCGTCGTGTAAGCGCACTTTTCCCTCAACGCTCAGGCTCTCGACAACCACAACCCGGCCAGCGGGAGGGTTGGTGGGAGACTTTGACGGGCAGGTCATCACCCCCTGCTCCATCGTCGCCTCCCGCCTATAGCGATTTGTATCCCGAAGAGAAAGAAGGGACGGACCAGGATTGGAGTATCAAAAAGGCTTCTACCCTGCAAGCGGTAGCCGATGCAGCAACAGACCTTCAGTTTGAGCAGCAGGCAATCAGCACGAACGCCGAAGGAAGCTCCTCCTCGGGAAACACCGCTGTTCTAACGAAAAAGCCGATTGAGAAAGTCGAGCTGAGCCGCGATCGGAAGTTGTTCTTCTTCTGGGTAAGTTGCAACCAAGACCGACTCTGTTCTTTCACATGCTAACGTCTAAAAGATCCCCTTACTTGCGATTGTTCTAGCATTGATGATCCGGAACTCGGGCCTCACAGATATTTTTGCGTTCTCCGGTAGCCGAACACGACCTCTTGCGAATCAGGAGGCAGTTGGCGTTTTCTAACCTGCTTTGGTCACAGGGGGCATTGTACGAGTCAATGGTGTACTGCAGCGAATCGCATGATTTCCAAAGGGAGCGGGACTGACAGATGGTGGCTACTGGGTATCCTAGGTATCTACTCCGCACAGCATATGTGAACTAGTCACTAGCATTGATATACATGAACTTTTTCCTTTGAGAATAATGGAAGCGGGATTGAACTGGATGCAAGCATCTTGTCCGTTCCCTTCCATCCATGATTAGGACTGTGAACACTGCAAACAGACAGCGGTAATGGAAGTAGATATCAGCAGGTGCGGCCATTGCTTGGTCGCCAATCGGAGACCCAGATCCGAGCCGCTCTCGGCTACTGAATCCAAGATCGCAAATGCGCAATTCGGGGCTTGTACCTTTTCGATCCCCTCAAGCTTTTCTCCCACGTGGACGTGCTGATTCGACGACCGCAGTTCGTGACCAACGGGACTGGCACACGACATCCATCCTCATCGCGTGGGCCACTCGATGTCTTGTGCTCGAAACTACATCCCTCTACGTATCGGTCGGTTAAACCCTGCAAGAGAGCAGGTTCGAGCCCTCTCCCAGCGAGCACGGCCATCTCGCCATGGATGAAGCCGCAGAATATGAGAAGCGGCATGTTCACGAGGTGTACGAAGACATAGCAAGTCACTTCTCCTCCACTCGATACAAGGTTCGCAGGTTCGCCCGGCAACGCACCAGCGCATCCAAGTTGATCAAACATGGCAGCCATGGCCTGTGGTCGACAAGTTCCTACGCCGTCTGCCCGCTGGGGCCGTCGGTCTCGACGTTGGGTGTGGAAACGGAAAGTACTTGGCCGTGAACAAGGATGTCTTCATTATTGCTTCGGATAGGTAAAGTCGACAAAAACTGAAGAGAGCAACGCCAGCCTGCTAACGTCCTTGAGGTCCAACGCCCTGGTGGAGATCGCGCGCCAACACCAACCGCATAGTGTCATTGTCGCAGACATCCTTAGCCTTCCTCACCCCAGTGATTTGTTCGACTTTGCCCTCTCCATCGCCGTTATACACCACCTCTCTTCCACCGCGCGAAGAGTTCAGGCTATCAGAGAGATCTTGCAGACCTTAAAACCCCCCTCCAAATCAAGCCGGGTGGGCGGAGAAAGAGACGGAGGAGGCCAGGCATTGATATTCGTGTGGGCGCTGGAGCAGAAAGACAGCCGACGGGGCTGGGATCGAGGCCACGAGCAGGATGTGCTTGTGCCGTGGGTTCTCAAGCCAGATGTCGCCCCCCAGTCCAAAGTCGAGGCTCAAACCCCCAATCCGCCAGTCTCGACAACCTACCATCGATACTATCATTTGTATCGGGAGGGCGAGCTGCAAGAAGACGCGATGGCCGCTGGTGCGAGGATAGTCGAGTCCGGCTATGACCGAGATAACTGGTGGGTTATCCTTGCCCGACAAGACTGAACATCACAGTGTCTCTCTGCGTTGGTCGAGCCAGCCACCGCAACCCACTCCCAATATGTACGATCAGAGTCCGTAGAACGCAGATTCCAGTCAGCTCCTGGACTCTCGGGGCCGACGCCAGTCTCGATATTTGCCGCATCATCCCGATCCGGTTCGGATGAAGCGTCACAGATCACATTATCCCTCTTTCGCAGCCGCCGCCCGCGACAGTCGGAGGTGTTGGGTATCAAATCACTATATTACAGCTTCTTGCTGCCGATCACAGCAGAGGTACTCAACGCAAAAGCAATAATCCATCATCAAAACCCGGAATCATGGTGCCTCTCTGTTCATCCGATTTATTCAAACACGCTTCGCTCAAACACACAAGACAACAATCAGGACAATTCGTTTTCTTTCTTTTTAGCGAAAGGGAGCATTGCGCCCTCTTGGGTGGTTGTACAGATGGCGATGGAAAGGGTCTGAGGTGTGGTAAGGGGGTGCTGAAAACGCAGGCAGTCCCGCCGTCAGTTCTGCTAGTGAAGGCAGCTGCTGGGGACCCTGTAACCCCGTCTCGGAAGGCATCGAGTCTCGTCGTAAGGGGCGCGGGGGTAGTCCGCCATGTCGAAGTGGTGGTCTTGGAGGCAGAGATGAAGGCTCGATCCCGCTGTTGGCATTGGTTAGGGAGAATGGAGTGACGCCGGCACGCTTCGCCATCTCATGTTCGCCCATCTGCCAGTGCATGGCTTCGACCGCTCTCCATGGCATCGCCATCTCCTCTGCAACTCTCGCCCACATGTCCGCTCGAAACCTTGAACCGGAGGAATTAGTCGATGGAAATTTCCCGGACGGAGATAAAAATGACAGAGCACGCAGGCCGAACTGTGGGACAAGATCTTCTGACATTGACGCTGGGACAAACGGTGATCGGGTGCGACGTTTCTCAACATACCTCTCGTACAACCTTGCGAGCTTATTTTTGCGGTCTTCATCCCACTCACTGCGCCGCTCGAGGTAATTCTGATAGTGGAGTCTACAACTGATGGCGCTGCGTCCGGGCAAGTGCTTGCTGATGTCCTCCCACTTCATGCCATCCTGACGAAGCTGGATGATTTTGGCGTCCTCCTCGGGTGACCACTTGGACTGTTTCTTCGCCGGCGACTGGATTGGATGGTCCTGGGTGGAGGAGAGTCTTTTCGCAGGCACCGCCGACCGCGGCTGGGGCGGTGGCAGAGGCGCCACGCTGGTGGCAACACTGGACGGCACCGACTCTGACCGAGACACTGAGGCGGGAGAGCTGGTTGACTGGCCGTCGTCCTCGTCAGCCGATTTGAGCAGCGACGAGATATCCACGATGGGTGATGAAATGAGATGTCGGTTTGTGAAGGATGGAGAGGGGGTTGTTGCCGGAGGTCAGTGTGCGCTGCCATACACGAAGAGACGACAAGGACAGAGAGAAGTCGAGGAGGGATTTTTTTTGGAGATCAGGCTGAGAAAGCGAGCACAGGCGAGCACGGAGGACTACTAATACCAGGAGAAAGCTCGCTTCCGAAGATGGGGTGGGTTGGCTCTTTGGCGAGACCGAGCGAAGGCGCCGGTGTTTCTAGGTCGTAGACTTCTTGCAGACAGGGTCCGGCACGCACACCGGGGAGAGACTATGTAGGACGAGGGCTTCATTCGAAGATTCCAGAGAACAACCCACACGACAATGGGAGGATTAGAGTGAATGTGTCGGGGGGGACGGGGGGGGACACACAAAGGGCATTGTCCACAGGATGAGATATATATCAGGGAGGAGGAGGGGGGGCTACGGGGTGGATTGTTTTTCGGCAAAAGATGCGGTCAAGGAGAGCGGGTCTTTGCGGCAAGCAGCCTTCCTTCGATCGCTGTTCTTTTTCGCACAGACGCATTAATCGTGGCAGACTGGGCGGAGTGGAAGACAAGTCCCAGAGCAGTGTACGGAGTAGTGGTACTGTGGTGCTGAGCGCCATCCACCGGCCAGATCCATTTCCATTTCCAGACTCCTGCTTCTGGCTGCTGCGGTGGTGGTGGTGGTGGCAGCGCAGCGACGCACGACGCAAGACGCAAACCATCCAGGATATGACGGCGCCCAATGCACCTCGCCTCCATCATTCATCTCCATCGTTCTGCAGCTTGCAGCGGTTACTGGCGTTTCTGCTGCACGATTCACTTTCACTTCCGGCGGTCGCGAGGGCCCTGGAGCAGCTGATATCATTGTCCATCCCTCTTGTCCTCTGTTTCCTTGTTTGCTTTCCGGGCTGGGCTGGAGGAGGGGGGGGGGGAAATGGGCGGAAAGGGATCCAGTTTCTCTAGGGGTCCCATTTCGGCTTCTGGCACTAAAAACGACATGGATAGCTGCATGCGATCGAGAAGGGCGAGACCGAGGATCAAAGTCGTGACCGTGACCGTGACCGTGACTCCATGACCATGACCTTGACCCTGCCCGGCCATCCCAGCACGGGACAGGTATCGTGGTGTGCCGGGCCCGCCGCTCAAACTTGATGGATCATGGGAGAGGCTTGCATCACGATGGAGCAGGCAAGACCGGCTACACTACCGCTAGTCGGCGGAGCAATCCATCACGGCGTCAAACTTGGACGCCCAGGAGGTGGGTTTATGACTTCTACAATGCGAACTAGAGCCTGACCGCCCCAAAGTGGCATGGTGGCATACAAGTTCGTGAGATGTTCTGGGAGGGTTCGTCTGCCCTCGCCGTTGGTGGCAGAAGACTAAGATCAGGCACAGTTGGAGGAGATGACAAGCATGCAGCAATGTCCCTGCCCCTGCGAGAAGGGGGGAAGAGAGAGACAGAGAGACGGGCAAACAAACAGACCTCACTGGAGAGAATGACGAGGTCGCCGCCGCCAGTCTTGCAGGGGAGACTGGGTGGCTTTGGCTCTGGCTCGGGTTCTGGTGCTGTGATTTTGGCTCAAGGGCAAGAATCTCACTGACGTCCCGAGCCTCCTTGTTTCATCCCCATTCTTTCCCAGGGTCGACCAACCTGTTGGTTCCATTGCAGACCGACAGTTGTATTCTAGTCAGGGAGAGGGCGCCGTGATCGGGAGGGCAGACGAGGTGGGTTCCTGGGCCTGGCTGGTTGCTCGTCTGTGACCGCAGATGGGTGAGAGCCGAGCGACGGATCAAGAGTGGAAGTTGTTGGGAGCAGCGGAAGTCAGACTTTTGCGGGCAGCGACAAGAGTTCCCCTTCTCCTTCTTTCTCCCACTCTCACTTCACCGCATTGTCACTCTTTTTCACCCCCTCGCAGAGCAAACTCCGAAACGTCCCAACCCCGTCTTCAATGCAGCCATGGGCAAGCAAGCAAGCAGCCGTCCAAGCCATCCCGCCGCCCACCCACCTCTTAGGCCGGCCGGGGAAGGCGGGAGAGCGAGCGCTCGGATCCTACTAGGGCGCAGAAAAGTATAGCGGAGCACCAACAAGGCGGAAAAAGCTCTGCGCGGGCTGGAGAAGATATAGGACGCTGGAACAACGATTTCTCCAAATCCGCATCCGCGTACGCATGGCTCATGGCCATTCTGTTCGACCATCTGCACCTCCGCTGTCGTGGCGGGTTGCCAGAGATTTGTCTCTTGCAGATTGCAGAGTGAAGCGGAATGGAAGCCTCTTCTTCCCAACCAGCCCCCTGGTTCCCCCAATGGCCAGAAACGCTAGCTAACTAGTCGGTAGTAAGCAACGACAAGGACCACGGCTCGACCAACGGTCCACCGCGCGCGATCATTCCATCCATCCCAGCCAGGGCCGTCCCATCCTCTCCCCCATCCCCATCGCATCCACCCTCCACCCTTGGCTCCCAGTCTCTGTGCGTCACTTTTTCACAGCGCCATACGAGGGAAGTGACCTGTCAATCATTTTTCACGACCGAGAAAAAGATACCACACTGGTGCGCTACGGATGGCCCCGTACCTCGTTCCCACGGCCCCAAGGGGCAGAAGGTGGAGACATCGACCGTGTGACGAACCGAGTCAGTGTGCCCCGGAACGATCTGGACTGGACAGGTCACACAAACACGCGCGGTGTGGGATATGCATGACTTGTAACATGACGATACGGGCGACAATGCGTCATTATGGCACGCTTTGTATAGCTTCGACAACAAGAATAGCCCGGTCATCGCCCTCGTTCTGCCAACAATATAGGCCTCCCAGGTGAGGCGGTGAAAAGCGGTGAGTTCACCGACTGTTCTGCTATCATTTTTACCAAGGGCTCTCACGCACAATAAACGTTCGGGTATCCAGGGGGGAGAAGATCCTCCCCGCTGCATGGACCGAACAACAGAGGCAAAACGTGTCGATTGTTTGGCTGCCTTGCACCGCAACCTTCTGCTGCAGGGTCGATGGCCTCAAACCTTAGGTGCTGGAGGTGACAGCGCACAAGCTGAAAAAACCATATGCAAATGCAAGCTCGTACGCAACCAGAAGATTGGAAGCAAACCTGCTGAGGGCAAACACGTATTTCATACTGCTCTGGCAAGCCGCCTTTTTGTCGGCAAGGTCAGCAGATTAGCATGGTCATGTGCCGGAAGCGTCCAGCATGCAAGGCGGTTGGCCGTTGAAACCGAAGCCAGGTCTTCCTTGTCAGCATGTCGGCCTGGGAAATGCCGAAGGAGTGACAATGCCTTTGTTTCATCACTGGCGGAGAACAGGTGTTGCAACTCTTGCAGGTCGCCAATGCACCCGACACGAACCTCCTTCAGGTCCTAGCGAACTCAAAGTACGAGGCACTGCTCGGCGCGTCCCCAGCGGCGATGGATCCAGGCTCGAGCAAACAAGAACTGCGAGCAAGAATGAATTGAGGCCATGTTGCAAAGAAGTTCAACCTTGGCACATGCGTCAGCCCATCATCAATGCCCAGTGAGTTGCACAAACTGGCAAGTTGGGTTGTCGAATCTCCTACCGACAACCCCCTGCCCTCCACTACTCGTACGACAACTGGAGTCTCCCGGAGGATGTTTCGATCGCCCCCCCTTTGCCTGTCCAGCTGGGCCACTTGCAGGACCCATGTTCACGAAGAAGCGCCCCATTGTTCACCGTTCGTCCATTTTAACTTTTGGGTCCTAGGCCGTCACTGTTGCTGAGTCCATTGGGGGGGGTTGGTTTGTGTTTGTTAGGTATGTCTGCCCAACCCTCGACCAACGCCCCCGTTGTATTCACGATTGGACCGTCCTGTCGGGAATTCTAGAAACACACCACTCGGCGCCACCCCGCCCAGCGTCCCACCGCCTCCTAGCCTGGATTGGGATCCATTCTTCAGTAGTCGCTCACGTCGGTCAATAATGTCCCAAGAACGAGTCGAGTGCATTCCGAAACGAGACGGCATGGCAGACGATAGGACTGCCACGGCGGACAAAGGGTTGGAACCCTCATCTTGCTAGCGCCACCTTCTTGCCAGTTGGTTGTTCTCGCTTCTCTCTTTAGTTTCTTCGCCAGGAGAGCCCGAAGTTCGAGAGTGGAACATGGCAGCAGCCTTGTTTTCTCCATCATCATTTCATCACTTCCGACGCAGTCCCGCAAATCCAAGGCTGGTGCAAGTGCCAATCTGGCCCCTATCCAAGCCACGCAGTCACACTGGGACTTCGTCCTGGTAACTGTCACGCCCCATCATTATGGTGGAGAGCACGTTCTATCTCCTAATGGGATCCAGACGCCTTGCAAGTCTCAACCGGTGGTTGCTTGTCCTTGGCCTAGCTTCTCCTGGAAGGGCATTGCCCTTTTCGTCAGCAAACGCGCCCTTGAGGCCATCGGGTGGATTCCGATTTGCCGCCATATCGAATCGTGTCCTTCATACGGGCCACGAAGTAATCGGTACATGACTTGTTGTATTCTCCTCTGGGTCGTCTCGCGCATCCGCAATAGCCTGACCCCTCAGCAAACCCGAACTCAAGACAACTCAGCGCAATCCAAGAAAGCGGCCCAATCTCCTTCGCATCCCTCTGTTTGTCATCCCCCTCCACAGAATCTTGCAGGACCTTCCTGAATGAGTTGCGGGACCCTTTCCTCAACTTTGCCAGCCACGTCAAAAGACTTGTGGTAAAGTGATCATCTGAGATTACAGAGGGTCCGGGATTGATGCACTGTGTCCGAGGGAGACACGCATGGACATGTCATTTGTCTCTTTTGTGCACATGATACTGGCATCGCTGCTCGCTTCTGGTGTCACCATCTGCCGACGGGGTGCAAATACATGGCACAAGACTGACTAAAGGCTTGTCTGCTTAAACTTGTAAGTACAAGATCTCTTTTCTAGAAATTAGGGCAGGGAACGGCTTTCCTAACCATCCCGGTCCTCGTCGATTTGGGAATCAGCGGGTGTCTGTTTTTGATTTGACCAACGACCTACGTCCACAACAGAAGACACTTCATCAGTGTCAAGCACCTTTCCACTTACCTCAATCTACAGCGTGGGTTTGAACCTCAGACTACTTTTTTTTTCAACCATTGGACACGCTCGCCGCCAAGTCAAAGTAGCCACGAAATGCACGCTACAACTGGGGGCTACAATGTCACGCAAATCCGTGCGGCTAGCTGCTGACGGCGGAGAGCCGCAGGAAAATGACAGCTCCATTCGACATACGTACTTGTACCTTATGATCATCTGTTTCTTTCCAGAGCGGCGTGCAAGGAATTGTGGTCGGAAGTTCTCGTTCCGTTCAGCCATGTGCCAGCATTGCACCTCTGTTGAGTCCCCACTCAGAACGAGATACGGATTATTACTCTCTGCTCCAGGCTGTCGTGGACTGAGACAAGTCCGGGGCTTGTCTCGTGGCGCTGCCTTTCCGTAACGGCCTGTAGTCTTGGATCGACCGACTTTTTGCTAGGTCTGCCTACAGTCTACAAGCATGCCTGTAAGTACTCCTCGACATCTGTTAAATGTATCGCAACTTCTTACAATGATAGAGCTGGGAGTTTAAGTGAAGTACTCGGCATGGAATCAACAATCATGCAGTTTGTTTGTCCAGTGGCAAGATGACAGAGACATGCTGCCTCTCGTACTTCTCCAGGGTTTCTTTCAAGGACCGGTCTACCAAAGGAAGACCTTGAGATCCATATATATTGGACAAGGGCCAATGAACGCATATGCTCACACAAGCGACACAATATGCCAGAGCACTTTTTTCTAAACTGGAAATTTCCAGGACGGTCTCCATGAAATGTCGTTGACCTCTCAAGCAAAGCCCTTGGACGCTTGCGAAGTTGGTCGTGGGAGCCGGCTCACGACTTTTGTCGGTCACAGGCACTTTCGCCCCGAGTCGAGCTGAGAATCTGTTTGGGCTTGCCTGTTTGGCAAAAGGGCATAGACAAATATGTTGGCCGCTGAGCGACACTGTACAAGAGAAACACACCAATGAAATCGGTATGGGATTGTTCGCCTCATGAGAGATTTTGCACCTGCAGAATCAATTCTATGCTTTAGACTGCTGGTCTTGTTTCGCTGTCAACCAGCATCCGGGCGCTTCTCAGTCAATAAAACACGACAGAGGGCTTGTGGTATGGTCCGGTGTATGCCTAGATATATAATCTATGTATCTTTCTCTTCTAACATGGCACAATGGATAGAATGTGCGGCGTCACTTTTAGATCCAGCCTCGAGATATCTATGACACATTCCACAGAAATACAAGATAATAAGTCGCTGATAGAAAAACCCATGTGGATTCAAAGGACGTCGGCCTCTCTCATGGCTCAAAGTTAAATGTTTCCTGGGGTGTAATGCCTGGCAGTGCGATGAGGCGACAGGGCTAGATTTAGGTACGACATGGTGAGCGTGTGCTCTAGGGGAGTGGCGTGAAATAGACTGCTCATCCTTATGCCGCTGGTAAGATGGACGGGCGTAATATGCACTTCATAGACACTCTCACCTAGCTTCCTCTGATATGGGCTCGAAGTGCGCTTGAAGAACAAATAGAAGGCCGTGTGTTTACTACGCTGCAAGATTACCATCCGAATAACCCCTTTGAACTTTGGGAGGCCGCCCGCCTGAAATGTATGGCAACACAGGCTTGAACAGAGTGTATCTCAAAGATGCATCGGCACATTCACCTCGCCTCGCCTCCAGCGAGGACCTTTCGCCTCTGTTGTAGAATCCGAGTCTGTGGCGTGCCCTTGCCCTTGTTGGTGCGTCTTCCCCTTGGGCTTCTCCTTTCGCCCCAGTCCCCGTCACTCGAATCCACTTCGGGATCGATGTCTTCGTCAGCGGTTTCATCTGGGCCGTCGTTCGAGCCCGGGTCCCCAAACGTTTCCTCCGTCCGCTCCTGCAGATAAGGGTCAAATTTGCCGTCGCGCCTCTCTTGCATGGCCTTCCTGGCTTGGTTCTGCCAGCTCCGTTCGTAGCAGCCCTCGCTCACGTCGCGCTTGAACTTGTGCACCGCGGCCTTGACGTAGGGGTCGTCGAGCACGAATTCCACTGAGAGCGGGCACTTCAGGCGCCCCTCGGCGTCGAGTTCGTACTTCCGATACCGGGGTGGGAGGCTGTCGATGATGGTGCGCTTTTCCGCCTCCGTGTAGCTGTCGGCTTCGGCGGTCCAGTTTGAGACGGCCGTCACGAGAAACCCGTGGATGTCCGCGGTGATGATTGGCGACGAGGAGTTTAAGATTCGAGGCGAGGACCAGGGACCCGTGTTGCGCACTGGTCGTTTTGCGCGGCGCATCTTGGACAGGTAGTGTGTGTGTGTGTGTGTGTCTTGCTGGCGCTCTCAGTGACGGCCGACAGTGGTAAGACTTTCTCTCGACACCGCCGCCGCGGCCACCCACGAAGGGAGATTGGAGTGGTGATAAGACTAGTGAGAGGAGGGAGGACCGGCACAAGCACCAGACAAGTCAACCTGGGTCAGAAGCAGTTGCGATCTTCTCAACGGTGTGGGAGGCTAAGGTCGCTGGGCTGTCGCGGAACTTTGACGGTTGTGTGGTGTTAATTGGTCACACTCGGTCCGTTTCTTCCATGTATCAAGACAAACAGGCACTGAACGGGCAAGGATGGCCGGGACAAACATAAAACCAAATTGGTGGCGAGAGAGACCAGGTCACCAGGGAGGTGGCAAGGTTGGCATGGTGAGCCAGCCTCATCAGGGTTTTGTGTAACGAGGGAAGCCTCGTTCTCACTTCGTGCAAGGGCCATACAGCAAACAAGTACTTACTTTGTGCTGAGAAGTTGTACAGGGTCCTCCATGCGTACAGTAATCGGGTCGGGCCACGCAGTCTACCGGGTCCCAGATTATCCAGTCACGGGCACAGAATTTCTCTTCTATATACTGTATATGCTTCGTGGTGCACCATATGGAGTTATGCCATCAACTCTTATGGTCTCCCAAGAGTGACGAATGAAGATGGCGATGCCGAGGCTGTTCGTGGAGCCAATCAGCGGCGACGGTCCCTTGGCGCGCCTGCGTCCGTCTCTGGCTGCGGCGGCGGCCAATTCGGTGACTATCGTGCCAACTCAGCCCTCACCTTCATCCATCTCCCCATCCATCTCCCCATCCATCACTCCATCATCCATCATCTTCCGACAGCGTCCTGCTTCCCTCCCCCTCTGTCTCTTCGCCATAAGACGCCGCTGGATGTAGGCCGCGGCTGTCCCCCGCCACCGTCTAGGATCGCCTGTGCGATCGCACCATGGCCTCAGCGACGTCAGCGGTGCGCCGAACCGTCCACGCGACCATCCACTCCCTTTCCAGCGCATCCGCCGACTTGACCAAAGCAGCCATAAACCTTCCCTCCACCTATTCCAACTATGTCACATCAAATTCCTCCTCGGTCTCTACCATTGAGAGCAGCCTGCGGTCCTTGACCTATCTCCTTCCCGGCGCACGATTCCACGACACTGAACTCGCCTCGGAATCAGTGCATACTTTCGTTCAACTCTTATCCATCTACCATGATCATCTCCTTAAGAATCGCGCTGCGTTGTTGGCGCTGACTCCTTCTGTTCTCAAAGTTAAAAACCTCAAACTTCAGAAGCCGAAGCCTTCGCTGCATGCTCGCTATACTACATTCTGGACTTCGTCCTCGTCCCTCTATAATAAGATCGCCACGGTCTTGAAGATTGCGCAATACACCGAACTGCTATGGGAAATGATTGCAAGGCGCCGAGGCGGCGAGAAAGCCAAATGGCGCGTGGTGGTGCTGCTGGAATCCTTCAAGGCCATCTGCCGCTTGTTATTGATGCGCATCACTAATTTGCGTCCAACTGTGACCCCACCGATGCCGCTGAGAGAGGACTTTGCCCCGGTTGAACCGGAAGAACAAGACGAGGAGTTTGCCATGGACGAATTGAAGTCGGACAATTTCGATGTCAAAGACGCTTTGGGCGACGCTGGCGTCCCTACACCACCCCTCTCCGACTCCGGTAAACACGGCCCATCATCCTTGTCTATCACAGAGCCGTATAGCATGCCTCGCACGGGATTTACCCTACCCACTCTGCCCTCCCCGGACACCGTCTCATCTTATCTTCTCAACCATGTCCTCACGGCTGACGACGTCAAACCCGCCAAGCAACTGCTCCACCAGTTGAGTACTCTGCGTGGCCAGGCCGCCGAGATCATGTATATCCTGCGGCCTTTGATCTACGCGCTGCTTATGCAACGTATTGCTCGGACGTATGGGTACGAAGGGAGCAAGTGGAAACGCAACTGGACACCATGGCTTGTGGGCGTCTCAATCGAATACCTTTCCCGCCAACTCGCAAAGAAAGACCTGGCGGCAAGAGTTCCAGGCGGTGCACGATCTGGTCTCTCGGCATTGGAGCGTGAGGAATTAAAGAAGCGAGGCTGGCAGCTCGCGTGGTGGGGCATGCGAGGCGCATTTTACGAGAATATCACGAAAGTCTGGGTGCATGGCGCTGCGGCCTCGTTGAAGGGCAAACCCATCCTGGACCTGCTTGGAGGAATCATCGAAGAATACGAGTTTCTATGGAGTAATTACTATTTCAGCACGTCGACAATGTGAGTTGACATTTTGATTGTCCCCGCCACCGTTAGGGGTGCACCAGATTTGTCCATCGGAACCTCTAAGCGGCATCAATTGGATGGATTTATTGCAAAGGACTGTAAATCTAGAGTCTCGACGTTTTGTAACTGCCATTTGGCGGGATGGAGTCGAGTCTAAGTTTCCCACTGAGGATCAAAGTGGACTCTCGCCAACGAGCAACTATCTGAAGTCGAACATCGAGCATTCTCGCTTGCTTTTCATTGGGTCTACAACTATAGCAGACTTGGGTACGACACTTTATATAGCAGGATATGGAGTAACCTCTTATTTTCCCTGCTCGCGATGCCTTCAATTGAAGGAGCTCTGCTCACGCTCGCAAGGTATCGGATCAGTTCAAGTAAAATTACACTCACACTCAACCAGGGCTGAAAAGTCATCCTTATTTCCCACCGTCGTCAGAAAGCGATCAAGTTTTCGACACAATCTGTGCCCTTTCTGCCGCACCCTTTCTCACCGCCCTACACTATGGGTACAGGAGAGGACCAGGTGAATTTCCATCTCTTGGCTGTCTCCCCATCGTCAACTCTCTCGGTCGGCGAACTCAATACCCACGATTCGAGTAGTCAATCACGGCCGCTTTTTCCAGAGTCCTTGAAACATAACAACTCCCAATCATCCATCCGAAGATGTCGTCTGTTCGGCCTCCCAAGCGGCCGAAGCTCCAGCACCCGGGCTCAAGATCGAATCCCATCTCCATCGACGACGACGAATCCAGTTCTGAAGCCGATGACCTTCGCTCGCCCAGCCCATCAGACTCGCTTCAGCATTTTCTGTCCGTCCTGGACAACCTTAACCGCCGCGAGCACCTAGCGACGATTATGGGCCAGGTGAGACTCGCCACGAGCCAACGAGATGTCGTCAGAACCCTGGAGAACCAGTCCCATTTCACGGCTCTTCAGCCAAATTTCGAGCGCGAAAAGGACTTGTCGAAGACGGCCAGTGCTGGTGGCGAAGAGCACGATACAAACTTGCAAGGAGAAAATGCTTCCCGCAAACAAAGTGCCAGCTCGCTGTATGAGGAAGACCATGGTCGTCAAGACAACCTACTGGACATCGAGGATACCGCTCCCGAGCACATCGAGTGGTTGCTGCTTTCTGGTGGCAGTATCTCTGTGCATACCCGCCCGCTATCCAAAGCCCTGAGTCGGTGGGTCAATGCTCTGAACGAACTCCATATGTTGTGGATAGCATTGTGGGATGTGTACGACGCCATGACAAAGCCGGGCCCAAGTTCATTGCCGGCCAAAGCGAGAAGGAGGTGGGGCACAGGACACAATTCGTCGATGTGGGACGACCTGGTGAGAATTGAAGCCGATGTGCAGGATGCACGGAGACAGGTAGAAGAGATTGGAGGTGCAATATGCGAGGAAGCGGGCGCCGATGCATAAGAGAGGTGATACACCGACACAGAAGACGGGGCAGATACCTGTGAGCGGTGGTCCTTTTTATGACATTGTCTCGATATCGGAATTGGGAAGACAACACAAGGCTTGGAAATGGAGGCGTGAATGCACAGAGAAGAACACAAGCTTCATCCTGGAGAAAGGCGTGTCAGAGGAGCTGGGGGAAACAAACATGGACAAGGCTTGTGGCTGGCGGAAACGAGCACCTCAACGCATTCCATCCAACATGCCTTGTAGAATCGCAGGGGTAGTGGTTTTTTTGCTTGAGCTGCTGTTGGGAAGGATTCCAGTCGATGCTGAGACTGTTGGTGATAACCACATAGTGATAATCAGGTTTGTTCGTCGAGATTGAGCATGGAACGCCTCGACGGCTACAGATATTGCGACTCAAAATACTAACCTGATCTGTGGGTCATGAGGCGCCGCTTTACCAGTGTCCTCGCCTTTGCATTTGTGATATCCCCTTGCTGCCCCCTACGTGAAGCCCGCCGCTTTAGTGCCTCTCGCCTCACTTTCCCACTGCATATCGCCTAGCAAATACTTCATTCTGCCCATCGGGAGGTATTCGGTGTGCAGACATCAAACGTCTCAAGGATTTGTATTCAGATGTGGAGTGGGCTCGGTTGCCTCTTGTCCGGACAGTTCAGTGCTCGACCTTGAATCAAGAGTGCCCAAGGGCGTGAGACAGAAATCGTCAGCATTATCAAGCGAAACCGTGCAGAGGACAACCATCAAAGTGAAATCTCAATTACCAACTGGGCCAGCAGTTCTTTGTCAATAAAGTGTGACTTGTTGGAGGCCTTCCAGCTTCGTGGGCGGAAAGTATGCAGGTACTTTATGTGATCCAGCTAGCCTTGCCATTGTTCACCACCACAAATCCACGGTAAAACATGCCAGAGCCTCGTCGATCCGGCCGTCAACGCAAGGTCAACCCGCGGTACGCCAATGGGGGCTGGGACAAGGAGACTCTGCGCGTTCTCCGCGCCGAGTCCGAGTCGTCTGGCTCATCCCCTGCTGCGGAGTCGGCCTCAGCAGACTCAGACGACGGGGTGGCAGCCAACCACGGCTCTGCCCAGGAAGACGACGGGGCGTCTCTTGCCTCGGCGGCCTCGGTCCAATCGTCCGATGTCGAGACGCCGGACCAGGAGGAAGAAGACGATGGGGAGATGAGCGTGGCCTCCGACGACGGTGTCCCAAGCCGGAAACGACGGGGTCAGATATCACGGGCGGCTCAGGCCACGCCCGCGGGCGAAGCGACCCGGTCGCGGGGCGTGCAGCCTCCCTCCCAGCTCGGAAAGCGGGAAGCTTATGCGAACATCTTTGGGCCCGAGGTTGACGACCTGTGCGATGTCCTTGTAGCCCGGGACACATGGTTAAAGGGACAGGATGTCACGGTTCCCAGCAGGCAGACGCTGTCCGTTGCCATTCAGCAGTCACGCGACCTCGACCAAAGCAGCACTGGGAGAGATGACGAGTCGCCGCCTTCACCAGAAAAGGAGAACTCGGCCACGATGGATTCGTTGTTTGAGACGGTGCAGAGTCATCAAGTTCTTGAGGCAATCGACCTGAAGGCTGTCTACGAGAAGTACTTGTTACGCGACATGCCAGGGCAATCGGTTGTTCTCGGTCCCTGGGGGAAACAAACGAAATTGGGGCTTGACTATCTCTCTTCCTTGGATTTGGGCCAAGCGTGGCTTGATCACGAACAGCCCAGTGATGCTGAAACGTCGTCGCACGCTAGAAAGCTGCCTGCACAGAGGCGGTATCATCAAGCCTGGCTGTTCAATGTGGGAGAGAAAGTCCAGTGCTTTGCGTGGGCGGTCGGAGCCCATCCAGTGCAGTATCTTGCCGTGGCTGTCAAATGCACCTCTGCCCAGAGACGAATGGCCTCCTTTGGAAAAGAATGCGAACGTCCGGCTTTCCATCCCTCCCCAGCCTATCCGACCAGCATCCAGATCTGGGCTTTTCACACAAAATCCACCAGTATTGAAGGAATGCAGACGCTAGCAATGGACGCGGAGCCCAGCTTGGCGGTCGTGATTGGGACTGAATGGGGCAATATCCGCCAGCTCCGGTGGTGTCAGCTCGATCCTTATATAGAGACCAACCACGAGGACACCGTCAACCCAACCATCGGTCTCCTTGCGGCTGTCTCCAGCGACGGCCACGCTCGCGTCATTGCCGTGCCGCGTCCTGACCGTCGCGACGCCCGGGCCCCAATCGCTCTCCGAGCCGAGAAGGCTGGCTTCGATATTCCGCCTCCAACGGACACGGTCTTCACGACGCTGGCGTTCGCCGACCCCACGAACCTCATGCTTGGTACGGCGGACGGGTTTCTCCACTGCTTCAATTTGACCGAGCCGATGAGTCCAGAGAACCGCCCACGATGCTACGTGAAGCAACAACTCCACCACACGTACGTCGTGTCGGTGTGCCCGGCCGTGCCGGGACCACAATCGCCGTTCGTTGCTAGCACGTCGGCCTCTGGCGACCTGGCGTTGACGGACCTGCGCAGCCCCGAACAGGACCGTGTGCACGTCCCTCGCCCCAGCTTCCCGACGCGCGACCTGCTCTACGCGCCGTTCACGCGCTCCTTCATCGCGGTCCTCGACCGCAGCGGCAACACCCAGGCCGAGAGGAACACGGCCACCTTCCTGGTCTGCCACCACATCCGGCAGTTCCCGAACCTGCTCAAGGTCGCCAAACTGCCGCACGACACGGGGGCAACGACGGCCTTGACAGGCTCGCAGTGGCACCCGTGCATCCTCGTCGGCAACGCCAAGGGCCAGGTCCACGCGACCAACTACCTCCGCAAGGTCCTCCCGTACCGCAAGTCGGACCCCAAGAAGGCCGTCGGCGCGTACCTGCAGAAGATCTGCGAGTACGCCTGGCGCCCGCTCACGGTCGAGGAGCAGCGGCAGAGACGCAGCGCCGACTCGTCGTCCCCGGCTGCCGAACCGACCGAGGAGGAGGACACACCCGACATCTACCACGGCCGCGACGCCCGCGCCGGCATGTCGCGTTTCCACGAGGGCTTCAAGCCGGAGAAGATCGAGGTCGGCTATCCCTCGACCGGGGCCGGCGGCGCGAAGAAGGCACGGCCCAAGAAGGGCAGAAAGCCCGACGACGCCGAGGACGGCGGCACGGGCGCGGGCGAGGCCGTCTTCGAAGAAGAGCAGGCCGTCACTGCGCTCGAGTGGAACCCCAACGCGGCCTGCGCCGGCGTCGTAGCCATGGGATGGGGCAGCGGCATGGTACGCGTGCAGGACCTGGCGTACGATATCCCCCCGCCGTGAGGGAGGCCTCTCATTGGATCCTCCGATGAACAGAGTCATAGTCATCGACAAAGCCCGCCCCTTCAAGTGGATCGGGATCTCATACAGGGGGAGAGGGGCCTTGACAGTTGCCATCGCGCACGAATGAAAAGTTCTTTGACAGCCTCGCGGGACGGATGATTATCTCCCGCAATCGACTGGCCGGCACGCTTCGACATGGAACAGAAGAGCTTAAGGAGCGAACCACTTGGCTATGTTTGAGCCGGGTCCAGGAACAGCAAGGGCTTCTGACTGAATCTTTGCAGCCTGATGAGAGAGGGAGTCGATTGACATTGTAGGGTGCAGACAGCTAGGTAGCAAATACAGCTCAATGTGCACCCCTTCTCCTCTCTCGGTCCACCATATCTCCCTTTTTCGTTTCTTCCTTTCCAAGCTCCTTTCCTCTGTTTTGCAAAAGCACATTCTCCCTGATAGCTCCCATCACCTTTTCGACACTGTCAACGACGCCTTTTTTCCGGGAAACAGCGCTAATCAGACCCTAGGTAGTGTACATGACAACACAGGGGAGTACAGTCCATGCATCCTCAAGATCCCCCTTTTTCCCATTACTCTCACATGTTCCACATTTTTCTGCTTTTGTTTCATACCTCTGGAGCATCTTCTTTTCCGTATTTCAAACGCTTCATGCAATGCTGGAATCGATATCGCTGGGTGGACAAAGGACGATGGACGCCAATCTCACCCATATCCATTCCCACCCCATGCCTCGAGATGGAAAATAAACCTGGCCATGAGATTCAAGAAATGCAAAGGTTGGACAATCCCACATAGGATCATCCGTCCCAAGCCCTTATATCTCCCACAAGGTGAAGCAAGGAGTAGAGTCGACAAGACATCTAGCTCTTATTCTCGCCTCGGGGAGCACCTCCACCGCGACCTCCTCTTGGGCCGCCCCGACCACCGCCGCCACGATGGCCATCTCCTCGCCCTCCGCGACCGCGTCCTCTGAACTCGCCGCGTCCACCACGTCCGCCTCGGCCTCGGCCCCGCTCACGGCGCACCTGCTCGAATCCATCGTTCTCCTGAGTGGGCTTCTCCTCCGCAGTGATGGCAGCAGCGCCTACTTCTTCGGCCCAGCTATTGGATTGAATTGCGGCAGGAGTACCTGCAAGCCCCGTCTCGGTCTCCGCAGGGACACGCGGCACTTGAACCCATTCTTCGTTGGTAGCGCTGGTATCGGTCACCATGGATGCTTGCGGGTCCCATGCCTCGGCGACGGCGTTGGCGGCTTCTTCTCCAGTTGTGGTCTGTTCTGGGACAGAGGGAGTGACCTCAGGCTCAGCTATCTCATTGGCGATGTCTTCGGTCCGGATAGCAGCAGCATCGTCAAGTTCAGTCAGACCAGCATTTGCCACCGTGTTGTCGATTCCCAACTCGGCTGCGGCAGTCGGAGCTTCTTTTGCCTCGACCTCCTCTTCAATTTCCGGCTCCGTGCTCTGCACCACCTCCGAGGCACTCTGCAAGGCAGACTCTTTGATTTGTGCAAACGTGAACTCGAGAGGCTCACCATGGACGTCTGGGACTTTGTCGTCGGTGCCGTAAATCAGATTTTGCAGGGTTGAAAGTGAAGACTCGTTCCCTTGATAGACCAGTAGCAAAGCACCTTCAAAGGCACGACCCTCATCGGTATCAGCTTCTTCGGACTGACGCTTTGACGCAGCGGTGTGCAGGAAATGTGTGACAACTCGTAGCCCATCTTCGACCGCCTTTGTTTTGATATTCTCAATTTCCTGCAGCGCCTTCTCCTTGACAAGTGCAATCTCAGCCTCGTGTGCTTCGACCAACTTCGTCTTCTCTTTGGCGGCCTTCTCTTCAAGTTCTTGGGCGAAAGCACGGAAGTGGGAGAGCTGTTCTTCGAGTTGGTTGACCTGGTTTTGAAGCGCAGGCTTTTTGAGGATCTGGGCTTTCTGATCGGTGTTGAGTTTCTTTTGTGCAACTAGGTCATCGAGGGAGACGTTGGGATTTTCGGTGATGACGGCGTCAGCTTTAGCAGAAGCAGCAATCTTCTTGTGCAAGTTGCGGATGTTCCTGATGAGCATGGTCAGCATTGCTTCATCCCGTAAAGTGGAGATGAGCTACTTTGTCAGGTCTTTGATAAACGGGCTCTCCGCATAGGAATCGACACCATTTGTAGTAGGATGGCCTTCAGCAGCAGGAACTGCAGACTCGACAGTCGGAGTCACCGCACCGCCGTTGGCAGCCGCAGCTTCAGTTTTGGCTTTGCGCTTCTTAGCAGTCTTGGACTCGACGGGAACAGTGCTAGCAGTCGACATATTGGACAGGCAATGGCTGGGCTATTGGTTCGTAAATTGAGATGCGGAACTGGAGCGAGCAATGCCTGGATTGAGACAGGTGGTTGCTGTTTGCGGGGGGCCTTCAGGCGAGATGGAGCAAGCGCAGGTGTTGGGTAACGTATTTAAAGGAGGTCAGATTACGAGACAAGCTTGAATGGAGTGGTTAAGCTGGAGTCCAGAAGAACAGAGAAGTTGAGTGGGTGTTGCAATGTGCTCGCGTGAGGCTCTTGACAAAAACGAAATCAAATAGTCCCGGCCTCGCCAAGATGAGTGAAAACTACTTCGCGCCTCACCCCGCTTCCGGCGTAGGGTGATGCCGCCCTGTGCTCACCCGTTTCCAGTCGTGGGGGCGTGTTACGAATATGGTCAAAGGTAAGGACGGAAGAGGAACAGGAAAGGAAGGAAAGCCGAGTTGATATATTAGAACTAACGTGGGTGCATAGCGAGTCGCGCAGCATAGCGAGTCGCGCACCTAACCACCACCGTACGACAATCTAATTCAATTACACCACTAACCTAAGATAAATTCACTCAATCTACTCAGAACTAGATACATTAGATATTTCTTTATCCTCTTAACACGTACGTACATTATGCCTAGGCTTTCCGTAGGTACCACATCGTCGTTGAGTTAGCTCACCCCCTCTCGTACGACTACTACTTACACGCTTTTCTTACTCTACCTACTTATCCATATCCCTCTGGTCGATCACATCGCATCTCGTATAGTAAGTGATCCTCCTTATCGGATCCGTATCCTTTTCTCTCTACGACGCTTACTTAGCGTACGATTTACCTCTTTAAGCTCCCGGATACGATCCTTCATCAATACTATTTAATGTATTATAGTAGTCGTACCTTTCACTATCTAGTCTATCGCCTCATAAATCGCTATTAGAGAGCTATCTTAATGTTGAGCGACTTTCCCCTTGATAAAATCAGACTGTGAAGTTACTTCGTACGTAGTCTATGGCGTCTTAGAGACCTAAGGGGTAGTTATTAGCGAGGGGAGTGTTAGTAGTATTAGCGTCCGAAGCTTTATATCTAGCTTCGAAAGGACCGTATCTAGATTAAAAGAGATAAGCCCTGCCCCTCGGAAACCTCCTCGTACGTTATCTTCGCCAAAGGAAGTAAAAAAATATCAAGGATACCTTATTGAAGATAGGTAGTACTCAGCGATAGGTAGATTCCGTAGTAATAAGTATCCTTCTACACCTATAGTAACATAAACTCATAGTATGAGGAGAGGATGCTTCTCGGATGCGAGAAGTATGCTTTTCTCATGCGGGCTATATACAGCCTAAAGTGGCTTAGCGCGGTCCGGCTTAGCGCGATCTTAATTATGCCCAGCTTCTAGGTCCCGTTTATGATATTACCCCCCCTTTTTAGCTTCTCGTCCCTAAGAGGCCCGTATAGGTAGTATTTCCCTCTTACTTAGTGAGGCTCGCGTGCGAGTAGCTTACGTCCTGTATACGCTACTTGTCCACCGCCTGAATGTATCGTCTGAATGGTACGTGTGTACCCTATGTAAATATATTGTGTAAATGCGCTATTAAATGTACCTATTAGGTGTGTGCGTGAATGTACTATATGAACTGTTATATGAATCGCTATATGAATGGCTATTATGCCTATTGAGCGTGAATTACTATTGAGCCCCATTGAACGCGTGTATGAATGCGTAACGTGAATGCGTAGCGTTAATGCGTCGTAATAATAGTATAGTCGTAAATGGCCTTATTATGTCCTAATGCGGTCGCCTCTTACGCCTAGGTATATAGATACTACTTCTTCTCCCTTAGTTTGTCTCTTTCTTCCTTTTTACTAGTCTTACGTAACATTCTAACGTTAGTAATATCCGTCGTATGCTAGTTACGTACTAATCGCTTCGTAGATGAATACTATTGATTTCCATCCTAGTAGTACTGCCTTAGGTATAGGTAGCTAACCTCCTTATTACCCTAGCGGCCCTCGTAAGTAGTTTATGCTTATTATATACGTTTCGTAGCTAACTCGCGTACTTAGCTCTCCCTTAAACTCCCTCTAAGGCGTCTTAGCGTTCATCCTGAGAGAAGCTGCCTTACTAGCGTTATCTACGTACGCTCCGCGCTAGTCGCGGTTATCTAACTAGCTAGCGTGTCGTATGCGATACGCGTACTACTAAGGGCTATACTCGCTACGATCGTTACGAGCGTAGTAATCGTACTAGTCCTAAGGGTTATATTCCTATAAGTATTATACTATTATACGTATCCCCGTAAGCTTATTATATACTTATCGCATTAGGTTCCTCTATCCTACGTAGCCGCTACTAACTATCTTCTTACCCGTAATCAGATGATTATGGATGGCGATCCGGACGCGCTCACTATCGTGGCCGTCTAGGACAAAGCCTCTACGCTATCTAGGCATATGTAAAATGCATTAAAGGCGTCTACGAGACGTAACCTTACCTCTAGTTCTAGTGCCTCTACCGCCTCCCCCTCCACTATCGCCCCTACTAACCGCATCACTAATATCCTTAGTAGTATCCTTAAAGCCTTACGCTTTATGGCTGAGGCCTATACGGTTGTCGTAAGTAGCGCGTACTCCTCGCCTACGTTCCGCACTAACTTATATAGAATCAATTAAATCCCTTAGTCTAGTTTAATAAGGTAGATAGTAATCGTAGGTCGGACCTAGACCTACTGTCTGATCCTCCTAAGAGTGACGATAACGAGTAGCGTATAGTCTATGTGCGTCTCTCTAGTGTGTCGCCTATGTGGCGGTTATGTGTTTTTCCTAGTGTGTTACCTATGTGGCGGGTGTGTGTCCTCCTAGTGTAGTATTACCCTTAGGCAGTGTGCGCTATGCGCGCCTACGGCTTATGGCCTAGTGATGGTTGAGACGCTGCGACGTTGTATGCGTTTCGCGTGCCTAGCCTTAGGCCAAATGCAAATCCCTTTACTTATCTTCCTATTCCTACTTTCCTTCTATAGTTAGTGATCGCCTCGCGTACGTTTCTTAGGTCTATCGCTAGTTACTACGAGTCGTCTACCTCTCCGAATCCCTTCTAGCGAATATAGAACTCGGTTTAGCTATACCGGTAACGCTCCCCTAGCACCTCTTATACTTCCCATTCTTCCTTACCTTTAATATTAATAGGTTTAGGTATGCTAACGTTAGGACGCGCGCAATATACCTATAATAAGGAGATATAGAACGTATAGTAGAGCCTCCTATACTTCTTCAGTAGCTTTAGTATATACGTATTAACGCTATATTTATCTATAACCTTAAAGGGTCCTAGGAACTAGTTAGCGAGCTTTTTACTAGCGCGGAGAGTTCTGATATTTCGGGTAGAAATAAGAACTTAATTACCGATATTAAAGGAGATACTTATCCTCTTCTTATCGTAGTTTTTTTATATATAAGTCTTACTAATCTCGCGTATCTCCTCCGCTATAGCGAGCGATTCCATAAGGGTGATAGCTCTTTCCTTAGCTATAACGTTCACTAGCTACTATATGAGCTCCTTACGGTTAACGTTTATACGTAACGTAGGCGAGAACAATAAGACTAGATTAAACGGCGTCTTCCCTATAGAGGCATTAGGCGCTACGTTAATCGTATACTTAGCGCTAGCGAGTAGCTCTACCTAATCCAATTACTAGTAGTTAACGTAGTATTAGAGGTAGTACTCTAGAGTCTGATTTATCCGTTTAGTCTATCCGTCGGTCTATGGATAAAACGTAGTTGAGAATAGTCTACGAGTCGTAAGATAGGAGTATAGAGTACCTTAGTATAAAGACGTAAACGTCGTACCCCGATCAGATATAATTAACTTCGGCGCCCTAAACCTCGTGACTACCTTCTCTAGGACTAACTAGCCTATCTATAGAGTATCGATAGTGCTAAGATATAGAGTTAAGGAAACTATCTTCAAGAATCAATCAATAATAATAAGTATTAAGTCGTATGTGTTTCGCCTATATATCGACGGTAGTAGCCCTATAATAAAGTCTATTATAATATCTTACTATGGCCTATCTAGCCCTAGGAGGGGTTCCAAATGGCTGTACGGCTAATAATAAGGCACTTTCATACGCTAGTAGATATCGTAGGAGCTAATATATTTATATATATTACGCCTAATATACGGCCATTAGTAGTATTATATGATAGTCATATATATCTAAGCCCAACCGAAATGTCCACCCTACTATAGGTCATCATAATTTACTCTTAGTATCTCGCACTACGTAGTAGGATCCCGTAGTATATATATATAGCCGTCTCTTCGTATAAGACCCGTATAATCTACGCTCTATATTCCTCTAAACATTCCGCTAAGGATTTAGCTATTAGAGGTAGTAGCCTATTACTTCTCCTAACACTAGGGGTCTAGTACCTAAAGTTACTTTAGGTGAGTCACTAGCGACTCGCGGCATTCTCGCCCTAGAGCCTCTTACTCTTCGCTAATTCCTAATATAACTCCTTATTCTTTGGGTAGGGGGGTAACAACGCTATAGACGCTCTTTCCTCCCACTTTATACCCTCAGACTACTAAACGCGTTAGAACACCTATAACGAGGCTATCTCCGACTCGTATACTATTAGCGTACAGTTCGTATTCTTCTAGTATCCGCTTCTTTAGTAGTTCTACTAGGATATTCTCAGTTAGTGGCTCGTCCGGCCCTATATAGTCTAGCCGACGAGAGAGCCTATCTACTAGGTTATCCTTTCCCCGTCGCCACTGAATAACGAAGTCGTACGCTACTAGTACCTCTACCTAGCATATCTATTGTCTATTTAAGACCTTCGTCTCCATAAAACTCTTTAAAGCTTCGTAGTTAGTAAGGATAATTATACTAGTCATAGGCGACTTAAGGTAGTATCTCTACACTACGAAAGCCTTAATAATTACTAGTATTTCTCTGTCACCTATATAGTAGTTCTATTCCGTAGGAATCATTTTCCTCAAAAAGAATGCTACCGGTCTCTAGAGCGTACACCCCGCCTACGTTTCGTACACTTAGGTTAGTATACCCCTAATTACTCCTCCTAAAGCGTCAACCTCAACTCGATATTATTAATTAGGCTCATAATATACTAGCATTAGCGTACTCGTAAAGTAGTCCTTAAGCGTACGAAACGCTTACGTAGTAGTAGTAGTCTATTTGAAGGGGCCCACCTTTTTCCCTACTACCATTCCCGTAAGGAGATCAGTAATTAGAGCTACGACTTTCGAGTACTTATGGACGAAGCCCTAATAAAAGTTAGTAA